CACGTAATACATAAGCTATATGTATAAATAGCTAGATAGAGCTTTCTAGTTTGATATGCTGTTTCCTCTCTTCACATAAGGATTTTTGTACGGATTCGAATGCTTGGGAATTTTCCTGTTTTATATGCGACGGTATCGAGGTCTCTTTCTTAATTGTTCGCCTCGTAGACTCTTTTTTAACCCGCCGTATAGGCTCCTTCTTGACATAGGCTTTTGTAGGCTTTTTGCATTGAGACTTCAGGATTTGCTCTTTCTTTATTTGAGCTTTGGTTAATGGAGATGACATCAAGTTTTGGTTTAACTTCTTTGAATCCAATTGCTCTTGAGTAAGGAAAAGGTCGGGGATTTCGTATTTCAACAATTTTACAAACTCATCACAATCGCATAGAATTTCGTAGTCTATAATGTTGCTCCACATGGCTTGTGATATAGGAGTCTTGTTCACGAAAAGGACTGTGCCACCTCTATTGTGCACCGATTGGGCCAAAGTCTTCACCAACTTCTTGATCCCGTCGACTTTCAAAGAAGTACCCATTATAATAAACAAATCAGGCTTTAAATTCACATCTTTATTAAGTCCGTTGGCTAGAATTTCCGCTTGCGGGTGGTTCTCTCCGTACAACACAATATTTGGCCTTAACATACCAATATTGCCTGTCAAACGCTTACCCAGATACAACCTTTCCTGATACTTCAAATAACAGTTCTTACACTCCGGGTTGGATCCATTCGAAAATTGCTCTCTGTATTCGACGTTCCAGTTAAAACTATGGAAACACTGGGTACATGCAAGGTTGTTGATATTTCCATGCAACTGAACCACATCCAAGTCCTGCCACGTCTTGTTAAATGGTCCATTACAATCAAACTCACTCAAGTTGATCCCCATTTTCAAATTCATCTTATCTTCCAAACCATCGATATTCTGTGTGTAACAACGGAGCAACTTCTTTTTCTCTTTCAATATCTTAATAAACCGATGTGTTTCAGTCGGCTTTGCATCAATACTGGACAGGTACAACGACTCCATAAAAGTACAAAACAACAGGAGAGTTACCTCATCTCTGAAAATCGATATGTCGAACAAGTCTTGACCCTTCACTATTTTCTTAGGAAACTTACTTTTCACCATATTATACAACCCATCACTTGATCTAAAGTCTGGAATACCTGCATTGCAAGATATCCCAGCTCCCGTTAACACGACTGTCTTCCTTGCTTTAAAAATGATCTTGGAGACTTCACCTAATTTAATTTGCTCATGACTAGGTATTTCCCCAGATAAATCTATAGTTTTCATGTTATTTAATTGGCTTTATGTCAATATATACATGAAATATACTCTTTATACCTCCGTTATCTTTTATTTAACAATATATCTACTTTTTTGTATCCATTTATCTCACCAAGCTGCCCGTTTAACGAAAAATGATCTTATACTACAACGCCAATTGTACGCTCGCATTTTAACTAAGAAGAGAAATTTATTTACTTTTTGTACTAAAAGGGATGAACACGAATTAGATATATTATAATAATTTCAACATAATGAATTGTATAGAATTAATTAGTTTGACTATTGACAGCTAATTCCATGATTAATCTAGTAGCTAAATGCAAGAATGGATAGGCTGAAAACGAAGACATTTCATCCACATCTTGTTTTATAGGTTCGTCTTTACTGGAAGAGTTTTCCCATCCATCGAACTTGAAGTCTACCAAGTAGTTGTTTGGTTCCAATTGGAATAACTGAATTTGCATTTTCATCATGTCTGGAATATTCTTCAACTGTTCTTCTTGGTTTTGATCGCCAGGCAAAATGCATGGACCGTACTTCCATCTGACTCTGATGGTCCATAACTCTTCTTCGGTTGGTTTAGACCATTCCGCACCCAAGTTCTTTAACGCTCTGTAGATTTCACCCATGACATCCAATGGATACGATCTTGATCTTATACCGAAATGCCACCTTGTCTTCAGCTTTTTGTGTGATACGGGAGTTATCTTCAGCTGGTTGTCCATGTTGGACTCCATCATGTACGCTCTATGGATCGAAGGCAATGACGAGGGTAAAATGGCAATAGTAGAGTTAGGTAACGTAGATAAATCTGGAACTGCAGCTAAAGTTTGGTATGTTAATGATTGTTGCACGCCAGGCGCCTTGGTTGAGTGGTTCACATTTATATTCATATTGCTGTTATTGTTGGCAGTGTTGGTCCAAGAAGGAGGTGGCGATTGGGATAAGAATGTGTCCATATTATTCAGCTTGGAGTTCTTCAAATCCTTCACTAATGTACGGTTCTCTCTCATCAACAAATAAGCATCAATTATTTCGTTTGATTGTTGTTGTGGTGAATTATGTTGGTTACATTTACTAATAACATTAAGAATTTCGTCTCTGCCATAACCCATGGTCGATTGTAAAGCAGTAATAACATCTTCGTCGACTTCGATTTTCTTGTGTTTAGTCTTTGATAAATCAGGAGGTAATAAGTAGTCTTCGATATTTTGTTTAAACCATTCATCTTCGATTATTTCGTGTATGGTGATTCTGTTTAAAGGATTAACAACTAACATCCTGGTCAATATGTCCTTGGCCCCTTGAGATAAGTAATTAGGTAATGTATAAACACCGTTACTAATTTTTTTAAATAACGCAGGAATGAATTCGTCATCGAACGGTAACCTTCCACATAACATGACGTACAAAATAACTCCAGATGACCAAACGTCAACTTCTGGACCGGCGTATAATTTACCACTAATAACTTCAGGAGCAGCGTAATTAGGAGACCCACAACTTGTTTTCAAGAAGTTACCATCTGTCATAATATTAGATAACCCGAAATCGGCAATCTTAACGTTTAATTGTTCATCTAATAACAAATTTTCTGGTTTCAAATCTCTATGAACAATCTTGTGTCTGTGACAGTATTCTACCGCAGCAATAATCTGTTGAAAGAACCTTCTTGCCTCATCTTCTGGCATCTTACCCCTTTGCACAATATAATCGAACAATTCCTTACCAGCATATTCAATAACCATAATAATCTCGTCCTTGGACTTAATCACATCATATAACTTGATGATATGTGGATGTCTTAACAATCTTAAATATGATATTTCTCTTTCAACTCTACCTTGCATATCGGACTTAGCTAATGTTTTACGATTAATGATCTTCAATGCAACCTTCTGACCTGTATTTATATGCTGGGCTAATTTGACCTTACCGAAAGATCCTTCCCCTAACGTCTTAAGCACTTGATATTTTCCTATTCTGTTTGCTGGGTTAGCCTTTGGGTCTATTGGCTGGGGTTGATGAACCTTATTACTGTGGCTTTCGTGCTGGCCATTATGATCACCATGATGACTGTGATGATGGTGATGATGATGGTGATGATGATTATCACTTCCTTGTTGCTCTGACATGTCTTATTTGCTTTCTATACCCTCTAATATGCCAAAGCTGTATCTAATCTTGTGTTTTTAGGGGCGATCGTTGGCTTGAGGGTGGAATCGGTAAACACACGTAAAGGTTTTATTTGGAGTAGATGATGATTTATTAGAGGTTCAGGATATTCACCTTAGACATAAACAAGTACAAGGGACAAGAAGCCCTTCATATAAATAAAACTAGCTATTAAATATTTATATCAAGTTAAACTGTAGTTTGGTCAAGCCAATGCCAATTGTGAAATAATAAAATACACAACAGGACCTATTTGTCACTGTTAAGGTAGCATTAAGTATAGAGTGGGTGCTCTAAATGTCAAAAGAGATGCATCTTAATTCAATATATAAAAGTGAAATAATTTCGGTGATTAAAAAGTGGGTTCTCCGATTATAGTATTTTGAATAACAGACTTGACCTATCTTTTTTTGGAATCGTATTCCTGGTAATCAGTCAGTTTGTACGATCGTTCCTTCCTGTCATCTCTATATCTGGTGCTCTTCGAAGTCCTTATATCTTTAGGATCCCTATCTCTATCATCTCGTGTATTCCTGTGTGAATCTCTTCTATTTTGTTCATAATTCCCATAACTGCGTCCTCGATCTTTATTCAGATTTGTTTGAATAATACCACTTTTCCCTGCACCACTTCTATTATAATTAGTTTTTGGTTTTTCTACCCTATCACGATCTTGGCCTTCTTCGTACTCCTTCCGTCTTTGTTCTAGAAGCTGCGCCGGTATACCATCAGGATCATCCTGTGCACTCATCAACATGTCCCACAACGTTTCACAGAAATTCATGGCCTGTTCTTTACCTAAAAAGTCCTGCATTTGCAAATGAATCATCTTGATGTCGGGCTGATCTTCAGCTTGCAACAATTCGCTCACATAGTCGATTACCACGTCATCATCAGGTAATTGTTCGTTTAAAGTGTCGCCTATCCACTTCTCTACCACTGAAAAGTTAACTTTTGCCATGCTTACTTTCTTAGAGAACTTCTTCGGATATTTCACTCCAGCTTTATCTTTCTTATTCTTGTTACTCACAAACTCATCGTCAACTTTTTGCACTCTGTACGACATCTGATTCAATACCAAGAAATAATTAACACCCAATATCCTTATACACTTTAGATATAACGTTTTTAACACCCAGGACGTTAATTCGTAAGTCTAGTGATCCATATCTATAAGCTATAAGAAGTTATAAGTTATTCATAGTAAAGATCGTGTTTACAGGTTATATCAGCCCAAGTGTTTTGCAGGTTACACCTGTTGCAAAACTCAGACATTCAAAATCCCACTTAAAGACGCTGGCGTTAAATATAAAGAAGAATTCATTCTTTATGAATTAACAGAGATAAAGAGATATAATGTATAGTGATAGCAGAGATAGTGTTTTTGATTGGGATTCAGACGTTTTTTCTGAAATTATCCGAGGAAATTCGGATGTTTCATCTCAGGGAACTTTATCTACACCTTCGACGGGAAATCAATATTGTACCCCCAGGTCGCTCTCTGTGTTGGAAACTTTTAGCTATGATTATAGAATGTTACAGCTGGAAGTTGCTCCCCGGACAAATATTTGGTCCACATCATACAGAAGTAATAGTGAGTCGCTCGTGCCATTTGATCCCTTAATGTTTAGTGGTCCAGAACAGAAGACTGAGGAAGAGGAATATGTGTATCAGCCACCTCCAAGACTTATTTTTCGAAGCTACAGAGGTCGTCACTTCACTGTTGAAGACAATGCCAGATTTTTCGTGATCAAGTCATACAGTGGGGTGGATGTTGATGCGTCAATCGCTAACAGCATCTGGGCATCTACCAACTTAGGGAACAAGAGGCTTAATAGAGCGTTTGAGGAGGTACTGGCAGTCGGGGGTAAAATATACCTTTTTTTCCTGGTGAATTGTTCGGGACGCTTCTGTGGAGTTGTGGAAATGAAGAACAACATTGATTTTACTCGCACGAGCGACGTGTGGGTAGAGAAGAGCCGTTGGAAAGGCATATTCCCAGTCGAGTGGTTAATGATCAAGGATGTTCCAAACAGACACTTTCAGCATTTAAAGAACCCTCTCAACGAGTCTAAATCTGTCACGAACTCCAGGGATACCCAAGAATTGCCGTTTGATATCGGTGTTTCAATGTTAAAAATATTTAGCTCGTTTAAATAAATTGTGTTTTCTCAAATTCGTTACTGTATGCAAGAAAATAATTAGTATCAAAAATCACCTTACATGGTTATTTCTCCTTTTCGCTGACTACTTTGACCCCAAAATGAAATCACAGGCCATAAAATCACACCCATTGAGGTTGGGATTACTGGTGCGTCCTCTATCATCTGCTGCCAGAGTGTTTCAACAAGATAAAAAACCCAAGAAGAAAACCCAGAAGAAATCACGTAAAGATGTTGAATACGGTAAGTTATCAAAGGCACAGAAAGCGTTTCTTGATCGTATCATTCGAGTAGATCAAGCAGGAGAGTTGGGAGCAAACTATATTTACTATGGCCAGTTCACAGTATTAGCCAGTAAATACCCACATTTAAGACCAGTATTACAACATATGTGGGATCAAGAAATCCATCACCATAATACATTCAATAAATTACAGACTGAACGTCGTGTGAGACCATCCTTATTAACACCATTATGGAAAGTAGGTGCTTTTGGAATTGGCGTTGGCACGGGGCTCGTCAGTAAGGAAGCTGCGATGGCATGCACTGTGGCAGTAGAAACTGTCATCGGTAGTCACTACAACCAACAATTGAGAGTTTTGATGAATCAATATAACATACCAGCCTATGATAAGGCTACTGGAGAAATTTTACCAGAGGAAAGCTTAGACAGGAGCGCACAATGTTCCCCTGAATTAACCGAGTTAAAAGATCTTATCAGTACTTTTAGAGATGACGAATTAGAGCATTTAGACACTGCTATAGAACATGACGCTGAAAAAGCTGTTCCTTATATTCTTTTAACTGAAGCTATCAAGTTGGTATGTCGGGGAGCTATTTGGACAGCTGAAAGAGTATAAAAAAGTATAATGAGTGCCACACTCGTTATACCTACTTAATATCAAATTATGGATATATATTTATGTAATTAATATGACTGCGTACAGTATTATTGCCCACCATCCGTAGTAAGAGTCGTTTATTCCAACAATCATTCTGTAGATATCGTTTTGTAACAAAATATTTTTGTCCCAAACTCGCGCACATAAAATCAAAACAAAAAGACGAGGTTAGTCAAATATCAACACATTAGATTTGGATAATTATAATCATGTCACGTCCTAGCTCCATATATAGACCTGGGAATTCATCTTTAAATAGTCGTCGGGTTCATCATGTTATTCCGCAGGATCTGTTTCCATTGTTGGATTTCAAGGAAATATCAATTTGTTTACAAAGTTGTGACTTCATAGCTAATGAAGAATTAGTATCAAGACCTACCAGTCAATATATCAAAACATTGCTAGAGCAATTTCTAGATTCCTTCATGGGACTATCTGCTGACAATATTAATGGAATGGTTAGGAATGTAAACAAGAATGACCTATCTATGACAAAGACAGATGCTGATATGGCAGACGATCCGGAGAATGGTGAATCACAAATAGAAGACGATGATGATATAACTTCAAGCGTACGTTTAATATTGCTTCACAGAGGAGCATATGAGTTTTTTCTGATATGCGGAATCAACGATTTTACCTTGATGGACATTATGAGACCTGAACCACAGAGAATAAGGAGAATATTGAGTGCCGTTGTAAATTATGCAAGATTTAGGGAAGAGAACTCCGTAGAGTGTGAAAAGCTTGTTAGCATAAGTGAAGGTAATCTAGAAAAATTGAAGAGTGTCCAAAACGAGAATAGTAGGCTTTCGAATCAGATCAATGATTTGAAATACAAAATTGAAGCCAACGAGACAGATGGAGGAAATAAGAAGGCCACATTGAAGCAAATAAATACCTATAATTCTAAATTGGAAAATGAATTGAAGAAGCTAAAAAAGAATCAAGAAATATTGACATTGGAGCATTCAAAGTATAAGGATGAAAAGAGAAGATTGATTGAAAAATTGGAAGATCACAATTATTTAATAATGGAATCAAATAAAGAGTTGGATAAATTAAAAAGCTATCTATTATCTAATCCTGAAATTCTTACAAAAATTATTGAGGACTTAAAGACCAATTTGAGCGAACATCAAACCAACTTGGCTGACTTAGAATCGAAGAATAAGAATATGACCATAAGCATAGAGTCATTTCAGTTAGTAGAGCAAGAGTTGAAAAATTTATTTAGGATTTTAGAAGAAGTATTGAACGATTTGACTAAAGAAGAAACTTCTTTGGATAAATTGAACAAATATCAAGAATTCAAAGAACAGCAAAATTTGACTTTAAATGATTTGAATAGACAAATACAACAAATCACAAGACAACTCAATAATACAGAAGAAAAGATAAAAAGGTTAAGACATCAATCAAGTGAGAGGAGCGAAGCCAGTAAACAAAAATTAATTTCCTTAAAAGATGGTTACGACACTTTGGTTAAAGAGCGTAAAGTTAAAGAACAAGAATTAAATAAGAAAAAAGATTTCATAAGTGAATTAGAAACCAAGATGAATGGAGAGAGAAACAATTTTCAAATAGAGCTAAGAAATGCAGAGTTAGCAGTTGCTAAATTAAATTCTCATGTTAAACTCTATTTAACTGAAATGAATAAAAAAGTGGATTGAATGTTGTGTATTAACATGTATATTAGTATGTATTTTAATATTATTTATTACCCTCTATTGAGGAAGAAAACTGGCGACCAACCGAATCACTTGTAGAATTTTGTCCACCAATTAATGCTTCATCATCACTATCATCACTGGCCTTTTTAACATTTTCATGCCTTGGAATCTTTTTGTTAGTCGTGAACAACGATACAATAAAACCGGCACAAGAAAAGGCAAGTCCTAAATAGAAAACATTTCGTAACGCTTTCATAAATTGATCTAAAACCATTTCTTTTGCAGAACTAGGCAAATCTTGAATAAGGGTAGGTGTAGAAATCAAAGTTTTTACTGGAACCTTATTAAGAGCCTTATATTCAGTAGAACTTGTATCTAATGATCCCAATAAATCATTAATATATGAAGTACCCGATGCTTGATAAATCAATTGTGCCAATGTAACAGCTACGGTAGCACCTGTAGACTTGAGGAAATTCAAAAAAATTGTGGTTAGAATTAAAGAACCTTCAACATTTGGAGGTGCTTCTAATTGAGCTGCAAGCAATGAACTCTGAAATTGAAGTCCTACAGAAATACCCGATATTATTAATAATCCAATCCTATCCTTTGCTGGCGAATCTTTTTCCAACAATAATAACAAACCACATCCAATTGGTCCAAGAGTTGTTGATATCAACATTGTAACCTTTACATACCTTGTAAATCGCATAAAAACCCCATTAGCAATTGAAGATAATGAAACAGAAATGACCATTGGTAATAAATCTACACCAGATTGCCATGGTGATGCATTAAAAATAACTTGAAAATAAATGGCAAGATAAGTCAAGTTTGCCATAAAAAATGCAAAATTGAAAGTTGCACTCCAGGAAGCTGCAAATATTTGTGGAATAATAATAACCTCTTTGATAATTATTGGATTATTTGATATCTTAAAGTTATATATGCAGAATGCAATAATTAATAGTCCTCCTAATACAAAAAGAAGTATTACAGCGGTCGAATTCCATGCGAAATCAACACCACCAAAAGTTAAACCAAGCAATACTAAAACTAATCCACTAGTCAAGAGAAAGACTCCCAAATAGTCAATCCTCGAGAGCTTTTCTTTTAAATTCCCTTTGGGTTTCGGAGGATGAAAACATACAACCAACAACATAATAGCAAACCCGCCCACTGGCAAGTTTATATAAAAGCACCATCTCCATGTAACATGAGTCGCAAATGCACCTCCAATGAATGGTCCAATTACACTAGCAAGCGAGAAACAAACACCTATCAAAATGAATGCAAGGGCTCTACGACTTAAAATTACAGATTCCGTCATAATTATTATAGTCAAAGCTTGTACACAACTTCCACCGATACCTTGTATAACTCTACCCGCTATTAAAGTGTCCATATTTTGAGCTCTTGCGCAAACGACCGAACCAGCTTCAAAGACTACGATTCCCCATATTAAGGTATATTTTCTTCCGAATGCAATAGAAACTTTACCATAAATTGATGCAAGACATGCCAACGATAATAGATACCCGGATGTTAACCATCCAATCTTTTCGAAATTATGAAACTCACTTCCTACTGTTGTAAGTATAGTAGAAACGATAGTTTGATCTAATGCAACAATAAACAAACTTGTAAAACAGCTTACCAAAGTAGCAACTAATGGAAATCCAGTTAAGTGATGATCCGTAGCTTTCGTACCATCACCAGCATTACTTTCATAGTATTTCTTCGATTTTGGAACCATACTTTCATTGCTCTGTCTCGATTGACGTGGCCCTTCGCCATTATTAAACCCATTGGTTAATTCACTTCTATTATCTATTTCGCTTGATGTGCTTCTTCCCGATTTGTTACCTTTAGCAACTTGCTCTTCAGACACATTATTAGTCTCTTCACCACTGTTTCTCATTTTTTATATAACATCAATGGCTCACTAAAATTATCCAAAATTTCATACAAGCAAAAGCTAATATATCTCAAATTGATCTCAAGTCTAATTTAAGTTTCTACTTTTGAATAGCAGTAATTTTTTATGTATTTAAACATCTGATTACTGCTTAGAAGAGTTCTTGCCAAAATTGGTCGCTTGCAAAATTTCAGATCGTTTAGACCGAGAACGGCCTACATTCTCAACTTACAGCCACCCACAGATATTTTGACGTATTAATGTTTATTGAATGTTTCTATAGATGCGTAGACGCATATGTCATATACAATAAAGACGCAATAGCCTAATTATTCTTTTGGCCTTTATTCGGAAAAGTCTATTATTTATGAAATTCTATCCTTCAGTCGTTAACCAATTATACACCGAGATTAAATATGATCGTAAAAATAAAATATAGAAATGAATTGCAGTAAATTTAATTAGCTTCAAGTTCCATTCTTTAAGAACTCTATGAAGTCAATTTCATCGGTATCAGACTTCGCTCTGGAATTATTTGGGGTTCTTATGTTATTCCTTTTGTCCTGAAGTCTATGAGAAATCCCAGGTGTATGTGATGCCATGTTAGAACCTCGTTTCGATTTCAGTTGCTGGAAGCTCACTAGCTTATTGAAATTAGGATTGGGAGAAAGATGCTGGTTCATGTTGTTCCTTTGTGATAAATCCGATACCGAACTGGCCCTTGATTTATTGCTTACCTCGCCGATATCACCAAATGAGGCACGGCCAGATCTTGGTGATCTTATAGAAGATGCATTGCTGTGAGTTCTTCTACCTATGAATGTATTTGTAATAGATGCATTAGAATTATCAGAACTCTTCATATTATTATGAGAGTTAGAAAATGAGTATCGACCCAAGCCCGATCTAAAATCATTTTCTGCCACATCCACGTTCAAAATATTGGAGAAATCATGATGAAATTGTGAAGTCAAACCTCCGATACCAATTCCTTCAACTGACTGTTCTGTGTTTAAATTTTCAATTTGAGCATTGACAAGTTTTGCATGGAATGCGGCAATTGTTTCTTCAGTAGGTAATTGGAAAAATGGTAATCTCATCCAGTTTAAAGCTTTCCTCCATCTAGAATAATGGTTAATATCAAGTCCCAAGCTTGCGCTGAGTGACCGCTTCGTAAACCTTGTACTTGTAGAGAGGGATGTAGTATCTTGTATACTATCGTAATGCGCCATTTCACTCATTTTAAAAGCATTGTCTCTCTCAAAATTTTTTAATATTGTATACTTCCAAGGTTCTTCTCTGTAAAAGAAAACCAAGGTATCGACGAATCCGTTGAATGGCATCATAAACGCACTCACGCAATTTAGCCAGTATATTGGATGATGAGTCTGTTCATAGTGGACTTGTGTTATGCTTAGACAAAATGGAAACAACCAAATAAAACAATATGCAAACGGATATATGAAAATAGACTTCATTTGTTTAGCTATAAGCTTTTGCCTTTGTTTAAATTGCTCTAAATTTTGTTCTTGAATCTCAGGATCATCTATAATATTCTCAAGATCTACCCCATGATTAGGTTTGTCTGTATTTTCATTATCTTTATCTTCAATATTGCTGTTTATGTATTCTGAAGGTGTTGTTTCTGTGCTTATTGATTTCTTGGCTGCTTCGGGCAATACAAACTGGGGTACAATACGATCTTTCATGTCCTTGTAGAAGTATCTTAAAGCGGAGAAGAATGACGGTTTTTCATTTTGAAAATTGTTTGATCTTCTTTGCAATTTCTGCTTATGCATAGTGGTAAACATACCACCAACAACTTTAAATTCTCTGATTATGTGGAAATATATAACACAATAAACTGTTATTATGACAATCACAATAATGTAACGCGGTACCCAACTTAAAACAAATCTATACCATGTGGGTGAACGAGGAAGGTAACACCAACAAATGAGCGAATCATATCCCGATTTATTGATGTATGCTAGACTTGCCATCACAACCGGAATCACAAATGACAATCCATACACATAATAGCGATACTTATACAAACCACCTTCAACAAAACCACGATCTCCTACCTTTACGGATAAGTTCGGTTTGAATATTAGAAGGAAAGTATGTATCGCAAATGCTAAAATGGCCAAGTCTGCTCCCTCAATTGCCACGGCCGTAAAGAATCCCACTACTTGACAAAAGGTTTCATTATAATAAGAACTATCGTATGATAACGCTAACGAAGGATATAATAGTAATACGATTGCTTTTAGCAAATCAAAGCTTAGCAAAAATGCAATCAACTGGTGTCGAAATACCAATCTTCGTGGGTCTATGGCTAGGAAGGCGTACAATGAAACTAGGCAAAAAACAATCGAGGTACTCGAAGATGCGATAGCTAATACCCTTTGTACCCAAGTCTGTTGACTTGTAAATAGATATATCTGGTTCTCGAATGATTGCCTCTCAAATATGTTAGCCATGGCTGTGTTAGAGCTTGAAGTCGGTACCGCATTTAGTTGGTGCTCGATAGATTTAGCGAACTTCATGTTTAGAACCATCATATCCATCTTATCAACGAACGACTACTCAATATAGTCTAATATGTGCTGAGAGCTACAGCTATAATATGTTTATTCCTCTCTTCCGTATCTATGAGAATGCCTATAAGATTGGTATGCAATTCAAGGATAAATTTGTGAAATGTTGGGAAGGATATTTAAACAGATATTAATTATTCGAAACCCCAATATTCGTTAATCATATGGTACACAGTATGATAAATGTTTGTATTTGTATCTTAATTTCCGTTTATGCTACCAATAATCTTTACCGTATTTCTTTTTAGTTTTTTTTTGAAGGCTCGCTCAACGTTAAATTTGCAGAGTTCAAAATTTTTGCAGCTTTGGATTCTGGTGTCTGGATATTTTATTCATGCTTCTGGAGAAAATATATATCCGAATACGGTTTATTCAATCCTTTGGGGTTCCATTTAAATACATTACACGAGGAATTGATAGAATTAAAACTAAGTTTATTAGGTATATATCAAATCAATGATTTCAAAAATTATATAGAACGAATTAAATTGACTTAAAAATTTTAACAAAAACTGAATGACAATGACAGAATATAGATCATGCAACGGTGTAATAAATGCGAATGGCTTCAAAGCTCACTTCCGAAAATGAAGGTGAAAAATTTTTCATGCCACTTCAACTTGATTTCACCATCTGCACTAATATCACGCTTGCTAGCTGCCTGTAAGTAGAATTCTTCTTCGTGTAGTTCCACCTCTTTGAGACCAGTGACCAAATCAACTTCTTTTGCTTTCCTCCATTTTGTTCTTTTGACTAATTTAACGGAAATAAACACACCTATGTTAATAAAAACAAAAAGGTAGGTAAATAAGAATGATTTAACGTCCCATTGGCCAGGCTCGAAAACCTCGTAACTACTGACAAATATCATAATGAACGCAAAAGAACCACCAATGATTGCCAACCAAGGTTGGTACCAAGATCTGAAAGGTAATGTTCTTCTATCAATGCCTTGGGCTTTCATTGCTCTGTAAAAGAAAACATAAACCACACACAAGATTGTAAAATTCATCAACTGGCATGAAGTAATCAAATTCATAATCCAATCTAAGACTACTGAGGCTTGCTCACCTAATTGCAAGAAGGAAATTAACGCCCATAATAAGGAAACCAATATACAATATAATGGTATACCTGAGTTGGTGGTAGCAGTAAAAAATTTAGGAGCATAGCCATCTACTGCAAAACCGTACAACACTCTTGACGAACAAAACGTGTAAGAATTACCGGCCGAGAATGCTGCTGTGACTAATAAGGCATTGATAATATCCGGCAAAACCTTAATATTTAAGTTTTGCATTGCAATAACATAGGGTGACCCTCCTGCTCCCGGGATACTTGCACCCATGGTGGATACTAATTTTGGATCGTCATATGCTACTAAAATACCCACACAAAGAGCACCACCAATAAAAAACACCGACAATCTAATGAACACTTGTTTGAATGCTGATGGTAATGTCTTTCTAGGATTAACCGTTTCTGAAGCCACGCAACTGATATATTCAGGTCCAGCAAATGTAAAGCATGCTTGAATTAAACATGCTAAAAACCCTTGAAATCTACCTAAATCACCAGTATGGTCATATGTGTTCATTGGGCCTGGGTCCCTCCAATAACGAAATCCAAATGCGTCATGTTGAGGGTTTCCACCAACCATAGTAATGAACGTGAAAATGATCAATCCCGTTGCTAAGATAACTTTACCTAAAGATAACCAGAATTCAGTTTCCCCGTAAATAGCAACACCTAGAAGATTAATAATGAAGTAAAGGACGATCTGAACGGTCAAAGTAATTGCTGGAGAATAATCATCTCTCCAAAAATGAATAACAGAATTAACTGTAGTAACTTCGAAAGGGATTTGGGCACAACATAAAAACCAGAAGTTCCATGCAGTCATAATTTCTAAAGCTTCATCACAACATCTCCCTGCCAATCTTACGAAGGGAGATGTAATAGGTAAATACGTAACCATTTCTGCTGTAGAAACAGTTATAAATAAGATAGGAATTGACCAAAACATAAATGCTAGCAACAAATTCAAAGGTCCACCCTTTGCCAACGCTTTGCCAATAGAAACAAACAATGCCGAGCCAATTGTTGCACCAATTCCCAATAACTGAACGTGCCTACCTCTTAATGCCCTATGCAAGTGATTTGACTTGTCCGCAGAAGAATTCGTTGATACCGTAAAAATCGAATTAGCATCATTCTTTTGATCTTTTCCGTTTATATCAGTACCTTTCTCTTCCTTACTATCAAGGGGTCCGTAATTTTCTGATCCCGATGCCTCAGGCTCCACATCTTTGATCTTCTCGCCTTCAATCTTCTTTGGAATTCGAGGAACAAAATTATCGATCAAAAATTTTTTAAACATTTCGATACTTGTAGTTATCAAAAAATATTAAATAAAGCGATTCAAATCTGATTCAAAGGGCTTGTATAAATTTCAATTTAAGTACCATGAATTCCAATATAACTGGATATACTTGTCTTTAGAAGATAAATCTAAATGTAAAAATATTCGAAAAATAATTACGAAAAAGACTTTTTTTTTTTTTTCAATGCGGCTTTCATATTATCATAATCAGTCTGGGGCATGATAATGCTATGGTCACCTACATTAACAATTTGCTAGCTATGTCATAATTACCACTTCGGGGAAGCAATCCATTATGTTTCGTCTGATTATAGCTGAACTCTTTACTGCCTTTACTTAGACTATTACGGTAAATTCATCTATAACCTTAAAGTTACTTTCAATGTAGAGAAAAAACTTAAATAACCTCGGCAGAAAGGAACAAGTGTAGGACTGTATATAAAAGTAGTATATACTTCTCAGAGGAGGGGTAATGGGGAAAATTAAGAATAACGTAAACATAAAATATCTTATTTATAATGTTGAAACATAAGTGACTATGTAGTGTAACTACACCATATATGGACATACTTAAATTAATAAGCCTAAAGCAACAGCGGCTGCGGCTGCAATTCCACCCATACCACCAACCACGTTTGCACCGTTCTCAGATGCGGTAGCGACAGGAGTAGTTGTAGAAGACTCTTCAGTAATATTAGCACAAGCTAACCTAGATGTGTTCTTGTAGTGAATAGTAACAGATAAACCACCAATAAAGGCTTTGTTATTCTCGTTAAGGGAGATATATTGGTCAACAAAAGATTCATCAATCGAGGTACCTTGAACGGCACCGTGTCTACCCGATAAGTCACCCACTTCTAATTCACTAGGTTCGGTAGCATTTGGGTTACCATTGTAAGGATTCAAATGAAGCTTAGTACCAGTACAGTTTCCATCGCTTGGAACTGGTGCTTCATGAATATGGTAAGTGAAAGGACCACCAGAGGCAGGAAAGCCATCTAAGTCGACGTTGACAGTGACGGAACCATTTGAAGCTGAAGAAAATTCAACAGATCCCTGAAGCTTATCGTCGAACTTAGCAACATATTTTGCTCCTTCTGGTGAGTCGGTGACAACCGGGGCAGATTCACCCATAACAACGATACAGCCGGCTAATAAAGACAATAATTTTTTTGAACAAACCATTTCTTAAGTTTACTTCTATATTTTTATCAAACCTTTCAAACTCCTTAATTCTGCTTTTATTTATACCCGTAGATTTTTCTAGCTACCCCGAAATGGAGTCAACTGGGTCTGAGTTATTTTCTTAATAGGGCAACTGACGTAAACCGGTTTCATGCATCATGCATGATAATCGAGATAAAATTGATTAATTATAGGCTAATTCTTAATGCCATGAAATTATGCATAATAGAGAATTACTCCTGACGTATAATAGGCACATCTCTTATAGCAAAATATATTGTTCTCATTTGTCGGTTTTAAATTAATTTGACAATACATTGTATTATGTTGCGTAAGCTTTGCGTTACCAATTGTGCATTTGAACTTTCAAGGCAATTCGGTATTGAAAAGATACGGTAATTGGCTAGTTTCATCGTTCAGTGTATTCGGATATCCATGCTTGGATTTATAATATTTAAAAAAGTCTAGGCCCTTATCCAATGTCTATAAGTGAACAGATGCTTAGAAATTGTTACTATTTAAACCAATTCATAAACCTTAAAAAACAAATAATGAATTCGATAGTGTTGACAGAAAATCCATGGAAATTGATCTACTTATATATTCGCTAGTCAAATCGAAATAAACTGAACTAGAATAAAAAAATAGCTCATGTATCAAGATCAAATGAATTAAGAAAAATTGCTCAATAATGCTCGCTTAAGTGCTTAAGTTTTTTTATATAAAAGCCTAGTTAATGAAACTAGAAGCCACGGTTAGTTGATGAAATAGATAGCATTGGGATACAGCAATTACAACTTTATACTCTCAACCACGCCTATAAGACCGCATAATATAGTATGCTGGTTTACATAACGAGCGTCGCTGGTGACTTGCGGTTCGCGGGCTCAAATTGTGAAGCCCATAAAACACAAATTTAGACGGGGCTATTTTCTATAAACTTTTAACACCCTATATCAAAATGTATGTTCCATTATTAGGTAGATTGGCTTTTAGAGAGTGGCTACTCCTAATAATCTCATTTTCTTTAACATGGCTTGAGTTCATAATATCATTAATTACTCAATTTTTGCCATCAATAGTCATACAATTCTTTACAAGTACCACATTGGTGTTGTATAGATTCACCTCTAATCCCATTAACTTGATCTACTCTATGACTAAACTCAATAGTTTTGATGATACTGAAGAAGTTCGCTATAAAGTTTTGAATAGCCAGGATGCGTCTAGTGTAACTAAAGAAAGTTATGACCAAATGATAGATTTATTGAATAGCAATAATATCAGGGAAATGTGTCAATTTTTTGGATATGATGTTGAAAGTAGAATATTGAAGACTGATGATAATTATTTCTTGACTATCCAAAGAATTTGCAAACCTGGTTCGACCTCCAGAAGAAACGGCAAGGTAGTCTACTTGCACCATGGGCTATTAATGAGCAGTGAGATTTGGGTTACAATGTTGGATAAAAATCAGAATTTACCATTTTTGCTATATGATTTAGGATATGACGTTTGGTTAGGTAATAACAGAGGTAACAAATATTCACAGAAACATTTATTTCATGCAATAGACTCAGAAAAATTTTGGGACTTCTCTATGGACGAATTCGCCTTATTCGACATTCCTAACACTATTAACTTTATCTTAGAAGTTACAGGGAAAGAGAAACTTACTTACATTGGTTTCTCACAAGGTACAGCCCAAGCATTTGCGAGTGTTTCAATTAACCCAGAATTAAATGACAGGATTGATAGAATAATTGCAATTTCTCCAGCTACTACTCCTCATGGTCTTTATTCTAAGTTTCTTGATATTTTCTTGAAAGCTTCTCCATCTGTGGTCTTTTTGTTGTTTTCTAGAAAAATATTGATGCCATCTGTATTGTTTTGGAGAAGAATCATGTACCCTCCTTTATTTGATACCTCGATTGATGTTTCGAACTATTTGCTATTCAATTGGAAGTCCGAGAACATAACAAAGCTACAGAAATTAAGCTCGTATGCCCACTTGTATCTGACAACATCTGTCAAAACGGTTGTGCATTGGTTCCAAATCATATCCTCCAAGAATTTTCAGATGTACCATGATTCTAAGGCGTCAGGTATATTCCCCATGTCGTATCCATTGAAAACGATACGTATACCAATTCATCTTATCTATGGAACTATAGATTCGCTTGTTGATATCGATGTCATGAAAGGCCAATTACCTGAGAAATATACTACTACTCAACCTGTTCATGACCACGAACACTTAGATAATATCTGGGGGTACGATATAGGCGAAAAGGTCTTCAAATATGTTTTGCAGTATCTCGAAGAGCCAGACATATATGATGTGCCTTTAATCGAACATAAGCCACAATCTAATTACTTGTCAACTTCTTCTAATGACATGCAAGACTTAGATGAGGATGCGGGCAGCAGCACTCTTATTAGCAACTCTTATTCAGAAGAGAGGGAAGCGGATATAAGTCATAGAAGACCATCTACAGGCGGCACTGTATTTATATAGCTGTCTAGATTTCTATTTATTAATGTATACTAAGATATAATGATTATATCTATAATGCCCTTAATATTAATGTACAGCTGTATAGGCGCGAAATAGTATAACCTTCCTAATGAGGCAATCTAAAATGGTCGTGTAGAATTCGTGAATTCCAATTTTATCAATTTTGTTGCACCTACTACTCGATGAAATTGGTTGCAGGCTGATTAAAATTTGGCCATTATTATTTTAAAGACAATTTAACCTTAATCATAAATAGAACATCGGATACTTTTCATATAGAGATGTCTGTTTATTCAGGGGTTAAAGAGGTATGTCGGTTTTAGAAATTTGTTTTTCTTTTCAACGACTTTTAAGAAGATATTCTGAGGCAAACCCAATGATTTTATAAGGAAATTTACAAGTGCCAACGAATATTGTTATTAGATCAGCGGAGAGTCGGAATACATTTTTGAGTGGCTACTAACATATATTAATAGGCTAATGAGGAATCAATCGATGGGGATGCCTTTCATCCTGAGAGTATGTATTGCCCCTAGAGGGTTTTTTAGAGAAAACATGAGCAAAATTGCTTTTTGTTCGATGGTTGTGAAAGAAACAAATTACAAAAATAGGTCTTTTGCATCATTGAATATGGACTAATATGTCGCATATATTAATTACAGTCGTACTAACTTGATAATAGCATTGCTAAGAAGAATAGCGAAGGATATTCCTCGGTCAGCTGCAGCAGGAAATGACGACCGGAACCGAGATCCTATAGTGGAAGATTTAATGAAATTATCAGCACATAAACCATTGATAGTGACTGAAAGAGGCTCCAAATTCTTACCTAATGAATCTATAAATCATTATTCGTCACATTTGTCAGAGCTACTCTACTTATTGAATGAGGAGCGTGATTTGGATGATACTTCGAGAATGTCCATAGAGGGAAACTTATTCGAATTGACGTCTTACATACCTAAACCATCTTCGGCTATAGACACCAACTATAGAATATTTTATCCTAATGAACAACTATCAAAGATATTAATCGACAATTACGCCCCGCTATTGAAGTTTTCGTCTTCTTACTTTAACTTGTCTTTAGCGTCACATATAACGAAGTACATGGTTGAATTAGTTTACATGTTGCAATACTGGGAAGTATACCATTTGTTGTATCTTTTGCCTGATTTAGAATATATTTTAAAATTAGTTGACATTGAGGTTGTTCAGACGCCCTTTGGGCCCCTCGTCAGGCCTCCAAAAAACTTGATGGTTGAATCAATGTCCCAAGGGTTACAATACCCATTTCCATATCCATTTTATAACTATTCTTACCATTCATTAGATCCCACAGTGACGAAGAGAAAATACTCAAAGATAAATATAACACCGTATATTGATATAACATTAGCAAATTTGCAAAACCCTGCAAAGAAGAGACAATTAGAACCACCAATCACTATAAAGAATGAAACTATAACCAATGATTATGTCGAAGCCAATAATATAGAAACGGCAAAGAAGGACAAGGCTGAATCGGTAAGTGACAATGCTGAAGGTGTGAATGGACACGAATATAAAACTAGAGGCACCAGACGTAAACAGCAAAAAGATCTGAACCAAAATACTATTGAAACTTTCAACGAAACTTTCAACGATGATAATGAAATCGAAGAAGAGCAAGTAAATGAAAAATATGAGGAAGTAGGAAACCCTGAAAGAGATGAAACACCAAGTATTGATGTTGAAGAAAATTCAGAACCACCAGTTCAACAAGATGATAAAGAAAACGAAGATCATGAACTAGAAAGAGAAGTTACATCTAGTCAAAGTCCAGGTTCTGAAAATGTCAACAATAATGATGACAACAGCCAATTCGAAATAAAGATAATACATTCTGGAAGTGAAAAGGGCCTTACGGAAGAGGAGGCAAAGAAAAATAAATCTAAGTCTGGAGTGATACATCAATGCCATCTAATGGACCCTCACACCATGAAAGCATGTTTGAAAATTTTTTACGGTAAGAACGAATTGTTAAGACATCAAGAATTCGTTCATGCTACAAAGAAAAAAATATATAAATGCATTTATTGTTCACGAAATGGAACTAAGGTGCAGAGTTACCCAAGACACGATTCGCTTGCAAGACACATAAGACGGAAGCATGGAATCACCGGGAAAGAGAATAAAATGGCAGTTAATTATGCCAAAGAAAATGTAGAAGTAATTGATGATCCTAGCAAATTACCTCGCAACCAAGCATCAGGACAGTTCGGTAAGCCGTTACCTCGTCCACAGTTTTTGAACAGTGATTTTACTATAAAATCGAGCTATGCTGGGTTCTTGCTGTTCAGTACTCGTGATGGCCAAAGTAGAAACCAACCAGGGAGCTCGTCGTCAAATAAATCAAAAGCAACCACTGAATCCGAGGCAGCATCACCACCAAATGCGTCTATGATCTCCAATACATCGCCAGAGACCACTGTCATCGATAAATCTCCCAATTTTGAAAGCCTGAGCTTACATTCGCAAAATGTAGCTTCACCTTCGACAAGTCCGTCACATAGAAATGTTAATATCAATTCAGTAAATTTCAACAAACCGGAAGCATCCATCATAAAAGACAACTTTCAAAAATTCCGATTTTCCAACCCAACGCAACTGCATACATACCAATTCGAAGTTGAAAAAGACTCTGGTGCAACAAAACCTCATTCTCACTCGATGGATGTAGCCTATTTAAATACTCCCCTTCCTAATGCAATTCAAAAGCTTAATTCAAATGAAGAATTGTCTGAAAGTGATCTCCTCACTTTGGATCCACATAATTTGCCGTCTTCAATTCCTTCGGACGAAGCTTCTAAGATTCGAGGTTTGATTTTAGAATTGCGCAAAAAGCAGGATGATTCGAAATCATCATAAATATTTATTCTCATTCTATATGTATGTTCTACTTATATATTTAATAATGTAAATGCCAGCGACTTCTGGGTGCAAATTATCTGTAGGACAGAATCATGTGCTGACTCAATTGACGCAGAAAAGCCGAAGCTGGAAAGTCGTGTAGTTTGGTTCATTTATTGCAGTCAATCATAAAAAAATTAACCAGTCAACCAATTAATTAGCAAAAGTAACATCTACTAGCTATTATAAAGGTCGGAGTAACCGTTAAAGTGCTCATAGAAGATATATTTTACATTTAAGTTTCAATAAGCCCGGTTTTCAGCAGAGTTTAATTGGTTTTTCTAAATTTTTGAACGGTACTAATTGCTATTTTCAATTCATGGCAAAATCATTTTTCATTTCAAAAAAGGATCAGAAGTACATTTAAATAATCAAAAAGCACAAAGTATTGATTAATTGGTGATATATTGCCAGATGACTACGTTGCCGTTACATTTAATAAACCAGAATCCGTGGGGACTATATAATTCGGATGTTAGCAGTGAAGGTATCAAATCAGACTTCCGCATACAAAGAGAGCAGGGGACCAATGTAAGCCAGACACAGCTCTTAACGCAGAAGGGACAGTTTTCATTAGATGAAGTGGTTTCTATTTTGAATGTTTGTACACCTCAATCTCTTGATGAGTACAATGAACATCTTTTCAAGATTATATCGCTAATCTATGAGAATCAAATTGAACCAGACCAATTCAAAACTTTGGAAAAAAAGTTGTATGAGCTTATGGACATGCTTCCTACTTTTGTTGACAAAGAGGATCCGATACATTCTAAGTTGTACATAATAGTTGAGAAGTGTTTCGATATATTTATTAAAATTTCAACCAGCCATAAAAATGTCGATTTGTCTACGAAAACGATTAGATTCTTAACAAACTTAATAATGAACTTAAATTATTGGGAATTATATAACTTATTAACCTGGAAACCTTCTATCTATCATTTCTTGTCAATTATACAATTTGACTTGAACGAATGTTATGCTAAATTCATCAAAGATTATTCTAATTACAAGCACAAGCAAACATCATCAAATGAAAACACTAAGTTCAAAGCAAAAACCAAGCGTCCAAGATCTAAGAAATCTATATCTCAAGATTCTGGAAATTCAGCTTCTCCCATGTCTGATGATGCGTCCATCAGTCCTTATGAAAATGTATCTGGATCAAGTACTCCTTCTTCATTTCTTTATGTTAATCAATCGACAGATGCGGATGATCATGATAAGTTTGTCTCGGAATCGTTAGCTGGATTGACTCCAAGTGAAAAGAAGAAAATAAGGGTAGATTCGAAGCTTGCTGCGCATAGAATCATCAAGAAAACCTCTGCAGCAAAACCATCAAACAAATCATCAAACTATGATCCAGATGTCGTGCACGAATGTCAGTTGCCTTCGGCTGACGAACCAGATAAGCTATGCTTACGTCGGTTCTCAAGAAAATATGAGTTAATAAGACATCAAGAGACGGTCCATTCTAAAAAGAAGAAATTATTTAAATGCTATGTTTGTGTTAAACAGAGCCCAAATATTGGTCCCAGAATATTTACTAGACATGACACTTTAGCAAAGCATATAAGAGTAAATCATAAAATTTCGGGCAGAGAAGCGAAAGCTGAAGTTGCTTATTCTAAGAAGCATGCGGAAATTGTGGAAGAAGGCGATATCACAGTTCACGTAGGTCGAAGAAAAACAAAAGTGGACTTCGAACTACGTGCACATATGGAAAAGAGAAAATCTAGTAAGGATTTGTCCGATATGGACGATGACATGGACGATGATATGGGTGATATCAATGATTCTCCTGGGGCAATTGATTCTGCTGAAGACACTTTTAACTAATCAAAGAAGGCATTTTGTTTGTTTAATTCATCTTAATTACGGATATTTAATTTTATCTTTTTATATTACATATATACTAATACACTATATTGAGAAAGCGGTTTTCAGTTAACAAACGATTTTTCATATGCTTGTTGTTCCAAAATTGCATTTTTGATTTCTTCATCTTCTATATCTTCGAAAATGCTCAAAGGTACTTCTTTTAAACCCGTCACCTTATTTCGAATGTTTGGATTCACAAACTTAGTATCATATGTTATTGTTTCATCATCGTTGTCACCAACCTTCGTCATTTTAACCCTTGTAGGTTGAGTACTTGTTGGGTAGAAATTTAACCCAGTATATACATCTTTGATACCACGGATGAATGTTTGACTTCTTTGTTCGAGCAATTTAGAGTTATATTCCCCTGTCTTCAAAGCGATTTGATACATCCATGTTGGGTCAGATTGGTAACTAACAACAGGGGCTCCAGCTATTGGTGTAGTTCCTGCATTGGATCCTGTGTCACCTAAAACTGTTGGCTGCTTATAAAGGTTTCCATATAACTCCGCCGGGTCTGCATATTCTCCGGCAACATCACCATTATCAATAGCCTTTTGTTCCCAGAAATCATCAATTACCTTCTTACCTTCCTTGATAATTCTTGCTCCAAATTCTCTATAGATGGATCTGGCCGCAACCAAGTTAACTGATCTACCTTTATATGAGTTTGGAATTATGTGCCTATCAATAAGATCAATCTTCTCTTCGTGTGTACAAACTTTCTTAAACAAGTTTCTATGAGTCTTAAATAACAAGTATGAATCACGGAATCCTACAAGACGAGCAGGTTCCGTCGAAATCATAAATTTCTTATCTCCATTTCCCAAAACAGTAAATACTTTCATGCGGAACTGTCTATTTCCTTTCAAATTACCATTCTCATCGATTTTTTCTTTACCTTTTGGGTCTTCATCATCAAGCACAACCTCATCATCAATAATATTCAAGGTATTACCTTCTTCATCAAAAAACCCGTCATCGGTAACCGTCAATCTAGTCCTCTTTCTACCTCTCTTTTTTGGGCCCCTTCGTTTATCTTCCAAATGAATTTGTACTTTACGTTCGATAGGCTTCTTTTTTGTTTCTCCCTCTCCTTCCTCTTCCTCTTCTTCTTCTTCTTCTTCTTCTTCTTCTACCTCTCCTTCTCCATCTTCATCTACTTTGTCTTCATCTTCATCTTCATCACTATCGATCTTTCTCTTTCTGGGATTCCTCTTACTTATCACTTCTTCTTCTTCATTATCTTCCTCGTAAACTTCAGAGTCATTCTTAGTCACTTCCTCTTCATCTTCTTCTTCATCTTCCTGCATCTGTTCGCTGTATTCTTCATCATCATCCACTTCATCTGGATTCAAATCTAGCCCTGAAAGATTAGTACGACGAGCTCTTGAGCTTCTAGGAGACCGCGTATCTTCTGGTGATTGGGTTCTTCTACTTTGACGTGATCTAGATCTTGGCATTTACGTTTATCTATCTAATTAATTGTCAAGAATTAATATTTCAACCAGTACCATACTAAAATATCATTTTCTCGTGTTTATTTCCAATTGACTAGAGGTCGTGTCTTTTACTCGAACTTACATAACTTGATAATTAACTAAATGGACAGTTTTATTTAGTTCTTTTATTAATATATACAAGAAATTTTCATATTGAAGCATTATAAACGACCTGCAACTCTATATAGTAATTAAACAGATTATTGAACATCATCTTTTTTCTCATCTGCAGGCTTTTCGTTTTTGAAAACATCCTTACCGTCGAGATACTTATCAAAGGCATCATTGGTTTCTGGGAATGGCCTCTTACCTAACAATCTAATCATATCTTCCCTAGTTATATATTCTTTCCTCAATAACTCTTGAGCTACTAGTTCGACTTCATGAGATTTGTCCTTCAATAAATTAGTACATTTTTGGTAACATTCTCTCACAATTCTTTGAATCTCCTCATCTATGATGGAGTTTGTTTCGTCACTGAATGGCTTTGTTAAATTATCCTGGGACTGTGTATCAGCGTAGTTGACCATACCAACTCTCTTGGACATACCGAACCTTAAGACCATTGATTGGGCGATATTGGTAACCTTTTTGAAGTCATCGTGGGCACCACTTGTTACGGAGTCAAAATGCAATTCTTCTGAAACTCTACCACCTAAAGTCATGATCATTCTATCCTCTAATTGTAAAGCAGACATCAAATATTGATCGGGTGGTAAGTATTGTGCGTAACCTAAAGCACCTTGGCCCCTAGGAATGATGGAAACTTTCAATAATGGATGAGCATGTTTCAAAAACCAACCACATACAGCATGGCCTGCTTCGTGGTAAGCAACAACTTTCTGCTCTTCGGCATTCAAAATCTTTGATTTCTTTTCAATTCCTCCGATGACCCTTTCAATTGCTAATTCGAAATGTCTAGACGTAACAGCTTCAGCATTGAATCTGGCACCAATTAAAGCAGCTTCATTACAAACGTTGGCAATATCCGCGCCAGAAAATCCTGGTGTCAAAGCTGCCAAACGGCCAGGTAGGTCATGATCGATATTTTTTGCTAACGTAATTTTTTTTAAATGAACTTGAAAGATTTCTTTACGTCCTTGCAATTCAGGATTATCAATAGCAATATGTCTATCGAATCTACCCGGTCTCATCAAAGCTTTATCCAAAATATCAGCTCTGTTCGTACCTGCTAAAACCACAACATGATCTGAGCTTTCAAACCCATCCATCTCAACCAACAATTGATTCAACGTAGTTTCCCGCTCATCGTTAGCACCGCTGGCATTACCCTTTGAACGTTGCTTACCAATCGCATCAATTTCATCGACAAATACTATTGATGGCGCATTTTCACGGGCAGTCTTAAATAAATCACGAACACGAGATGCACCAACACCAACAAACATTTCGACAAACTCAGAACCTGAAACAGAATAAAATGGAACGTTGGCTTCACCAGCCGTGGCCTTGGCTATAAGCGTCTTACCGGTACCTGGTGGTCCCGATAAAATAGCACCTCTTGGAATTTTAGCCCCTAATTTTTCGTACTTCTCAGGATTCTGCAAGAACTTAACAAATTCCATAACTTCTTCTTTCGCTTCAGACATACCTGCAACATCTTTAAATCTAATTTTAATATCTGTTTCTTGGTTGAATTTTTTTGCAGTTGATTTACCAAAGCCTAATGGACCACCCATTCCACCCATACTAGCCTTCTTGGTCATATAGTAAATAGCACCCAAGAATAAAATAGTTGGTAAAAAGTTAATTAACATCTTGGTGGTGTTACCTTCATTGACATAGACTACAGGAACTCTAACCGGTTCTGCAATTTGATATTCCTCTTGAACATGACGCAAACTACGTTCAAATGATTCAACAGATCCAACATTAAAATAAAAGCGGCCCTGATGATTGTTGTATTGTGCTTTACCATTATCATTCAATTCAACGATAACAGTTTTATTGTTGACAACGACTAATCTGGATACAAGATTCTTACTTAAAAAGTCAGCTGAAAACTTTTGGAATGAGATTTCATTGTCATTGTCTTGAGACAAATTATACAAGATGTACATCAAAAGACCACCCAAAAGTCCAAGTTGAAAATATTTCATTGGAGAACCATTGAGATTAATTTCAAACTCAATAGGTTTTTTGTCTTTACTATTTTTGTTCTTATCGTTCTTTTTATTATCTTGAGGATTCTTTTTAGACTCATTAGTTTGAAATATGAAACTGTTCAATCCTGGGTTAGAATTAGAGTTTTGTTTAGTATTGGCGCTATTCGATTTTTTAAAGGCATCATTATAAATTTTTGAAAACTTATCTTGAATAGCATCAACTTGAGTATTGAACACCTGAAAACGGGCATACTCTGTAGGGCATAAGGAGCAAGTATATTTCTGGCCAGGTTTAGCAAACGGTGTTGACGATAAAATTGAAAATATATTAAACCAGCCAGTAACTACATCTTCATTCACATCCAATTCTTCGGCTAACATTTTAGCCTTTTCGGTTGCGTTGTCTTCTGGATTCATGCTAACATAAGAATTCAATAATTTTGCCACAACTGGATGGTCGAATTTCAATTCATCCATGAATATAATATTGTTCAGCAAAACGTGATACACATGGAAGTAGAACAACACGTCATTCTTTGTAATAGGTGCATAGTCTGGATGAAACTCTTGGAATGTCTCAATTATATCCTCGATTAATGCATCAGGATTGAAATTAACCGACTGTGGTTTGGTATAAGCTTCACATTCACGGACAAATGTCGTTAACATGAAAGAATAGACCACTTGGTACCTTGCCAAATTCTCTATTGACATAGGATCTTCATTAAATTTCATCACTGGGCCCAGAATGCTTGCATTTAACTTTGATTCTTGAGCTTCGGTAACTCTTGCTTCTTGTTTCAATAGCTGACTATGCAATTTCAACTTTTCAAAAAACCCTGCATTACGGTATGTTTCTTTAAGTTCTTTTAATTTTCTTATTTCAGCATTTATTTTATCATCCTTTCCATCTTTGTCGGTTTTCTGGTCTTGAAGTAAGCGCTTCGTTATGTGTAGGCCTCTTACGGAAGGCGTTCTCAATAAATTTATGCTAGGGTTGAATATTGCCCTTATGGGTCTTCTAACAGCCCTCAACGACATTACCAACTTTATGCCCTTTAATACTTTTACCTTAAAAAGAGCTTTAGCTAGCGAACTTCATACTCGAGTTTTCTCGATTTTGCCTTCATGCTAATTACGCACTAAAATTTAGACTTCCTAACTTAGTAATAAGTGTATAATTGTTAACCAATTTTTAAACTTAGAACATAAAGGGCAATAAAGATAAGTCATTTAGAATCAACCATGTTACCCACCTCATATATCCCACCAGGTATACTCCGCATATTAAAAATGTGATTCTTGTATTAAATATGAATGGTGCAAGTTTAAAATTTGACTCGCTCAGAGTCTCTCATTCAGATACTATAGAAAAATTACTAATAAATATATCAAAAGTTCATCCCCTATATAAGATATTTTACAACTCATGATGGCTTATGTAGTATAGCTTGCAAAAAAGTCAACACATTGGAAGCATAATACCTAAAGCGGAAATATAGATGTCGCATTCTTTAATATACTAGACTTTTATTTGCAATCTATAAAGAAGTAGCTATACAAAGCAACGAAACTCAAAATATATAACGAGAGAAAGTTAAAAAAGACAAGAATTTATTCGTACACTTTAAAGTGGACATTGACTGGTCTATGATCACTGAATCTGGAACCATTGTACATGTTATCAAGAACTTCATATTCAAGGGCGTAAGTATTGGAGTTCTCTTGGTTAGTGTCTAAAGGAGACCAGATAAAGTCAATGATAGATTGGTTATCATTTTTTTCAAAACCAGTATAAGTAGGATAATCACCATTGATATGCTCGTAAGCAACGGTGTTTGAATCCTTCATGCTCTTTTGAAGGGTTTGATAGGCAACATCGGAGGAAATGGAATTGAAATCACCACTCAAGAAAGTAGGATAATCGTTTGGAATTTCTTGGATCCAGCCGGAAATTAAATCAGCAGACTTTTGTCTTGCTTCTTCTGACTTTTGATCAAAATGGGTATTGAAGAAGTTAACAACCTTGCCTGATTTTTTGTGTTGCATGGTGGTCATAGTAACAATTCTAATAGTAGCAGCACCCCAAGCGATACTTGGGGTATCAGGGGTTTCACTTAACCATTTATATGTACCGTTTAAGAGGTTCCATTCGTTAGTGTTATACAATATGGCAGCATATTCCCCTTTCTCTACACCATCGTCTCTCCCAACACCAAAGTGGGTCCATGGAGAACTATTATTATTACCGTTCAAGCCTTCTAAAACATCAACCAATTGGTTATGTTTCAATTCCTGTAAACCAACCAATGTAGGACTATTTTCATTTCTAGATTGTAAGGCTTGGACCACGCCACCTTTTCTTTCGCTCCAAGGTTGTTCAGAAGGGAAACGACTATTAGTATCAACTCTGACATTGTTTGAATAGATTCCGAATTCGAAACCATTATCTCTTTTAGAGATAGCAGAAATTTTGTCTTGCAAAAACGATAAGTCAACAGCATACATGAAGCATCCTACCCCAAGTAAGGAGCAGCATGATAAGAGTATCATGGAAAGTTGACGAGAAGTAAATGTTTTGCTTTGCATAGTGAGATTGAGTATTGTAGATACAGATCCATACTAAATATTGATTTGCCTCTTCCCTCGACACCTATTTATACCTTGAACATCTCATTTTTCTGTTTCCTTCTTGTTAAGTTTACTTTGTTACCATATCTGCAAACGTGGTTGTGACTATTGTACAACTCAATCCACGAGGTTAATGGTACCTTGATAAATTTTCAGACATAGAACAAGATCAATGCCAACGGATATCCACATCACAACATACCCCAACGTGTATGTTGCAATGATCCATATCAAGCCCAATAAAGTTTCCCGTACAGATGCAAATTCCAACGGGCGAGGTTACTGATTGCTGCAATTATTGTTACAACTTTCTGCCACGTACCTTCATGCAACTTATGTAACCCATGGGGCAATTATGGTGCATTGAAATCCCAATATACCAGTTTTTTGTAGTTATTGAAATAGTTCATTATCCTATTTTAAATATAGTCAGCATCAGAACAATGTATCGTTTGTCTTACACGTGTAATATCCTATTCTCCTTAAGCCATAAGCTGCATTCTCTCAATATCACGCATATATACACACTATGGCACCCGTTCATTTCCTAAGACAGTTGATAGTTTTCTGGGGCTTAATAATTTTCTTCATGATGTAACTCTTGGTAACGCACAATATCCCTTATCTATGCGTCAGAGACCACTGTCAATGCATCCGCCTCTAGAACCCCATAACAAAGGAACAATTTAAACTCTTCGGAAGATCCTAACCACTTACTTCGGTAATTATCTGCCAATTGCTCAACACACTCTGTTACTTATTATATTTAGATTATTTCAGTTCTAGTTTAAAAATCCACCCACGTTTGCTATTATTTGCAGCCCAAACGTGCAACTGAAATTAAAATTAATACATTCTCACAATTTATTCAACTTTGCCAACCTTGAATTTTTTATTGCTAGATGCTTAAGAAATGCTTCGTCGTTATTCTTTTAGTAATTTATAACCCCTAAATTGACTGGTAGTACTGATATGGGTGTAAAATACCTCTATGTTGAGTTAGGTTCCTCGATTTTTGTTAAGTACCTAGTTTAACTTCATGGACATTCAAAATCACTAATTCCATAATACTTGGTACTACTACGCTATATCTGCTTCAATCAAATGTCACATTAACATTCGTTGAACTAAATTAAGGTAGTTGTATATTTTTTTAAAGGACATTGCAACAGTAGTGTGTGAATATTTACGCGCTATTTTTTACCTCGGCAAAATCGGTTACTATCTCTTCTTGATGAAGGATTATTGAAATTCTTATTTGCAATGCAATTATCAAGAATGCCGGAAGTGCATGCAAAAAAAGACCATACTCTAGGAGGTAGTCCAGAGATCCAAGGTGGAGAATCATTTAGTTCGGAATCTCCCACTTCTGATGAATCTGATAAAGAGGAACAACCGCTTGATTATGGGGATCGCATCCTCAGACAGGGTTCAACAGACAACAGTGTGCTTAAATCAGGTAGAAGGATGCCTAGAAGTGATGCGGATTCCATTGTGGGTGGTGAATCTATAAAGGAAGTTTATGAAGGTAAGCATCCTGTTAGTGATAAAAATAAGACATCTGGAGATCAAGACTTGCATACATCCGGGAAAGTTAAAGACAATACATGTCATCCTGATTATAATGAGTCCCAAAAGGTTTTTTCATTTTCTTTGCCATTTGGAGGCTTAACCAACATCAGATCAAATTTATATAAGCAATTCCAAGCATTCAAACAGGACCCTATACCCCACGTACACAACCATGACCCCATCAGACATGAAATCAAAACTAAATTGCAACGACAACAATCGGTTAGCACCATTGATGAAGCCAATTATTTTAAAGATTTTAAGGGTGTAGACGATGTTCGCTTTAGAGCAGTGAAGCATTCTCTTGCGGCAAACCTTAATGAAATGTTGCCAGATTTCATTCTTTCAAATAAGAAAGAAAAGGAATACGAAACTATTTATAATGAAATCGATGGGAATATTGTATTGTTGGGGGGATATCGTGGGTCTGTCTTGCGTGAAACTAAGACAAATAATCGAGTTTGGATTCCATTTAAGGCTGGATTCCATTTAAGAAAAATAAACCTTTTGCTAGGACCTACAAAAGAAGATGAAATAAATGCAAGCCGTTATATTTACCCTGATGGTGTTTTAAAAAACATAGGGCCTGTTGATATCTGTAAGAAATTACTCAAAAAATTGTCACATAATCCCAAAACGAATGTTAAAGAGTTTGGGTATGATTGGAGATTAAGCGGAAACTTCCTAGCTGAACAGTTCGAAAAGTTTTTAATGGAAATTTATAAACTGACTGGTAAACCAACCTTAGTAATAGCACATTCTATGGGTGGGATGATTGCTCATTATACAATGCAGAAAAACCCAAAGCTATTCAGATCTATTATATATGTTGGAGTACCTAGCGAATGTCTCAATGTTTTGGGTCCTATAAGGTTTGGTGACTCTGTTTTGTTTTCAGATAAGATATTAACTCCAGAAACTAATTTTATGATGCGTTCAAGTTTCAATTTCTTACCACTAAGTGGTAGAGCATTTGTGAATAGAGATACGAACGAATATTATGATTTGGACTATTTTGACCCTGATACATGGGTTGAATACAATTTGAATCCATTAGTATCTAAATCTAGAAAGCTTCGAGAAATGTCAAGGTTATCAAGCCCTGTATCTGATGATGTAGCAAGCTCAAGTACACTTGTGACTTCAGATTCAAGTTATTCATTTACAAGGATCAATAGTTTGGGATCAAAGCTCTTAAACTATAGTGCCAAATCTATTTCTCGCAGAAGCAAGCCAAGTAGTGCTAATACTGGCAGCGACACTATTGGTTCAAGTAATCCAAGTATAAATTCACCAAGATTATTATCCCCCTCTCCAGAGCCTAACCCTGCGGAAGAAGAACATTACTCTATCCTGTTTAGTCAGGCTTACGAGTACTTAAAAGAAACCTTAAAGAGAACTAAGGAATTTATTCTTGGGTTGGACTTCCAGGAAGAGTTAGCAGCTGAGTATCCTCCATTAGCTGTTGTTTATGGTAACCGAGTTCCTTCTGTGAGGGGCTCCACTGTTCGCAGCTTAGATGATATAAAAGATGGTAATTATTATGAATTCTTTTATGGCCATGGTGACGGTGTTATACATCAAAAATGGTTATTGCCTGAAAATAAAGGATTTAGACTTTATGACGCCGAAACTGGTGAAGGTGAGATCGTAGGTAAATTCTCATCAAGCTGTGGACATGTTAATTTAATGACCGATTTCAAAGCCATGGGTTATGCCTTAAGTGCGGTTTGGCAAGCCGAACAAATCTGGGAAGAAAAGAAAGCGAAACAGAGGCAATCCCGTAGTTTAAAGAAATTTAGGTTCAACGGCAAAGATTTGTCTTACATTAATGAATCACGTTAGGCTTATTGCATTGTATATATTAGTTTTAAAAGTCTATCTCAATCTATTTATTCGTCATCTTCTTCATTATCCTCGTAATATTTTACTTTTATCCATAGGCTGCAACTCTCGCACTGCACTATGATTTCATAGCCATTTTCACCGTCCTCGGTGCCGTTTTCAATTAAATCGGATTCTTTGAACTTAATGGACTTAGGGAACTGACATCTAGGACAATCCTTAATCCATCTACATTCCTCTTCTTCTACCATCTCAAAATCATCCAAACTGTATATATCAAGACCATCTCCGCTTATATTGAATCCTTGTCTTTGAATTGACCTTCTAAGTGATTCGTCGTACTTCTCTCTTGATTCTGGGTCTACTAAAACTCTATAAGCTTCTTGTATAGTATTCACAGTAGTGGAAGCGTTTCCATTCTTATCAGGATGGTGCGTTAATAACATGTCTCTATAAGCACTTTTGATATCCAGCACATTGCAAGTCGGTTTTAAACCTAGAACTTCATAATGTGTCCGTTTTTGAATATTTCTATCCTCAATATACGGATCCATGACCGAAATCAATGAAATGATTTCAACCAGTATTCATGAATGTATGAAATTTAGATATTCCATTAATCACGTGAGTTTTCTGAAATTTTTTTTTTGAAAGATCTTGTAGATGAGATGAAGAAGCGTTTTATTTTTACAGTGTTGAAGGGTAATTAATTATAATTGGAATCTATATGTCAGGGGAGAAAAGAAAAAGAGAGTCTAAGACTACTGAATTAAGGGTTTCATCTTATACGGAAGATCCATCTGTTGTGGTTGGATCATTTTTCAAGGGTTTATCAGTTCCAAGTGATGTTGAATTTGATTTATATAAGCATAAGAAGCACGATGAATATGTAATTCATGGAGAAAATGAAAGATTGGATTATAATGGGGAAACTGTCGAAGATGATAATAATGATTATGTAGTTGCATTGTACGACCCTCTTAACAAATCGGTCGATTTATACAAATCTCCATTAGTACTCAGTAAGGTAACCGCCAAATCGAAAAGATCATTTAAGGGACCTTCTATTAGACAAGCAGGTGTTCGTAATGTTACCCAACGTAATGCATTAGGTGAAGCTTTCGGTACTAAGAAGGCCAAGGCTGCCATCACAAACTTAGAAAAGAACAGAATTGATGCGGATAAATTGCAAGAAATGGAATTGGATATTGTTGATTCTGTGAAGGAAACAACGCAAGATTTGCCAACCAGAAAACAAATGGAAGACACAGTTACAAATGATAGACCAACACCAGTTGCAAATGTTGAAGCCACAAACGTGGAGGATATCTATCCATTGTATAATATAATACCCAAGAAGGAATGGTCATTCTTGCGTGTCAATTCTCTTTTTACAGAAGAAGATCCTAAGCAGAGATTGGAATTATTACCATATGATAAATCAATTTATGTATCAAAGCATTTGGCGCCATTAATTTCTAGCAATAACACTGAAAAACTCCAATTATTATACTACGCATCTTTATTATTTGGAGTCTACGAAAACCGCCGTGTTAAGGACAAACAGACTTTAATGTTGAAATTACAAAACAAACCTTCAGAAATTTTAGTCGATGGTATCTTAGAAAGATTTACCATTCCTCGTGCTTCGCAGTTCGGTAAGTCAAAAGATAGATCGTTCATTATCGGTCCTCATCATGAAGATAAGCTTTTATGTTATTTAATAGCCATCATCTTCCATATTGATAACTTCATGGTTGAGTTGCCTCCTTTGGCTCATGAGTTAAATATGAAACCAACTAGATTAGTTAGTTTATGCAAAGCATTGGGTGCAATTATTAAATCAGCTACTGTTGCCCAGGCAGAAGCTTTTGGTATTCCAAAGGTCTCTGCAAGCACTTATAAGGTCGCCACCTTAAAGGTTCCTTTCAAGTTACCGGAAATGAGTAAAAGAGTAAGAAAGGGTGGTCGTTAATATGTTCATATATCTGTAATTTCAATAGAATTGTTATAGGCTTTTTAGTTACACAAAAGTAATATAAAGAGTAGATGATCCAAATATTCCTAAATAATTTATTGTTAATTGTTTTTCAACGTAGATAAGTGACATATATAAGAGGATCCAGGATGTCTAAAGAGCAAGATTCCGTTGAAAAGGATTCCCAGATGCTAGAACAGTATTTAATTGGGTTAGCTGAATGTGAGCAAGAAATGGATAAAGCAGAAATAGATGCCAGTGTCTATAGAATCAGGAAAACACAAAGCATCTATAAAAAACGTCGTCAAATACTAACACAGATTCCTCAATTCTGGTATATTGTATTAGCTGAAAATGATGACTTTCCAGACTATGTTACCAGTGATGATTTAAAATACATAGAATATATCACCGATATTTACGTGCATTATAAAGTTGCTGATTCTGAAAGCTCCGAAAATCCTAGAGATTTTTCAATTACTGTGTCCTTCAAAGATGATGAAAATGATGAGCCTTTAGTTGCAACTCAAGAGATCACCAAGCATTTTCATTCTTATATTGAAGATGGAGAAGAGAAGCTTAGTTCATCACCTGTTTCAGTTGAATGGCCTAAAGAGTTAAGTGAAATTAACCCTACACTTATTAAAAAGAATAAAGGTAAAGATTTGTCGTCAGAAGATAAGAAAAACTACAGATTGGGAATGAAATCATTTTTTTCGTGGTTTAGCTGGACCGGTACTAAGCCAGGAAAAGAGTTCCGCAGCGGTGACGACTTAACTAGATTGGTAATCGATGATTTGTTTCCCTATGCAGTTAAATATTACACTGAGGCCTTACCAGGAGACGAGTTGGATGATGAAGACAGCTCTGAAGGTGAAGAATTAGATATAAGCGAGGAAGACGATGACGAAAATGACAAAATACAAAAAGACGTCTCGGACAGTAAGAAGCGAGCTGCAAAGCTGACTGATCAACCCTCAAAAAAGAAGAAATAGATTCTGCAATGAACAGTGAGTACTTCAAACCTCTGTTGATACAGCACTTGAATCCCGCATTTTTGTACTTATTTTTCATAAATCAGTTTATATTGATTAAAATCATATTATTATATACAATGATGACCTGCTAGTCTGCAATGACCTCTCTGTGATCATTTATTACCACCTTTAGAATCATTTCGAATAATTTAGTAATTGGGTCGTGTGAGGACCGCACGATTATTCACCTCTTGAGAATTCAAAAAGTTCCTTCAATACTAAATTATACTCTTCTTATCAGCTTAGGCCGCCCATCTACCTTCATCTCCCTCCTCACATACTATCTACAGTTGTATCGTTCAGTCGAATACAAATAAATCAATATATTATTATTGCTGCGTTAGAATAGTTGAATCAAATACCCGCTCATTCTTTGATTATTAATTGTATATCCACAAGAATTATAAGATAACTATGAGTGTCCAAACTGCTGGAATTGCTGGGGATGAACCATTTGCTGGTCCAAACCTCAATATCACATTAACGTGTCCGGAATGTAAGATATTTCCTCCTGATTTAATTGAAAGATTTAGTGAAGGCGACATTGTATGTGGTAGTTGTGGTTTAGTCCTTAGTGATCGTGTTGTTGATACAAGATCTGAATGGAGAACGTTCAGTAATGATGATCAGAATGGTGACGATCCAAGTCGTGTTGGTGATGCTGGAAACCCATTGTTAGATACTGAAGATTTGTCAACAATGATCTCGTATGTCCCTGACAACACCAAGGTCGGAAGAGAATTGAATAGAGCTCAATCTAAGTCTTTAGTTGATAAAAAAGACAACGCATTGGCGGCGGCATATTCCAAGTTGTCACAAATGTGCGATGGATACCAATTACCAAAAATTGTTCAAGATGGTGCCAAGGAAGTATACAAATTGGTTTACGAAGAAAGGCCTTTGAAAGGTAAGTCTCAAGAGTCGATCATGGCAGCCGCAATCTTCATTGGTTGTCGTAAAGCTAAAGTGGCTCGTTCTTTTAAGGAAATTTGGGCTTTAACCAATGTTCCAAGAAAGGAGATTGGTAAGGTGTTCAAAATCATGAATAAGATTATTCAAGAAAAGAACGCCGCCAATCCAAACGCATATTCTCTTATACAAGATAACATGCAAACCACACAAACTTCGGCCGAAGATTTGATCAGAAGATTCTGTTCTCACTTGGGTTTAAGTACGCAAGTCACCAATGCTGCTGAGCACATTGCTAGACGTTGTAAAGAAGTTGGTGTTTTGGCAGGTAGATCTCCAATTACTATTGCAGCGACTGTTATATATATGGCTGCCTTGGTTTTTGGTGCTGACTTACAACCTTCCAAAATTGCTGATAAAACTGGTGTCAGTGATGGTACCATCAAGACTTCATACAAAGTAATGTATGAAGAAAAAGAAAAATTAATAGATCCGTATTGGGTTGAAAGTGGCAAAGTCAAGTTGGAAGACATTCCAAAGACTTAGTTTGCTGAATTTTCAAAAAAAAATGTGTTATATAAAAGTCTAAAAAACTAAAAAAATTATTTTAAAGAAGAGGCATTCTTATATTAATATTGGTTTTCATTATTTATAATTTTTGTTTTATTTTTTTTACTTCTATCCGTATATTTAGCTATGTCTAGCCGTTATTATGTTTTAAACAGCTCTAATATAATGGATATGAAAAATCTGGAGCGCGCTGGAATTACTCTAAAATCGAACCACAAAGTTTAGCAGATAGTTTTTTGTAAATGTAACGAAAAGTTCTCTAACCCATAATGCTTTTAAAATCATTTGCTAGGTCACTAGCAACAGCTGCTACTGTAAACTCACCAAAGTTACAAGATATAGTAGTAATAGGCGGAGGACCGGCTGGATTATCCTTATTAGCAGCTTTGAAAAATTCTCATAAGACGAAACATTTAAAATGTACATTAGTCGAAGGATCAAGTTTAGAACTTGTTCGTGATTTTGGAATAAACCCACCGGATGAATATACGAATAGAGTTGTTTCATTGACCCCTAAATCAATAGAATTCATGCAAGAAAAAATTGGAAATTGGGATTATATAGACCAGGACAGAATTAAATTCTTCGATAATATTGTTGCTTATGATTCCCAAGATAAGGATTCTCGTATAAGATTTGATGCTAGTACAGTGGGTGTTGGGGTATTGGCAGCGATGTGTGAAAACTTGAATATCCAAAGTTCGTTGATATCGAAGATTGACGACTTAAATAGCAATATTAAAGATCCAAGTATTGAGCAAGAAGCAATTATATTAGACAATACGAAAGTTGTCGAAATCATTAACCCAAAGGAAATAAATACACAGGAGCTATTGGAAAACGACCCTGAGGCAGGTGTTCCAGAAATTGACTGGCCAATTGTTAAGCTTTCGAATGGAGATGTTCTACAAACAAGGTTATTAGTGGGAGCAGATGGTTTTAATTCTCCTGTTCGTAAATTCTCGCATATCCCATCTAGAGGATGGTCTTATAATAGATTTGGTCTTGTGGCCACTATAAAACATCAATTTGAGGATTATCGCTCAATGGCATGGCAAAGGTTTCTTACAACTGGTCCACTTGCTATTTTGCCATTAACTGAAGATAACGCTACCATTGTTTGGTCTACCACGCCTGAATTGTCTGAATTATTTATGAAGGTTGATGAGGAGATTTTTCCACATTTAATTAACGCAGCCATGACATTGTCGGAAGTTGACTTGAATTACATCTATGAACAATTAAAGAAGGATCCAAATGACAAGTCAGTTCTTGAGGACATAGACTGGCGTATGTCCAAAATAAAGCTCTCTATTTTGGAAGAAAAATATCCGTTACAAGTTACTACAGTGTTGGAGAACTCTAGAGCTAGATTTCCTTTGAAATTATCTCATGCCGATACATATGCAATCCCCCGTATTGCATTGATTGGAGATGCTGCCCACACCGTTCATCCATTAGCAGGACAGGGCTTGAACATGGGTCAATCAGATGTTGCACATTTAATCAAGGCTCTCGAAGATGGAGTAAGTAGAGGCCTCGATATTGGCTCAACATTAGTCTTAGAGAATTATACTGCTAATGCATGGCCAGCTAACCATGTATTAATGGGTGTTTGTGATAAATTGCATAAAATTTTTTCGACTGATTGGTTCCCAATTGTCTTCCTTAGAGGTTTTGGTATGAAATCGTTAAATATAATCGATACTGCCAAAGATTTAATGATAAAGGCAATCAGTGGTAGATAGTTATATAGTCACGTGTTTACTTGGATATGAGACTGAAATTTAGATGTTATCAACATTAAGTATTGATAAGGTAGAACAGATAATGATATGCATGTAAGATATAGCTGTGTTCAAAGAACCGTGAACCTTGCTATTGGTTCAAGAGTACTTCGGACAAATTTAGCTGTTCGATTTTACTCTGCAGCTCCAAAAAAAACCGATCATGAAGGAAACAAGGTAATAGATTTACAAGAAAGAAAAAAAGAGCCAATAATCACTGATAAATTCAGTACGTTGAAAGAGAAATATGAAATCCCCAGATATCCAATTGTTCTATGTCATGGATTTTCTGGTTTTGATAAGTTAACTTTCATGCACAAACCAAGATTCCATAACCAATTGCACAAGGCTAGCGAGAAAGTAAAAGCTACTATTGATGATGGGCTATTTAATATAGATTATTGGTATGGGATTAAGGAGGCACTTGAGAATATAGGAAGTACTGTTTTGATTGCTAAAGTTCCTCCATTCGGCACGATAAAGGAAAGAGCAACCCATTTGAACGATTTTATTAACAAAGAGTGTGACGAACTTCGTAAAAGCGAATCCAAGTCTTCAATATATAGTAATATGTCAAACAAATCGAGCGATGATGTATCCGAGAGTGCAACATTCGAAGAAACTAACAAACCAATCAAAGTGAACTTGATTGCTCACTCTATGGGGGGCTTGGATAGTCGTTATCTTATATCCCAACTAAAACATACCAATTATAAAGTAGTTTCATTAACTACTATTTCCACTCCTCATCATGGCTCTGAATGTGCAGACTTCATTGTTAAACTTTTAAAGAACAAGAATTATCTATCCTCAATATGTCCGAAATCAGTGCATGAATTAACTACTTCGAGCATGATAGAATTCAATGAGAAAATAAAGGACGACCCTAATGTATCATATTTTTCTTACGGTGCACGCTTCAATCCTAAATGGTTTAATGTCTTTAAAATAACTTGGGAGATAATGAAGCATGAAATGCAGTATCGAGATAAGACTCAGCCAGTATTAGATCGAATTGATAATGACGGTATTGTAAGTGTAGAAAGCTCCAAATGGGGTAGATATCTTGGTACCTTGGACGAAGTCGATCACCTTGATTTGATCAATTGGACAAATAAATTAAGAAATGCTATTGATAGCACTTTCTTTCACCCCACATCAAAGTTTAATGCCATTGCATTGTATTTGGACATAGCCGAAAACTTGTCAAAGAGAGGATTTTAACATGTAGAAGATTTTCACTCAGATATAGATTATACATAAAGACTATAAATATTAACTTATTCATCGATCGTGATTGTTTTGACATAGGAAAATTCCTCGATCCCCCAAGAACTATTAAGTCTGCCTTGTCCACTTTCTCTAATACCACCGTGAGCAATAGTTGGTTCATCGTGAACTGTAGAGCTGTTTATGTGGATTCCACCACACTGGATTTTCTTAGCAATCCGTAATGCCTTGACAGTATTTTTAGACCAGATTGCTGTTTTCAAACAACTTTGATCATTATTTAATTTTTCTACAAGTGAACTTGCATCATTGTACTTATAAATAGATAATACAGGACCAAACGTTTCAACGGAATCAAGTAGCATATCTGATGTAACATTTGTTAAAATGAGCGGAGTTACTGGAACATTTTCACCGCTATCAGAAAACTTAGTCTCAGACCCAAATTCAATTTTGGCGCCCTTAGAAATTGCTTCACTTACAAGTTTGCGAATGCTTCTAGCATACCCTTCATCTCTTTGAGATAAATTATAATCTGGATCTTTCATTATAGATTCAGCAGTACCCTTAATCATTGTTAAAAACTTATCATATACGGACTCATGAACGTATGTTTTATCAGTACTCATACAAATTTGACCCATATGACACCATGCGCTCCATAGAATGTTTTGACTAGCTTTATCCAAATCAGCGTCTTCCTCAACAATCGAATAATTCTTTCCTCCTAATTCCAACATGTATGGCTTTAAATTCCTTGCTGCAACAGTAGCAATAGCTCGGCCAGTACTTGTTGATCCCGTAAAGTGCACTTTCTTAACAGCCCTATTACCTAAAAATAATTCAACGGCTTTAGGATTATCCTCTGGCTTAAGATGAACTAATTGTAATGCATTCTTCGGTACGCCGGCATCTAAGAAACACCTCACCAACAAATACGCCGTATGAGGCGATTTATCCGACGACTTGACAATAATCGAGCATCCAGCTGCTAATGGCCCCACAATTGATCTCATCCCAAGTATCACTGGAGCATTCCATGGAGAAATCGACAATACTGTTCCAATTGGCTGTCTGTACGCCAAGGCTAATTCACAATGATTCGACTTTGGGACCACTCCATCAGGTTGAGATAACTGTGATATATATTCTTCTAATTGACCAACAGCACCTTCAACATTAAATTGACTGAACCATTCTGGTCCTCCAATAACTTTGTGAGATTCTACGAGTTCATCTCGTTTGGTGACAAGCAATTCAAGAGCCTTCTTTAAAATATTTCTTTTCTCATTGAAGGGTATAGATGACCATTCTTCAAACCCTTTTTCAGCATGATCACAAATCTCTGGAATTTGTTTTTCATAATCACTCAAATAACTGAAATCACATATCTTATCTTGCGAATGTTTGTGAGAATACACAGGATACAAATTGGAAGTAGAAATTTCTTCACCGTTGATAATCAATGGAATAGTTGATAAATTCATCATACAATTGATCCAATGATCCAATGGGCCGTATTATTAGTCTGTGGTTAAGTAAATAATTGAACTCAAAGATTTTTCATTTATGCTCAATTAGTGACCTTTATTATTTAAGAACTCGGCAACATAATCCGAGCCGTACCTAACAGTGTTTCAATTTTTCCTTCGATACACATTAAGTTACTATGCATTTGAATCTAAGATGAGTAATATTTACTAATATTAACTGAGTCCGAGTGAAACGTTATGTAATATATGAATACACTATAAAAGATCTAAGTTTTTTAATTCGGCCGAGCAGCATTCGCAGTAAGATTCAACGGAACTTATCCCCGAGGCCATCTCACTATAAGTCTTCTCATTAGCGTCAGCTTTAATTGTCTTGAATAACTCATCATTGATATAATCGCATCGCTGTAACTCACTCATAAGCCAGTTGCGCCATTCTGCTTTGGCGATTTCTGTTTCCATTTCATTTAGCATTCTTAACTTGACTAATAAATCGTGTCTCTTGACACCTATTTCCTGAAAAGTTTTCTTCAAGCCTCTTGCGACCTCCCTGGTTGATTCGTCTGCATATTCATTTTTCCAGGAAGTGGTCTTATCGTAATTCAAGACAAAGGATGTGTTTTTGAATGTATCAAAGCATGGAGACGAAGTAGAATTTACATGAAGCTGAGAAACATGAATCGATTCGAGCATGTCAGTAGCGTCACGGAGATAAATTGCACGCTGTAGCATCATGGGCTTAGAGTGTAAATGTTCATCCGCCAACTTGCTAGCACTGCGGACGATCCAGTATGAGTATGAGGTTTTTCCCATTAGAAAGAAATTGAATAATATCGAAAGTAATAATATAAATAATAGGGCATAGTTCATGCGAATACCCCTAGCTATCGTTATTACTAAATTTGCAATAAAGTGAAACAATCCTGAGATTATGAGCAAGTTGTAGAATAGGAATTGTCTGACGATAACACTTATAACGCCCAATACTCTAATTTTCACAACAGGAATCGGTTTGACTTCATCAACATATTGCTCATATTGAGTTAATTTGCCATAAAGGTATATAGCTTTAACAATCATGCCGTGTGTACCCACTTTCTTTACAACATTCTTCAAATCCACGTCTAGAGCTTTAGCTTGGTTAATGCAAAGTCTGTGGCATACAGCTTGAATCATTTTCGATAGAACCAGGCATTTGTCACATTCAGTTTTAGCGTAAACGAAGAATTTACTCTGAGTATATGTTAGTCTCGTTATTACGAATCTATAATTGATGCTGAACTTGCAACCAAGAAATTTATAGCTCGATTTTACATGAGTGAAATTATAATATTCATCGTCCACCATGCTTTCTATATTTTGCTCAAATTGAAGCTCTCCTCTATTTCGTCCCTCATAAATTGTTGGAGAATTGAATTTACGATGCAATTTACCATTTGGCAATTTACTCCACGGCATCTTGATGATAGATCCTAAACTGGTGAAAGCATTTTTTCCATCCAAAATAATAGAATTATCACCTAGTAATGCATGGAATATTGCCTTTGGTGGTAAATTATAAGTTCCTTCGAGAACGGAATATGATTCATCTCTATAATTAACCTTAAATTGCATTGACCGATTTTCATCATTGCTTACCATAACTGATGGTATAATAGTTGTAGTATTTTCATTATTCGACACATTTTCTCTAGCATCCGTCATTGCTTTATAGTATTGAGTTTCAATTTCAACTAAGTCAGTAACAAGACCTTGGTTGCGCTTGGGATTATCACTTATCCGATTGTTCATGATATGCATTAGTTTTTGTCTAATCAAGTTACCATCGTCCAAAAATAATTTCATCGTCATAACACCCTTAACATTATAAATTTTGAGCAAATCATTATGTTTCCGACGAGAGTATTCAACAGAAACTATGGACCCTATATGTCTTTTAAGCAACGAAATAAATCCGCTTTCTTGGATATAAAAATAAATATGATTTTTAGTAATGAAACTTCTTCCACTTAAATCTTGCTTGGAGTTAGGTGAGCAAATACATCTAAATGATACCAAGCAAATTTCACCCGCTTCTACTGCTACCTCGAAAAGAGCTCTCATTTGTATGTCCAACAGTACCAAATCGTCAGGATAGCCAAGTGGATAATGAATACCAGATTCATAACTATCGGTTTCCGATTCCAATTCAATATCCCTCTGTCTATCCAGATCTGTTAGTTTTGCATCATAATAGTCATTTAAATAGTACAATCCCCAATTAACTGATCCCCAGATATTAGCTGTGAGGGCTGTTGGTAAAGAAGTTGCGTCTGCGATACTATATCCAATAATTGAGGATCTGGTAGTATCAGTAATAAAGGGAGGTCTGATTTGAGGAATTTGATAATAAATATGATTTCTAAAGAAAGCTTCATTTTTTTCGATGTGGCTTGACAATTTACTTGAAGTAATTATTTGACCCACCGAGTTAACAATTCTAGCGCTGGTTAGCTCTCGATCCATTGACGTATTCGCCGTTGACGCAAATTCTGTTAAAATTGGGGGATACCTCCCAGATGCAATATTAAATAACCCTGCATCCTGTGAGTCAGAAATTCTTGTCCTCTCATTCTCGAATACTCTTAACCATGACTTTAATTCTTTCAAAGTATCGACTTGAAAAACAATAGTTATATCAACAGTCTTGATCTCAAAACAGAATCTCCTATCTTCATTTGGAGCATATTGAATTTTACATAGAAGAATACCAATTTTATCTGACTCTTGAACAAACTTCTTAGATGGACTCAACATCAACAATCCAAAAACCCCATTTTTAATGAAACCCCATCTTCTAACCCAAACTGGCTTAGCAGATTTTTCAACATACGTCTTCATAAAAAGATATCCATGTTTCTCAAATCCTACTTCTTCGCTATCTAATAAAGATTTTCCATTTATTAAAGAAACATTATAGTCGTCGGCATTAGTAGAAGGTTGGTACTGGTTTGACGAACTTTGCTCTACTTGATATCTGGCTTGGTGTAAATCCTTATTTATCTTGCCGATCGCAGAGGCATAGCAGTCACTCCAATTTTGAATTTTCTGAATTTTTTCCCATTCTTCTTTGTAAGCTGTATCAACCCAATCGGTAAATATCTGCTTCTTTTCTTTCCAAAAGTCAGTACTAAACCTGACTAATAACTTATCTAAGAGATTTCCCAATCGTGTTAGTTGAATTACCACTTCGAGGCTTTCGTGTATGTAATCTCGTCTTACTTGAAACAATTGAGCCATATCCTCCATTACTATGGTTGGATTTTTAGTTTTCGACGATGAAAGATATATTTCCAAGTATTTATCGTATTTATTTTGAGCCATCTCAAAACGTGCCCTCAGCTCTTTGTAATTATTAATATCCTTTATGACCCGAGAATGCAACCTATCAATTGTAGATGACTTGACATTCATCGCAGCAAGACTTGTACCCCAAAGTCTCTTCAACCCATCTCCTGTCGTAGTTAATGATTGAACGGTGTATTCCTGGTCTATTAAGCCATCTTGGATAAACAGAGGCACTAGATGCTCTAAGAATGAGTTCGAAAATGATTGCAATTCTTCTAAGTATTTCGGGAATTTCTTAACAGAACTTGATAATGCAATAACCCATTTCTCAATGTTATCAATTTGATCATCTATATGATTTATTGATGCTCTAAAGCTAGGAGAGTCTAATGCAGCCTCCTTGAAGGTAACAGATATTAACTTTATCTGTCGAAAATCGTCAGGCGAAGTCATATGCCATCAAAGCTATCCGAAGACTCTATATGGCTACAAAATTGTCATATCCGAACCAATCTACAAGTACAATTTCGGTATAGACACTACTTATACTTTGCAAGCTTCCACATTCCTTCCCGTATAGGTGTTCATCATACAGCATATCGAGGTCACTAAATCGTTCAAAATTGTATAGTTGAGACGTTGAATTATCCACTTAGTACGGGAATTCATTGTCGAGTTTTATTGTTGGTTTGTAAAGCAATCGTGATCTAGATTAGTAAAACGGAAATTCAACGAGCCGATCCATATACATTATATATTTATAATAGAAATACGGAGTTAATGAAAGCATGCCCCACACACCAAATGGTGATGAAAAATTCATGAAATTCAGTAAAAGGCTTTTTCTTTCGGCTGCAATTTCTCAGCAGTGTAATATGTCTCCAATCTTGTAACGAGTACTCCTGGATTGTGCAACCTATATGCTTGCACGCCCTTACATAACCTAAAAATTATCAATTAAAACATTACAACGTTAATTGAAATTACAAGAAGACTAAAGTATAAACAATATTTTATGCATAGATTTTTAATGTTTTGTTGCAAGAAAGTTTAAAATTCGTAAAAAAAATCTTAAAATTCTAAAACACTGAAATACCGAAATTGAAAATCTATATTATTATCAATAGCAAATATAAACGAGTCAAATATACCAAGAAGTATATTATATTAAATGACCAGTTTAACAAGGTTGCCCCCTATGTAATATTTGGAGAGATACCTTAGGCTATTTAGATTATGAACAAGCGGCTAGCATGTGTGGCCTTGCGTTGAATTGGCTTGAGTCTCTCTTTACAAAATCTCATTGTATTCTGTCTGAGTCAAGTATCACATTTGAATCCCCTCTAAGTGACTTGGTGAGATAATTGAGACTATTTCCCGATTACTTACCTCAATCAATACCTTCTATTAATGATTCTATTGTACTGCATTGTTAGGCATTTCGCAGTAAAAAAAAAAAAAAGGAACATAAACGGCAAAATCCAATATGCCGTTAGCCATCAGGGCATCGGCATTTTTGGAAAAGATTTAGACCAAATATGAACCATTTCGACACGATTGAATTCCCCTAATGGAAGGTGATAACTTATAATCTAGAAACTTATATAGACATATTTTGCAGTACTGTGGCAGAATCGAGATAATTTGCAACTAAATTCTAGGTATGAAAGACGCAAAGCAAACTGATAATTCGTCTTCTAGCATACAAATATATTCAAAAACTTCAGATGGTCATTCAAAAATTGGAAATTTTATAGATTCATTCAAAAGAGCAGATCAAACAGAGACTACTAGCGATTTGGAAAATGGTAAAGAAGTGATCTATTCCCCGTTGGAGCAGAACTTGAAGGATAGGCATATTCAGATGATTGCCATTGCTGGGTGTGTCGGACTGGGTCTCTTCATATCTCAGGGGTCAGCCTTAGCCACATCGGGGCCTGGTGGGCTAGTAATATCCTATTCAGTTATTGGCCTTTTGTTATACTTTATAGTACAATCGTTAGGACAATTAACAAGTGCATTTCCAGTTCAAGGTAATTTTTTGGTATATAATGTGAGATTCATTGACGAATCATGGGGATTTGCCATGAATTGGAATTATTGCTTTCAGTGGTTAGTTACATTACCGTTGTCCTTGGTTTCCGCTTCTTTAACCATCCAGTTCTGGGGTTCTTCCATTAACCCAGTTGTTTGGGTGGCTATATTCTACGTAATTATTGTTGCTATAAACATATTTGGTATTAAGGGATATGGGGAAGCAGAATTTATATTTTCCTTGATAAAAGTTATTGCTATCGTCGGGTTTTGTATCTTTGCTATTATAGTGGTTGCTGGAGCAGGTGAACAGGGTTACATTGGTGGTAGATTTTGGCATAATCCTGGCACATTTTCCCACGGATTCAAGGGAGTCTGCTCTGTGTTTGTCAATGCAGCCTTTTCATTTGCAGGTACTGAATTATGTGCTTTAGCTGCAGCAGAATCAAAAAATCCTAGGAGAGCATTAACTAAAGCTATTAAGCAAGTATTTTGGAGAATTATAATTTTCTATATGCTCTCTACTATAATGATTTGTTTCCTAGTTCCATATGATGACCCTAAATTATTGAGTAACTCATCTACTTCTGCATCCCCATTTGTTGTTGCTATCCAAAATAGTGGAACTAAGGTTTTACCTTCAATCTTCAATGTGGTTATCTTAATCGCTGTATTGTCAGTCGCCAATGCTTCTGTATATGCCTCTTATAGACCACTAGTTTCCTTGGCTCATGCAGGGCATGGTCCTAAGATTTTGAAGTATGTCGATAGAAATGGAAGACCTCTTGTGGCGTTGCTTGTAACATTGTTAATTGGGTTACTTGGGTTTGTTTCAGCTTCTCCTAAGCAGGAAACGGTTTTCAATTGGTTACTAGCATTATCTGGATTATCTACTATCTTTACTTGGTTTTCTATATCCTTAGCCCATATTCGTGTAACTTATGCGTTTAAAATTCAAGGTGTACCTTTAAATCAATTCCCATTTCGTGCAACTGGCAATACGTTGGGTGCTTACTTTTCGTTGGTGATTAATATATTGGTGCTTATTGCTCAATTCTATGTTGGGTTATACCCAGTGGATGGAAAAGAAAAGGATATTGCCACTTTTTTACAGGTATATCTTGCTGCTCCTGTAGTTTTAGTATTCTATCTTGGCCACAAAATATGGACTAGAAACTGGAAATTGTACGTGAGGGCAGAGGAGATGGATATCACTACTGACCGTCTAATGGTTGATATAGATATGTATAAACAATTACTTACAGATGAGAAACAGGTATGGGAATCGAAGCCGTGGTATTATAGACTCTACCATACTTGGTGTTGAAAAAAAAAAGTACATTAAAAATACTTTTAAGAAAGGTTGTCGTCTGTTAGCTGATATTTTTCTATTATGTAATATTTCAGTTGCATAATTTCAGTATATAGAGCAGTATCTCTAGAAGCGTGGTCAGTATTGACAGGATGGTAAAACTAATTTTTGCGGCAATTTGTCATACAATAAATAACTCATTTTCGAATTTCCTATATAATTATAACATAAATACACTTAGGAACTTCTCAAATTATGACTATAGTAGAAATATAGTTCATATGCCTCGACTTGGCCAGAGAAAATGTAATCTTAAAATCAATATACGTATAGATCAGACTTCTTGATAATAAGAAAATGCTGCATATAAACCTGATTGCTATTTGGTATGATTATTAATTGCAAGGTATAAAACACTACTCAATGATCAGTAGAATCAACTTATAACTTTCAAAAAAAAAAAAGAATGTCTTCAACACCTGTATTTTCGAATTATGAGACTGAAAATAATAATAAGGCATTTCATTACTCCAGAGCTGTCAGAGTTGGACCATGGATCAAATGTGCTGGTCAAGGTGGATGGGATAAAGAAGGAGTGATTCCAGACGATCACGATAAGCAAGTACTTCTTGCTTTTGAAAATGTTGAAAAGGCTATCAAAGCAGCTAAGGGAAATGGCTGGCAGGATGTCATTACAATAAGAACTTATCATTTAGATATTTCTAAATTTTCTATTTTTGTAGATCAGTTCAAAAAGTATATGCCAAATCATATGCCTACATGGACTTGTGTTGAAGTTACAAAACTAGGAGACCCAGACATGCTTATCGAAATCGAAGTTGAAGCATATGTTACTGAGTAGTATAATTTATTTTTTATGTAACTATATAGCAGATCACAATATCATGCATTTATTAAATGTATCGCTCAAGAAATTCGCAACCGGAACCCTTTAATTTTGTAATACTACGAAGATTTATGTATATCGATTCACCAGAAATGTCTCTATAGTGCCTCAAACATAAGAAAGATAGGTCTATAATACCTATCAAAGGTTGATGAACTTTGTGAACATCTAGATATCAAATAGAAAATACTCTAGGATATCAACAATATTTTATCCTGCGAGAGTAGGCAAGCGTATTACCAGTGAATTCTATAAGCATGTGCAATGAAGACAAGAATTATATAAATGACTGTGATTAAAATCTATTAACATAATTTCTTTCACTTTATGAGCTATAACTGGTTACGGAAATTTCGAATGCCATTACTAAAGCACATACAATTTGTAATTATTATAAATTCTCTTACATAGAAATGTTCGATTTCCATAAGAAAAACTCAATTCAATGGATGCTATAGCATATGCTAGTTGGGGATACACATAATATCTCAGAAAGACTTGTATTTTGGAACACTCTACAATCATGCCTGCAAGAAGCGTGGAAAAGTTTATTCTCTTTTTTGTCTGCCCAGTTTGTTATAAGATTTAATACTTGATAATTTAGTAAGCCTGCTTACTTAGTAGACTCTACAATGATTTTTGGGTACCTGAACTACAAAATTATTGACTATACCAGTGTTAGACTGTTTGAATAGACACATTGCACATTACATTTTCTTATAGTCGTGTAGTCGTGTAGCCGAGAAAACTAAACAAAATCCAATATGAGTTCAGTACAACTTGAAGATAGAAGCACACCCAATTGATCACCAATAACCTAGTCATAGAGAATGAGTACTATACAGCAACTCATTAACGATTTAAATAATTTGGCATCTGAGTCTAGGAGACGAAATAGTGAAATTAGACATGCGTGTGACAAGGCTATTACAGATTTGAAAGATTATCAACCCCAAGAAAGTATACATGAGATTTCACAGAATGAAATCAAAAAAGATATACTAAAACCATTCTTGATATCTTGCAGCACGGGAAATGCTAAGTTTGTCACCATATCGATTCCTATTATTCATAAATTGATTATAAGTGAGATAATACCGGTGGAAAGCTTGAATGAATTATTAGGTTCATTGAAAGAAGCAACTAACTTGGCAACAGATATCCAGCTAAGAATCTTACAATGCTTACCAGCTCTCATGCAGAATTACAATAAATCAATTACAAACTCTCAATTATTAAAGCTATTGGGAATTTGTTCAAGCTTGACTTCTAGCAATAAGTCCACGGTGGTAATTAATACTGCTTCAGCCACTTTACAGCAATTATTTAGTAATGTATATGATAAAATTGAAGATGGAGGAGAGCTTAATAATGAGTTAAAGATTGATAATGATGAAGTCATAAAGATTAACGATTCATCTTTGGAAGGATTCAAGATATTTAACGATTTATGTGGATTGATTGAGAATGAGAAACCAACATACTTCACGGAATTTATAAACATAAAATCATTATCTGTGCTAGAAATTATAGAGAGCATTTTATCGAATCATAAAGATCTATTCGATAAACACCAAGAATTATGTTTTCTAGTGAGAGTCAAAATAATTCCGTCATTATTAAGAATACTAAATGCCCCCAACCAGAGCTTTCCTTTGACTATTAGAACTATGCGTATATTTCATGTGCTATTAGCATCTCAATTAGATAATCTAGAAGTTGAAAGTGAAATTGTCCTATCATTTTTAAACCATATGTTGATCAATGGTAATAACGAACCATCTGAGAGGGATAACTGGGTAAAAATAGCGGTTTTAGAAATGTATCGTGGGTTATTCTCAGATTTTGGTGTTATTCAGTCTATTTATGATAAGTATGACAGCAACCCGAAGAAGAAGAATGTAATCCAAGAATTGATGTCTATCTTGTGCACTTATTTACTGCATAATGCTTATATGATGAATGATGTTGTAAAACCTCCACCCACCTCATTATCCCAAAATCAATCATCAAATCAACATTTATATTTATCTAAACAATCTTCAAATATGAAAATATCTATCCTTGATCATTTAGATAAGCAAGAATCGCCGGCTTCAATTCCACTCAATTATTCAATTTATTTGACATTTTCTATTTTATTAGCTTTTACTGATGGTGTTGCAAAATTTGTTAATAACTTATCAGATAAATCAAGCCTGTCCGGATTAGAAGCAAATGTTGAATTTGTTACTTCTTTGATCGAGAATACGTATCCCGAAGTATCATCTTTATTTGAAAGATTTATTTATTCTTACGTGGATAATGACGGATTTCATCAGCTAATTAGAACATTACAGAAATTCACTCATGCGACTGGGTTGCTAGGACTTGGTAGCTTAAGAGATGGATTATTAAATATTCTTTCGAAAGCGATAATAAAGAACTCAAGTAAGAATGAAACAAAAACAAACCCAACAGGTAGCAGTGGACTTCAAGAACAAGGGAAGCAGCTTTTAGCTCTCGGGGAGTCGGTAGTTGAATCTTTTAGCTCCTCCCTCCAAAAACATTCATCAGATCATGATCTTTCCGCACAATCACAGCCACAAATAAAATCTAGAAGCTTCAATTCAAGGCAAGTTATCTGTTTACGAGCATTGGCTAATTTAGCTGTTTCTTTGGGGTCGACTTTGCAGAATTCCTGGTCTATCATATGGATAACCTTTCAATGGTGCGATTATTATATGAATGGACCAGATGAATATAGTGGATATTTAAATAATAAGAATATGAATTTTACAAATGATATGTTGCCGAAACTAACTGCCAGTGACTTGAACAATATAGAGATTTCTAAAAAGAAATTCTTTGAAAGTATTAATGATTATCAACTAGAATCATTCCATGCATTGATCATTGCCCTAACAAACTTGTCCGATGAAGCATTTAGTAACACTCCGAGAGCAAAAGGTAAAGAACAACAAACTGTGAAAGAAACGGAAGAAGATAGAGGCCAAACTGTTAGTGATCAAATGATTGTTTGTCCTTACAACAAGGTCTATTATCTCAAGATGTTAGGTCAAATTTCTCAGATAAACCCTAATAAATTTCTCATTGAGAATGACAAATCATGGGATCTCATTCGTGATTATTTTGTTAATTTGGGAGCTAAAAGAGCTAGCCACATAGGATATAAACTCAGAATTCATATTGTGAACACATTTAATGGTATCATTAAGGATATAACTCATGAGGGATTTGAATCTACTGAGAATTCCATTAATATCAAGACCTCCCAAAAATCTTTAGATGGGTTACGAGGATTCCTTGATAGGTTGTTTGATATGGGCTTACCAAATGAATTATTAGTTCTCAATTGTGAAACTGAAATGCATTTACTAGTCTTAACCACGTTGCATGAATTAATTGATAAGTTTGACAAGTATTACCAGAATTCCTGGCACACTGTTTTTAGAATTTTAAATACATCATTCAGATCGGCGGAAGCGGATAAGGAAGACAATAATTTGAAAGAGAAAATTAGACTTGTGATAGATTCGTCGTTTAATACATTGAAGCTAATTTTGGATGAATTTATGTCTTCATTACCTTTTGATCAAATGCATATCTTAATCGAAACGTTGTATAATTTCTGTCATCAAAGATATGACTTGAATATTTCGTTTAGTTCCGTCAGCTATTTCTGGTTGATAAGTGATTCTTTGAAATCAAAGATATTATCAACCAAAGAAACGCAAGATTTCAATTTCAAGATCAAGACAGACTCGGAATTAATCAAAATTATTGAACACGAGCCAAAGGAAAACCAGACATTCTATAAATTATTGGATATATATTTGCTTTCGACCTTGTCGAAATTGTCTACAGATTCTAGAGCTCAAGTCAGAGATGGAGCTATTCAGACTTTCTTCCAGATTATAGATGTTCATGGTAGTTTATTGCCGTCTTGGGATTTAATTTATGAAATAGTATTGCCTACTTTACTCAACCTTCAGATTGATTTGAATAATTCCAAATTTAACAAAAAAGAATGGATTGAGAGTTTGAATTTAATTCTCTCGGGATTAGTTTCGTTATATGGAAAGTTTATGATGGATTTTGGCAATAGTGAACGTAAGCAAACCTTAAAATACTTCTGGGAAGGGCTTATAAAGTACTTTAATAGGCTCCTTGAATTGAAATGGGTAGACCTAAACTTGAATAGTTTTAAATCATTTCATGACTTATTGGTACCATTCAGTAATATTCCAAATGGGGATATTGAGGAAGTGAGGAACTTGCTATTTGAATTTTGGGCAAATGTTCCAGTGGAATATGATTTTGTGAATCCATTATACCAAGAGTCGTTATCGAACTTAATGAAGTGTTTTCCGCCATTATACAAGATAATTAAGGATTCATTGGACACTGAAAAAGTAAACACTATAATCAATATGCTTAATAGGTGCGCAAGATATCCAGTTCTACCTAGTGCCCACTTGGATAACACCAGGCCATCTCAATTACAGCAATCAGTAATTAATAATCTAGAATGTATTGACCTGGAGGATGCTTTTATGAGATCCTCTGTCATTCAGCAACTAAGTAATATGTTGGTATATCCATTTGGAACTAAGATGAGAATTGAGCAAAAATTGGGTGCCAAATTAAAGGACAAGGTCACAATCCCAACTTTCATAGCAATAAGTCACTTATCGATGCACTTGTTGAAGAAAAAGTTAGATGAAGTGCACGATTATAAAGTTCTTTTGAAGGAGAAGACAATCAGTAGACTTTTCAAGTCTCTTTTGGAAGTGCTTAAAATGAAGGCCGCTGGAATTGAGAAAAAAGACTACACACCGTTATGGATAGAAGCCAACCTTGTTTTGAAACTCATTATCAGCAAGCTTGTTAAGGACAACTTGGTGGACCTTCGTGATGACAAAAATTCAACAGAATTATGGAAGTTAATTGTCACGAGTGTTAATATTTGCTTTGAGAGCGAAACAGACCCCCAACAAGAATCAGTGAATATCAAGCAGTACTTTGAATTAAGTAAAATTGTATTACCAGCATTGATGACAGATCCTAAGAACGAAACTTTGATGATTGATTTCATTGAAAACGTCTACCACAAGTCCTTTTTATATGAGAATAATGATATAGAAGATTCCATTAAGGGCTCAACAAACTCAATCTCAGAATTGACCTCAGCCTTAGCTAACTTCAATTTTGACAATTCATTTGGCAGCGCGAAAGCTCTAAGCATATATTCGAATAGAAAGACGAGAGTGATGTGTCTCAAGGAGATTATAAAGTTCTCACAACTGAACCTGGACTCGAGTAATGGACTCCAAGAGCTCAGCTTGCAATATTTTGTGTGCAGAGCTGCCTTCATCTTCAGAAGGTTTATCTCCGAAGAAATGCTCCGCTACAAGTCCCCATTGCCCCAAATACAACAAGAAGAGCTACTTATCACCATAGACGGAATTCTTAATATCCAAAAGACCCTTCGTACTTCAGGCGACTGGGAGATCTTTGATGTACTCTATGTGTTGTTGACAAAATCCATCCCTTTCGCCGCCAGAATCGACCGCCTAGATTCCATGCTTGCAGTCGCCTTACAAAATTTCTCCCGTGCTTCTGTCTAGTTCATCCAATTCCAACTATATAGCACCTTGTACACCATAATATTACATTTAATCGTGTCTAAGCCTAATCTAATTGCAATTATTATTTAAATCTTGTTCTAATTAGGCTCTAATTAGGGCTATTTAGACATTTTCCAGCCCCGAGCTGTTGTACGGCCGTTAGTCCGAAGCCTGATTTTAGCCTGAATACTACATCTACAGGGATTCTCTATTATTCTTACTCGCATCAAGGTCTATTGATAGTTTCTTCCATGTCATATGCGTAGAATACATTTCATTCTCTTTGAGCCGATTCAAAATCTATAAAAGAACAATAGAATGGACGAAAACAGAAAATTCCTAAACACAGCGCGAAACGAATCAAAAATTCGATTTTGTAATAAATCAAGAAAAAGCCTTTAGTGAAATACTTAATTCCTTAGTGATTTATTGAATAACGAGTAAACACTTCAAACATCTTAAGGATATAGGCATATTTATTTTCTTTCGTTATTTGAATCAAGTGCTATTAAATTTTATTTGTTTTAGTACTGCATTATTTTTTTTATTTTTTTTTTCTAGTTAATTTTAGTTTGATTAACTTGTTGAATAGATTGGAAGTTTATAAAAATATTACATAGTCGGATTGGAAATTTGACTAAAACTAAAGATACATTGATTATTAATCGTTGAATATAGAGAAGTGAATATTGTGGGACAAGTGAAGGACGAATACGCCATGTCTTACAGAAATAGTACTAGTTCGAGCAAGTATCAGGAATTTGACCCTGAATCGGGAGAAATATCCAGAAAAAGGTCGTTGATCAAGCCAGAAAGGAGGAATATAGATCCCAACCATCCAAGATTCCATTATACCCAAGTTGCCAACCAGGAATCAGACCATCTTAAGATCCAGCCATCTTCCACGGGTCTAGAACCACAAAGCTCGAATGATGGATTACGCGCGAGTACATCTTACCAAGGAAACTTAGCAAGTGAGGAAGAAGGTATTCCGTTGATGGATATCCGTGAGACCAACGAGGCTAATCAAACTCCTAATTTGAAGGGAGGAAGAGAAGTATTTGGATTGAATGACGAAGTTGATGATTACAACAACAGCCCAAGCAAGAAGAATGTCATTTCCAGACCTCTTAAGGCTGCCTATTTGGAAGAAGAGAAAAAACCAAAGCATGATATCTACTTCTGGAAGGTATACTGTTATGTTATCACCTTCTGGGCTCCTGCTCCACTTTTGAAATTATTTGGTTTACGAAACAAACAAAGTCAGTTCGCATGGAGAGAAAAGATAGGGCTAATTTCATGTATCTTGTATATTGGTGCATTTGTGGCTTACTTAACTTTCGGGTTTACTAAGACTGTTTGTTCTAGTACAAGGGTCAGAACTCAGATTAACCATGTTAATGATGGCTACTTAATCATTAACGGAAGGGCCTTTGATTTAACCTCTTCTCAGCATCCAAAAGCTGCTGGTATACAATCTGGTGCGAATGTTTTATATCCTCCCTTATCAGCCGGTGGAAAGGATGCATCGTTCCTTTTTCAGAATGTCAATGGTAACTGTAAAGATTTAATTAAGCCAAGGGATAATTGTACTATTCCAACAAACGACGATAATGAATTGGCTTGGTATATGCCATGCCGTTTGTTTAACCAGGATGGTTCTTCGAGCCCCAATTTTACTAAGGCTTATTATGACGGTTGGGCTTGTCATACAAGTACAACAGCGAGAAATGCCTATTATGATATGGAAGTTAATGGGGATGTTTATTTTACATGGGAAGACCTTAAAAATAGTTCTAGAAATTTAGTGGTTTATTCAGGGAATGTTTTAGATCTAGACTTAGTTAACTGGATTCAATCAACGGATGTAGAATATCCAAAGCTCTTTGATAGATTGAGAGATGATGACACATACAAGGGTCTTGATATTTCTCTAGTGTTGACCAACAGCGAAGAAAGAAAGGCAGCAAGATGTTTAACAGAAATTATAAAAGTCGGAACTATCGATACTGATACTATCGGTTGCATTGCATCCCTGATTGTTTTATATGTTTCTTTGGTGTTCATCTTGTCTGTTGTTATCGTAAAGTTTTTAATGGCTTGTTATTTTAGATGGGTAATATCTACGAAGCAAGGTGCAACTGCTATTGATAATAAGTCTATGTTTGAAAGAAATAAGGAGATTGAAAACTGGGTTGATAACCCAACATCTCAGGGACCAATCAGTACAGTTCCAGTGAAAGCAAGAGCTAATTATAAAGCTCCTAAGACCAACAGACAAACTATTTTCAAAAAAGGTAACAGACTTTCATTAGCTCCAAACAATGAATTATCACAATATTATGATAATGCTGATCATATTTCTAAGAACTTTAAATACACTACTATGACCACACAGGCTGCGTTGATAGGACGTAACAAAAATAAGTCATTGACAAAGTCGAATACTAGGCTGTCTATGCTTCTCTCTGATGATCGTGCTTCATCTACCGATATGTTAAATAGACCAGGCTCGCTATACAATCCTTTTGATGGGTTTGAAGACTACCCAGTGAATGGTTTATCGCCTGATATTATTCATCCTGATGTTGTTCCACAACCTCCAGTCGAATATCAACCTTTTGCTATGCCTTTGGCTCATACAATTAATTTGGTTACATGTTATTCAGAAGACGAAGAGGGTTTACGTACAACTATGGACTCGATTGCAACTACTGACTTTCCAAATTCTCACAAATTGATATTTGTGGTCTGTGATGGTATAATTAAGGGTTCTGGTAATGATTTAACTACACCCGAAATTGCCTTAGGTATGATGACAGATTTCACTATTCCACCAGAAGATGTTAAACCATATTCATATGTTGCTGTCGCTCAAGGAAGTAAGCGTCATAATATGGCAAAGGTATACGCAGGGTTCTACAACTATAACGATGAGACTGTTCCACCTGAAAAGCAACAAAGAGTTCCCGTTTTAACTGTCGTCAAATGTGGTACAGTTGACGAAGCGGATGCACCTAAACCAGGTAATAGAGGTAAGCGTGATTCGCAAATTATTTTAATGTCTTTCTTGCAAAAGGTTATGTTTGATGAAAGAATGACTGATTTAGAATATGAGATGCTTAATAGTATTTGGAGAGTCACAGGATTAATGGCTGAATTTTATGAAATTGTTCTCATGGTTGATGCAGACACTAAGGTCTATCCTGATAGTATGACGCACATGGTAGCTGAAATGGTTAAAGACCCAATGATTATGGGATTGTGTGGTGAGACTAAGATCTCGAATAAATCGACAACTTGGGTTACGGCGATTCAAGTCTTCGAATATTATATTTCTCATCACCAGGCGAAAGCTTTCGAATCAGTTTTTGGTGGTGTTACATGTTTGCCTGGTTGTTTCTGTATGTATCGTATTAAAGCTCCGAAAGGTTCGGATGGATATTGGGTTCCAATTTTGGCAAACCCAGATATTGTTGAAAGATACTCAGATAATGTTGTGGATACATTACACAGAAAGAATTTATTATTATTGGGTGAAGATCGTTACCTTTCGTCATTGATGTTGAGAACTTTTCCTAAAAGAAAGCAAGTTTTTGTTCCGAAAGCTGCTTGTAAGACAATTGTTCCTGAACAATTTAGAGTTTTGTTGTCTCAACGTCGTCGTTGGATTAACTCTACAGTGCATAATTTAATGGAATTAGTTTTGGTTAATGATTTGTGTGGTACTTTCTGTTTTTCAATGCAATTCGTCATTTTTATTGAATTGGTGGGTACATTGGTTTTACCAGCCGCTATTTCGTTCACAATTTATGTTATTATCGTTGCTATTATTTCAACGCCAACCCCAGTTATGTCGTTAGTTCTTTTGGCTATTATTTTTGGTTTACCTAGTATGTTGATTGTGATCACGGTTTCTTCATGGACCTACGTCATTTATTTCTTCATTTATCTTATTGCTTTACCAATTTGGAATTTTGTTTTGCCAAGTTATGCGTACTGGAAATTTGATGATTTCAGTTGGGGTGAAACCAGAACTGTTGCTGGAGGTGATAAAGGTGATCACAGTGCAATTGAAGGTACATTTGACTCGTCTCATATTGTTATGAAGCGCTGGAGGGAATTTGAAAGGGATCGTAGGAACCAGGAATCTGGGCTTGCGGTTCCTAGTGCAGCATGGGATCCATCCAATACCGAAAAGTTTAATGATGAGGACTACTCTGAAGAGTCTACTGCTTCTCCATGATATATAAATTATATTTAATATATGATACTTTTTGCATGGGAATTCTATTATTACCTGATGTAGCCCGTATAATCAATGCATATTTTATGAAAGATTTAACTAGAAAAAATATTGAATTCTTGTAAAGCCCACAAAGTATTCTGCTAATGGAAAGCTACATGAAGCTAATGCTTCTCTACTCGAGTTGATTTTAAATTTAACATTTATTGATATAAATAATATATAAGAACTAAATTAGTTATTAGGTTATGACATTCGAAACCAGAAATTGTAACATGTAGAAGTAAAAAGGTTTTAAAAATTGTATGACAGATAAGGGTATTGCAAGATAAATTAGTATGCTCTTCTTTTAACTTGTAAGGTAGTAGCAGTAGTAGCAGCGGTAGTGACTTGGGTAATAGCAGCGGTGGTTGCAATAGTAGTACCTGCAGCAGCAGAGGAGTCAGCATTGTCAATTTCAGATGCAGTAACATTACCGCTGTCAATTTGATTACCAAGGAAAGAAGCAAGAGCAGAACTGTATTGACCACCGTTCTTTTCAAAGTATGCAAGAGCATCGTCGAGAAGACCGGATGACTTAGCCCAGCTAATAAGGTCTTCGGCAAGAACGTAACCTTTCTTTAAGAGGTTGGATAAGAAGGAAATAGACTTTTCTGGGTCAGCTAAAACCTTTTGAATCAAAGAAGAAACTAATCCGGAGTCCTTAACTTGCTGGACGACAGTCGTAACAATAGAAGCAACGTCTCTCTTGTCTAAGTATTCACCATCAATGAAATCACGCTTGTAACCTGCATTGTATTGAGATGGGGATGGGATGTTACCGGTATCAGAAGAGCCAGTAGCAACTGAAGAGTCTGTAGTAATAGCAACTGCAACAGCGGTATCAGTTTCAACAGAAACAGCAGTGGCGGTAGCACTAGACTTGTTAGATTTGTAAGCCTTTAATAAGTTAAGCGCACTTGAGAAAGTAGCCTTAGCAACTCTAAGCAAAACAGAACGTAAGTCACTGTCGTTAATAACATCTTTGAAAAGTTTAGAGATTAAACCAGAATCCCAGATAGCCTTAAGTAAAGCTGGACCTTGGACAAGAGCAGCCTTAACAGTCGTCTTAACAATAGTAAGGATTTCACTTCTGAGAGTTTCGTCTTGGGTCAAAGTATTCCAAACGTCAGCAATAATTCCAGAAGAAGCTAAAGCAGCAACCAATTCAGTGACCAAGCCATCGGCTCTCTTGGAGAGTTCAAATGATTCGGATTCGGAGACGAGGTCTCTCTTTTCGTTGACATCTTTAAGTGCTGTTAAAATGTCTATAATTTCGTTGGCATCACCTCTAGTAACAAGGGAGTTTTCAGCAACAACATTAGTTGGAGCAGCAGAAACGAAGGCAGAAGTTGCTAAGATAGCAAAGAGGGTAGTTTGAGATAATTTCATTGTGACTTGTAGCGATAGTTATTAGTTATTAATAAACTAGACTCTTGTATATTGATGAATAAACTTTTTAAGACTACTTGAAAGAGGGATATTTACTCTCATATTTATAATTTCAAAATTTCCTTTTATCTATTTCTTTGACTGTTATAGGAAAGTAAAAAGTTTATTGTTCTCCACTCCCAATATTCTTTCAAAACATAGGAAGTATAGTAAATGGATTGCCAATTCGTAGTTAATACTGATTCTTCAATTACAAATTGCCTAATTAGGTAAAGTGATTAATTAGACTTAGTTTGCATCATAACCGGATTAGGAAATTTTTGATGATGCGTATATTTAACATTCGTCGCATAACACCAATTTCATATTTCATGCTCTTTTGGGTAAGTTTTCTCTTTCGCAAAGTAGGTATGGTTCCACAGGATCCACCTATATACTATATACAAGAAAATTACCTAAAGCGGATCAATATTTTAATGAATGCAGGTTTTCTTGGTGAAATGCTCCTACTAAATACAGAATAATATGGGTAGGTCTCAATATATTCTTACCTGTTAGGGTAAAGAAAATTCACATTTCAGTATGAAAAATGCTTGAAGTCACAAGAGTCGTCGAATCATGTACCTGAGGCGATTCCAGATGTATCCACAGGAGAGTAAAACATGGACAATACTAGGCTTAATTAGTACTAAGGGATATAAATATTACATAATAAGAGAATGATTTAAGTTCCAGTCCCCAAGTAGCTGTAATACGTACAATTAACGTTATAAACCAGGGTTTGATGAGGTGCTCAAACAGACACAGAAATCTAGCACTAGAGAGAGACCATTACTGAATAAGATACTGAATCACAGGATATAAGGGGTAAACTCTCGGTTGTTTAGTGAAAAAGATACGGGCAGTGCACTAATAGATTGAAATGGGGTCAGTAGTAGGCTTTTGAACTTAGTGAAGATTATATAAGATGACCAATGCATTTAAGTGCTTATGGGTGTTTTCAAAGCCCATTTGGCATTTTGCATTTTCTAACTATTTTGGGGAAAAGTAACAAGATTTTCCAAACATCGCGAAAAAATATTAAAATTCTATTGTAAATACTTATGCTTCAACAGCCATGTCAACACCCAGAGCTTATCATGGTATATTTCTTCCCCCACGCTTACAACATCTGCTTGTGTAAAACATAACACGTTTGGAGAATTTATTGTATGCTTTCTACAAGTATCCATACTATTGGTAAACACACGTTATTATACGATGATATAGTACAATGTATCCAGTTCTAATCAAGATAGTTCCTCTAAGCAGCTACAAATACCCTTGCCCACTCTCTATACTCTTGACGTATACAGGGAAGCATCAGGAATTAAAGGAAGTTATCGAATTAATATATTCTTTCAAAGTTAGTAAAATGCGTGTGATCTGCAATGAGTAGATTGTATTCACATGCATTCACACCAATTAGAACACGTCTATAGTGTTTACGTTATACAGATTTCATTAGCATTGGAATCTAGCAATGCTGATACCGCTCAAGTATAGCAGTGTTCAGTATGCACGAGAGACGATCTAATTAGCATTTTACGTCTTAGAAACTATCTTTGACTCGATTATGTGAGTAGAGATCAAGGTCGTAGATAAAAAAAAAAGAAAAAAAAAAAACTTAAATTTTTCATAACGGTCCTGCTTGGTCTGGTATAAAAGCATAATATTATTCCTACTTAAAATTTTATTTTTCCTCTCTAATAACAGCCGATATTTGTAACTACTATGTCAGTCGTTGATATTACCAGTACTAAAGGTGAGTCGGCTATCAATTCGTCGAATCTCACTCAGAGAGGAAATGGATCTACAGTAGTCGAATCCAAGAAAGGTCCATCTTCAAATTTGAAGGCTATTGACACGTTTGGTAATGAATTTAAGGTACCAGATTACACCATTAAGCAAATTTTATCTGCTATTCCAAAACATTGTTATGAAAGATCCCTTGTTAGATCTTTAGGTTACGTCGCTCGTGATATAACCATGATGTGTTTAATTGGTTATGTTGGACAAAAGGTTATTCCAATGGTTGAAATCTCAGGTCAAGAAGGGTTGAGTTCTACCATCAGAGGAGGTCTTTGGTGCGTATACTCATACTTATTAGGATTGTTTGGTTTTGGTTTATGGATTTTAGCCCACGAGTGTGGACACGGGGCATTTTCTGATTACCAGAATGTTAATGATGTTGTTGGTTGGATTTTACATTCTTACTTGATAGTTCCATACTTTTCATGGAAATTTTCCCACTCAAAGCACCACAAGGCCACTGGTCATTTGACAAAGGATATGGTCTTCATTCCTTACACTAAGGAAGAATTTGTTGAAAAGAGTGGTGTATCTAAGGTGTCTGAAGTCATGGAAGATTCGCCAATCTGGTCGTTAATGGTTTTAATTTTCCAACAACTTGGTGGTTTACAATTGTACTTAGCTACCAATGCCACTGGTCAAAAATACCCAGGCTACTCTAAGATTGCCAAGTCTCATTATGCCCCAGCTTCTCCAGTTTTCGACAAAGAACACTATTGGTACATCATCTTATCTGATATCGGAATTATTACAACCATAACGGTTGTCTACCAATGGTATAAGAACTTTGGTTTCTTCAACATGTTTGTTAACTGGTTCATGCCTTGGTTATGGGTTAACCACTGGTTAGTCTTTGTTACCTTCTTACAACACACCGATCCAACCATGCCTCATTATCGTGATAATGAATGGACTTTCGCACGTGGTGCAGCTGCCACTATCGACCGTAACTTTGGTTTCATCGGACAACACATTTTCCATGATATTATTGAAACTCACGTTTTACACCATTACGTTTCGAGAATTCCATTTTACAATGCTAGAGAAGCCACCGATGCTATTAGAAAGGTTATGGGCGAACATTATAGATACGAAGGTGAATCTATGTGGTACTCTTTATGGAAATGTATGAGAATGTGTCAATATGTTGACGATGCTGACACTGACGCTAAAGGTGTTTTAATGTACAGAAACGTCAACGGTGCAGGCCCAGTTAAGCCAATAAATTAAATTTGTATTGTTTTATTTTCTTCTACATAATTACCACGATGATATCTTTATTTATTTATTATAATTAGAATATTTTATTTCTGTCGTTATTTGTATATACTTTAATCAATCAATTCGAGAATAAATGCTCGCTTAAAATTTACTCGGGAAACTGAAAAATTTCAAAATCAAAAATTTTTGAGCTGATTTATACTAGAAGCACAGTAATATTGGTCCACATATAACATGTCCAAATTTCTAAGGGGTATATCTAGTATTAACAACATTTCATTGAAAGCTAGAGCCTCCAACTTTGGGGGTTTTCATGGTGTGCGTTCTGCTAGAAGCTTTCACCAATCAAGGTTATGCTTGAATGAAACTAAAATACCAGAAACATATGAAGAAGAAAAAGAAATTATTGATGAAATTAACTCTAAGTTACCCGAGAAGGATATATTAAACTCATCAAGATTGAGAAATATCGGGGTTTCAGCTCACATTGATTCAGGTAAGACCACTTTCACTGAACGTGTTTTATTTTATACCGGAAGAATTAAGAGTATTCACGAAGTGAGAGGTCGTGATGCTGTAGGTGCTACTATGGATCATATGGATTTGGAAAGAGAAAAAGGTATTACTATTCAATCTGCTGCTACTTTCTGTTCGTGGGATAAAGATGGCAAGGATTATCATTTCAACTTGATTGATACCCCAGGTCACATTGATTTCACGATCGAAGTCGAAAGAGCTTTAAGAGTCTTAGATGGTGCAGTCTTAGTCGTCTGTGCGGTTGCTGGTGTCCAATCACAAACTGTCACTGTTGATCGTCAAATGCGTCGTTATAATATTCCTAGAGTTACATTTATCAATAAGATGGATCGTATGGGATCTGATCCATTCAGAGCCATCGAGCAAATCAACTTGAAATTAAAGACACCTGCTGCAGCTATTCAAGTTCCAATAGGTGCTGAGTCTGAATTGAAGGGTGTTGTTAATATTATTGATCGTGTTGCTTTGTACAACGAAGGTAGTCAAGGTGAAGACGTTAGAGCTGACACTAACATTCCTGAAGACTTGAAAGATTTGGTTGAAGAAAAGAGAGCTCTTTTGATTGAAACATTAGCTGATGTTGATGAAGAGATCGCTGACATTTATTTGGAGGGTGAAGAACCATCCGTAGAACAAATTAAGGCTGCCATTAGAAGAGCTACTATTGGCAGAAAGTTCACTCCTGTATTAATGGGTTCAGCCTTAGCAAATAAGGGTGTTCAGCCAGTTTTAGATGCTGTTGTCGATTATTTACCACAACCAAACGAAATTTTAAACACTGGTTTGGACGTCAGTACTGGGGAAGAAAAAAGAGTTAATTTGATTCCTTCGAGTTCTGCTCCATTTGTTGGTTTAGCTTTTAAATTAGAAGAAGGCAAATACGGTCAATTAACTTATATTAGAGTTTACCAAGGTAAGTTAAAGAAAGGTGCTTACATGAACCATCTTAAATCTGGTAAGAAAGTTAAAGTATCTCGTTTAGTGAGAATGCACTCGAATGATATGGAAGATGTCGATGAAGTTGGTGCTGGTGAAATATGTGCCACCTTTGGTATTGATTGTGCTTCTGGTGACACATTTATTGGACAAAACTCTGACCAACAAATTGCTATGAGTTCTATGTTTGTTCCTGAAGCTGTTATTTCGTTATCCATCGCACCAAAAACTAAGGACAATGGTAGTTTTTCCAAGGCTATGAATAGATTTCAAAAGGAAGATCCTACATTCCGTGTTAAGTATGATGCTGAATCCAAGGAAACTATCATTTCAGGTATGGGAGAATTACATTTAGAAATTTACGTTGAAAGAATGAAGCGTGAATATGGTATCGATTGTATTACTGGTAAGCCACAAGTCGCTTACCGTGAAGCCATTACTGCTCCAACTACTTTTGATTACACTCATAAGAAACAAAGTGGTGGTTCTGGTCAATACGCTAGAGTCGTTGGTGAAATGAAACCATTGGATGGTGAAAATAAATTTACTCAACATATTGTCGGTGGTAAGATTCCAGAAAAATTCTTGTTTGCATGTTCTAAGGGATTTGACGACTCTTTAGAGAAGGGACCATTAATCGGTCATCGTGTCTTAGGTGCTCATATGCACATTAATGATGGTCAAACTCACGTTGTTGATTCTTCAGAATTGTCCTTTAGAACCGCTACTCATGGTGCCTTTAAGCAAGCATTCTTAAACGCACAACCAGTTATTTTAGAGCCAATTATGTCTGTTGAAATTAGTGCTCCAAACGAATTTCAAGGAACCGTTGTTGGTTTAGTTAACAAGATTGGAGGTATGATTATGGAAACTGTTAACGGCCAAGATGAGTTCACGGTTACAGCCGAGTGTTCATTGAACTCGATGTTTGGTTTCTCGACCTCGTTGAGAGCTTGTACTCAAGGTAAGGGTGAATTTACTTTGGAATTCAACAAGTATGCCCAATGTTCTCCTCACTTACAAAAACAATTGATTGCAGAACACGAAAAGAAGTTACAAGCTAAGAAATAGGGTTGGAATTATTTATAGTATTTCTTGTACATAGATACTTATAAGTTAAATTATATAGTTTTAAAAATAAACGCTTGGAAAGCATTTTATAATTCAACCAATGTGTAACGACGACTACACAGTATAATTACACGAGTACTTCTAGAATAGATTCTTTTATACAAATTATGAAAACGTAAACATTAAAAAAAAACCTAACTATGATACCCTCAAACTAATAAAAACTAAGAATACATACATATAAGTAATATGAAAATTTATCAAAAATTAAAATTTCTTTTTAACATTTAAGCCTTAGCAACAGCCTTCTTGACAGCAAATCTTCTTTGCTTCTTTAAGACTAAAACTTGGAATCTTTCGAAATCAGATAATTGAGATCTCTTTTCTCTGGAAGCTAACTTCTTAGCCCATGAGGTAGCAGCCCACTTGGAGTCAACATCGGCAGAAGCCCATTTCTTGTTGACGGTACCGGTTCTGGCACCTCTTGGTAAGTTTGGTAAAACAATTGGAGTTAAGACAACCTTACCTAATTGGATGGCTTGTCTTTGAACCTTTGGTCCATCAATTAAAACCTATAATATGTTAGTAAATCATTCAATATCAACGTATTGACTACACGGAACTGATATCACGACACGCAAGACCTCCTCTTGAATCCCTGGACTCTCTATCGCTTCATTTGGTACTTTTCACTTCCCACAACGAATTTTTCACTATTAGTACCTCTCCATCATTTGGGACCTACGCTTCCCAAATATCCTCCTTTCATGCCCATAGTTAGGGTATACTCTTCCTCATACCCCTTCGTGCTTCTCGTGTTCGTTCGTGCTTCTTCTTCTCTATTCTAAATACATACTCTCTTTTGGTCGATAATTTCAACAACGGTGGCTAATTCCTTGTTGTTAATCAAGACAACACGTCCTAATTCAACGAATCTCCAGTTAGCAGCTTTAACAGTAGTATGTGATGACATCTTATTATATTGAGGTTATTGAACTAACTTAACAAAGAATTTCAAACTTTTATGATAACGTAAAAATTGTCAATATCTACAACCGGTTAGTGTAACTCGGTATAGAAAATGAAAATTTTCTGACTGCTGATGCGCCAAAAAAGCAGTCACAAATTTTCGCGATTTATAGCAGTACCTGAATCACCTGAGAAATGATGAAACATTCGTTCTATGAACAGGGCAATACCCTACTGGCATTGATGGGTCCGATGAGGTAGTATATATGACTTTTCAGTACGCACTTATTTATTACTTTGGCTTATGGAACTATGGAATAATGGGTTCCCCGAAACAGGGAATGCCCATTGACCATGGGACAATTGACAAGGATCAAGAAGGAAGATGTGTATTCTGGAAGATTACACACTGGAATTGAATCAGACCTTGAAGTTGTGGAATTGTATGTATCTAATAGCGATTTCATATAACAACATCACCTTAAGCTAGATGATGACTAATAATTTGCGTTCGAGAGTAGTACAATCTGAAACATGCCTAGTTTCATATGGATTTGCTACGACATGCGACCAACTTACTACTGAAGCTTATTGATGCTGAGAAGAATGCACTGGCGACGGAACACGTTACTAACAAAAATAGAGGTTGAACACCACACATGCGAAATTGCACCGAGTGGTGCCTTAGTCTAGTTAATACACATTCTCCGACCTAATTCATCGTCTGTAGACATTGTAGTGGCAACACACCAGTAGAGAGACGGTCCGCTTGGGCCAGAAGGGACGTATAGGATGATGGTTCGCTTGTTGACGATTTTTACACGTGACTCACCATCCACAAGCGCAAAATTGTATTGATACAACCTTACGGTGGGTTAATATAGTCGAAACATAGGATAAGGAAGATTCGTTTATGCTCAAGCATTTGTGCCAGACAAACAAGAGACTAATAGCCAGAATGTCTTCCGCCGCTAAAAAGCCCGTGGTTCAACAACCCGAATGGATTAAGCCTACCCGCCAGACAGACGATGCGCCAGTGTTACGCATATATAATTCATTGACTCGTAGTAAGGAAGAGTTTATTCCGCTCAGAAACAATCACATTACCTGGTACTGTTGTGGGCCTACTGTGTACGATCATTCGCACATGGGACATGCTAGAAACTATGTTTCCACCGATATTTGCAGACGGATCTTGCAGGACTATTTTGGTTACAATGTCAAGTTCATTCAGAACGTCACCGATATCGACGACAAGATTATCATAGCCGCACGTCAAGAGTACCTTTTCGAACAGAAATTGGCTCTGAAATACAGTGCTGTTACTCCTGAATTGTTAGATGAGTCAAAGAAGTACCTTGAGTATTACATTACCAAGACCTTACCTCAATTTGAAGGCTCTAGCATCGAGAAAGACTTCATTCCATGGTTAGACTCAGTAAACGTACAGGAAATTGCAGTTACAAACCCCAAATTTCCAATGTATACCAAGGCTGGAAGAACTGCCCATGTATCCATTTACTCGTCAACTTCAGAAACCACTCCACTTGACGACTATTTATCGTCTATTAAGGAAGTTGCAATGCCCTTTTTGGATAATGAATTTGGCTCAACTGTTAATGATCCTTCAATCTTCAGAAAATTACCTTCGTATTGGGAAAAAAAATTCATCGAAGACATGGGAAAATTAAACGTATTACCACCTTCTATTACTACAAGAGTGTCAGAATATATCCCCGAGATTATTGAGTTTGTTGAAAAAATTATCGATAACGGGTATGCTTATGCTACCAAGGATGGTTCTGTTTACTTTGATACAACCAAATTCGAAAATGATCCAAACCACGATTACGCCAAGTTACAACCTTGGAACAAAGGTGACATGTCGTTAATTAACGATGGTGAAGGTTCGCTTAGTACGGGCCAAGACACAAAGAAGAACGCCGCAGATTTCGCTTTATGGAAGGGCTCCAAGCCAGGTGAACCTTCATGGCCATCTAAATGGGGTAAAGGTAGACCTGGCTGGCATATCGAATGTTCAGTAATGGCTTCAGACATGACTGGAAAAACTATGGATATACATTCCGGTGGTGTAGATTTGTGCTTTCCACATCATGATAATGAGTTAGCTCAGTCAGAAGCATACTTTGATAACAAGCAATGGGTTAATTACTTTATGCACAATGGTCATTTACATATACAAGGCCAAAAGATGTCAAAATCATTAAAGAATTTCATCACTATTGAAGAGGCCTTAAATGATTTCACAAGCAGACAATTGAGATTAGTATTTGCTTTAAGTTCTTGGGACAAGCCAATCGATTTTAAGGATAGTTTAGTTAAAGAAGTTAAATCGTGGGAATCATCGGTTTCTAAATTCTTCACCACCGTTCGTGCTTTGAATAATGATTACAAGCATACGTTAGCTGAAGGTGGTTACGTATCAAAGAAATTTTCCCTGGCCGAGAGACAATTATTCGACGATTTAACTAAAGCTCAGACCGAAACCCATGCTGCATTTTGTGATAACTTATCTTCTCCATTAGTCTTAAGGAATATACAAGAATTGGTGTCTAAATCTAATAATTATATCCAATCCTGTTCCACTGGAGAAAATGAATTAAGAATAGAAGTTTTATTAGAAATTTCCAGCTGGATTGTTAAAATCTTAAATATTTTGGGTTTCGAGACTAGATCTGATAAATTAGGATGGTCAGATTCAAATGGATCAGATTCTGAAGGTAGTTCTTCCAAAGAAGATATCGCCATGCCTTATGTCAAAGCATTATCTCAATTCCGTGATGCAATTCGTAACATGGCGATTAATAAGGCATCATTTGGTGAGTTTTTAAACGCATCTGATTCCATTAGAGCAGATTTAATTAACTTGGGAATCTCATTAGATGATCGTCCAAATGGTTCAGCATTGATTAAGTTTTTGAATCCTCAAGAGCAGGATGAGTTAAAGAAACAGCAAGCCGATAAGGAAAATGCTATGTTAGAAAAAGAAAAGAAAAAACAACAACAAGCGATAGAAAAAGCGAAGAAGGAACAAGAACGCTTGGATAAGATGAAAGTCAATCCATCTGATTTATTCAAGGATCCTAAGTTGTATTCTGAATGGGATGAACAGGGTATACCTACCAAGGATGTCAACGGCGAAGAAATTTCTAAAAGTATGAGGAAAAAATTAGCCAAGCAATACCAACAACAAGAGAAGCTCTATCAGGAGTTCTTGAAATTACAAAATCAATAATTATATAGTGTATTGTAAATATTTAAATAAATCGATAGTAGATTCGAACTTTTTTGTCAGTGCATTTTCTAAATATTGAGCGTAAATTATTGACACGATTCAAGAAAAGAGAGTCTACAATTAATTATCAATTGAACCTTAACATGTTCAACATTGTAACCAGGTTTCAATATGCTGCTAATCAAGCATTGTCATCATCGATAATAATAGCAGGAATCGTTATCTTATCTTCGCTATTACAATTATATTATAATAATGCATGGTCCTTGGAAACAACCTCAATAGGTAATATCAAGCCTCAAGTACTGCTTAAACACTCATTTAACTATGGGTCAGTCAATCGTAAACCTAAGGAGAATTCTAGAATACAATTTGATTTAGAGACAGACTTATCTCCCTTGTTCAATTGGAATACAAAGCAATTATTTGTTTATTTGACAGCCGAGTATCCAGGTAAAAGTGAGGGATCTTCGAATAAGATAACATATTGGGATAAGATCATTACTTCAAAAGAGGATGCAGTGTTACTGTTAAAGAACCAAAAGTCAAAGTATTCAGTATGGGATATCGAACCATCGTTCAGAGAAAGGGAGGCAATAGTGAAGCTTGAATGGAATCTTCAACCGCATATTGGTCCATTAGTATTTGGCGAAACAGATAATATTTCAGGCTTCAAATTTGCCGAGTATGTAGATAAGAGGAAACAACAGAAATAGATATTAGTTATAAATCTATTATATTGAAGGTATTTAATTACTTATGTACAAGAAATTATATTTAATACAAGATGCTGATGTTAATATGAGCTGTGCGTAGATTTCAAGTGGTTTAGAACTTCTAATGTTCTCAAGCGTCTAGATTCAAAATCCTCCCTTTGATCGCTGGTCGGAGGCAGCTGGATTTGATCAATTTCTTTTCTGAATACCTGCAATCGTAATCTTGCAGAGCTATTATATATCAAAAACTCAATGGTTTCAGGAAATTCATCCATGAGTTGGAATGCTTTATATTTGTCTCCACCACAAAATCCACTGATTAGATGCCACATTCTGCTAGCAAAATATGGCGATATTTTATTTTGCGTCGATAATCTTATTTCTGGAGAAAAAAATTCAGGAATGTTCAGCAATAACCTGTCCAAAGTCCAATAGGAACCCTTAGAATGTGCTTTCGTATGAATCTCATTGAATTCATCTAATTCTCGTTTCAATAATTCTAAAGGATCATGAATATACAGATATGTAGATTGCAATTGTGGTATATCAAGAATATTGTAATAGCGATTTAACATATCATAGTTATTCTGTACTGCCTTAATTCCAGCAGTTCTACTAAAATGCAATACTGTGAGCTTGTACAAGAATTGTAGTTTTCTAAACAATTTAACTTCTGCCCAGTTACCTGCAACCAAATGATCTTCACAAATCTTCAAAATGGAACGTAGGACTTCTGGATTGGATAATTTAAGAAGTTCATTGATTAGTTTAAGATATTGATCACCCGATAACTTAATATTGGCTTCTTCAGAATCTTGAAATAATTTATAGTATGATTCGGGTGTTTCAAAGCTTGTTTTCATGCATTTTAGTTTCAAACTTAATAAGCTTCTATATTCATACTGCAATCTTTTGGGTATCTGTATTTCATCCTTAGATATATTATTATAAGGATAATCATGAATAAATTTTGATATGATATTATGTGACTCTTCAAGGCCATTGTCTATTAATCGCTTTGCCAATGCAAAATTACCCTGTTTAAGATACAAACGTCCTAGTTCCTTGTAAATCGAAAATTTGAATTCATTAGTTAACTTTCCATTTAATCGTTCTTTCATTTGGTTTAAAAAATGAACCAATAGATCAACATTATTTTGATAACCAACAGTAGCCATAACATATGAGGTAATAATATTACATAAGTCGATTGAATTATCAAGTATGTCAGCTTGGGGGTTTCTTGGCGCCGGGTCAGTAGGACTAATAGTTAAACCATTCAATTCAAAAACAGATTTTAGCAACTTGAACGAATTTTCATATCCCTTATGATTCAGCGCATCTAAATGAATTAATGCCTTGATTAAATGTACATATGTTTTGGTAGATATATTGACTCTTTCTTTTGCCATTTGTCGATACAATTCCAACACATGAGAATAACCCGCAAATGTACGTAGGTTAGCATGATAATCCAAAAATGGAGTAAAGTGATGCTCCGATAACATTTTTTGATTTTTCACGAAGTTGAAAAGTGCTTCTGCACTAGATAAATCATTTCGAGCAAGGTGAAGCTTAATTATTTCTGTATATAAGCCATGATTATTCCGGTTGCTTATATTGTTGCCAACAACATGCTCGAGAATATATCTGATTCTATCTGAAATGAAGATTTGAGTTTCGTGAGATGGAGTATTTCTGTACCAAAACCTGTAATTTCTCAATTGAACCTTGTAAATATCGGGACTTGTGAAAGGAACATCTGACTCCAGATGAGCTTCGAATACCACCTCATTCGCCTTTTCATACTGGTCCAATCTTGTATATGCCCGAATTAAGTTTTCATAGTATTCATCAGAAGTTAAATTCAATTCTTGCCCTAGCTTTCGAAGAATTTCCAATTCCTTAAGTCCGTACATAGTCCCAGCAAAATTAATAAATTTACTTATAGTCTTAGTGTCTACTAGGGTGATGTTCAATCTTTCTTGTTCGTCCCTTGCAGCTTCTAAGAACTTCATTGCTGCATCTAAATTACTCGATTTCAAATATAATTTGAATATTAACGAATATAGATACGGTCCAGAATTTGGATCAATTGTATTAGCTTTGACTTGTTTTAAATACTCATCAAACCAATACTTAGAACTCTCAACATTTCCATAGAAGGTTTCACTATTGATTAATGCAGCATATATTGATGGCGTTGGACGCAAGTTTCTTTTCAATAATTGATTGAAAAGCTGGTTAACCTCATCCTTAGCTCCTATGGCCGCTAAAGCATTCATAACAATAGAATAATGAACAACATAAGGCAATTGACCTTTGCCATACATATCTTCAAATTGCTTCTGTAATAATTTCCAATCTTTGAATTCTTCACTTACTCTCAAAAGTACTTCTATTTGCTCTTCATGACGCAAGCCTGTGAATTTTTGATATAGATCTAAAACCGATTGATACATGTTCAACAGGCAAAATGCAGACATCGCAGATTTCAAATCAGTGTGGTGAAATACATCAGATTCTTTAAGACCTTGTTCTTCGACGAGATTAAGTTTAATATGCCAATAATTCAACACATTGTGTGGACTAAACCGAAGTATAGTTCTCATAGATGTTGTCATAAAATTATAGTATGTTTGTGGGTATTCACATGCAGATGAGTCTATTATGTTTTTAATGCTATGGAGATGGTCCGAAAATTGAACACCTTTTGGTGGAATGGCAATTAATCGGAATGCCTTATCTAATATGAAATGTTCGTGATCTTTAAATAACATATGGTCATCACCTATTTCATGTAATAGATTAATGAACTCCTTTGTCACATAATAAGTTTGATTTATGCTTGATGAGTATAATACTCCTTTTTTTAGGAAAGTAGCTAATAGCCTTCTCTTAATGTCAATCGAATTTTGAGGATTCTTTAAGAACAGAATGATAGTGCCTTTATTAAAAAGAATGTGGCCTTTATCATCAGAATCTAATTGAAAAGTATTAGCCAATGTATCCGTCCATGTAGACTTGTAATTCTTAAATTCAGGAATGGAATAGACCGGTTCAACTATGTCTTTATAGACTGAGTAGTTTTTTGTATTAATCAAAATAGTAATGAATGGCTCTTTTTTGCTCAAAAACTTATGCTGTAATTCCTTAACATTTTCGTTAGAAAAATTTATTTGGAAAACAAATTTCCACATATTCAATAAAAGATCAATTGACTCGGAGGTTGGGAAGCCATTTACAATATCGATGACTTTCAAAAAATTTGTATAGATCATACTGACATCATTTTTGGATAGAGTAGAGCCATTTCGTATTATGTCTAAGTATTTGTTTCTAATATCTGCATCAGAAATGAGTTTTTCAACCTCTGAATATCGTTTGTTCAAGAGCATGACATTTTTTGTTGGCTCGACTGGCCTTCTTAACGTAGATATCGATCTCCTTAATGCAAAATTCAACATATGTTTACGGATCCCGTTAGTTATGATTTTCGGTACTTGAATAAAGGGAAATATTTGTGACTGAAGTGTTTTTATATATACATTTTTATAACCAGGATTGGAAATGCACCATGCTAAAAGTGCATCCACTTCAGATTGCCTTTGATTTACCAGCTGCCGGTACAACAGTCGTAGCATAATTGTCTGCTATGTGTGATTCAAATTCAGCTAAAGGTTAAAGTGTAAACGGGAGAAACTCAGTTATAATGAATCTTTAAAATCTACACTTTCCATATTGATTTTTCACTTACTATCATCAACTAGTGGTTATATACACGACGCAAATATATTAGATGGGCTACGAATTATATCATGTTATGACATGTATTTGGAACTATTGTGAACTAGATATATATAGAACTAATAGATAAATCAGCATTATTCATCAGAGTCATTAAATCAGTATTTTATGTTTGTAGTCAATGAAGTCGTGAAACTCCTCGTACAGTGTGAATATAAAAGGAATCATCATAAAATAAGCCGATTTACAATTTAGAACTTAGAGGTTCCACCTATAACTATTTAAAATCATTAAAAGACTATTTTGGCGTTAGTGAATTTATTCTCCAAATATCCATTTTAAACCGGATATTCATTCGTAAAATCAGTTCACGACCTTTCATCACCTCCTACTCATCAGCACTTCAAAAATTTGTACACTGAAATGCCTCTCCTCTTCTAATTGTACAAAAGAGGGATGTGTAGGGTTAAATATGTCCGCCCGGTCACAGTTATCCTCATGAAAAACGAATTTCCAGTTTTGATTAATTAAACATACCTAAATTAAATGTTAGCAACGATCTAATACGCTAAAAATTGATCGATTCATTAATTTTCAAAATAAATAGGCTCATACAAGGCTGAAACTTAACGATAATGCTGATGTCAACCCGGATAATTCAGTTGGAACATTGGTAAATAGCAAATAATCACCGCCAAATTTTGGAAATTCTTAAATCTTTATGTGTTTGATGAAATCTTTAACATACCTTTCAATGATTTCATATATTTATGGACGAAACATTCCTAATTCTTTTCCCTATTCTATTAGTATTAAAGCAAAAGAATAACTAATAAAAGGGAAAATTTTCTCTCTTAAGTAAAGAATCAAATGAGAATTTATTATCCGTTTTATACACGACCATATTAATGTTAGGGCTAAACTATAACTACAAGGTAACTAAACAGATATACCAAAAAAGCTAATTTTAACTAAAATGGTGAAGGCTAAGTGTGCAATTGCTAGGAGAACCATAATAACAATGTAGAGCTTATTTGCTTGACTCACAACCGTTTCTTGGGTTAAATCTAAGGAATTTTTCTTAATAATAGGACTTAACTTGGTCAAATTACTCAAACCAGTGACGAAACCACTGACCAATACTATCAACCACTCGAGAAAGTTCCAAACCAAGTGATGACTCTTGTTATTGACAAATACGACAATTAAAAAATTAATTGCAGTGATTGGGAACCATAAAATATTAGTGTAGCCATAAACAGAGATCAACTTTGTCAAGGAAAGCCTATGAGGGAACTTCAAGACCCACGTCGTTGAGACGTACAATATGAGAGGAACCAAAATATTGTAGCCGTAGAATAACGAAATTGACAACGTGAGGAGCTCGAAGCTATATTCGTATTTCTTGTCGTCTGAGTGGATCCACTCCGACAAAATATTTGCTCCAGTCGAACTCACAAACATCAAAAATATAAGCGTACCTGTGATCCAGATAAAACCGTAGAGTTCGGTTACCTCGTCGTCATCATCATCACTCACCGAGGTCGACTTATTGATTGGATTCAATGCCCGTTTGATTTTCTCGAAAAATGTAATTGTGTCTAATTCAAAAAACTTTCTATAGAAATTGATCTGGAACATGTGTGAGTTGGTGCTATCTATAGGTATCTGTGGTTGAACAACCTCTGGCTGTTGTTGTCCTGGAGCACTTTTGGCCGGTTTTGTAGCATTCTGTTCATTATCTGGAACAACGTATTGCTGTTGTGTGAAATCTATATTAAGCGTTAGTCTTCTTGATATCTATGAAATTCCATCAATTATGTTAATTTTAAAACACGTACCGTCTTGATCGATTAGATCTGGGACATTTTGTTGTGTCTATAATATTTTTGTTAGTATGGACTCCAATAAATTTATTACCATGAGAGACATACATTCCCATCTGCTGAAGATAGCTTATTATATCCTTGAGACATTTCAATCGTATCTGTGCCTTTCGATGTTCAATTGAAAGATGAATACTTGGTTAACTTCCATATAATACTCTTTAAAAAGAAGTTACAGTTTATTTCTTATCACAGTCATTTACAGGTTACATTAAATTATTATGTCTATAACTTGTTCTTTAGTTAACATTAGCTACAGTCGTCAATAATAGGTTCAATTCATTCAATTATGGAAATAGATGACCCGGAGTACCCTAATATTGATATAGATTCTATTACTGGTCAAGAAAATAACGATGCATCGAAAACATATATCAAACAAACGCTTTTGCATTCTCCAATCATTACCAATATTATTCCAGATTTTCACGTACATATCAGTAAGCGGTTTCGGGGACTTCCCAGCGTAACAGTTAATGATGAAGGAGAACAATATTTATGCCCACAAGAAGAGGACTCGCAATTTGATGTTTTTAGCGATGATGATGATTTGCTCTTCAACATTGGTGAAGCACCACCTACAGGCACAGCGAAAAGCAGTAGCGTAGGACCAAACATTAATATTAAGTTAAAATCCATACGTGTTATAGTAAAGACAACGTCGATGCTCATTAATGATGTGGAGTTCTCTTTCAGCGCACCGATCAGATCGTCATGTATTCTTAGAGGAGTCATGGATGGAAAGAACCAAGAGGAAGACTCCTTGATGATATCTTTGAAATCAGGATTTTTATTCTTGATACGAATTTATTATGTTCCCAGGCACTATAAAGATACGGATTATGATATACAGGGCCAAATTCAATCCAACGAATCATGCATTTATAAGCCATTTATTGTTCAATGGTGGGACACATCGAGCGATTTGTCGGTACCTGCGCTTGAATCTTCAGGCTATTCATTAAATTCGCATGCTAGTGGATTATCAGCTGTATCCACGTCAGCTAGTAGCGTCTTTCGAATATATAACTGTCAGCATACCGATTCAGGAATAATGTTTATGCCACATTTTAATGTTCCTGTAGATGGAATCATATTACATTCTTGCTTCGCAGAACCTTTAAACAACAGTGTCATCAATAATCATATTATGTTTCTTATTATGTCATTTACTGAGTCTCGAAGACTAGAATTAAATTTGTATGGTTGGACTTTAGGGGCAACAATCAATAATAATTTAACTAAGACGGCTCTACCATTGGAAAACTCATTTGTGATTCCAATATTTATTATATCCTTGAAGAATAATGATAGTTTTTTATTTGTAAATGAAAAAGAGCTAGTTATCATCAGTGTTCACGATATAATGTCAGCTAATTATGGATTTTATCGTATTCCGTTTACTGGATCATTTCCTACAAGCTACTATCGACCACTTACAAGAATACTTTCTCAAACAGATACGAAAACGGATGAAATTATGATTTCTACTGATAATGGTGTTATATACTCCGTAATAGTATTCGAAAACAATATCCAATTACGACCAGTAATGCGTATATCAGATCCCATATCAGTCTTTTCTTTAGAAAAATCTGATGATGTGTTTAGCTTAATATTCGGCTGTGATACAGGTTCGAGTAGAGAATTATATGTTACAGAATTGTTTTCTGAGGAATACTTGCAAGAGATTGGCACTCAAAAGCCCTGTTACAGCAATGTACAGTTAATAACTGATTTCAAAAATTGGACCCCAGTATTGGATGTTCTGATCATTGACTCATATAAATCTAGAACTATAAACAGTAGATCTGATCAAGAATTGTGGGCGTTAACGGGAATAGGTAGAAGGACTAGACTTACACAGCTCAGAAATGGATATAATGCAACAAGAAGAAGTAGAACTTATGAACAGTTGCGCAAATCTGATAAATTGTATTTGATTACTTTAGGAAGCAGGTTTTACTTATTTTGTTCCTTGCCATTTGCAACAAAAGTATTAGAATATCAACCGCTGAAGGATGAATATCTTGTTGAGATAGAGGATGCTGCGATAGATAACTCTAATTCTTCTTTATTCATTGGGAACATATCACAGAGCCAAGATATTTTAATCCAAATCACTCGATATTCTATTACTATCACTAACTTGTTCGATTTGAACATAACGTCAAAGTTTGAAAACGAAAGAATTTTATTCTGTGATATGCATAATGGATTTTTAGCAATGATAGTGGCGAGCAAGGATAAGGAAAAAAGCACTTCCTTAAGATTGTTCAAAGTGAACAATGACGTAAACTTCCATAAAAGCTTGGAAGACAGTGGTGCACTTGATTTAGTTGGCTCATTAGACATTGCTTATGAGCCTTCGATGATTAGATTAATCGGTCTAGATATGTCACTTTACCTCATCACAGGAAGTTACGATGGTTCTCTATATATTTATCAATATTTGGGAGAGCAAATTTTAGAATATAAAGAATATGTGCTAGATGAGTTTAATCCTTACAGAAATAACGACCTTCGAGAAAATTTTATAATTCCCCATGATTCCGTTCAAACTTTGAGTCCAAGGACGAACTTATATGTTGGTTCCAAGGATGGTTATTATATCCATTTTCATATCGATACAAATTTCGTCTTGAGATGCAAACATTTCCTCAAAATCGGCGATACACCTGTTAAATTTCAAAATGTTCATAATGAGGGCAAAATGGTATTTATTCATTCGAGAAGTCTTTGGCTATTAAATTTATATGATTCAGAATTTCCAACCCAAGTTTATTTTGAAGAAAGACATGATAGAGCAATTTCTGCAATGATACAATTACCAAATTTCGGACTTGGAAATAGTACAATAAGTAATGTGGCTAAGCATTTTGGATTTGTTAGAGAAGAAGGATTTACAATTAGTTCTGTTCATCCGTTCAAGTCGCCAAATGTGAAACAAATAAACATTGCAGAGTCAGCCAAAAAGCTAACATATCTACCGCATCTTTCAACATTTGTAATATTATGCAATTCTAAAGATCCAAGATTACGATTAAAGTTCATCGATCGAAAAGCATTGAAGATCCTACAACACCATGAACTAAATTCGAGACTAAAAAATTTAGATTTTGATGAATGTATATTTGGTCCAGATGAAATGCCTATGGCTGCTTGTATTTGGTCTGTCAAAAGACAGAATAGAGTATCAAAAAAGTTATTAATAGGGAATGCTAATAATGACGACACAGGATCTTTTAAAGTTTTGGACATAACAAAAGCTCAGGATTCAAGGGAAAGTCCAGTATATATACGTGTTACCGAACTCACTTCCTTCGAACATAAAGAGCCCATTACCCATATTCAACAAATAGAATCATCAATATTGTTCTCTGGAGGTAGAACTATTTATTCTACTACATATAATATCGATGAAAGGCGGTTAAAGCCAGTTTCTGCACTTGTAACCCTTACAAGTGACATAATTTCGCTATCTGTTGAAGGCAATAAACTTCTAGTCACGACGAAATTGGATTCGATCTTTCACTTTATTTATAGCAAAAATGATGACGGGGATTCAGATATGTTGAAACTTATATACAAGGATCCATCACCAAAAAGCATCGTGAACCAAACCGAATTAAACGAAAACATTATTGCAGGGGATAAATTACACTCGTCAATTTTGATTATGAATACAAGCGATAGCAATTTAAGGGATATGTTTTCTTATAAGATGTCTAGTATTCCTAGGGTTTATGCTTCTAAGTTTAATTCTTATTGGGCTAACCATGAAACCTCTAAAGAGCTAAAATCGAAAAGCAATAATTCGAATATTCTATGCGTAGGTATTAATGGAGAGATAACATCAATCCGATCACCTTCAAGCATAAATGACGAATTAGGAAATCTTGCAAAGTCATTAAATACGGGAAAACTGATAGATGGACTGATTGAATCGTTCGTTGAGGTTTTGAATAGGCCATTCATCGACAAGGTGACAGGAAAGGGCTTGAGCTCTATTAACAAGCCATATTTTAACTATAAAGACAATAAGGGCAAACTAATAGATTATGATTTAGACGAAATATCGAAACTATGTGATATCAATGTATCTATTTAGCGTATTGCATTAAGAACTAAATATGTATATTCAAATGGTTTACTGTTAATTAAATAAATAGAGCTCATTAATGAAATATTTGTACGATTGGAATTTTATTCTCCAACTTCATCATTTTCTGCAATAGGATTATGTTCTGAATCATTTGATATTCCAATATTTGATAGCTTTCTTCTAAGTCGTTCTTGCCTGAATTTCAGTGCTGCAGACATACGATCAGTAGAGCTGTTTTCATTTACTCCTCTTAACTCCATCAACAAATCCCTTGCCCTCGAGCCAACATCTTTTTCTCCGTCTACTACTTCCTCGTCATTTAAACCAGTTTCTGCATCTGTTGAGTCCGCTTTTATTTGTGAATTAAATGTATCACGAGAAGGCGAATGTAATGTATGTTCATCTTGAGAATCGGGAGAAGGTGGCGGGGATAGTTGTATGCTTGCTTTCAGGGGACTTTTTCTCAGACTTTCCAATAAGTGTTTTCTCATTAGTGCCCTCTTACGTGCAGATGAGGGTTCGCCCTTCAGAGGACCTGCAGCCTTCAATTTTTCTAGCAATGAATCCATGACATTAGAATCACTGTCATCATTTGGCTCTTTATTTTCCAGCTGCTTTCTAGTAGGAGTCTCATATAGTTTCTTCCTGTTTTCATAAATTCTAAGTTCTTCTTCACGCTTAATATTTTCGGTTTGCGCTCTCTTGAAATCTTTAGCAAAGTTTGCGAATTTACTAATAAAAGAATTTCTAACAAACGAATCTGTTGGATCTTCACCAAAATACCTCATCAATTGATCAAGTTCCTTCAAAGTGTATCCGGATTGGTCTAATAACAATTCGCCTTTTCTTTTTGCTCTGGGCAAAACAGGAAGAACCAGTTTTAATATTTTATCTTGAGGATGAAATTTGGAAACATCACTCAAATTACCGATGTCAATCGAACTCTGTACATTCTTGATACTTTGTGCGTAATCTTTGCAATCATTTGCAATAGTTTCAATTGAAAACTTCGCAATTTCTATGCATTTAGATAATTCATCTAGGAAACTTAATAATTCTGGATACTGTGTCCTGATGATTTTCTCTACGTAATGCAAAAACGTCATACTATTCTTGTCATCCTTCATGAAACTTAATCTTTGCAAGGAGCTTAATTTGAAACCTTGAGCTTGTTTTGTAGAATCATTCATATAATTACCTACAGTCAAAATAATCTGAAACACACTTTTCAAGTGTTGTGAATTTTTAATTTTTTCCACCGCTTCATCAATTGACCTCAATTTAAAAACAAGTTCCTCGTATTCTTTTTCAAAAGAAGATATAACTGTTAACGCTCTTATTCTAGATTTCCAATAATGCTGCAAGTTATAAATTAACTCCAAATAAATTCTATCAGGTTTTTGTAATTCATTTGGATCCTTGTCGGGTTTCGAAATTTGATCCATTTTGTAATCAGTCGAGTACGGCTCAAAATTTCTTGCTAAGGTATTGGTAACTTCAACAATATCTTCTTTGCCTAAAAATTCCAAAATGGCAGGGTTTGTAATGATATCTTTATCACATCTCAAAATCTTAGCAACAATTTCCTCATCCGATAAATTATTGAAAGAATGTAAATTGATACCAAACTGTTGTGCAACATCACGCGATAAGAAGGATAACTTGTCGATATCTTCCTTCTTCTTTGTTGCTAACTTTTTAATTTCTTTAGCAGCAAATATGAGTTCAATTTCATCAAAAATTCCCTTTGTCATCAAATCATTAGCTATGGTATTAGTTTGAGAATTCAGCCAGAATGAGTTTGAAGTGTTGTTATCAAACTTTTCCCAGTGCAATTGTTTCAACTTCTTCTTCGGCCTTGGGTAATTGTCAAATGGGCCTGGAACAGGCGAAGCCGATGTCGACTTCACTGTCTCCTTAGGTACTTTCCCAGTAGGGAACGGAGGAGGAGGTGGTGGTGGTGGAGCAGGAGATCCTGAACCGCTGGATAAAAATGGTGGAGGTGGAGGCGGTGGAGGTGGAGGAGCTGCTGTATTGTTTCCTGTGCCACCGAGTATTGATGGCATAGGTGGTGGTGGTGGTGGTGGCGGAGGAGGAGGTGCTAAGCCAGAAGAAGGGTCTAATGAAGGTGGTAGCGGAGGATCAGGAGAAGGATTTAAAGTCTGTTTAGACTGCTTAGTTTTTGGCTCTTCCACATTATTAGCTGATTTCTCTTTTATATCATCAAACCCATCAATTGGTGCAGCTTTATTAACCGTCGAACTTAATTCTTTTAAAAATTTAGGATCCATACCATCGGTTGTAGTGTTTCTGTGTTTTCTATAATCACTGGTGTTATTTGTAGATTTAATAGTTCCTTCAGCGGTTGGTTTTTTGCCTTGCATGTACTTAGTTTCTAATCTTTGCATAGTGTTTTCAGATTTCGTAGAGTTAGCAGGCTTTATATTCAATGATAACAATTTTATTTCCAAACTCTTCTTCAACTTCTCAACTTGTTCTAACTCTTCGTGAACCTTTGCCTTTATGCTTGGATCAACATGTTCAAAACTGAATGATTTAGATTCTTCTTCATCGACACTAAAATCTATATTGAAATCTTTAAAGTTATCTTGCAATTCTCGCAATCTTTCCATTGCTAAGTATTTTTGTTTATTAAACATGGAGCTGTTGTTGAATTTCATAATATCATTTGATTCACTTTGCAAAGACGACAACTTCTTTCTTAAAGAGTCAAGCTTTTCTAAATCATCCTCTCGACATGGCCTTGGGGGACCTTTGGGTGCATCCAAATCTGGAACCTCTACAATGCTATGAGCTGTTGATTCCGCATCTTCAAATTCATCTTCAGAAGTTTCTGCTAACTCTTTTGATTCTATAGGATCATATTTAGGTTCGGCATTACTGAGGTCTGGGTCCACGTACGTTTCAAAATCTGTCATTTCTAATTCTCTAGCCATATTTTCTATATCACCCATTTGATCTCTTAATGCTCTTAACCTTGAACTTGGTTCTACTTGAGTACCAAATTGTCTATTATCTAATTTATACTCAGCTTTTCTCCTATGAATCTCCTTTTGTAATTTTTTAACCAATTTTTCATTACTCGTTTGAATCAGTACGGTTGTCTTAGGACCATTCCTCTTTGATTCAAGAATGGCATTATCATTTAGCATAATTAACATCTCTCTCATCTCTAATTCTTGCTCTTGTTTCTCGACAAGATGTCTTCTTTTCAAATCTTCTAGCTCTTGACTTAACTCTTCATTTAATCGTCTTGTTCTATATAGAACAGTTTCTTGCTCTTTAATCTCATTGGATAAATTTGTAATTAAGCCATCAGCACCCATTGACAACTGTCTAGATAACTCATCTCTTTCGGCTGTAGCTTCCTCAGCTATTTGCTTGAAGTTTCTTGCTTCCTCGATAGCCTTTCTATACATATCGTCGGTACTTAAGCTTGAAAATAACTTGTTGATAGCAATTCCTACCGCTGAATCATCATTTGTCGTGTGAACCATTGTAACATTTTGAATTAAACCATCCAACAATTTCAAACTTCTTAATAATTCATCAGCATCGTCTTTTTTCTCAGACTGGTTAAGATATAAATGCTGGATTGCACTAAGAAAAAAGCCTTGTGCTTCACTATTCTTGATATTCTTCCATAGTGAACCAACTAATTCGACAGGATCATTGAAATCAAGATTTTCATCAATTTGCTCTTTACTTTTTAAATAACTTTCATCACTGTTAGCTAAGTCTATGAATTTGGCACATTGTTGATTTAAATTTTCATAATTTAATTCTTGGAATTTTGCAAAAAGTCTATCAAGCCCTGCAGAATAAAATTGTGCTCTTAAATGTATTCTAACTCTGAAATCAACTCCATACTCAACTATTGTATTAATCAATAGCATTGTGCCTAGACAATACTCTAACAAATGATTTTCAAGATTACCTTGATTAGAATTTCCAGTATAAGCAAATTTCAATTCTTCACTGGCACCAACTAACGAGTTCATATACTTCCCTTTACCATCAATAATCTTCTCCACTGATTTCAACCACAACTCAAACCTCTTGTAAGATTCTCCAGCGGGTGGTTTTCTCACCAATTTCTTTTTTGAAGAGGTACTGTGGGCAGCATCATTTCCTGACTCAAATTCAAAAAATGGTTTAGTAGATATATTATCTAATGCTCTTAGTATCTTGTGGTAAGCATCTTGATTATCATTGTCATTATTGTGGCTATAGTAGGCTATCATAAATGTCAACGATTCAGCAGCAATTTTTCTAGTAAGTATTCGAGGGGATAATAATGAACCTGAAACGGCATTAACGTATAAATTAACGTCGGTCCTAACCCTCTCGGCACCTAATTTTTGATTCATCATACATTTCAATGCCTTTAAAGTATTGAACTCCTTATCAAAAATATCATCATTAATATCATTTATATCAACTTGATTGATCGAATCTTGAATTTTAATCAAGTATGCAGACAATATCGCATCACCCTGACAGTCATAGATAAAACTTCTAACCCAGTCTATAGGTTCAGTTCTTAACGACACCCAAAGATTCTTCAATTGCTGGGCAGTAATAGTCTTAGCTAGCAATAATTTCGTATAAAACTCTGGAGTAGCATTTTCTTCCTTGTTACGAACTGCTCGCTCTTGTCTCTTATACTCAGTTAAAGCATCTTGGTAAATTAACATCCATTTCTTATCCGGACTATAATTATTCATTTCCTGTTTAGCCTGCGGTGGTAATGACTTAAAATCTCTTTTATCCATCAAATCACGAAACATCCTATCGATTTCATAAACCAGGTCCGGCCTCTCTAGCACAAAACCATTTGCACCATTATTCGAAGTTTCATTTGCATTAGCTAACGATAATGATGGCTTGGAAATCATGGAAGAGCCGGTAGGCTTCCTTGATAATGCATTATTGTGTACTGATCTCGAAGTCTTAGTTTCATACGGATTAGAAACCGTAGATATGCTATATGTTGATGCATGTCGAGAATGATTGGAATTAGTGACCTGAGGCGTAGGTACTATATTCGTATTAGATTTATTGGTCGACACTACGCTATTGTGCCGTTTATTATTATGACTTATATTCCCAGTACCACCACTTAGTATGCTCGACGAGTCGAAGGATGATGTATCACTGTAGCTTTCATTAACGCTTTGATTCCTATTCTTCTTAAGACTGAAGAATGAGCTAGTGGAGATTCTATTTGTATTATTATTGTTATTATTATGCCCCCCGGATTGGCCTCCTTGCTTATAGCTATTATATGCTCTGGAATTATTCAACTCTTCATTTATAGTAGAGTCTAATTGATTCGAGTGGGACGATGATGAATCATTTGGTCTTCTTCTCATAATGTGTCAAACTGTTCAAATAACCTTAGATTTCACAATCTACGAAAGAACGTATGCCAAATGTAATTTAACTTCTGTATACTAATATTACTTGATTACTCGCAATATACTGATAGTATTTCTTAAAATATTAAATCAATAATTTATCTATATAGTCAAAGCCCTTCTTGTTTCAACTAAGTTAAATTTGGATTAACAGCGCTTGCTTAACTTAAATGGGCGCGTCACAAAACAAAAAAAATTACCCTATGGGTGAGACTTATTTTGGAGTGTTCTTAAGAGTGTACTTTATTAAATTAAACAGACTATACATATCTATTCATCGTTAATACTTTCTTGGAGCATCTGTAATGTTTGATCTAAATCATTATCTATTTTCTGCTTAAATTGCTTTGATTTGGAATTTTTACGCCCAAGCTGCTGCTTGGTGTCAGAAGTGTCATTGGCCAATACCTGGTCTTCAGAATCCTGGAAATTCTCGGAAGTATCAGCAAACTCATCGTTGTCCTTATCCGAAGAAGGTTCCAAGTCCTTGCCATAGGAGTCTGCGAGCTCATTCTCTTCTGACAACTCTTGGGGTTTGGTTGGTTTAGATGCAGGGTCTTTTGTAGATTTAGATTTATCAGTATCTACAGAGATATCTGAGACATCCTTGATGTTTTTTGAAGTATCATTTCCCAGTTTGGGCACACTAGACGCTGTAGTAGAGTCAGGTTGGTTCGGAAGTGTTGGGGTACTGGGTTGGCTATTTTCGTTGGCATTGTCTTGAACAGGTTTTCTTATGAGGGACCTGAAAGCCTCATGATTCAAGTCTTCGATATTTATTTCATGAACATTTTCCACATTATCCCAGAATCCGAGCTTACTCCAGAAGATCTTGCTTCTTATTAAGTTTAGTATGAAGTATAACTTCATAACCTTGCATTCTTCTATTTCCTCTTCTTCTTTTGTGAGGACTTGTTTATTCTTAGGAGAACTATTGACTTCCAAATCACTCGAACCATTAAAGGATCTCTTGAACTGGAAATTTGGCGTAGTTGCCTCCTCGAACTGTGTGTTTTGCTTTAATTTATATACATTGCTGCTGATGAGTCTTATTTTGGCAAAAAAATCGCAAATAGTTCTCAACTTTATAAGACAGTAGTTACACAATGGATAACTTACTATTACGTCCTGACTTTCAGTATTAGCGCTTGAAGAATCTGGATTCAACAACTTCAAGGAATAAAGTCTTGAGTGTTCCAAAATATCATCTTTTGATTGTCCGCAGAAACTACAAGGATCCTTAGTAGCAACAGGTACATCTTTGTTAAGCTTATCCCCCTTGTAAGCCAATTTAAACGTTTCATTGACACCGCTTATTGGTTCGATGACTGCTTTGCCCTCTACGATGAGGTTCCAAAAGTTCTTTCCCTTTTGCCATCTATTTATAAAATTTGAATTGGCTAGATTTGGAATAATAGGGAAACTATTTTCCAATTCTTCACTCCACACACTTCTAAAGAACTTTAAATTTTTCAACGCTGTCAAATCCATATGAAATTCTGGTTTGATTATAGTATAAATGAAAACTTTGAAATCTTGCTGATACTGTGATAGATCAAATCTTATTGCACCAACATTTGGTGAATAAATAATAGTTTCTAGTTGCTTCGCGTACTTCTGGGGGTTACTATCTACATCTTCTTCCGTGTTATTCTTATTTTCATCATCTAGATGATTTGATTGCTCTAGTTTGGGAGTACCAGTTCCTGAAAATGTAAGCTTGTGCTGTTCCTCGATCCTGAAAAATAACTGTTTTAAATCTTTCAATTGATCCTGCAAGTTATCTATAATAGTGTTTTTCTCTTCAATTTCTTCATTCAATTTACGATTCTTCACCTTGAAGTTATATGCCTCCCTGGACGCGTTACTGACCATCTCGTTGGCTTCATTGAATAAAGACGCTGTCAAATCCTCAACTTCTCCCAGCAATTTAGTATTTTGCGCTTCAGCTGTATCTTTCAACTGCTTCACTTTCTCGTGCTCCTTTGTGAGCTCTTCGTGTTTGGAGACTACTTCATTATATTTCGTTTCAATATCACCTAACTTACCCAATTTTTGTTTTAATTGAGTATTGTCTCTATGCATGTGTAATAATTTCTCTTCTAACTCCAGCTGTTTAGCAACTGCGGTAACTAACTTGGTGGACAACAGAGTAACTTCTTGAGTCAATCTATCGTCCATATTTTCGATTTCAGGAGTTTCCGTCATGCTTAACTAGTCAAGCTATCTCAACTTAAGCGCTTGTCTATTTACCAACTAACAAATAAATCTACGAACCGTGTCACAAGTATTCATGAGCCGCGCACACTCTCCACATAGTAGGAATCATTACCTTTTAGATAAGGAAATGATAAAAACATTTAACAACATTTGCTATGCCTACTAAGAAAACAAATTAAACTCGTCAAAGTAATCATTTTAAGCGTATAATATATTATTCAGTTGGTAGATTTATTATTTAGTATTAGTGGCATAAAGTAACGTCTAACTGACAAAACCGTTGAAGGCTAATCGAAATCCATAATTTTGAACGTGACGGAATTCCAGTCACTAAGTCGAAGTAATAAATACTACCCCAACGTAATAGTAAAGTCCGTAATTGTTTAATCACAATGCTGTTGGAGTATGGAATTGATAAAAAGGGTCCTAGGGAAGCAAATACGAAAATTCCATTTGAATCTAAAGTAGATAGTTGCTCAAACTCAGATCAGCATGATCTATATAGGCCAAGGTCGAGCCATTCTATAGATGAATTAATGAAATACTTGAATAAGGAACAAATATCTAAGCAGGCTAAAACTCTTACGTTGGACAAATTGCCATTTGAAATACGATTAAAGATTGCAAATCAATTGTCGCAATTTGATTGCTTGAGTTTGCTAAGAACAAACCGTGCGATGTATTCATCTACAATTCCAAGATTATACCAACATATAATTGTTGACCAGCATTATAGTCAGTTTAACAAAGAGTATGACTTCAGACATTATATTTCGATAGATGGTTTTAATGAGTGTGAAGATTTCTCGTGTTCGTACATAAAAAGCCCTTATAATTTCAAACGCTTTTTGCACCATTACATAAAGCTACACCAATCTCTTGAGGATGATACCACCAACTATAATAAATTTGGTCCAAATGTCACTTATCCATTTATTCGAAAGATTCAGTGTATTGACTTACCGGACTCACTAAATGTATATGACTATGAATTGAATGATAATTTGAGCGTTTTTTTCGGAAAGTTAACTCATTTAAAAGAGTTAATATGGCTAAATGATAATTTCAGGTTGGAATATTTAGAGATGCTACCGAATTATCAATCTATAACAACGTTGGTGTTGAATATAAAGTTTAGCAATTATTTGACTGAACTACATTCACCTAGCAGAATGGAATACGATTCTGATCACTCTGATGTAGGTGAAACCGCCACTGCACGGCCATTGAAGTTTCCTAACTTGATTAACTTTCAAATTAGACCATTTCAGAATTCGAATAGGCTTATTAAGATTATTAATAATCTATTAATTAGTTGTAAGCCAGATATTATAAGTGAGCATTTAAAGATTTTGAAATTATCGCGATTTGATAAAGATATTAGTGTTCTAGTACCGCCATTTCAGAATTTGGTTACCAACAGCGAAATATCGGAGTTAAATGAACTAGATTTAGGAACAATTCAATCCCTATTCGTTCGAAGCGAGTTAAAGTATTTGAATAGTTTATCGATCCTACTGTTTAACAATTGTTTGCTTACGCCGGAAGATTCGCATACATTAATAAATTCTGTTAATCTTGCGAATTTGAAAACTTTGGAATTGAAGAATGTATCTGAATATCAGAAAATACAAGCAACAATTAGTAACCGTGATGAATTAATCAATCACCTAAAAACTAGTTTTATTGTTAAAATCGCCCCTTATTTATCTACTTTGCTGCATTTATGCATTGATTATCGAGAATCGCTAACTGATAGCGTACCTGAATTTCTAAAATTGATATCCAGTGATAAGTTAAAATCGTTAGATCTAACTATAAGATATAACCAAAGTAAACTTAAGTCATTTGATGATGACATCAATGAATTTTACGGTGCTTACTCAAATGCAATAATCTCAGGGAATAAATACGAGACGCTAGTAAAACTTTCAATTGAAACAAAAGAAGAGAATGCATTTTGTGACTTAAGCATTCCGATTCCATCGAATTTTTTTTACGAAGAGTTGAGTAATTGCCTTAATTTGAAAAGCCTTAGAATCAATCCCAGTGATATAAATAATTCTGATAAGGTAGCTAAATTGATCAGTAGTTTGCCCAAGCTAACAAAGCTTGATGTATTTGGTTCACATGCAGGAGGGGCTCCCCATCTTGGGTTAGAAATGGTACATCCAACCGTATATGATGAATGGTTTAGGGTTCAACATGCAGCCATACTATACTTACAGTATAACAAACATTTGAAGTATATTAGAATAAACAAATGCATTTTTGAATGCCAAGGAGATCTGGTTCAAGTTACCCCTCGCGATGGTATCGACAGATGGTTTAATGAGTGTGTGAGGGTTGGGTACAAAATTGATGTGTAGGAGCTCTATTGGTTATTGGATATAAGTTCGGACGAATGTGCGGTAAGATGTGGCTGCAAATGAAGTTGTGTGTAAACGCCCGCAGGCATCTTAAGAGAGGGGCTCAAAGGGAGAAAAAAGTTTTTCGAGATGCAAAATTTCAATTGCCGAAGCGGTTGAGTCAAATTCAAAAAGTATTCATAGAAGTAACTTACAAAAGTATCTAGTAAAACAATCTATAATATATCATTAAAATTAGTAGTAAACCTTGTGATTCTCATTAATAGAAGCACATCATATAAAAATTCGTATAAACATTAAAATTAAAGAAACCGCATTGGCTTATTTGTAAAGCCAATGATAGTATGCGACCATGTAGACCCATGTAATTGTGAAAGCAGCATAAAGCATAATTAGTTTGAGCTTCTGATTGAGAAGCCAAAGATGTTACCGAAGAAAGAACCTTCGAATTTGGAGTCATACTTGACTGAGTTGGATCTGATCTCTTTCATGATCATAGCTTCTTTTTCTTGAGCAGTTAATTTAGCAACAGGGGCAGTTGGGTTAGAAATCATTGTGAGTATTATAATATATGTTTGTTTAGTATAGTAAAGAACTTAACGATAATAAAAATGGTGAAAAGTGTTGCATATTTATATAAAAGTGTTACTCATCTTTATGGCGCGGGCTGGCGGACTGAGGGAATAATCCGGACATACGTGCACCGCAAATTTTCCGAAGGCGGTTTCCATCTGACCGATCATAGCACCGTAACAGTCGATTGCTAACTTTTTAGGGTCCTAATCTCCCTGAAAACAGTTTGATGAACCTGATGAGGAGAGCATTCATACGGTGTTTAGAATGAAAGACCAAAAGAAAACAAACTGGGTTCTAGTGAAGGTTTTAAAGACCGATCGAAGATCTTTTGTGTTAGGCACAATATGCCAAAAAGAGTGGGAGGAGAAACTCCGCAACCGCATTTCTAGATACCGTTTTGGTCAGCTGACATGATTGTCGCAATCTCCAGTAATCTTTGATGTTAATCCGTTCAGCCTGCGCTAAATTTCCACTCGCCCGAAGGGAACATTTTTGATATGATATCAGGTGACAAGAACTAGCAGACTTTAAGATGAGACATTTCGCGACAACATGCGACATTAGAACCCTCACGCGACACATCACGGGGAATAGCTCATTCGGACATTTGCACGACGTTATCCTACATCGAGCATGTCTTGTGTGCGGCTCTGTCGAAGTAGCGAACAACATGTGCTCTTCCTTACCCTAAAAAATAGCTCATACGCAACATAACAATCTAATAATTCATGCATCTTCGTATAAATCGCCTCATGTACGTCTAGGGCCCACGAGATCAATCAATTTCTGTCCAATACCCTGTTACTGATAGTTCGATACTCCCCGTCTACCGTAGCCGAATTTAGCGTATGCCAGTGCCTTGCCCACGCTATCCTCGTAATCGCTCCCTTATATTCTGTTGCCGTCATAAACACCACGTTACTACTCAGGCATCAAAAAGACTATGGCCCACGGTCTCACGAGAGGCATTCTACTAATACTACATCCATTACTACCATACTATTAAAACCTGTCACCAGGCGGTACCGCTTATAATGTTTAATGTTCTTCAACATATCACAATGCCCACATGTCAAATCCTGCAAATTTGTTCTCTACTTACAAAGAAAGTGTTGTTTACTTCGTACTACCTAATAAAACCTAGGCGTTACGACCACATACGAACCATTAACAATACACCTACAATTCGCCAATACATTGACCTTGTGGGCCCTTACCGGGCGGTCAATCAGTTCGTGGTAACACCTCTTAACCGCTTGTGTTTCAATCCCTGTAGACAGCTAATAGAACACACGTGACTATTAACACGATTGAATTTCTCTTTGTTTACATGTGACAGATCATGTGGGTATGTCATATCTACTAACAGAGAGATAGGTCTTGTGGTGTCCTACCTCACGAGGTAATCGAGGTGCGAACGACAATCTTGGCAACCGCACAACTCGGCTACTTGCCTATTGATGGCGATCGTGTGACTATTAAGGTGCGTGTGAACAACGCACCCGCGTATAAACGAAGTGGCTATCATCACCACGTTTATCAAAAAGTCTTAGCTATCGTGCGAATACCACTAAACGTGTGCTAATTTCGCTGGTAATTTTAGCTGCAAATAATGCTCGTACGACCAAATGCTATATGGAGACTCCACGTGGTGGGAAATAGATGGTTTAGGCTTCTAAACCAAGAAAACCATCAAGGCCAAGGTTATTATGGTTTTTGACACCTTATGACAAAGGTTGATCTGTGGCAGAATATCTGACACACCGTAGAGAATAATTGCGTAGAAGAGTTTGGTAGTACCATTTATAGTGGGTTTAAGACAGGAGAGCGATGTAGATTGGGGGCCTTGAAATTTCGCACTGCAGCCTCGTAATATCATAACGGCGCTATCAGGCGCTAATAAAACACATTAATTAATATCCCAATTCTGTATATGGCCCACGAGATGCAATACATTTCCAGGCATTTCTTTTACCGACAAGAAAATTATTTAAATGAAGCAAAATATCCCTATTACAATAATGTTTTTTTAGTGTTAGACAATCATAATATAATAAATAAAGATGAGCAGCATTACAGAAGAAATTAAAGCTCACGAAGTGTCTAACTCAGGTGGTAAGACTGCTTTCAAAGATTACATTGGAAAGTATGCTCACATTGAGGACCCATTGGAAAGAAGAAGATTAGCCTTAGAAGATATTGATAATGCTGGATTTGGATGGACTCAAGTCAAGATGATTTTGATTGCCGGTGTTGGTTTCATGACTGATTCGTACGATATTTTCGCCATTAATTTGTCTGTTACCATGTTATCTTATGTTTACTGGGCTGGTGCCATGCCAGATTCCACTACCACTTTAATTAAGGTTTCTACTTCTGTTGGTACCGTTATTGGTCAATTAGGATTTGGTATTATGGCCGATGTTGTTGGTCGTAAGAAGATTTATGGTTTAGAATTGATAGTGATGATTGCAGCTACTATTTTCCAATGTTGTCTTGGTGAAGCCCCTGGTGTGAACTTTGTCGCCATCTTTGCTGTTTTAAGAATTATTATGGGTATCGGTATTGGTGGTGATTATCCTTTATCTTCCATTATCTCTTCCGAGTTCTCTACTACCAAATGGAGAGGTGCTATTATGGGTGCTGTTTTCTCTAACCAAGGTATTGGTCAAATTTTGGCTGGTGTTGTTGCCATCGTCTGTGTTGCTGGTTACAAAGACCAATTGATTGGCGCTACCATTGATTCTACCACTAAGATTGCTGACTGTGATGGTGCTTGTCAAAAGGCTTGTGATCAAATGTGGAGAATTGTTATCGGATTCGGTTGTGTTCCAGGTGTTATTGCTTTGTACTACAGATTAACCATTGCTGAATCACCAAGATACCATTTGGATGTCGATGAGCACGATGATCTTGAAAAGGTTGTTGAAGCTGAAGTTGTTCTTGACAAGGCCGCTGCTGATATTGCTCCACCAAAAGCTTCTTTCACTGAATTCTGTAAGCATTTCGGTCAATGGAGATACGGTAAGATTTTGATTGGTACTGCTGGTTCTTGGTTTATGTTAGATGTTGCTTACTATGGTTTAGGTTTAAACACCGCAACCATTTTACAAACTATTGGTTACGCCGGTGGTGACAATGTTTATGATGTTTTGTACAACTCTGCAGCCGGTAACTTAATTTTAGTTTGTGCGGGATCCTTGCCAGGTTACTGGGCCACTGTTGCTACTGTTGATACCATTGGTCGTAAACCAATTCAAATCGGTGGGTTTGTTATTTTAACAATTTTATTATGTGCTATTGGATTTGGCTATGATAAGTTAAAGAACGACACTACTAATGGTTTATTAGCCTTATATGTGTTGTGTCAATTTTTCCAAAATTTCGGTCCAAATACTACCACATTCATCGTCCCAGGTGAAGTTTTCCCAACCAGATACAGATCTTCTGCCCATGGTATTTCAGCCGCTTCTGGTAAAGTCGGTGCTATCATTGCTCAAACCTGTATTGGTACATTAATCAACCATGGTTGTTCCGCCGACGAAAAGAACTGTTTCTTACCACATGTTATGGAAATCTTTGCATTATTCATGTTGATTGGTATCTTTACCTCTTTATTAATTCCAGAAACCAAGAGAAAGACCTTGGAAGAAATTTCTGAAAGATACCATGGTGAAATTGATGCCACTAAATTAGTTCAAGACAGAATGACCGAAGTCCCTCGTGGCCAAGATGATTCTTTCAGCTCAGATGTAAAACAATAGGTGTTTTTCTACCCTTCAAATTTATTTTCCCGTCATTAATCGATTATATATAGATATTTATTTTAATTCGTACTTTTTAATTTTATTAATTGTGTTTCGTACTTGAGGTGTAGATTTGAGTATTAAAATAATTCTCATAAATTTGGCTTTTACTATACGTTTTTTATCTGATAAGAATGCTTAACAGTTATCTAAAATCTAGTAAATTCCAAAAAAATATCCCTGAATGGATTGCTGTGCTAGTTCTTCTATTGATATTTTTCTACGTCGTTGAACCAGCGAAGCCTTTTCAACGACAATTCAAGTTATCGGATCCTACCCTTCAACATCCATTTGCGACTACTGAACGAGTTACCGATAACCAGTTATATATTTTATCATGTCTTTTACCATTGGTCATCATGATACTTATAACTAATTTGCGGAGGAAAAATAATGTGAATTTGAATAATTTTCATGTTTTGCAAGTATCATTATTGGGGTTATTTGTCTCCTTGAGTACCAATGGAGTCATTACAGATATATTGAAAAACTGGATTGGCAGACCCAGGCCAGATTTTTTGGCTAGATGTGGGCCTACATCAACTACACCATCGAACACATATGTTGGAATTGAAGTATGTACTGCACCGTTGGGCCAGATGTATCTCTTAGACGGTGGTAAATCTACCCCTTCTGGACATGCGTCACTTTCATTTGCGGGCTTATTTTACTTCTATTTATGGCTCTTAGGCCAATTCAAATTGAGAAGGGAGTCGTACTTGTGGCAACATCTTGTTGCATTAATCCCAATTATATTGGCAATTTTCGTTGGATTGAGTAGAACTCAAGATTATAGACATCATTTCTTTGATATTATATTTGGGAGCGGAATTGGTATTTTGATAGCCTTCGTAGTTTACTTCAGATACTTCCCTGATTTGAATTCGGAAAATAGTAATGTTCCAATAACAGTTGATGATAATATTTTACCCACTTAAAGGTTTTGATACGAAGAGTAACGAAACATATTTTTCAGAAGCTGCATATGACGTACATACGATATAGATCCATGTTGGCCGTTATAAACTTTCAACGCACTGATAAGGATTATATAAATTTAGTTGTCTACAATTATGAAATAAAACAGCCGTTTATTTAACTTAATTGTCCGTTGAGGACCCCTTATTAATGTAATAAAAAACTCTATCCTTATATCAAATAATAAATATGACAAAAATTAAAATTAAAACTTGGAAGTAAAACCCGCCTTATAACTTTTAAAATGGTGAAAAAAATGTTGCAACAAAAATGTAATCATAAAAAAAAAAATCAATAGTAACTATTAACACATAAAATCAACGAGTTGAGCGTTGATTTAAAATAAATTCAATGGAGTCATTACATTAATCATTAAGTATTCCATACAATTAAACCTGGATGGTAGATAACCTAATATTTTAATTTCTTTGGTTGTTCCCAAGAGTTTTCTTGATTGGTGAAGTGACCGTAAGAAGCAGTCTTAAAGTAGATTGGTCTAGCTAAATCTAATTCCTTGACAATAACACCTGGTCTTAAATCGAAGTTCTTTCTGACGATAGCGACTAACTCTTCAGAAGAGTGCTTAGAGGTACCGTAAGTATCGATGTGGATGGATAATGGTTCAGCAACACCGATAGCGTAAGAAAATTGAACTAAAGCTCTTCTAGCTAAACCAGCGTTGACTAAGGACTTGGCAACCCATCTAGCGGCGTAAGCAGCAGATCTGTCGACCTTGGAGAAATCCTTACCGGAGAAAGCACCACCACCGTGAGCACCCCAACCACCATAAGTGTCGACAATGATCTTTCTACCAGTTAAACCGGCATCACCTTGAGGACCACCAATGACGAATCTTCCAGATGGTTGAATGTGGTAAGTGGTCTTGTCATCTAATAAGTGTTCTGGAATAACCTTCTTGATGATGTGTTCTAAGATTTGAGTTCTTAAGTCTTCAGTGGAGATTTCGTCGGCGTGTTGAGTAGAGATAACAACGGTATCGACCCTACGTGGAATGACAGCACCACCGTCCTTTTCATATTCGATGGTAACTTGGGTCTTGGTATCTGGTCTCAACCAAGCTAAAGCACCAGATCTTCTAGCAGAAGCCAATTCAGCGTTCAACTTGTGGGCTAATAACAAGGTCAATGGCAACTTTTCGTCGGTTTCATCGGTAGCGTAACCAAACATAATACCTTGATCACCAGCACCTAATTCTTCCAAAGCTTTTTCGTAGTGCAAACCTTGAGCAATATCTTGAGATTGTTGTTCAATGGCAACTAACACGTTACAAGTGTTGTGGTCGAAACCCTTTTCACTGCTGTCGTAACCAATGTGCTTGATGGTTTCTCTAACAATCTTTTGGTAGTCCAATTGGGCCTTGGTGGTGATTTCACCAAAAACCATGATCATACCGGTTTTAGCAGCAGTTTCACAAGCAACCTTGGATAATGGATCTTGAGCTAAACAAGCATCTAAGATAGCATCAGAAACTTGATCACAGATCTTATCTGGGTGTCCTTCACCGACAGATTCGGATGTAAATAAAAATTTTTCACCAGCCATATTTCTTGATTTATTTTTCTATGAGGTAACTACAATTACTGAACAATTGAATTAGTAGTAATGTTAATTTTTGAAAAACTCAATAAGAATGTATTTTCCAAATAAAGAATAAAAAGAAAATTTTTGTCCAAAATTTCCAAACTATTTATATTATGAGAGAAACGTTGGCATAAGATACCATCGGAGCCACAACAAATAGAAATTTTTAACTCGTGGAAATTTTTTTGCGAATCACATGCAATTGGGCCAACATGGCCAATGTCGATTCGCACCGATTAGGCATTCTCTATTGTTAAAATGACTAGATAAACGAGATTATGACATATGATTACATAAGCACTAGACCTAAACGTCGATGTCGTTATATCTGTCGTTTACATGTATTATACGACATAAATGCGACATAATATACGATCACCGGGGGTTTGGCGATTGTGCAGGTTGTAGCACAAAATCGCCAAAATACGCGTTTTCTGAAACTGGTAAACAGAAGAGATACTACACGTTAAACGCCAAAATAGTAGGAGATGGACAGTTAGATAAAAAGAAGCAAAAAGGCCAGAAAAGGTTGCGGTAGAGTTGATAATAGTGATTAGTGGAAATATGAATCTCTTAGATGAATTGGAGGACCATGGCGGTCACCACCAGACGTATATCGACACACAGGTGATAGGTAACCAAGAAGATTTCAGTGATGCAGAAACGGCTGAAGGGCCATATAAAGAGACTCAGGGATCTATGCTAGGAATGAACTTCAATATAGGGGGGATTTCAAAATCTTTGAACGGTCAGGATGTATCAGAGGTACCAGACATGCCAGATATGAGTATTCTCGATAAGGTGAGACAGCGGTTATATGGGGGTGTGACAGACTGTCAAGAGACTCAACGTATAGAACATAGTGACAGAACGGATCAGCACGAGGAGCTAGAAGGTAATGGTGGCCACGAAATAGAAAAGGGGGAAGATTTGATGCAGATTGCTGGAGAGAGCTCTGGACCGACTTCCACTCAAAATGTACACATATTACCCCAGCTCTCGGTTGACGATGCTGAAATTGTTACTCAACCGGCAAAGAATTCCGACGATACAAGCACTGGACGTCTATTTGTATCGGAGAATGATGAGCCAGTCCGTTCTCATGTCATGACAAAAGAAGAACGTCAATTGAAAATTGCACAACTTGCTGAAAGAAAGAGACAAGAAAGGTTGGCGAAAGAGAAACAACAGGAAGAATTAGAGGCTGATATAACACACACTACTCTTACTGATGAAGAGAATGATCTCAATGATCACAATGAATCAGTTGTCACGTCACATGTTTCTGATAAGCAAATGAAAGAGACTGATGAATTTTTGAACATAAAGAAAAGAGAAAAAATCATTCAACCCGAATTTAAGAGGAAAGTAGTATTCACCAAGGATAGACTTTTGTCAGCGTTCGAAGAAGAAGGTTCAGAACAATCGGATATCGATAACAACTCCCAGGATACAGCTATAAAATCCAGTCCTGTCACTTCGCCATTGAAAGTCATCAATAAAGCAGACCCATTAGCTGGCAATAACGACGAGGAAGATGAAAATATATTAAGTTTTCTGGATTCTTTACATTCTCCAAGACAGAAGCCTAAGCAGCCTCACAAGAACCCAATTGAGATATACGCCGAAAACTTGAAACAGCAATTATTATCATCCCCAACAAAAAGCACTAATAACAAGGTTATTAGCTTGGATAGCGATTTGGAATCCGGTTCTAATTCGGAATCTGAAATTGAAACTCAGCGTATGGAAATACATGACGAGCTTAAGAAAATCCCTCAATTGTCAAAGGAGGACAAGTTGTCTATCAAGCAAAGATTTTCAAAGAAGAAAATGTCAGCACAGACACCAGTTTTTGCCAGCTTGCCTAGGCTGTTAAGGAAGATAATGTCATTAGAAAAGAATTCTAATTCGACTTCATTTCTTGGACATTTACGAAAAGCTAATATTAACCAGTTGGTCTCTAATAAACATAAGGATCCTGACCATGAAATATTACAAGAATTAGAAAAAGACGAAGAAGTTATGGGGTCTTTGTTAGAAAGGGAAATGGAAAAAGTGAGAAATATCAGAAGAAAGGAAAAGCTAAGAGAAAAAGCAGCATTAGCTCTTGCCGGCAAAGGAATATCTGAAGATGCTGAAGATGCTGCTGATGAGAACTATGACAAAGAAGACTATACTGATGAAGAAGTTCCTGATAGTGAAATGGATTCGGACTTTTCTTCGAATTATGATTCAGTAGATGAAGATAATGAAGAGGAAGAAAAGCTGGAGAAAGAACAGCTAGAACATGAAGAAAATTTGGACTATAATCCATTTAAGGCTAAAAGAAAAGCAAGGAGAATGGTAGTATCAGATGATGATGATGATGATGGTACCAAAAGTGCGGAAGAATCTCAAAGAAAGAGAAATGACGATAGTTATATGTTTGGAGTCGTTGATGAGAGAGACAATGATGATAGCTTAGGAATAGAAAATGACGATTACATTACAACAGTCAATACTCAAAAGTTAAAGGCTGTATTTGGTACTGGTGCTTCTTTAACACAAGCGTTTGAAAACGGTACACAAGTCTTGAACAAGAAAAACAATACTGAAAATATACTTGATAGCTTAAGAGAAGTAGATTCCGGGGAAGAACAAGTAGAACAGCAAAGCGTACACGAGCATGGAACGGAGGACATTCATAATGAGAATTACGAGCTCTTCAAGAATTTAAAACCAAGAGAATCAATTGCAAATACTGAATCACAAATATCCGAAGATATCAACAAATCAAGTATATTCCATACTGAATTGCCTTCATTTCAAGATATCGTGGAATCAGACATACAATACACGCAGCCCGACTCAATTTCGACACAAGTGGATAATCCTAGTCAATATGACGCTTCTACTCAAATTGATGACGCAACTCAAGTAGTTTCACATATTGAAGCCGCAAATATTACAGATTTTGAAACAGTAGATAAAGAAGATGAAGATGAAGACATAAATCCATCAACTCTAAGAACAGGTCGCAAATTGATTCGTAAGAATGCAACCTTAAATAAAATCATGGAGGATGATGAACAATCTGAGGATGAAAGGTCTCCGGAATATATCCAACAACAAATTAAATTATACGAAGAAAAGATTAGGAGGAAGGAGTTGAAAGCTAGAAGGAGACAAAAGGAATTGGAAAGAATGGGCATCAAAAACGTTGTTGAAGGTGAAGCTGAAGAATCCGAAGATGAATGGCACGGACTCGGTGGCGTTGATGGTGATTTATCTGATGATCAAGCGAATTCAGAAGATGAAAAAATGATAGATAATAATTTCAATATTGATTTAAAGAATGATGATATCAGACGAAAGTTTATGGAAGAATATCAGATTAAAGACCAAAAAGAATTAGAGAAGTTATTAGATGATATTAAAAATCACAGATTAACAAAAAGGGTGAATGGTAATGGATTTGATATTGAATTAAGCGATGAAGAAGATGAGCTCTTGGCAGCTTATAGAAAGCAAAAGTTGAAAGAGCAGAGAGCAAGATTAATGGATAACAAAAAACTACATGCTCTTGCCAAGAATGAAAAATCAAAAGCATTTTTTGACTCTATTCAAGATTCTACTTTAATCGTTAACTTTGATGATGGTGAGGACGATTTGGATGGAGAAATGAAGGAAGAATCAAATGCAAATGCAAAAGATCCGTTCAGAAGCTCAGATAAAGAAGGTAAGAGTGACGAATCCGAAGAAGACGAAATAGAGAAAGAACCTAGAAAGAAAACAATACGAGTCGAAGAATCGTTCGTTCAAAAGCAATTGTCTTTCTTAATGAAAAATGGAAAAGAAGATTACGAGTCTGAGCAAAGAATATCTAATAGACAACATGGATTTGATTCTTCAGAAGATGAAATAGATGATTTGCAGGCATTAAAAAGCAAGAGTCTTAGTAATTTGCATTCAGGAAAAAGATCTGAAAGTCCAACTGCGTTAGAAGAAACACTGAATAAAAGAACCCATGATGATAGTGACACAGATGTCGATGAAGAATTCATGCCTAGCTTAAAGAAACCTTCAATAATAAAATCTTTTAGATTATCAAGTAGTCAACAAGGTATTCAAGTCAAAGACGGCAAACAATTTTCAGGTGTTACTATCAGTAAACAATACAAAACTGCATCAGGATCTAAAGCATCAATTACATATTTATCCAAGAATAAAAGAAACCCTATAAAAAGTTTGAAAGAAAAACAAATTGAAAGGAGTCTTAATAATGCAAAGAATAATAATACAAAATTATTCAATAGTGGAGGCTTTGATAGTTAATATAATGCAAAATTTATTTAGTAGATAGATAAATATAAATAATAATAAAGATAAAGTTAATTGAAACGCTGATATCTCGAGTTATAAAAATTTAACCGCTATAGATCAGTGTTAGATAAATTATAATATACTTTGACTTAAAGCTTCATTTAACGAATTACGACTAACTTTTGTCATCAAAGGTTTCTTAAAAATAGACTGGTCTCCATGATTAACTATTTTGGTTCTATTGGGTCCGATAATTAAATTTGAATGTGCCCCATCCTTCCTTCTTGGGGGCAATCTTTTAATCAGGGTATCATTTCTAATTACGATAGGTCTCTCCTTAGCGTTATTAGTTTGTTCAAAAACATTTATAGACTTTGATTTGCAGTCGCTTGAACTAGAATGTGGTTCATATTTTTTTAACTTTTCGAGGGCTCCTGTATTAACAAAATTCATGAAACTATCCGTTAAAGACTTACTTACTAAATCAAAACTACCACGGCGTACGTTAGAATCCGGTAATGATTCCCCTTGTATTGACTTAGATGGTGAAGGAATATTAAAATTGAATAATGACTTTTTTATTCTATTAGGTGTTTTAGTAGTTGAGGCTTCTTTTCGATCAGTTTTCGACATGACATCATTCAATAATTTAGTCGTATTTCCTTTATTATTTTTATCTCTACTAGAATGAGATATTTGATCACCTCCATGATAATAAATTGGTTCTACTGTTGTTGTTGCAACTTTCAGGGAATTTAAATTCACGTTTTCTACTGGATTGTGAAATTTGAACAGTTTCGATGGAACAGAAGCCGCCAAGGATACTAATTCTTCATTCGTGAAGACACTATCGTGTGATTTTGCTTTTGTAATTATATTAGGAAAAGATTGAGATAAATCAATCCTTGATTTTCGTAAGAAACTTTCAAAATTATCCAATTCCTCAGTTGGCTCTTCAGGGGGATACTCAGAAAAATCTGAGCACACGGATATGCTCTCGATATCAAATTGGTCTATATTATTATTTTCCATGTCAACAGGGGTAAAGGTTGGAGTCTTCTCAAAAGTAGACTGATTGTTATGCTGTTGGAAGGGGTTGGAAAGCGATGTTTCACATCGATTCATGTAAACATGCCGTTGAACATTACCAGAAGATATGAAATGCTTTAATCTATTTAATCTTAAAAGTTCACTGTCGTTGTTACAATCTTGAAATATATTTGACGAATTAGTGTTTGATGTATGAGATTTAAGAATGTTAAAACTGTTTAATTCAAACTTCTCTAATTTGGGAGTTTCAGGCAATGAGTTGGATCGTACCTTTATTCTTGAATGTAATTCACCAAACAAATCTGGAGATGTGGATATTGTGTTTGAGTCATCATTACCGTAGTCTTTGAAAGTGTCCATGATTTTACTAGGAGGAGATTGAGTGATGTCAGTTATCGTGGCTTCATTATTTGATAATGCAACTTTTTTAGGGAGCGGAGCATTGAACAAATCATGAGTAGACAGTCTCTTTCCTATGTTAGAGACTGGTGTAGTTATTTCATCCTCGTCTGGTATAAGCAGTAACATTTCACTTTTTTCTACCAGTTTTACCGTTGATGTACTCAAAACTCTCATGCTTGCCTTCTTTGTAGGCATTCTTTTTGATCTACATCGTATTGGCTTTAATTTTAAGTTCGATACCGAAATCGAGTTGTGGAGCCTTGGGGGAGTTTGGAAATGTGTGGATACAGTAGCCTCTTCTTCCGACACCTGCGTCGGAGTTTCATGATCAGAAACAAAATCATCGTTTCTTGTGAACCTGTTCACGAGAAATCGATATTCTTGCCGCAAGTTATCTAACGTGGTTTCACTAGTCACAACATCGTTCAAATGCATGTTGGATTCTAACAAAAAGGACCTTTCATACAAATTTTCAAATTCACTCAAATATGTGTAATTACTTGATACTAAATCATCCATTAAATCTATCGTCTTATCTGCCTTAGAAATATCATTATTCAAGCTCATAATATCGGTGACCAAATAGTTAGTTTCTTGAATCGAATTCAACAATTGAGTCGATCTTGCATCCAAATTATCCACCAAAGTGATCAACAGATCTAATTTGGTCGACATTTTGGTATATGGTGAATATATGGTAAATTTCTTTGCTTTATCTGTCTTACTTGTCTCTTATTTGACTTACAGTAGCTCCCTATTCGTGCTTTCTCTTAGCATAGTAAAAAAAAACTACTGTGAGGCTCAATGTTTAGGTTCATAAGCGAAACATAAACAAAATTTTTTACGCGACGAAAAAGGGAATCGTTGTTCCAATTTGATCCATTCTGTCATTTTGAGGCAATGTATGGTGCGATCTAATGGGAGTTTACATATGCTTGATATGCTAGATATATTATTAATATACTATTATTATATTGTTACTATACAAATATTCAGTCATGTCTAGACCTTTTTGAGCTAGAACCTTCCTCATCGCCATCATTATGCTTTGATCTTTTCTTTTCTTTCTTTTCCTTCTTTTCCTTCTTATCTTTCTTGTCTTTCTTATCTTTTTTGTGAGACTTTTCTTTTGTGATCAACTTGTTTTCGTAGGATTCTTCTTCTGGTGCTTCAAAGTCTTTTAATCTTTCTTGTTTTTTAACTTCGCTTGCTTCTTCTTGCTTGTCACGCTTCTCTTGTAATTTCTTCATTTCCTTTTCTTTCTTACCCAAGAAATACTCACCACTTTCAATTTGTAAATCGACCTTTCTTGGTAATTGAGCTGGTGGGAATGGAGTGTAAACCTTCTTCTCCTTCTTATCAGTCTTCTTGGACTTCTTACGAGCGACATTTCTCTTTCTAAACATCGGCAAGAATCTGGACCAGTCTTCATGGGCCAATTCTGGGTTCTTGGCCAATTCTTGCTTGATCATCAACTCTTTGATGTAGTAGATAGGGTGGACATTCTTCATGCAATCTTCAACGACTCTTCTAACTTCTTTCAACCCTTTGAATGGACCCATAGCACTCACAGTGTTACCTTGAACTAAAATGTAGCACTTGGTTAATAATTCCAAAGCCTTTAATGTGTTCCCATTTGGTCCAACCAATCTTTGTCTTCTCTTGACAAATCTATCTTTATTGGTAACAAAATTACCGATCTTGATAACATCACAAGCAATATCGTCTTGTAAAATTTTCACTGCTTGAGGGAAAGGAACAGATCTAGCCAACAACTTGATTAAGTCTCTAGCTTTCAAAATAATTGCAGGGTCGAATGTCTTTCTCGTGGTCTTGACTGTCATAGATCCCTCAACTAAATCTAACTGACAATCAATGAAGTATTTATCCAAAGTCCGCGTGACATCACTCCAGATTGTTCGTAAGTACTGTTCTCTGTATTTTGGAAATAAGGTCATAAATGAGGACTCTTCTGTGAAGTGTAACCCAGATGCATTATCTTCTGGCTTGAATTCTTCTATAGCCCATTTGTCTATATCTTCAGTATCCCATGGCTTATCACGATTATGAGTTGACACCATCTTCTTCTTTAATTAGCTCTACTATTGTGCTAAAGGGTATCTGTTAATTTTTAGTAGAGAATTTTTTTTAAGGATGTAAAGGTCACGTGAATTTTGGCATTTTATGAGATGAGGTCTAAAATCAACTGAAGTGTTAAGATAAGCATCTCTAAGCAGCTAGTTGGTACGGTACGATGGCCAAGCAAAACAAGGTTAACAAGAAACACATTGGCGGTAGATCTACTGGAAATGCCATCAAGAAAACTAAATCTGTACAAAAGCCTGTGTCGAAGAGTAAATTAAAGCACCAATCAAAATCTACTAAAGAGAAAATTAATAGGTTGAATGCCAATATGGCCGAATACAACGAAGTCAAGGACTCCTTGATGAATATGGAGAAGCCGGCGCCTGTGAAATATGCGCTAGATGCGAAGGACCTTCAAGCAGATTTGAAAAAAGATGAGGAGATTAAGGCCCAAAATAAACTCGTCGAAAGCGATATATCGAAACAACTAGAATTGATAACCGGAATGGGGTTATAGTATGTCGCTAATATTCATGCTGGGTCATGAATCCTTATTTAAATCCTATGTATATAGAGCTGTCTGTACCAATATATCGTTGTCATGTAAGAATAGCATGGTTGTCCACTTCCATATCCACTTGTAAAATCCAACAGCCGAATGCTACACGACACTTATCTTTGGCCTATAAATAAACGTGTTCACTATTCTACTATACACTGATTCAATTTGGCTTGTATTTTCTATTTGGTGGTTAAGATTTAAGCATAAATATCTGCTTGTCGAGTCGCATCCGATTCACAACCTATTATTATTAGAATTCCACGCATAGCCTATGTCTGTGCAACAATACATAAGCGGTAGGCACTACATAACCTTAAGTGCCCAGAGCCAAAAGAAGGGGTACGCCTTGTCAAATTGATTCCAATTTGTCGCTTCTTTACGTAAATCATGGCTACTGATTATGTAAATATATGACAAAGGAGTCGAACGCGACACGTCTCTATTCTGCAATTAAATTTTAACCTAAAACAGGTTAAAAAAAATTCATCACCTAGATGAATTACGTCTAAAGAAAGGATTTCGATATTTATTCTTCTTTTTCAGCAAGTCCATATTATTGAAAATAGAAGACTTAACAGAAAGTTTTGAAATCAACAAAAATTCCTTCGCTTATAGACCTCAATTGAATTGTAATTTATTGAGAGAGAATTGGTAACATAGTGGACACAGTATTTAACAATATTATCCAACTTTTGAAATTTTTTGCAGAATTGACAACTTTTTAAATTATACAATAAGCACATGTCTTCACATCAAAGACAAGATTCGATAGCGTCGTTAAGCTCGACAGCTACGGGTAATATCCATCCACAGAAGATAGGGCCATGGAAGCTAGGCAAAACTTTGGGAAGGGGAGCAACTGGAAGAGTTTTGTTGGCCACTCATCAGAGTACTGGACAGAAAGCTGCTGTTAAGGTTGTATCCAAATCAGAATTAAACGATGACGAAATAAATAAGAAGTCCGCGGACGAGGCAGGGTTGCCATACGGTATAGAGAGAGAAATTATCATCATGAAGTTGTTGACACATCCAAATGTTTTGAGATTGTACGATGTTTGGGAAACATCAAAGGCGCTTTATTTGGTTCTTGAATACGTCGAGGGTGGTGAGTTATTCGATTTGTTGGTGGAAAGAGGACCATTACAGGAAATTGAAGCCATTAAATACTTCAGGCAAATTATACTAGGAACCGCCTATTGCCACGCGTTAGGTATTTGTCATAGAGATTTGAAGCCAGAGAACTTATTATTGGATGCGGGATTGAATGTCAAGTTGGCTGATTTTGGAATGGCTGCTTTAGAAAGCAATGGCAAATTGCTTGAGACTTCATGCGGTTCACCTCATTACGCCGCTCCTGAAATTGTTAGTGGATTAAAATACCATGGTGCAGCATCTGACATTTGGTCTTGTGGGGTTATATTATTTGCGTTGTTAACTGGTCGATTACCATTTGATGACGAAAATATCAGAAACTTACTTTTGAAGGTCCAAGCTGGCAGTTTTGAAATGCCGTCTGAGTTAAGTTCAGAGGCTGTGGACTTGATAGATAAGATGTTGACTGTAGATCCTATGAAGAGAATTCCAACTGATAGAATATTGTCTCATCCCTTATTAACTAAGTACCCAATTCCAAATGAAGATTTAATAAGTGTCAAAAGTTTGCCACACCCTGAAACTGCCTATAAGTCTTTGGGTTCGGAAAAGAACATTGATAAGCAAATCTTGCAAAATTTATCCATTTTATGGCACGATAGATCCCAAGAAGACATTGTTGAATGTTTACTAAAGACGGGATCAAATCCCGAGAAGACTTTCTATGCGTTATTAATGAGATACAGACATAACCAAGAAGAATCTACTGGCTCTTCACCAACAAGATCAGATTCGCAAAACTATAATAATAAGACTACTAACAAGGATAATAATAGAAAGAAGAGAATGAGCCAAGTCAGTGCTTCAACGTCAAGAAATAGACCAGTCCTGTTTCAATACAAAAACGGCGTAAGATCCTCAATCAGTAATGGAAATGGTAGACTTTCAACACCCTCAAGCGTCAGTAACTCACCTCGCAAATCTCCTGCCCGTCGTTCTTCTAATAGGTATTCTTTTGCTCAATCACCAAGAAAATTTGGTGGAACAAGTGATGAATCTACCCTCCGTAGTTCTTCAGTCCCAAGAAACATTTATAATGAAATTGTTAGCGCCCAAAGAAACGGACAAGCTGCTATGCCTCCTCCTTTGCCATCCAAGGATAATATGGATTCCAAGTCCAATCCGATTGTTAACGAGATAAGTAATCAAGACTTATTATCTTCGGCTAAGATCTCACCAACCAAGAATAAGAGAAGTTCAGTTATCAGAAATAGTATTTCTAAAAACAGATTGTCAAAAAGAAAATCAAGAACTTCTTTCACGCCGGGACTTAAGCGTAATTCGATCACAACTAAATTATTATCTACGTATGCTAAGTTAGCAGGTGAAACTGATTGGGAATTCATGGATAAACAAACAAAGAGGACTTCAGCTACATTCGCCACTTTATGTGATAAGATTTTCAACCAAGAACAATATGATGAAGAAGATGAAAAATTGATTGACGAAGAAGAGAAACAAGCAAAGGAATATGAAAGATTAATGGAAATAGAAAGGAAAAAGCATGAAGCTGAATTAAGAGCCAGGAAAGAATTAGCTAAACAAAGGAAAAGAGAAAAGAGAAAATCTTTGCTTTCATCTAAAAAGCTATCTATATTGGTCAAGGACGATGCAAACAACAGTGAACAAGATATAACTGTAACTGATTCGGATGCACTTTCTCAGCCAAAAAGACAATCCAGGAATCAAGCTATGCGTTCAATTTCTGAAGGACATGCTAAGGAAAATGATGATTTGACGAAGGAGGATCTTGAAAATTTAAAAAGAAGATCGGTAACTCAACCTACTCCTAGAAGAAGAAAAACTCCAGTTTTAACCAGAAGACCAGTTTCAAGATTGGATCCTTTATGGACTGCGTATGAAAATGAAGAAATAGAAAGGGCCCAAGATGCGTTAGAAGCTGAATATAGGGACGCTGATTTCAAGACCAAAAAGAAAATTAATAGAGAATCTATGGTATCGGTTATGGATGTTAACAAAGATGATGAAGGTTATGTCGATGAAGACCAAAATGAGGCTACAGCTACAGCTAACTCTCCTAGTTATGAGTTGCCTGCACCAGATATGGAAAGATCTGATTTGAGTGACGAGTATATGAGTGAAATCAGAAAATCCAGATTATTAAATTCTCAGCTAAATATTAATGCAATTGCCAACGGTGAAAAAGAAGTCAAGCCAAAAAAGAGACAAGATGAACCAAAAACGCTAATTGGAGACGTAAGAATCCCAACAGTTACAAGAAAATCAAGATGTTTTACAAATTCTAATAAAAGATTGTCTGTTTTGAGTATGTACTCAACCAAGCAATCGTATCGTGATTTGAATTCGATTTTAGGAGAAGGTGAAAATGATGAGAATACTGAAGTGGATGGACAATTACCACATTTAAGGACCAGTTTTGCTGACAGATTGGACAGAGCAGGTTTACCGGATGCTGAAGAAGATGAAGAAGAACCATTAGATGAAGGTTCTATTATGGATTTTGATCAGCATCTTGCAAATAAGCGTTCGTCATATTACGCTGGTGATAAATCGAGAAGGCAATCAAGATATTCCACAACAAAACGAAGTTCACAAGCTCCAACTGTAGATGTCCCAGCTATTCCTAAGAAATCAAGCAAGGATGTTGATGGTGAAGATGATACTTTCGTCACTAAGAACGATGAAGTTCATAGAAGAAAGAGCGCTTATTCTGAAAAAAATGTTAATCCTAATAAAGACGAAGATATGATTTTTGAGAATATAAAGTTACCTAACGAGGATAGAAGACAATCTGCTGCTACTTCTAAGTCGAACAATAAGAAGTCGTTTCTACCAAGTGCCGAATCTATGTTAATACCTAATGTTGATAATATTCCCGAAGATACCAAAACGAGGAAAACAGACCCTCGCTCTCAACCATATGAAAAGGTTCGTAAACCTAAGACTACTAATGGGGGATTAGAACTGGCTGATCAAGAGGGCCAAGCTAAAAAACCATTGGTAGATACTACAAATGAGCCTAGGGAGAACCAAAAAAGAAAGGGCTCCATTTTCCGTAAGTTATCATGGGGCTCTAAAAAGACAATGGACAATACAACTACTCAATTACCATCTCCAGCTGATTCAAGGGCTGCTTCAGTTGAAGAAAAGCCAAAATCAAAATCTGGATTCTTTAGATGGTTTTCAAATAGTTCAAATCAAGCTGGTATTGAATCGGAGATTAGAAGGTTTAAAACAATCTTGCCTAAACAAGAAATGTCTTCCGCCTTATTTGCATTATTAAATTCGTGGTCTAATTTCGGATTGAAGAATTTGAGAAACGATACTGTCGGTTACAATATAACTGGTGAAATTTCTAAGAACAATGCATTTAACTTAAAGAATTGTAAGTTCAGAATAAAAGTCAATCCTAGAGAATTTAACCAAAAATCGGAAATCGTTTGCGCAAGAGTTAAAGGATCTAAGGTTACTACTGATACCTTATTTAAGGAAATTGAAAAGGTCTTACAAAAGGAAGGAGTTATGGATGTTTGAGCCATAGTGTATATTATCTACTTTTTATTCGATTTTTTTAATTTGTTTCATTGCGCACTATTTATTTGGTATTTAGAAATTAATGTATACTAATATTGAATTTAAATTTAAGATAAATCTATTTAACTATATGTAATTCATGCCCGGTAGTAGTTAAGGGTTGCATACTTACCTTGGCTTTTTTTTTCTTTAATAGATACTTTATTCCAGTTCAGCTATACGAGAAGAGTCAGAAGCAGGAAGCTTAACAAAGGAATGGTTGTTATCAATCATAAGAACGAGCTCCGAACTATCATTTTCCTTTGAAATAACGAACTTATTAGTATCTGCATCAACTTGCTTCTTGGGCTCAATAAAAGTAGGCCCAACCGTGTCAGTAATTTCTCCAACGCCCCATTGGGTTAACATGGAAGAGAATGCAGTTGCTAAAGCAATTTCCCTGTCAATCTTGCTTTCATTAACCAATACTTCAAAATCAAACTTAAATTGTCTCATCAATTTAACTTTAGCTACTCTTTCTCTGATCTCTTCAGCTCCTCCATTTGGATTAATTACCTTCTCTAAAAACTTGGAACCTCTTGCCCAAGTATATTTTGCACCATCATTGGTATAAAAGCTTCGATTCCCACCACCTAAACCGTAATCAACACTTATGTCACGATGAGAAATTCCAGATTTCGTGTGGAAGTCAACAGAACTACTAAAGACTCCAGAATTAATAGTAGCAACCTCCCGTCTTTCAGGAAACGTTAACATGTTCCAAATAGGATTAATTGCTGACAATCTTTCGATTGTATACAATTGCACACCATCATTTCCGAAAACTTTAATGTTTCTTTGTCTATCGTTTCTATCGCGACGGACGTAAAAAGGGACCGGATGGTCATCTAATGGTACCACAGTTGCAGCTGAAGTATGAATATCTAGCAAATTCTTCATTCGTAATTGTTCTAAAACATATGTACTAATCGTGAGTGCGGTGTATAAGCCAAGAACAGCACCAGCTTGAATAACTTGGGACATCTCTAATTGAGTTGAATGAAGAACAAAATCAAATAAATGAAGTGTGAAGAAGTAAAGCCTATTTATGTGTTTATAAGATTTAGAACTTGACCACAATTTAGGTGCAAATATAATTTCCACAAACGAGAAAAGGGTCGCAAATACATTTTTGATACATCCTTACACCGATATTGATAAACAAAATTCTAGTTACTAAATGCAATTTATTAATATATACTAAGACACAAGAAATGAAGGCCAAAATATAGGATTAGAAAGAAGTATGTTTAGAATATACCCCAAACATCTTCACACCCATGACAGAATTTAGAACATGCAACCGAAGCGGATAATGGATAATCTGAAAGACCTATTTTTTCATCGACGAACTCATCAGCAAAATTATCTTTACCTCTTGCCATAGCACCAACAAATACACATATACTTTCATCCTCATCCAAGGTTGACACGTAATCTTGAACTCTCCTGATCTCTGCGTCAAACGACAAGGTGATCTTACGACACTTAGTAGGTAAATGGTCCGTAATTGGGTTTTTGATAACTTTCAATAATTTTTCTTCAGAATTAACAGAACGAATACTCAATTTATGTAATAATTGCACCATCAATCCAGAGAATCTCTTGAAGGTTCTTGGAATTCTCACAGTAGGATTTACCTCTATTAAAACACCTCTAGCAGTTTGAATATACACCTGTAATTTACCAGCTTTATTTATAGGAGAATCCAATAATGTCAATAAACATTGATGGGTGATATCTGGTCTAGCTTCTGCGATATCTCTGCCCATCTTTCTTAACAAACCTTGGTGATCGTCACAGTTTAATAAAGCAAATTTATCTCCACTTTGACCTTTGCTACTCATCTTATGTGTTTCCAAACATGCTTGTGATAATACTACAACTAATCTCTTGGTGGTTTTATCCCTGGAGCTAATTGCAGTTGGTTGAACCGGAACAAGCGATGCTGAAGGGGCCGATGGCTTTTCTTGTTTATTAACTTCCGTATTTTCAGCCATTTTTCTTAATGACTCACGAGTATATTATTGGAAATGCTGAATAACGTCACTTAAAGTATATATGACTCTTAGAACTGACAGAGTTGTAATGCTAGTCAATTATACTAGTTATATCGATCTCGAAGAAATTTTTCATCAGAAATAAATTTAGAGATGAGCCGCAAAGTGTTTAGTACGAGAAACAAGTGCACGACTAAGTTATAGATAGTACTGTTATATGTATACACTAATTACTAACACATTATCATCATTTCAATAGAAATGGAAATATCTTGAGGGATTAGAACAATGTCGCTTTCAGATGACGATTTTGATGACGACGACGATGAAATTTTACTTGCATTAACTAAAGTTAAATCAACTCAAAACAGACAAGTAACAACTCCAAATAATATTGATAAACCAACACAGAATAATAATAATACACAGCTACCTAGCGATGATATTCAAGTTAGGTTAAACCGCTCAGATGGAGAAATTGCAATACTTCGAGCACAACTTCAACAATTGCAAAATCAAAAGCAAGAAGACTTGAATAAGTTGAAAGAATCGTATAATATTGATAAACTAAAAAATGATGAACAATTGAAAGCGCTTAAGTTCACTGTTCAAAAGTTAGAGGATGAAAAGAAGTTTTTAAATAATGAGCTCAGGGGTGCAACAGCAATAAAAAGAAGAAAGCTTCCAAATAGGGTTGATGAATCTATGATGGATATAGACGCGATGTCCATTCTGGACCCCCAACAAGCTAATGGAGTAACATATAAACACGAACAAGCAGAATCTGTTGAGCCAGAGACGGAATTGAGGCCCATATTACCACAAAAAGTTATAAAGATACAAAATGATGCGTCGCTCTTCACTGATCATATTTGGAATCATTGCATAAATGGGAGTAAGCGATCAACACTCAACTACCTCAGCAAGATCTATGTGGATACTGATATTCTGGTTCATGACTTTAGAACAAATGCGAAAATGCCCTTGTCTACTGCCATAACTGAATATCTCATGTTGAAGAAAAACCTGAGGCTAGATGAACTTGTTGCAGAATTCACGCAAACATTATCTGACTTAGTCGAGATCCTTGTGGAAAAGAAGCTTATCTTATCAATCCCTTTTTTACTAGCATTGATACACGCGTCTTTGAACTTTAGATCATCAGCAGTCAGTCAAGCATCTATTAAAGCATTATTAGAATCAATTTGCAAATTAGCGTTAAATTTTACATTTTTATTAGACTCGAGTCAGGACGAAGAGGATTTTATAAATTATCATGATGTGCCTAATCAGGTCATGGTGTTAGAGAAATTTGCACTTGTATGCTGTCTTGATATAATAGAAAAATTGATGTCTTTATCCTCGCTTTTTGGAGCAAGATTTATTGATACAATTTGGAAAGAAAACTACATTAAAGTTGAATTATTTAGAAAATGCCTACCCGAGAATACTGAAAGATTCAAAAATTTTGCACAGATTAATTTGATTTATAATTTTGTTGAAATACTAATGTCATCAATAAGTGAAACCACATTTGCATATGATGGTGCACCTAATAAGGTGCTGAATGAGTCTATAATAAATTCTCTTTTAAAAGTATTTCTTATTGATTTACCCGTTAAAGATGATTTCATGTTCTATGGGTTGAATAGGATAATAGGAAACAATATTGATTTTAACAAAGTGGATTGCATAATACCAACTTCTGAAACATTGCTAAACCATTCAATGATATGTAGGCCGTGTCCTATTCCCTATGAATATTTACTAGAAAAGATGGTTCCAGTGAAGAAAGAAAATAACTTGAACAGCAAAGACCTACAGATGAATCAATTAGCATTCGAACTACAGTCGAAGCATGAATTTCATGTCCTTAATCTAAGGTTAAAAGTCGCAACTTTGTTAGAGTCCTTTATTGTGACAAAGTCAAGTACACAGATATTTGAGCTGAAAGAATATATCAAGTCCATCGTAAGAACTATAGGCTTTGAACAGGTTTTCATAATGAGATCTCCTAGATCTAGAACAATATATTTAAGAATTCAAATTATAGCCGTACTAGTTAGAATTCTTAATTATATTTCATCGGAAGTTCGAGGTCTTAATAATTTGATTTACCCCGAAACATTGTACGAAATCTTTGTTATACTTCTGAGAATTGCGTTTGGATCCAATTCACTCTCTTCCGAAGCACATAGTCTACTTTTGGAAATCAGAAACAGGTACAAGTACGATAAGGCCGTGTTCAACGATAATTGCGAAAGAAAAGCTCGTGAGATAAACCACATCACATTTAGTGATCTACATACAGATGGGAAAGTGGTAGCAGATATCGAAAGTGAATTGGCCAATGGATTGGAGTTCCCCTATGAAACTGATACTATTGAATTAGCCAGGGAAATATTGGATCTCTGTGTCACTCATGAAGAAGCCGATAACTTGTACTTTAACATGAATAACGAAGACTTCAACTTTGACGAGATGGCCCTAGTCGATGATTGATCTACAAATATTTTCTCAAACAAGCACCAGATATGATACAAATATTTTATTTATGATATACGTAAACGTCAATACATAACGAAACTTAAATAATATGTGAATTATTTAATGATAAATTAATATCCAATAAAAAGCAACCTTTTATTACATTAAAATTCTTTATTTATTATGTTTTTGTAAATAATCATTTAATTTAAGCGGATTGAGGTTTAGCGACACCAGTTTGGAAGCCGTTCTTGAATCTTCTAGAAACGTGCTTTAAGTAAGCCATACGACCAGTACCGGTAGTTCTTCTTCTCTTAGCCTTTTGTGCCCAGTTGTGAGATCTCATTTTAGCAGCTGGGTATCCACAAGAAGAACAGGTCTTCTTTTGGACGTGGAATGAACGCTTACCACATCTGTTACATAAAGTGTGGGACTTGTTGTGACGTTTACCTAAAGATGGAGTACCTTCTATTAAAGGTGTTAGTATTGCTATTTTGTGTGCTTTATCCACTCTCGCTTTCTGAATGTGTACGGTACTAATGACGATTTATGTCCCATTTTTCCCTCTATAAATTCATCCTTTCCTATCCCTTTCCTTCTATTCTTTCCATTACTTTCATTCTCCTTTACACGGTCCCTTTCTGAGCCATTATTCACTGTTTATTCTTTTCTATCTTCGTCTTCATTTGCTTCTTGGTTCGTCACCACCTCATCTCTATATTCGTACTTTCAATACTTCGTACACATTCACAAATCAAGCTGTGGTATGCTAACGTTTCAGAAACGATAGTCTATATAAAATCCTCACATACTACCCATGATGTCTAATTATTTATGTAGTTATTTGATCAAAACTATGCTAGCCTTCTTTTACAAAATTTTCACTTACAATACCTACTACGACTGGCTTGGTGCGTAGTAGTGAAAATTTGATGTTCGTCACGTGTGGCCGGGTAATGCTTAAGTCGAGAAAATGTGTCGCAACTTTTGTGTCACATAGATATATTCTATCTCTTATTCTATCAGCTGATATTCTGTGACTGTTGTTTCGAATTAACCTCGGGCCACAGCCCTTCGTTGCCTCAACTTTGGACAAACGCGTTTGTTCAGCGCGTCTAAGCACATATAAATAAATAAACAAACAAACAAATAATCCGTCAGTACACCAGTAATAAGAGCGATTGGTAAGAGCGGTATGGCAGAGAATGATTCGTGAAAAAGTGATTGTTTTGATTCATACGGGAAGAAGCGTGACGATCAGTGGGTAAATTGCATAACATTCGGTCATTTGTCGGTCATACAGTCATACAGTCATACAGTCAGCGCAAACATACGGTGATACTAGGACCCAGCCGCAAATTTTCTAAACAAAGTACCAGAGGAAACATAATAAACTAACCATTAATACAGATTTACCTCGTTGTCGATATATACACAATCAATTAAAATACTACGATACTTAGACGACTAACTATATTGCACGTATAAATGAGTAGTAATTATCAATTTCCACCATCGTCGCCATTGATGAGTGGCCACGGCGGCTACGAGGAGGAACACGATCCATTTGCGATCAGAGGCAAAGGAGAAAAAAGTACCGTTGATAGGGGTAGGGTGAACTATCCCACACCCAATCCATCGTCTAGTGTTGGCAGATCTTCATCGCCAAGCAGAGGAGAGGATGAGGTCAATTTGTCAGTCAAGCCGAAAAAGTCAGTTTCTTTCGATTTAGTGCGGTCAACAGCACCAAAGCAACGTAAGGAACATGCCACTGAACAGCCGAACCCCCAGAAGGTTAGGATTAATCGAGATTTCAAAATTTTGGATCCTGATGCCAAGGTTTTAAGAGTGCCATTACTTACCGACAAGACTTCATTGTTGATTGGGAGATCGTCGAGATCGTGTGATTTCTATCTCAATGCAAAGGATAAGACTATTTCGAGAACCCACATATCTATCTCGTATGACAAGCACACAAATCAGATGAGTTTGCATTGTTTAGGTTATAACGGATTTGCAATGAGGATTCCAAAGCCATGCGTCGTTTACGGTACAAATAACAAGAATGATTACATATTGATGGAAAACAAGAGTGCCCCATTATCTACTGATAATCTTGAACGTTTAGGCCTCACCGTTACCCCACGTACTATAAGATTGGAATCAAATCACACTGAATTTGTGGTCAATAGACATGAATCGGTTACTTTACCAAAATTGAATAATATCCTAATTGAAATTCGCAACAACTTAATATTGTTAAATCCAGTTGAAGATGAAGAAGACGTTACTGATGATGAAAGTCCTGTTCTAATTAATACAACAAGACCTGCTGAGGTTAAGCATAATCCAGCAGTTTCCAAGCCAAAGCCTATTTATAATACTCCAGATCAAGTTAAATTACAATTGTTGCCAAATACTCCATCGAAGAAAGAATTTAAGTGTACATCAGAAGAATCAACCCCAATTTCACATATCAAGCGCAACTTTTCGGATTCCTCGATTAAAGAGGCATTGGGATACAAACCCTTTGGAATACATCAGGATAAACCGCAAGTCTCAAATAATGATTCTCCAAAGAATGCTGATACCTTCGTGAAAGAATCGACCCCTACTACAGACGAAAGAGTACAAATGCCAACAACCCCATTAGGTGATAAATCAAATACTTTCAGTAAACCCAATACACCTAAGAGAAGAGTGCATTCTGAAGAACCACAGAAGCCTATGAAAAAGAAGAAGAGATCGCTGCAACCACAAAAGGTTGAGATTGACCAATCTTGTATTGAAGGCATTTCAAATATTCCAGAAATTAACAATATATTAGTCAATCATCTTGCATTCTCCAGGTTGTCTTCAACTCCTGCATCCTTTTTAAATACTATAAGTGCGATTACGTCTGAATTATCATTAAAGCAGCTTAGAGTTATTTTACACAATATTAAATCAATTGGTATTATTTATAGAGAAGGCAAAGATGCCGCTGGTAAGCCATTAGAAGAGGAATATTACTATATGCCTGAAAACGATGATGATACTGAGAGGCCTAAATTGGTTTCCAGCATTAAAGGACATGGTGGCTTAAGATCATGCAGAAGAACTCATAAGCAATACTATTGGAAAAAGCCAGCTCCAATTAAGAAGTAATATATGTGGTCATGTGTTAATCACAGTTTGTTTTATAGTCATTTGTATTCTAAATGTATGTTTATTTTACTATTAAAATTTTGCAGCCATTACAATGAGTATATACTTGAACTAGCGTCAACCTTTTCATTAAATGGATCTATATGAGGATAGCCATACTCCTTTCTTTGTTCTGCTGTCAAGGGTTTAGGGTTTCCGATTATTGGTTCTCCTTGTATTTTTTCAGGTTCATTATCTACTTTACGACTTTTGAAACTTCTGTACCATATTAAAATGAGCCCAATGACTATTTGCAATATCCAGATTCCTAATATAGCAGAAGAAATATATAGTTCTATGAGCAAACTCTTTTTATATGTATCAAGTAATAGAGTGATACCACTTGTAATGTTGTCGGTAAGTTTATGAATACCGCTATGATCTTTGGAATAGTTGGTCATAAAGTCTTCCGTTAGGTTTTTAGGTAACTGTGGTAGTGAAACTGACAAATTATCTACTATCCATGTTAATCCTTGTTCAATCTTAAGAAGTTTTTTCCCTATGGTACAATATACGACTGTATTGACAGGTTTACTAAATGGTGTACTAGCGAATACTGAGTTTATAGTAGTATTCATTTTCGTTAGAAAATCATTTATAGTTGAGTTTACTGACGCCGAAGCCGACTTTATATTACCAAATAATTCATCATTTATCTGTTTTTGTTGTGATCCAATGTAATTGTTTGTCTGTCTTATATAAACCGAGGTTGCATTTTCCATTAACTTGGTCATTTGGGTCTTAATATCTTTCAAATCTGTTTTGAGACTTTTAAAGCTTGTCAAGATAATTTTAAGGATAATATATTGGAGTAAGACGGTGAATAGACCAGCAATTCCGATAATGAGAACCGTTAAAGAATATGAAGTCGTAATATAGGATAACAACCAGAATACATTATCCTTTCTTGAAGGCAGAATAGAGACGAATCTTTCAATGTAATAAATCAAGCTACTATTGTATCTATTCATTATATTCCTTGTCAGAACAAAATATGATTCCTGATTTTTATTCAAAAGTATTTCATTTATCATGCGTTGGGATTTTCTCCATTTGAAATATTCAACAACAACAAATGAGGCAATTGCAAACATTGCCATGATAAGTAAGACAATTATGATTATATTGGAAGTTAGCTGAACTTTTTTGGCCAACTCCGTGTAGAATTTGTCTATATCTAACGAATTTGAACAAAAATTAACAGATGGAGTATCTGCTAATTTCAATTGGTCAGATGTAATATTTTTAAAGTGAACCAGTTCATTTAGTTCCAGGGTTATTTTCTCAAATGGTTTACTTAATAGTTTTGATGTATTTTGTAATTCGTTGAAGTCTGGTACTTTATCTTTAAACTTTTCGATATCCGTAAGTACTGACTCGGGAATTTTTACGTTTTGCAATGCTTTTATAGATAAATTAACTTTATCAGCATACTGTGAAGAATCAGTATCTTGATTTGTAAAGAACGATTTTACTTTATCAACTCCAGAGAGTAGTTTATTAATCACCTTCAGTAGTCCGTTCAACCCATCTTGAATATCTTCACTTATTGAAATAATAGTTTCATTTACCGATTTAAGGACCACTTGAGTAGAATCTAGTGCAAAATCAACGGTTCCACCAACTGCAGCTGTCAAGAGACAAACATAAGTTCCTAAGAATATATCTATATAAAACACGATTAACAGTTTTATAATAGTTATTATTGATATTAACGTCTTCAAAGATTGCATTTTCATGCTATTTAAAGTAGATGCAACCATGTGGTTGATAACCTTGGATAATTGCTCTGGTAACGAAGCTATCACTGTAGAATATGTATCAAGTGAAGTACATATTGATTCGGTATAGGATTTGAAATTCGTCAAATTGGATAGAATGGAACTCGTGAATAGATATATTTTGATTGTCATAAGAACTAATATTAGTGTGTACTTGTTGAACCATACCTGAGAGAGGATCTCGTAGTAGTTCAAAAATTGCTTCTTCATATCTTTTTCTCTTCATACATAAAAATTATACAGAATATATATCTGATAATGGATGATATAAATAATGCAGAGGTAAATGTGATTGAAACAATTATGAAACACTTTCGAAGAGTACTAAAGATAGACCAAATTGGTTACTTTTTGACTTCCGACGTTACAAGATCCATATTTTGATTCATTTTCAATAAATATAAGGGTATATACGTTATTGAAGTGTTTTCAATGACCAGTAGTTGTTCCTAAGACTAGTATAATGAAGAATTGATGTAAAAATGTCGCAATTCGGTGGCAAGATAGTATGCGCGACATTACAAAATGTCGCATTATCTAAACGTCAATAAATGAATTTTGACAAATATAATTTACTTGTTTTTATTTCATTAATAGCAACAACAATCATGTCTGACAACGAAAACCAACCAAAAGAAGAAAAGCCAGATAACACTCATATTAACTTAAAAGTTTCTGACGGCTCAGCTGAAATCTTTTTCAAGATTAAGAGATCTACCCCTATGAGAAGATTAATGGAAGCATTCTGTAAGAGACAGGGTAAAACGATGGACACATTAAGATTTTTAATCGACGGTGCCAGAGTTGGCCCAGATAATACCCCAGATGATTTGGATTTGGAAGACGGTGATGTTATCGAGGCCCATCGTGAACAAGTAGGGGGATGTTAGGATTCTTATTGCTCTACGAATTATGGGTGCTATCACAAAAGAACTGTAGTATATAGGGAAATTTTTCAAAGCCACGTATTAAGCCAGGCGTTATAGGTTTGTATACTACAATATTACGATCTTATAGAAGCTTTAACAGTTGTAGAATGAAAGAAGGTTTATGGTGTATAAGCAATTATGTGATGGAGAATAGTAAAGCATAAGCACCCAGATAGAAAATAGGGTGGAACGACTGGAGTTAATACGTGAAGTTATGCTGAAAGACCAGGGGTTATTTTTGACCGGCAATTATAAATCCAATTTCCTTCGAATCTTACCATCAAATATACAATGGGCCATCTGTTGTTTTCTATGCCTAAAAAAAGTACCTTGACTAAATAAATATGCCAAAACATTAAATATTCCGGGAACATCGTATCTATCAGGGAAATATTTCGCAGCCTTACCTTCAAATTTTCCTACCTACTAATAATAACGAATAACGCATTTTCATATCTGCTGGTCATTACATTAGTTTATATGAATGCCTCGGTAATTATGAAACCTTTTTAGCATACTTTATGGTGCTCTAAAACGCCTGAAAATGTCTCAAAAGTCTCAAACTTTCCGCAAAGTATCGAAAAGCTTAAAGCCTAAAGCCTAAAGCCTAAAGCCTAGAAGCCTAGAAGCCTAGAAGCCTTGAAATTATGTAGTCCCAAAACAACAATAAATTGTCATACAAAGCTGTCGTTTTCGACTAGAGAAAACATACGGCCAAGACTTACAAATACCAGAACGACTCGGAATTTCTAAACCGCTTTCAGACCGATTCTACAACTCTGCGACTCACCCGCGACAATCTTTCAGCACTTCTCTGGAAAATCCCCACATACATTAGTCAAACTCTTCAAAGAACAGCTCAATCGATTCACTAAGTATCCATATTGGCTTCTACTCCCACACCTCTATAACTCTACTTTTGTTAATCAATTGTCAAATGATTTCTCTCGGGCTCTAATGGCTCTGAATAATTCACTCGCACTCTCAATGTCTGCTCAATTTGAATGATGTCATATTAAAACTTACCTAAAAAGTATTAGTATTATGCAAGACTCACGTCCGTGGGCTATATCCACCGGTCGTCTGCCTTTTCACTGGTTTGGGGATGTTTCTCCGTCACTTGCTAATTTATCGGGGAACCTCGGTCCAATGGATATGGGTTGTTCCGGCGCACTCAAAAGATCGTTTCCTCTATAAATACTTGAGATGGGCTATTTTCATATCTCCAGTTTTACGTTTCTTACTTAGCTCTACTTATTAAATAATATAATCAAGATGTGCAGAGGTGAAATATGTTCAATTTGTCGTATGTATCATCGTATTAGTGGTGCAAACAAGCTGTGGGGAATCTAAAGCACTTCCCGGGGTAACTATCCAAAGATCGCTCAGTCCCCAGATTTTTTATTGCTGGTCAATTTTTCTATCCACCATGGACATAGCTCCACCCAACGTAGCAACCCGATTACTAACTATTTCTAGACTTTAAATCGTGGACCGGTTGCGGTAGCCATATTGCTTCGGTGATGGATCCAACGCCTAAAGAAAACTGGTGTACATGCGAACCTATCGATGACTCTACAAACACCAATTATCCACCCAAGGCTGGTACTGGGTTCGCAAGAAAAACTACCCCTGATAAATAGGCGATTATCTAGCATTTGTACTTGTTAATATATGTCTTGTATACTATTGAGGTCAATGTAGTGGCGTATATGTGACAAGAAGGGAGGAAAAGGTACTTACCTGCACATAGTGTCAATGAAATTATCATAAGCTTATTGTAAAGAACGTCACAACATAAGCTCGCGGTGAATGATTAAGCGAAATTAAAGGTTTTTTCATCTCCAGTTGTTTATTCTAATAGATATAGCCAAAAGTTATAGAAAATACGGTAAAGAATATTAGGGAAGTATAGATAGAGATATGAACTTTAATTATCCCGATTTTTTGCAAGAGCGCCCCGACAAAGGTGTTAAAAACCAGTTTGGGTCGACGGGCAAGCATGAGAATTTAGCAAACGAATCTAAAAACGAAAGTGGTGAAAGTGAAAATGATAGAAACAACGGAAGTAATAATTTTAACAGTATATTGTTCAACAAATTGACGAATTTGGAGAGTGGACAATCCCAATCGCCAACTTCCAGAGGACATGGTGACATGAATGCTAGTATGATGTCGCCAATGATGGGATCACAATTCCAGTCACAAGGGGCACCGGGTGGAGGAATAGGTCTGTATGGCCAAAAGGGGGCATTAACGCTGCACGATTCGTTCAACTTGCCTGTTGAGTTGCAGGGAGGCGTTGGCACCATTTCATCGAGAAGGCCTAGTTATGCGGCCGAGTCCTTCACCAGGTCCAACTTACCGATCAACTACAACAATTTTTTAAACATGAATTTGAATCAAGGGGGTGCTAGCCATCCTGATGAGTCGCAAGAGCACGTCTCGTATAACAACGACAGCAATAAGGGAGGTAGTGAGAAGAACTCGTTGGCAACATTTGCGGCCGCAAATAACTACTCCAATAATAATAGTGGCAATAGTAATAACAGTATCGATATGAGTCGCTTCAATGACAGCTTTAATAATATCGACTTGAACGCCAACTTTAACGATTTCCAGAGCAGAAGACCCAGTCAGTTAGTCGGGTTCCAATCAAATTTTAATCCGTATCCTCCGCCATTGAACTATATGCCACAGCCCATGCAAACAACAAACTCTGTAATAAAATTGGAAAACGGCTTGATGTTAAGAGACCAGTACATTGTTGCATCGCCTAACTTAAAATCCTTGTACATGAAAACTGCTAGATACTTCCAGAACGTGGAAACTAGTGAACATATAATAAGCCAATTAAACGAATTGATCAACAATCCAGTTATTATTAAATTGATAACTTTCATTAAAAATTTGAACAATTTGACGTTCAACCACAAAATTTTGTGTCTAGTAATAAATAAAAACGGAAAATCTGACTTGTTATCTTACCCTAATAATTCAAATATATTCCTTCAAAAACACAATTTAGTCATTGTTGATGGTGATAGAGGTAAAGATTTAGTGATGATCTTAGAGCCTTTGGTTAATTTGAACTTTGCGATTTTGTTTAACTTTTTGAAAAAGTTAGAGCATCTTAAATCGTTAACTATTAATGATTCCAACCAATCTACTAACAATAACCTGCAGCTGCAACTGAAAGGTGCTAAGAAACCAAGCGGAGGCACACATTCGACTTCTATCAATGCATCGACTATTGTGAATTCTCATAATAATGAAGATAACGAATTCATTATCACGTTACCAACTAAACAAGTATTAAGATTTGCTACACCAAAGGAAGTTCACAAAATCAGTGGCAAGTTCTTGGAAGAAAAGAAAGCATTCATCACTTGTTTCAATAAAATCAAAGAGTTAAATTTGAACAACGATTTACAGTTGATCAATGTCGAATACCAATCTGATTTCAAAAAATTAATTTTCTATTACTTTGCAGGGTTCAAAAGAATAGACTTTAGGGGATTAATCAAGGAATTATTTAAAATCTACAAGACAAGAATTTGGTTGTGCGCTGTTTTACCCTTTGATAAGCCAGAATTATATATCACTTTGAATGAAAAGGACGATGTAAAGGAACCAAAAAACGAAATCAAGAATTATATTCCTAATGAATATGAATTATCGAATGAGCAGATATTGAACTTTTCTATTAACGAGTTCCAAAACTTGGCTGATCCAAATTACTTCCACCTGGTAAATTTAAAGAATTTGATCAGGCATTTGTCAAATGAAATCACAGGAGACTTTTACGGATTTAATAATAAGACTGATTCTGACCCTTCTGCGCCACCACATACTTCGAGTTCCAGTAGCTCCATTCCACCAACTTCCAGTTCTTCAGCCGCTACTAATATTACTAGTGGGGGTATATTTGACCATTACGATTCGAATATTAATTTTAGCAACAATTCAAACATTTTGCCCAACTTCAATCCATTTGGTGATGATAAAAACCATTTCCAAATGAATAGATAAATGACAATAATTGAGCAGTTTAGCAATTAATTAATCTATCAAGGAGCATTCTGTGTACCCTAATGAGATATGACTAAAGAGGTAAAATACAAGTTGAAATGTCAAACAAAAATTTAATATCGCCCGGTTATAGACAGTTAAAATTATAGATTAGAAATTGTTATATATTATTAGCAGTTTCACTCCTTAATGATGTTATGAATTTATTACTAATTTTCTGTTTTATATTTATATATTGTTTTAACATAATATTTATTTTTAAATGTACTTCTAATTGAATCTATATTATCGCCTGAGTTAATAATATTATCAGGTTGATATCCTGTAGCTATTTAGGAGCTTACAAGCACAGTTAGATAAATTGGCTATGGTATCAATAAAAAGTCATTTAATCTTTATATTTGTACCTTCTGGCACAGATGACCTCTGGTTCGTCTTGCAATAAATCCTACGGTATAGTTGTCTGTGCTTCCAGTGCCTAAATGATTATTCGAATTAGATACGTCTTCATCCCATTTTTTTTTTCTGTGCTAGAAATTTACTAATCAATTATACTATCTAATTTGATAAGTTTATTGGACTCATCATTGTAATATATCTTGATGTTTCCGTTATACTATTGCATATTGCAGCAATACTTCAAGGTCTTGATATATTTTCATTATGTAATCACGTGAATCTTGGTATTTATGTGTTCGATAGATCTCGACACGAGTATACGTTATGATCTCCATATTAGGATCCGGTATACGAAATGATTAGATACTTAAGAAGTGACATATTCAAGAAATATGTGTTCGACTGGACGCTTGGGATCGGTTTAATTATTTACTTCTTTGCTATTGCAGAGCATGCAAGGCCTTTTGCTAGACAATTCAGTCTATCAGATCAAACAATTCAGCATCCGTTCGCTACACAAGAAAGAGTGACAGGTATAGATTGCATATTAATATCTTCTATTGGGCCTATTATAGTAATGTTGTTAGTTGTTGCGTTCAGCAGTAGGGGCCAGAAATTTTCTCACGATCAAATTCACCTTCTCCAAATTTCAGTTTTAGGTTTGTTTTTAAGTTTGAGTATTAATGGGGTGTTCACCGATATTTTGAAGAACTGGATTGCAAGACCAAGACCTGACTTCTTAGCGAGATGTGGTCCTAGAGAAGGAACGTCGATGGTTGAGTTGGTTGGAATAGAGGTTTGCACTGCTCCATTAGGTCAGGTTGCTTTGGTGGATGGTATGAGATCAACACCTTCAGGCCACTCTTCGATTTCGTTCTCAGGATTGCTCTATTTGACGTTGTGGCTATTTGGCCAATTCCAGCTTTTCAGTAGATCTCAGCCTCTTTACAAATTATTGGTTTGTCTGACTCCAGTGCTTGTTGCCTGTTACATTGCTTTAAGTAGAACACAAGATTATAGACATCACTTCACTGATATAATCATGGGAGGAACAATAGGTATTGGGTTTGCATTATCAGTTTATCATAGGTATTTTCCATATGTATGGAACAAAAACAGCAACCATCCTATCACCAACGAAGAAGATAATATGCTTTTACCAACGTATAATACTAATTAGTTTATAGAATAATAGACCCCTTGTTCTAGATTATTGTATAATTTGTTAATTTAATGTTGTAGCTAGACTAGTGCTGGTCATTAATATACTGCAATTTGTTTCAGATCGTTCGCGTGCATAATCTGAAACGCAAGAAAAATTAATGATTGCAAAATTTACAGATTTCTATCAAACATCGATGAAACTATATCATTGATAGGGAATATATATATTGTCTAATAAATTATCCCTACAATATAGATGCTTTGCTAGATAATAGTATGTCTATAGCAGCTATAAGAAAACAAAAGTCAATTGATGAAGATCTAACCATTTTAATGACATTAACGTCCACTTTAACAGTTAGCAGTTTACCTGCTTCATTAGTTCCTAAAGTATCAAATAAAGGGAAGAAAAGTTCTACATCAACAACTTTAAGACCTTCCTATATAATTGATTCGAGTTCCTCGAGAAAAACAAGTACATCACTGAATCGTCCTAAAACGCTATTATCAATCCCATCCGCATTAGTATCTAAGTTTTCTTTGCAATCAGAGACTACGAGTGATTCGGCACGGTCTACCCATACATCAGAACCATACCATAGTAATCTCGATAATGTTGCAGGTCTTTCGAAAGAAAACAATTCGCTTAAGTTGGGCCTTGCAATCGGTATACCTATTGCAATAGTTTCAATTTTAGTTGGTATAATCTTAGCATGGTTCTATTTAAAGAAAAAGACTTTTAATAAAAGGCGAAACGGATTACTTCCATACAAGAATGAGTATTTGGACCATAACAATGATGAAAACTTAACAATGAAAGAAACTAAATTTCAAGCCTCTAGTATTAATCTGGTATCTACAAAATTTCAGGGTTTAATTGAAACTCCTGTACAAATACAAAGAGGTCCAAATCAACAATTAGCACAAGCCTCAGTGAAAAACTTCTTCAATAGACTCAGCCGAACTATTAATATAAGAAATATTAACGATGCTGACATAGATACTCTCAACGAAAATAAATCAGGTTTGGTATCACCCATTTTCTTGAAAAAATTCAACTTGCGAAAATCAGTATGCAAACCAAATGATGTTTATAATAGCGAGGAAAGATTAAGAAGGACCAATGGACTATTGAGGTCTATTGATGCAGATTTTCTCTCAATTCCCTATAATGATTCTACGATATCGATTTCCGAAAAAAGGAGTAAGAAACCTCTTCCAAAATTACCCCCAATTATCAACACGTATAAATCGAAATCTTTACACGATATGGAAAAAGTAGTGACCCATACACTGCTTTCTTCGAGCAGCATTATCAACCGAGATGATAAAATTTACAAAGTAATAAAACCATACGTCAAGAATTTAGATGATGAAATCTCAATCAAAGTAGGTGATAAAGTAAAAATATTAACAGAACATTCTGATGGGTGGTGCTTTGTAAAATTATTAAAAGAAACGGAATACTCGAATCATACCATGCCAAAACAAGGAGTTATACCTAGGCTTTGCTTACAAAAAATTTGATATATATTTACTAATTTACTTATTTATTTAATACACTTAATATACACGAATTTACAAATTGACTCAGTATGGTCTTGATTGTCCACCTTGATATTGTGGTCCACGATTCATAGCAGAAGGCGGAACACCACTGTTTGCATGATTTTGATAATGAGTAGGTGGAACATTCACATTAGCTGTCTGCTGTGGGTATTGTTGTTGCTGAGTAGTTATATCATTTTGTCTTGGTATATAACCGCTTGAATAATTTCGTTGCTGTTGAAATGGTCCTTGTTGCAGGCCCATTTGCTGGGGAGCACCCTGTGGGGCATGGATACGATTGTTATAGGGTTGACTATATTGTTGACCAGGCTTTTGTTGATGAGATGAATTATTGAAGCTCACTGATGCTGGGATCCCATCGTGAAACTGCTGACGTGGATATCCCTGTTGAGGATGTGGTTGCTGTTGATGCTTTGGTTGACCTGGATGATAACCCGAATTACCTCCACGGTACTGATTCGATGGCGGCATCATTCTGGGTTTACCACTGGTGTGTTGGGGTTGAGGCTGAGGTTGAGGTTGAGGCTGAGGTTGAGGTTGAGGCTGAGGTTGAGGCTGAGGTTGATATCCAAATTGCAATGATTGTGGGTATACTTGCTGTTGCGGAGGAGCTTGTGGAACCTGACTTTTCTGCCCTTGAGGACCATAAGCGTGTCTCCCTTTATGTACTTGAGGATTGAGTTGGACTTGCACAGGAGCTGGAAGAGGGGGTTGTTTATAACCCTTACTTGGAGCTAATGTTTGCGCTTGTGGACCAGGCGCTAATGCCGACTGGGGTGAAGACAAATTTTGTGCCTGTGGATTTTGAGGCTGATCATGCGAATGGCCTTGTCTCAGTTGATTAGGATATTGAGAGGATAGTTGTGATTCCGATTGTGGCTGATAAAGTGTTGAAGAATACTTTTTGCTATCTTCCTCTGATTCATTTGAATAAGGTGAAGAGTTACCACTAGTGACTTTTCCTGCTTCTGAATGTATGGACAAACGATCACCCTTTGTTGCTCGTGGAGTTGTAGCACCATGAGGAACAGTATTAATATTTTGAGGTAAATTGTAGGAAAGTTTGGATTTTGTTAAATTGGTAGTAGGTTTCAGTTCGTGAGGTGGTGGTGCAGGAATATCCTCGTCGGAACTAGAATTATTGTATGCGCTTGGATATGCAAAGTGCCTTGAGTCAGCATTTCTATCGACCACATTTTGTTTGAATTGTTCATTAAACTCATTATATTGAGTCACTGGAGATTTAACAGAAGAATAACTACTATTTCTATCTTGATATTGCGGTAATTCTAAATTACCGTTCAAGTTAATTTGAGGAATTGTACCTACCTGTCTTGGCGTTGTTTCTTCTTCACTTTCTTCACTTTCTTCATCATTTTCGTCACTGAACAAATTATCGTCATTTGCAGGATACATTGCATCAGAAGGGCCACCATTCAAAGTAAGCGATTGAATAGCATCCGGCATTTCATCTTCATTAAAGTCTTCAGCAGATCCATTCAATAATTGATTTCTATCATTATGAAACTGATCAGAAGGACTTTTAATAGTAGCGTATTTCTGATATATTTCTGCTAGCTGAGTCGAACGATGCCCATCAGGATTTTGATGACGCACACCCTCAGTGTTTGCTGGTACAACAAGAGTTTGCTTATCCGCATTTGGATTGATAGTCAAGTTGTTAACATTTTTGGAGCCATTTGATGTGACACGGGTTTGATAAGGATCAAATGGTTGAGTTTGATTTTGATTTTGATCTTGATTTGGAGGCTTACGTTGTAAATGTTGATTTTGATGTTGCAGTTGAATTGGAACTGGATACTGTTGAGATTTTTGCTGCGAAGAAACTTGCGAATAAGTATCCTTAGGTGGAGGGGTTGGAATTTTGTGATCAGACAGAGTAGGACTGTTTAATGAAGTTATAGCACCCACTACTCCTCTAGAACTACCGCATCCTTCATAACCCTTACTCAACTTCCCTCTCATAATATCCTTCATACTAGAAGACCATTGTTTTACATCCCATGACAAGAAGTCATCTCTAGACACCAAAGGAAGTAAATCAGCCAATTCAAGATAATGAACATGAGGTAAAGTAGGTAAGCCAAACAACAAAGAATCTGGATCAATTCTATCAGCCTTTAATCTTTTAGGTCTCCCATATAACCCAAATGAATCCATCAATGGCATCAAAAACCTTATCAACGTATCGAAACCTGGCACAGATGAATGTTGCTCAGGCATCAAAAATATCGAGGTACTCTTAAAATCTCCCTTTGCTTGTTTCGAAATTTTACTAGATAAGGAAGGTGACTTAAAGTTAATTGATGCTTCGACTTTCAACATGGTACTATGGTCAATCAACAAATGAGATTGGGGATAAGTTGCAGTTACGCTACTGGCACCCACTACTACTGCCATCAATTGCTTCTTCTTTTTCTGTTCCGATTCATAAAACAAAATTCTCCCAGGTTGGAAACTTTTCTTTTTTAGCACTGAAGGTTCGATCACAGCATAACATCTCTTCCAAGCCATACCCGAACCATATCTGATACTGACCCAGTCTTCGTGGTCGAATCTCTTCTCTGCCAAAATAGTACGGATATCAGACAACCTCGAACCTCTTGCAGATAACAATGCACCAGTGTAAGCTTCTTGCAACGACAGATATTCATAGCTAGCCAACCTCAAGGCCAAGTACCAATGCTGTAAATCCAGATACGTTTTAAACTGCATAATATATCTGTTTTTCAACGTCGTCGATACAATAATAACATTGTCCAAGTTTCTTTTGGCCGCTGGTAAAGACTTCATCGCATTATACACCGAATCGGTAAAATTGATATAGTTCGGCTTCGACGACGTTTCCAACAACGCTTCAGGACTATTTCTGAATGCCGCTAAGTGGGCAGCATCCCAATATGCCAATTGGTTCCCCGTCAAGATTCCATAAACTTCTTTCCATTCTCTATCTGCTGGCTTTCCATCTCCATTCAAATCATAGTAGAGCATAATAATACCTTCATAGTATCTCCGATGTGATTGCGAAGATAATAATGTCACTATTGGCACTAACTCGGGCGATAATCCATTATATGCATCTTCCGCCGTCTCTCTTGAGTTTCTTGGACTAATTTCTTCTCGGTTCGACTTCAGCGGCTGAATGTGACTGAATCTTTTTTTAACGCTATCCATGTTAGATTTTTGGTCGCTGATCGGACTAAATTAATGAAATGAATGAATGTCTCGATAGACCACTATCAAATATACTATAGATACTGTTATAAAATTATATCAAAAGGAAAAACCACTCGAGATCAAAATATCTTCATTGCCACTTCTACTAAAACTACTCGTCTGAAGTATTTCTAATTTAATGGGGCATTGTTATTGCGACATTTACACATCTGTTGCGACATGAAAATACGACATTAACAAATCTCGCGTTTTATTCGAATAGCCTAAATTCGGTAAGTTCAAAACATTGTCAGAACTAAACTGGTACAGTAATCGGGCATATAAGGGATTTGATGAGTGATACCCATCGAGATTGCCGAAAAGTTTACCATATGTGCATAAAATAAACGTGAATAAAATAAATGTGAGGAGAATATTTGTGGCCGCAAATGTAGATAGGGGAGATTTATGAGCAGCTCGTTAATTGTAAATACATGTCCTGTAGTGATGTAGTTTACGAGTAGTTACGAGTTTGAATAGCTGTACACGGAAGAGGGGGGATGAGGTATGGGTGGCGGGAGGATAATAAATGCAGGCCGTTAATGAGCTAGTGGAATGGGACACGAATGCATGTAGACGATTTACGAGATAACCGTTAACATATATTAAGGATAGAGGCGCAGAGAAGGATAATTTACATATTTGTAGTAGATGAATGTAGGTGACGATAATGGCTGACGTAACAACTCGAATTAGTCTTTGACTGCTCTGAGAAGTTCAAGACCTTGTAGCAATTCACGTTCGGCGGTGTCGAGATCGTCATAATTCAAGGCTGAAATTGCAAACTTAGCGTGCTTTTGGATTTTTGTTATTTGGTCGGCTTTATCTACCATTGAGGATACGTTCTCCTTGGTAAGATGTTGGTGCTGCGGATTGGCCCCTTGGTTACTGCTTGCGGGCTTGGAAGGAGGAATGCTAGATGTGCTAGGGGAACGAATACTGGAAGGAGCGTGGCCCGCTTTATTGTCGTCCTCTGGCTTTCCGGGCGGAAATACTTGAATGGATGATGACTTATTGATATGCGAAAAATCGTTATCAGGTAAAAATTTGGGTGCTCCCGGTAACTTGATGTCATCGTCTTCATCATCAGGAGCAAAATGAGGTGCTTTGGGTAAGCTGATGTCTTCATCTTTAGTGGTATCATTACTTTTACCGTTTTCTTCTTTCTTTGTTTCTTTGTTAGCGTCATCTGCATTATTATCGTCGATAAATTTAGGGGTTACCGGTAAGCCTAACTCGTTATCATTTGTATCTTCATTGATAGACTTAGGTGCTCCAGGTAATCCCAATTCGTTGTCAGCTGATGCTTTGTCCTCCGCGTCGTCTTGTACATCGTTATCAGCTCCATTATCACCCATGTTCTCTAACTCACGATCCAACTCGGCCTCCAAGCCCTGATCATGGACCTCAACTTGGTCCTTCAATATTTTCGATAATTGGAACTTCAATAACTTGATTTTGCTCTTATTCAACTCCGCAAAGCTGTTAGAGTCGGTAGCCTTGCCACCCGTCAATTTGGAATAGTCAATTGCGTCTGATGAATTGGTAAAAATGCTAAGCAAATTCATGAAATTTAATCCTGCTTTGAATTTACTAACCAATTGTGGCTTTGTAGTTCCATCATATCTTTGTAAATCTTGTAAGCACTGGTTGAATATCTGGTAGGCAAAAGACATCACTGCGCTGAGCGAAAGAGTTTTATCATTCAAAACTTTGTGCAAAGATTCGTCTTCGGTGGATTTGAGTTGTTCTGTTTCATCCAATAATATAATTGTAAACTTTTCCACTTCTTTATCTTTGGTATGTAGCTTATTGCTTAAAATATGCTCTAGCACATAGATCTTACAATAAAAACTAACTATAGGATTTATTGACTCCAATTCAACTGACCTCGAAACATATGGTACCACTGACTTATCATTCTTCAATTCCTGTGGAATAGATTCCAAACTTACGTTATTCATCCTAATAGCGGTTAAAGATCGATTATCACTTTATCTGTCAGGAGGTTCTATCAACTGTATCTGATGTAGAGAACCTAAGCTGTAAACCGGGGATAAGTTTACAGGTTACGTCCAGATGGCTAATTCGGGACCAAATCTGGGGCATACTTAAAGCAAAATACTACAAGAAAACTTCTATCTGGCGGCTTTAGCATAAAATGAACGTAGACATAATGATATACAAGTCCTGAGAATTCTCGAGTTCTCAGCTGCCCGTCAATCTATTTAATAGTATATACAGCTTATAACTCAGGCATTCTCAAGATCACCTTTTCTTTGTTCTTAGCATCTTCTTGCAACAATTTCAAAATCTTTGAATCCTTCCACTTGTCTGGTAATGGCGTCACATCGTAATTCTTGGTGGCCCAGTAGTAAATGTCCCAGTCTGGCTCGTCCAACAACTTGTCATATTCATCCAATTCTTCCTCCGAGAACTGCGACAAGTACTTCTTAGCAAAACGGGATAATAACAAGTCACTTTCTAAGATCCCTCTCTTACGAGATTGGTAGACCAATCTAGCTCTTTTGACATCGATGCTTTCCCCGGTCCTTTGGATCGGCTCGATCTTCATAGTCAACTCAGCATTATAAACAGGATTCTGTGGCTTACCGTGATTCAACAAAGCTCTTACGCCTGAGCTGATATTTCTCTTCTGTATATTCTTAAACATCACTGGTCCTACTATACTGGTCTTGCTTACAGACCCACTCATACACTAATTAATAATTACAAATACTTCAATAGTCGTGTGATGCTCAATTCATCTTAGCGGCTTTTTGTGTAACCACTCTCAGAATGTATTTATGATTAGGTGTTACTATATATATACCAGTAAGCTCAGGAATATAGATCGATAAGGTTGCTTAATAACCTTAAAGAACCGATAGCAGTTGTATTTTTAGTGGTATAAACACATTCCGAGTCGAAATTGTTTATAAAAAATGGGCAAATCAGTATCAAAATTATCGAAGGATGATTTACAATCACTTAGACAAGCAACGTATTTTGATAAAAGAGAGTTACAACAGTGGTATAAAGGGTTCTTGAGGGATTGTCCGCTGGGACAATTATCAGAAGAGGAGTTTGCGAAGGTATTCAAACAATTTTTTCCATTTGGAGATCCAAGTGACTATTGTCATTATTTATTTCGGGTTTTTGATGTTGATAATTCAAAATATATTGATTTCAAGGAATTTATTATTGCATTGTCTATCACCAGTCGAGGGTCGCTAGAGCAGAAGTTGAATTGGAGTTTTAAGCTTTACGATTTTCGGAGATGTGAGCAATTATCGTACAGTGATGTATTAACGATTATACGGGCTACATACAAGATGATTGGAGCCATGGTTGCATTGCCAGAAGATGAGAGGACACCAGAGCAACGAGCAGATAAGCTTTTCCGTTATTTGAATAAAGACAAAGATAGAGATACATTAAATAAAGATGACTTTAAGAAATTACTGAAATTTGACCCATCAATAGTGAACGCATTGAATTCGTACGAGGGTTTGGTCTAGAATCTGCATTGTCCGACGTTTTGTATACTACCATCATCAACCACAAACTAATAATAATTTTTCGCTAGGATTTATACATGTATAATATTACAATCAATAAATAAAACACAGAACTATAAAAATGTCATTATTTACTGCTGGCCCTCGACAGCTTCTAGCAAACCGTCCAATAACTCATCAACTTCATTAATATCGACTCCCGTACAGAAACTAACCACTTTCTTGAACTTGGAGGTCAACTCACTGTAGTCTAATAAATTGGTTAACTCACTTTCTATCTTATTATTAATTTCTTGATATGCTTTAATTCTAGCCTTTAATATAGGTAAGGGCGGTAACTGACTCAATATTTCATCAGTAGGTTTAATTTCGTCAGCATTTTCTCCTTGTACTAACTTTTCATATATTGGCTTAATGACAAATGGTTCGTCAGAATCAAATTTTGTATTTTCATTTTCATTCTCTACTTTCAAATCCGCTGGAATTTCCTTTTGAGCCAACTGCAACTTATCAGAAATATTAGCCATTTGTAATTTCAAATTGTCTAGATATGCTAATTTGTCTGATATTTTATTAGTCACAAATCTGTTGTTCGCTGTTACAATCGTTGCATCATGCAACGATTGATTTAAATTGTCAATCTGTATCTTTTTAGTCTTAATTATATTATCGTACTCGTGATTTGTATTTGATAATAAATCTTGTATACTTTGGAAGATCTTGTTTGATGAAGAATTCCCTCCAGCCAATTTCTTAGGATTGCCAACTTCCTCCTTGATCGAGTCTTCCTCCTCAGATTCTGGGTTTACGCCCAATTCTATCCTTTTACTAAGGAACTCCATACTTGTACGAACTAGTTCTAGTATATAATTGTCGTGTTCGGTACCGTTCTTAGAAACTGTGCCATTTTTTCTTTCAATTAAGATATCTTTAACGATATCGAAGTCAGCAGGCTTAACGCCTGTCTTGTTAACAAGATTAATATCGGCATTTAATTCTAGAAATATATTAATGAACCATCTTGAATCACTCTCAGCGGCTAAATGTAAGCAGGTGTTACCACTTTCCTCATCTTGTAAATTAATTAATTCTCTCGAAAGGGTGGTTAAAAATTCTTGCTTCTTCCCAGAATAAGAAATTATCCATTCCAAGATTTTGCTCAAGTAAAATTTGCTTGATTCCAAGTTCTTATTAGCTTGAAAAGCTAAGTAATGTAGAAATGACCAGTTTTTATTATCATATAACCATAAATTGGGCCACAAAGCATTCAATAATTCTGTAAAATTACCTCTTTCCATCGAGTTAGTAACCAAAATGGCAGATATCAATGGAGACTTTCCGGATGTAGTACCCCTAATAGGTGAACATAATCCCAATTTTATGAATGCTGAAACTAAGTCCAGTGATGCTAATGTAGAAGCGAAATGTAATGCAGTTTTACCCAGCTGATCCAACGATATGTCTGTCAATAAACGCAATTTTTCTTGTTTATTTTGTAAGATATTCTGAAAGGCGGATTTAATATCAGTATACGATAATTCGGATGTACTATCCTTCTTGAAAATTTCGCTAAATTTCAGTTTAATTTCAGACTCCAACTCAGAATATTCTTCATCAGATGTTAAAGGTAGCAAAGTGCGAGGGAAGTTCTTGTTCTCGTGGATTGTCTTTTTAAGAACACTCTGGATATCTGCCTGATCCCCAGTCAGTTTATCGGTTTGAATCTTTTGTTTCTTACTTGGAGAGCCCGTTAAGCCAGCATCTTTTTCACCATCAGCTGACCCCTCGTACAACGACCTCTTGTTCGTCGTGGCCAATTTGGGCAAATTGTCATAATCATGAACATCGATCAAAAATAAATTTTTAGCCAATTCATAAATATCGAACTTCAAGGCCAATGACACCGCCCTATCGTAGGGAATCCACAACCCTCGTAAATTCTGAACTTCATGGTCCCGCAAGTCATTAAATTGTGGATTAGACCCGCCGCTAGACAAATACTCCGTGTTGGTGATAATCTCGTTGTTCAAGAAATTCGTCAATTGTGCTTCGCTGAAGTGTCCGATCTTCAAAAGTATTGAAAAAAGTTGGGAAATATTAATGTACGAGTCCTGTACACGTCTCAACACCACTATAGGCTCTTCATGCTTCGATTTACCGTCTTCTTTCTCGTTTCCCTGAATAATTAAGTTCAATTGTATAACTTTTTCATCCGAGTAAATGGCCGAATTGACCGTGGCAGAACATGATGTATTTAGATGTGTATCACTCAATATATGCTGGATTGAATTAGTGGTGGTGTCACCCACATTTAACGGAGAATCCATTACGGTTTCAGCTATTTTACTCTAGTTAATTCAAGTTTATGAACCACTTCTGAAGTATTGGTTTGGGGCTAAATTGTTCAATATCTTCCCTTTTAGGAATTGAGGAAAGACGTGTCTAACATGCAATTTACCCTAATGACCCTAACCTGCAAACACATACATTCCTACTCATCTTAGATTAAAGCATATATATGGGCACTAAAGAGATTAGAGAGTTTGCACTATAATGGACTATTCAAACCGTGTTAACTCCAAGAAGGGGTCTGGTGGAGTAGCAGATGTACAGGAGACAAAAGTTCACACCAAACGACGCTTAAAAGAATTACTTACTACACAAGTATTGGATCTTGATAGTGATCCATATGTCTTCAGAAACCATTTGGGATTGCTAGAATGCCGGTTATGTCTCACCACACATGTCAGTGAGTCGTCATATATATCGCATATTGGAGGACGAAAGCATCAGATGAATCTTGAAAAAAGAAAAATTCTAGATGAGAAATACTCCAAAAACCAGCAGGGCACCAACTCGAGTACCAGTAATGCATCGATAATATCTATTAATAATACGCCTAAGAGGAGCTGGACGAAGATCGGACGACCAGCGTTTAAAGTCACCAAGATCAGAGATGCGGAAACGCTACAGATGGGGTTGCTCATCAATGCGAAATACCCCAATGCAATAGCCGAAGAGCCATTTTTCCGAATTATGTCATACTACGAGTTGTCAACCAAAAATCAGAATGTGGCACTATCGTATGTGCACAAAGAAGCCCATGATAAGGATGATGCAGACCCTAATAATTGGCAATACCTTGTTATCACGGCAGAGCCATATGAGAACATATGTTTTGCGATTCCAAACAACAAAGAGATCGACAAGCCGGCAGTTTTGGGCCAAATGTCAAACACCTTTTGGTGGTACTGGGATGAAGACACCAAGGACTTCTTCTTGCAGTTTATGTATAAATAGGAACCCGTTCATTAATAAATAAAAGAAGCATTTATAAGTATTGTACTGCACATAGTATATTCCGGAAAACCCCAGAGACTCTATATGTCGACTGATTTGAATAAGTAGATGAACCTTTAAATACAACGTAAAAGAAGAGGTCATAACTAATATAGACAAAGGAACGGCTAGTTATGGAGAACGGAAATCGGGCTTACCAGCACAACTTTCTCGTGAGATGTGAAGAGGCTTCAAACTTGGTGAATGATTTTTTGAATGATACTTTACCACTGGGATTAGTACCCGAGAGGCGAAAAGGTTATATATATGACAAGACTAGAAGGCAAAAGGTCAAGGAAAAGATCCATAAGAGCTTAGAAGTGTTTGATAAGGCGATAGAAGTACATGGGTATGTAATTTTGTATTCCGGGGAGGAAGTGATCTAAGGTTGACGTCAGCTACTAACTAATTTCAGACTTGAAGAGATTGCAATTTCGTATAACGGGGGAAAGGATTGTTTGGTTATGCTTATTTTGTTGATGGCATCTATCCATAAGAAGTTTACCATTTCACCAACTAAGGATTCATCGTTGAAAGTTTTGCCAGCAGATTATAAACTCGATTCTATTTACATCAACTCTGAATTACCCTTTCCGAACCTTTCAGATTTTATAAAGAGTTCAACTGCATATTATCATTTAAATCCTATCATAATACAAAGTTCATTAAAAGAAGGGTTCGAAAAATATTTGAATGAAATTAACCCTAAAGTCAAATCTATATTCGTTGGAATTCGATACTCAGACCCTTATGGTTCGAGCTTAGGATACGAGCAGGTGACTGACCATGATTGGCCTAGATTCTTAAGAATTCATCCTATTTTGCATTGGAAGTATGAGGATATCTGGGATTTCTTAGTAGGGTGTGACTTGGACTATTGTGAGATGTATGACCAAGGTTATACCAGTCTAGGTGGTATTTATAATACCACACCCAACCCTTACTTAAAATTAGAAGGTGATGTTGCATATGCGCCAGCGTATATGTTGAGAAAGAATGCAGATGAAAGAGAGAGATCGGGCAGAACATCTAACCGCACATAAATTAATTTAGAACTGATTATATATTAATAAATTTTCATTAACGTTTAAGGACTAACTGAAAACGTACTTCCTTTCCTCTGACCTGATTTATTTGTTCCAGCACTATTTATCAAAACCAGCTTAAAATAGTCATCAGACAATGGACCAACCCCTATCTTACCTAAAGCTTTTTCTGCGCTTGTATGACCTACGTTAATAGGTATATTTTGCTGTCTATTTTGTTCTTGTAGCTCCAAGTTCCTCAACTTCATAACTAATTCAACCTCTTTTCTATTATTTTCATCGATTAGATTCTGCAAATATTGCAAGTATTCCACAGATTTAGTTAATATTTGCCCTTTATTTGGCTTACCGTCTTTAGTACCAGAATTCTTAACCGCTGCTGCAATCGCCGCATCGTTTTCTGATTGCTGTGTCTGTTGTTGTTGTGGTTGATTTGCTGGTGGAGGGTTTTCTTGGAAAAACTCTGCCGGAATTAATGTCAATAACTCCTGTATTTTTTCGTTGATATTATCTCTTCTCTTCCTTTCATTTACTTGTGGATCATCTTTGTCATCGTCATCGCCTTCATCCTCGCTTGCATTATTAGATTTGATAGCAATTATTGAGTTTTTTCTGGACTGAGGTTTGGAAATTCCCCCATGCTGTTGAGTCAAACTATTTCCCTGAAAAGATTGTGATAACTGCTTCTTAATATCTAAGGACTTCGATGCTAATTTATCTGCTGAGTCTGTTTTGATATGTATACTTGGAATGTTCAATCCCCTGTCCTTTGAATCTTGTGGTGGGGATATAGATTCCGAGCCTGAACCAGACACAGCTGAATTAGTACCCGACTGTGAATTAGACTTCAAAAATGAATCTTTAAACCCTTTAAAATCTGACATTTGCAAATTATAATAATTGGCTGTCAGTATATCTATTAATTAAAAGTATATATATGGAATAAAAAAAAAATACTATTGTTTTCCTTGAGTTTTGTTTAACATAATTAATAGTTTGATTACGCTCGCATTTTCGTAAATAGGAAATTGGAACATATTTAGTACTGTCCATATATATACAAAAGCTATTTACACTATTCGAAAAGTTACCTGTGGGATCTTTTTAAAACATAAGCCAAAGTACTTAACTTTCTTTCTAAGTTTTCTACCCGTTTATCATCTTCTTTTGACCATATTGGAAGTTTCGCTTCATTTAAGGAAGCTTGTCCCATCTTTAAATTATGGTAATCTATAATTATTTGCTTAAGTATGTTAAATGTCATTAAGTCGCCAGAGAAACCGTTGTTCAACATTTCTATAAAGATGAGTTCAATACCATACAAATTTGACTTGCCGTAGAACAACCACTGTATTCTCAAAATTTCATTGTATGTTTGTTGATTGCAGCATACAGTATATAAATTAATATCCTTTTTCAAGAAATTGAATAACGAAAGAGCGAGCTGTCCATCGTGGTATTTCATGGCTATTGTATTAAGAATGGAGTTGAATATAATGGGTAATGTGAAAACGTTCAAAATAGGGTTAGATGGATGTTCGGTCGATTGAACGTAAACGGAATTAATAAATTTATCATGCTTCTCGCTGAATTTTGTTGATTTTTTCAATAGCTTGTTTAGATATACGTCTTCAAAAACAACTTTATCACTTTGTGCCTTTTCAACTATTTCAAACCAACTGGTAAAAACAGTTCTTAGGTATTGGGTTAACGAATTTGAAGTACCCAAGTCTGAAGATGTATGTATATATTCTAACGTTGGTTTCAAAGCATCCCTAGTTTTGGTAAAGAGTTCATCCTTCAACCTTCCAGAAACGTTAGGCAATTTGTTTCGTGCACTAGTTGAGGAGGTCAATATATCATTAATCTGGTTTTTGGAAATATTTACAGAATCTCTCAAGTTCTGCAACAACTCTGATTGTTCGTCTCTATCCGTTGGCTTCACGTAAGAGTTGAAGATGTTTTGAAATAGTTGCTTTTCTTCCTCAATAATTTTCTTTTCGTTATCATTAGTTTTATTCATGTCCAAAAAGCTCAAATCAAAAATATTTTCATCGTTCTTATCGACATCAATTGGATTGAATTCTTCTGTTTGAGTTTTGTTCTGTTTACTACTAAGATGATCTTTTGTCATTTCACCTAGTTTTTCAAAATCAAATAACCCTTCATCGTTGTTATTACTATCACCATCTAAGTTAAGAGATGATAAAAGATCATTAAAATCATCATTGCCTTTCTTTGAATCTATAATCTCATCTTGTTTCTTCTCGTGGTCATTAAGTAAATCATTTAAAATATCAAATTCTGATTTTTCTTCCGTAGATATGTCTATAGCTTCTTCATTACTGCCATTCTTGGCATCAACATAGGTATCTATGTCAGATAAGAGGCTATCTCTTTCAAAAGACTTTAATTCCTGATCTTCTTGAGATGCTTTATTCTGAGATGCAAATAACTCCAGCTTTTCGTAGTTCAAATTGTCTTTCCCGTTGTTCTTTTCGAAATCGGCTGTTTCAGATGTATTTTTGGAGATATCTGGAAATAATTCATCTATATTTAAAGGATCGCTTTCCTTCTGGGAGTTTCCCAGTAAATTTTGAAATTCTTGATTTGATTTATCTCCCGAATTATATAACCTTACTGACCGTATTATATACGAATTACCACTATAGAATATTCTTGGCTGTACCTTCTTTAAACCGCGAGGTAAATAGGCCAATCTAAACATAATAAGTCTGGGTACTCAAGTCTAGCAGCATGCCTACAGAAGACCAAAAATTATATCCATATTTTTTTTTTACAATAAAAAGATTTATGTGCACGCATTTTTAAATAATTTATTACTATACAATACCAACCCCATAGAAACCAGTTCTACTGTTTTCTCTATTCAGTTTCTCAAAGGCTAACCTTGATGTAGATTGACTAGCGAATAATGCCCTTCATTTTCATTGATAGGCATGAGTTGAAATGCCAGCTTATTATAGGCCGCTTCGCCTTCTGGGTGATTGAGATTCCAACCCTTGCCCAAACGTTCACATAGAAAATTAGCAGCATCATCACAATAACCTAGAATACTGACGTCAAAATTGCAATGGTCAATAGGATCTTTATTAATTAATACTTGTGGTACGTGTTCTGGGATTCTTTCGACAATATCAGCCACTGGCGAGACTTTCAAAGAAGTACCAATACTAATTAACAAGTCACATTCCATCAAGTCTTGTCTTATCATGTTGTGAAATCTTGTTGGTAAAGGCTCACCAAAAAAAGTGATATCAGGCTTCATAACTCCGTAACTTTCAGGTACATATGCGTCCTCTTTGTTAAGCAATATTTTTCTGGCTTTCATACACTTAGGACAATACGGTATTTCCTTCAACCTTATTTTTGGAAAGATTTTCTCTCCCTTAACTTGATACTTACAAGTGACACACGATGCTGTAGCAAATGAGCCATGGCATTGAATTAATTTCTCTGGTTTAATACCCACATTGCTTTCCAAGTTATCAATGTTTTGAGTATAGTTTCTTAGTAATTTTCCTTTGTTTTGCAAAAGCTTGATGAATGAATGCAATGGCGTGTAAGACTTTTCAGGTGGTAAAATCATATACGCAATCAGGTAAAAGATATTAGGATCACTGTGAAAAAAGTCTAAATCAAAAACTTCTTGAGGATCCGACAATCCTAGATATTGTAACTGAGAGTAAAACCCCTTCGAGGATCTAAAGTCAGGAATACCTAAGCTGGTTGAAATACCCGCCCCAGTGACCACCAATATCTTTTCCGCCTTTTTTATTTTGTCAACCACATGTTCTACACTATAAAAGTCATCTAATTTGGATCTCATGGAATTCACTCTTTTCATGGCTGTATGCAATAGCTTTATAAGTCCAATTAATTTGTCTCCATCATTGAAAGAAGGGATGTCCTTCGGGAAAAATCCCAACTTCTTTATCAACTGTAGCAAGTCCAGGCTCGATGCCGTAGTGGGTAAATATTTATCAAGAAATTCCATAGTCCCGTGTTGTTTGAGATACTTTCTTGTCTCGGAAATCACTCTTCTGGTAGCTTCATTATCTTCCCCTTTTCCTGTTGGAACTTCATGTGTGGAAATCGCATTCAAATCACTCGAACTCGATCCTGTAGAAATATCCCCCAAATCACTAGGTATTCCTTGTGATTCACCGTCCATTTCATTTTCGACTTTTCTCGAGGATACCCTTGGGTCCGATGCAAGAGAGTGAACATAACCGCTTTCTGAATTACCATCACTCAGACCACTCAGACTACTTTCACTACCAGAGCTATCATCACTGCTCTGACTATATGTACTCTCTGCACTTTTATTAGCGCTCAGACTATCAGAGCTGCTCACATTATTATCACTGTCTTCTGATGTACTATTCATAAATGGCTTAACTAGGGGAGCATCATTATTTTGAGATTTCTTGAATTTTTTCCTAGGTGGAGCGTCTTCTTCTGACATTCTTGGAGGATCATTCTCGCGTTCAGATTCCGAGTCGATTAATACAATATCATCTCTATTATTCGGAATGGTGGACATATGAAATAGCGACTAATCTTCGTCCAAAATTCTAAACTTTTCTTGCGGAATATATCTATAACAAAAAAGAAACCAGTATCCACAATATACCTCAGCTTTATATGTATAATGGACCTCAAGACGAATATATAACAACAATACGATATCTATCTAAGATATATGAAACAGATGTTATCCCACATCATCGTCCCATCGGCCACTGAACGCGCTGGAACAGAGATGAATTCTGTTATCACGTGATTTTTAACCGAATTCAAGTAATAATAGTCCAAGCAGCACCAATATAGAGAATAAAAAATGGCTCCAAGGCACGTCGATGTATTAATGCGTAAGTATATGTTGATTTCATGTAAGTCTCTCTCTAAATGGCTTTTATGGTTCTAATGATATTGAATCAAAACGACCGTTCCTTGCAACCCTTTGTCTCTCTGAGCACTGTCCTACGGTTTTGCAGCCTACCAAAAATTGGTGGCTTTGCATATCAAGATCAAAGATATCCTTTTCTGCTTCTATTAGTCGTATGTCTATATCACTCTTGTGCCTTAAGTCTTTTGTTGTATATCACATTTATCGATTTTATGCATATTTTGCAAAATATTGCAAAATATTAAATAATATGAAAACACTATTATTCCGTACCCAAAATCGTTAATAACAACAGTTCCACTTACTGACCCCTAGCAACCCCCTGGACAATTTGGATGAAACCTACATCTTTTCCTTCTACATTGTACGTGCTAATTAGGACGTTCCGGGATCATTATGGATATTGCTTACTTAATCACACACTAAATAGTTGCAAAATGGTTATACTGGTCGTACAACGGCCGCAAGACATCCCAGGGGATACAGTGATGCCTGCAGTTGTCATAATATCCCAAAACTTCTGGTCATACGAGAGTCTCGAGACGATATGTTGCAGACGGTCTTCCATCTAGGAGTACCTGATTCTCCACAAATCGCGTACGCGGCTTGGTATACGAGGTGACTATAAAGTTCTAGGTCTACCCAGATCAACATAGTAAGGCATATCTGGCTCATCAGATCCATAGACACCAGTTACCAGACACTAGCTATATATGAATATATAACAACTCAGAATATATTATCGATCTGCGACCTCAGCCTTTATTGTTTTATCTGTACGATGGACGAAGAAAAAACTCTTTGAGAACGCGATTGCGACAAATGATCGTGCCACGTATAATCAAGATTTCGACACTATAAGCAAAATTTTACTGAAAAAAATACATTCTCTTCCTAAAAGTGTATAAAATCCAGGAATTCAATTGAATCAGTTGTTAGATAGAATGTTAGACTCATTTGACTTCATTGAAACCCCTAAACAGGGACCAATTCCTCCAGCATCGGATAAATGTGGTATCATGACCACCGACTCTCCAGCGATCCATAATGCTCCATTACCAGCAGATGGACCTGGTTCCAAGCAATTCAACAACTATGCTATGGCAGGACTTATTGTCTTGATTCCTTATTTTGTTACTAGAAAGTTGGGTGGAGGATTTAAGACATGGTTATTTTTCACTTTGATTTCATGTTTACCAATCATGATGGCCTACTGGACAATTATGTCTAGTTATTCACCAAGACTCAATGAAAAGGTTAAATATCCTAACAGACCAATTTCTGATTACTTAGAGTTCCATACCGAAGAATTGAAGGCCAAATACATCAACTCCAACGGTGGTAAGGGTAGCAAGATTCCAATTGAAACTTTCCAAGAATTGTACTTCAACGGTAAGGTTAGTTTCAAGGGTGACTGTTTGGATGTGTTAGAATACAAGCATGACTGGGCATCTTTCCGTTTTACTTTGTCATTGTTTAGATTTTTCTTACTTGGTATGATTCCTGAAGTGATTATGCACTCTAAGTCTCAAGATGAAGAACAAGTTAGAGATCACTACGACAGAGGTGATGACTTCTACACCTGGTTTTTGGGTCCAAGAATGATCTATACATCGGGTGTCATTAGTGATATTGAACGTGAAGAAACATTAGAAGAAATGCAAGATAACAAGTTACACATTGTTGCTGATAAAATTCAAGTTAAAGAAGGCGACCACGTTTTAGATCTTGGTTGTGGATGGGGTACATGGACTACATTTGCTTCCTACAAGTACGGTGCCAATGTTACAGGTGTCACTTTAGGTAAGAACCAAACTAAATGGGGTACTGAATTATTATCGAACTACGGCATCACCGATTCTCAATCTAGAATTGCCTGTGTTGATTACCGTGACTCTCCTAAATCGCAAAAGGCTAACGGTAAGTATGATAAAATCACTTGTCTTGAAATGGCCGAACACGTTGGTATCAGAAGATTTTCTTCTTTCTTGGAACAAGTGTATGAATCGTTAGAAGATGACGGGGTATTCTTTTTACAATACGCTGGTTTACGTAAGAGTTGGCAATACGAAGATTTAAACTGGGGTTTGTTCATGAACAAGTACATTTTCCCTGGTGCTGATGCGCTGACTCCATTGACTTTCGTTGTGTCTGCTTTGGAATCAGTTGGTTTCGAAGTCGTCTCGTTAGACAACATCGGTGTCCATTACTCCGGTACCTTGTGGAGATGGTACCGTAACTGGATCGGAAACAAGGAAAAGGTCGTAAACAAGTATGGTATCAGATGGTACAGAATTTGGGAATTCTTCTTAGCTACTTCCACTATTGTTTCTAGACAAGGTTCTGCTACCTGCTACCAAATCGTGTTGAGAAAGAACTTGAACTCCTACCACAGAGTCAACTACATTCCAGCCCAAAAGGGTTTATCTGGCCCAGTGGCCAACGGTAACAAGTGGGCTAAATAGGCAACATGAGTATGGTTTAGGTCAATTGTTGCTTAAAAATTATAGACTCCGTTATCCAGCTAGATAACTCTCGCTGTATAGAGTATAATTATATATGTTGCAAAATCTAATATATATTTTAGTCACCTATTATTTGACTCTAATCCTTGATCGCAAAGTCGTATGAATCCCATTTGTTGATTACGTACCTACAGACCTACGTAATACCTACGTAATCCACTTTTAACTCCAGTCCTATTCTTAAGACCGGCTATCATGATGACTACAGCAGAGCGAAAAGCGGCGGGGCCGATCTGGCTCCGAACAGTCATGATTCAATCCTTATCTATCTCCCACAAACTGATAATCTTTCTAAATATATCTCCCTCTTGTCGTTTTCTTCATAGTGTTTTCTTTATCCTACTTGTCAAGATATTGTATGCCTTATTTCTCTTAGTCTTAGGTATCAAATTCCTTCCCAACGAATTTAACCTGCTAACTATACTTCATGACCAGCGGATACTCACCAATACCCTCGGCAATCGCTCACTGTTCAGGGCTTCCGTTGACCCGATATCCCGGACTTTGTCTCACCTACGTAAAAATCATACTTTTAGTCTTACAAGACGCGGGCTTCTGCGCTGTTATCGCTGTCGGAGTCAACGTTGACTCAAATAGACTCTGGTAATTTCGCAAAACTTCCGCTGGAACGAATTGATTGCTGATAAATTTCAATATCTGGGGTACTCTATAGGATTCATATGGGGAGTATAAATAGCATGTGGATCGCCCACTTTTTATATTAACCATTTCTCAGGTTATTATTAAATCTTATACTATTAGCAGTTATTATAATATATTTCAAACATATTATAGTACCAACATTAGAATCTTATAAGAGTCGGATAATTAGTATATCAGAAAATATCTACAATGTCATCTCCATTTCCAAAGACCGCCGATAAATTAAAGGGAGTTCAAATTTTGGCATCAATCCCAGATAGAGCCAAACACATCTTGAATGCTGAAGCTCTTGCATTAGTCGCTACTTTACACCGTGCATTCCAACCAACCAGAAAGCAATTATTGGCCAACAGAAAGGAGCAACAAGCCAAGAGAGACAGGGGAGAATTGCCAGACTTTTTGCCAGAAACTGAATACATTAGAAACAATCCTACCTGGACTGGTCCACCATTAGCTAGGGGCTTAGAAGACAGAAGAGTCGAAATCACTGGTCCTGTGGACAGAAAGATGGTTATCAACGCATTGAACTCTCCAGTTGCTACATATATGGCCGATTTTGAAGACTCCTTGACTCCAGCATGGGCAAATTTGATTGACGGTCAAGTTAATCTTTACGACGGTGTTAGAAAGAATATTTCTTTTGAACAAAACGGTAAGAAATATGCATTGAACACCGATCCTAAGAGACACCTTCCAACCTTGATTGTCAGACCAAGAGGATGGCACTTGGATGAAAAGCATGTTCTCGTTGACGGTGAACCAGTCTCCGGTGGTATCTTTGATTTTGCCATCTACTTCTACAACAACGCCAAGGAAACTCTTGCTCAAGGATTCGGTCCATACTTCTACTTACCAAAGATGGAACACCACTTGGAAGCCAAGTTATGGAACGATATCTTCAACCATGCTCAAGATTACATTGGTATGACTAGAGGTACTATCAGAGGTTCCGTTTTGATTGAAACCTTACCAGCTGCTTTCCAAATGGACGAAATTATTTACCAATTAAGACAACATATTGGTGGTTTGAACTGTGGTAGATGGGATTACATTTTCTCATACATTAAATCTTTGAGAAACCACCCAGAATTTGTCTTACCAGAGAGATCTCAAGTTACCATGTCTGCTCCATTCATGTCGTCTTACGTCAAGTTATTAGTCAACACTTGTCATAAGAGACAAATCCATGCTTTAGGTGGTATGGCTGCTCAAATTCCAATTAAGGAAGATAAGCAAAGAAACCAAGCTGCCTTAGAGAACGTTGCTAAGGATAAGTTGAGAGAAGTCAACGCTGGTTGTGATTCTTGTTGGGTTGCTCACCCAGCTTTAGTTCCTGTTGTGTTGAAGGTTTTCAACGAGCATATGAAGGGTCCTAACCAAATCAATGTTCCACCAAAGGTTCCATACACTCCAGTTACTGCCAGAGATTTATTAAGCCCATATGTTCCAGATGCTAAGATCACCGAACAAGGTATCAGAACTAACATCATCATTGGTTTGTCTTATATCGAAGCTTGGTTAAGAAACATTGGTTGTGTTCCAATTAACTACTTGATGGAAGATGCTGCAACCGCTGAAGTCTCCAGAACTCAAATCTGGCAATGGGTTACCCACGGTAGTAAGACTGACGAAGGTAAGACCATTACCAAGGAATATGTTGGTAAGTTATTACAAGAAGAGTCCGATAAATTATCCAAGAATGGTAAGCCAGGTAACAAATTCAGTCAAGCTTTGACCTACTTCAAGCCAGAATGTCTTGCAGAAAAATACTCTGATTTCGTTACTACTTTGCTTTACGATGACATTACTACTATCGGCAGACCAACTGCTGCTGAAAAATTATAAGCAACTTTTGATAAGCTATTTATTTGTTGGATTTTTGACAGATCCGTTATTTATTGTTTTTAATGAATGAATGACTATTTAAACTATATTAGATCGTGTTTAGTTTGAATAATTAACATTGTATATGCAATTGACTTTCGTATGTAATATATTAGTAAGTGAAAAGTAGTTTCGACTCACACTAGATATCTAGTTGTGGGGCCGCATACAAGAAAAAATTGAGTTGCTTCGATATCAATCAAGTGAACCGCGTAGCATAATTTTTAAATTATCAAAGTTCACATTGACTAGAAACATATTGCTGTCTTCCTTCAAAATTTTACAACATGATAAGTAACAAGAAGATAAGATTAGTTGCAATTTCAGCAGTTCTGATATTATTCATAATTTTATTCTTCAGGACTAGTTCCAAATCTGAACTACGTCCCGAAACGTTAAATAATGATTCGAAGGCACAGACATTATTAACTTCCAATAATTTGATCGATTCGAAGAATGATGATAAGGTGGATGCAGCCATTAATAATGAGATATCTAAACTCAATAATGATGATTCAGAAAAGGTTCTTTCACCAGAGAAGACACAAGAGGACACAACCGAGAAATCGAAAGAAGAATTTGACGTAGCAAAGGCATTACTAGAAATCAGAGCCTTGTCACCTATGGTAATATTTTCCAAGACATACTGCCCATATTCCAAGAGACTTAAACAATTATTAAAGGATAATTATCAAATAACTCCAGAACCTACAATTGTGGAGCTCGACAGACATGGATACGGTCAGAATTTACAGGACTATTTAGAGGAGACTACAGGGCGTGGAACTGTTCCTAATGTTTTAGTAGGAAGTTCACTTGAAAGCAGAGGAGGATGTGATGACATTAAGAAATTACATGATGAGGGCAAATTGCAAAGCTTATTAATCGAATGGGGTTCGACAAGCTCCAAGAAGCTCGACGTCAAGAAGATAGAAGCACCATCTAATAGTTAAATTAATAAATAATATAATTTCATCTACAGTCACAATATTACTAATGTATATATTTAATACATTTACAATTTAATAACTAATGTAACATTAAAAGAAACCCTTATAAACAAATGTTTAATATAAACTTGGGATTACAAGCTTACTTAAAATTTAGTAAATTGCTTAGATTTAGACTTTGAAACGGCAACCTTTAAGACGTTGAATCTAACAGTCTTGGAGATTGGTCTACATTGACCAACAACAACGACATCACCTTCTTGGACACGGAAAGCTGGAGAAACATGAGCAGCTAAGTTCTTGTGTCTCTTTTCGTATCTGTTATATTTTGGAACGTAATGTAAGTAGTCTCTTCTAATGATAATAGTTCTGTGCATCTTGGTGGAGACGACAGTACCAGTTAAAATTTTACCTCTGATGGAGACAGAACCGGCAAATGGACACTTCTTGTCGATGTAGTTACCTTCAATAGCACCCTTTGGGGTCTTGAAACCTAAACCAACATCCTTAAACCATCTCTTGGTCTTTCTGTTAGCCTTAGCCTTTGGGTTGGTAAAGATATGTGGTTGCTATAATCTGTTAGTATGTTGTGCTCTAAAATTTTTCACTGTCGAGAATCATTTTCCCGCCTTAAGCGCTTTTTCGTTGCAATTCCCACCATACACTGAAGTCTTATGTTCCTTATTCATTCATTATGTCACTTTGTCTCTCATTTTATGTTCATAGTCGTTATCCTCTTTCTGGGTTTACATATCATTCTTCTAATCTTTTGATATCTCCATCTACTATCCAATACTTCTCAATATTCTTTTTATATAATGATCTTCTAACATTCCATGTTCTTCATATTTTATCATTTTTTCATTTATGTCCAACTTTACTTCTGTTTCTTTACTCGACTTCTCTTTCAATGTATGGTGAGCCTGCCAACTCTCAAGCTTATAATCTATGTGATACGAACCTTTTGGAAAGCTCTTTCAGATTGAACGGTCAATTCAGTAGCCATCTTGTCTTAAGTATTATGCTAATATTAAAAGATCCTATTCTGAAAATTTTTTATTTGTTCTTTGAAAAATTATCCGTATACTCTGTCGCACTAGGAGAATTGGGCCCAAGAGAATTTTGTTAGCAAATCGGTGAAAATTACACAAAGCTGGAGGTAGTGAGAGACTCAAAATGTTGGCAATTTCGTCCACAAGACCATGGGGTTTCTGCCCTAAGATGAAAATAAGTTCGAGATCAACCGAGGTCCAAGATGTTACACAATAAGTTCCAGTAAAAAAACAGGAAAAGGTCGCGAGCTGAATTAGAGAATGCGATAGAGAAATAAAATCGACTTATTACCTAAAATAGTAATCTAGGATTATAACCTGTTTGTGTTTATATCTGTTATCAGATTATTGAAGTGATAGAGCTATATAGCGGTACTGAATAGTGGGTTGATATAGATGCACAGTTAACGGTGGACAAGACATACGAACCAAGGAGACAAATATAGGAAAGATGAGTTCGAGCAATGGGCCCAAGTATAATTTGAATCGGTTTAGACGTATACCATCGCAGCATTCAGCAGATCAAACGTATTTGAACCCCAATGAGTCGCTTAACCAGAATAGCACCAGAACAATTTCTTCGGGGTCAACATCGATACTCAGCACACCGAGCAATAATATCAGGCGCATTCAACAGCAGAAACAGCAGCTGAGGATACAGAGGGAGCAGAAGGACTCGAAGGAACAGAGGGCCAAGAGACCATCGATGATGTCACGTCCGAGCAACGTGAAGAACAAATTGTTGAATTTACAGTCGCTGAAGAAGTATATGACAGATAAGAAAGGGACAGAGAAGGCAGGAACGCAGGCGTTTGCCATTCGCAAGCCCCTAGACATGAATGCTTACGACTACTCAGTGTTCACCAATTATTCGAATGATAGTGACATGCTAGACGACGACAGCTTACCGCCGGCCGTTAAGGAGTCTCAGGTAAAGGCGTGGGAGTCTGCTGAAAAGATCACGAACAATTTGATCTTCAACGATACGTCAAGCGAGAGTGATGACGATAGTGAGGTGGATGGCGAGCCAAAGGACACGAAAGAAATGAAGCACCGCAGCAATGAGATCATACAATCGCTTCCCGGATACACCAAAGGAGAACTATGCATTATCCAGACCCGATTTAATGATAAACAGAAACAGGGTCCAAATGTAACTAATTTTGGTGATGATGAAGAAAAGCAGTTGCTCTGGGATTATAGAAAGCGTCAGCAAGCCACACAAGAGAAACTTTTCAGCCAGTATCTGTCTTTATCTAATAAGCGTAAGATCCAACTTGCACAAAAAAAGGATTTACTCTACAAAATGTTCGGATACAACAACAACATAAACCAGGAATATGTAACGAATAACACGCCTTACTCTGCTATAGATAATGCAGCCAATTCTCTGAAAGCATTTCACGAGGATAAGGAAGAGATAGGTCTGCTTATTGACGAAGACAGACTTTACCACCAATTGTTGCATGACACCAAGGCATCATTGAATAGTCGCCAAAACAATCGATTGGGAATCAATAAGCGCAAACTGAAAAAAATAGAAATTACGGATTTTGACTACGACAAATTCCAAAGTATAGTTTCGTTTAAGCTTGACCATTTGTACGACCGTTTCTTCGTTAACTACAATTGTTCCAAACCCGCCGATATGGACGATGATGACGAAGTCTCGGAAGAATTATACAACTTTACAACTGCATTTTTAAGACGATGCATAAAGGATACTGATGAAATCGAGGATTCCATGTAATGTCTATAGAAAATAATGAATATATAATCTGATGACATATTATGATTGCCTAGATCGATTTTGTTAATAGAACGTGACTTATTAGGTCCGCAATATATAAACTGATTCCTTCCGCTAATAAAAATTAATAAGCTACTGCAAGTATGTTTAATAATTGTGCTAGGCAAGTTTTTAAACAACCATATATACGATTACAAGCAATTAATAGGCATCTTTCAACTAGCATGGCTCCTTTACAAGCTATAAAAAAGTACGACTATTTGGTCATTGGCGGTGGTTCAGGTGGTGTCGCATCGGCACGTAGAGCGGCTTCTTACGGGGCTAAAGTATTATTGATAGAGCTGAAATTCAACAGAATGGGTGGAACTTGTGTCAATGTCGGATGTGTTCCAAAGAAGGTTATGTGGTATGCCGGGGATTTGGCAGAAAAAAGACACCACTTGAAATCATACGGCTTATCCAAGACTGACGACAAAGTTAAGCATGGTGACTTTGACTGGTCTACTTTCAAAGATAAAAGAGACGCGTATGTGAAGAGATTGAACGGAATTTACGAAAGAAATTTGAAGAATGAAGGAGTTGACTACATCTATGGATTTGCTCAATTCGCCAATGCAAATGGTGATGTTGAGGTGACCTTAACAGGAGACCAAGAGTTATCATTTTTAGAAGAAGGTAAGGAGTTTAAGAAGGACGAACAACTCATTTTTTCTGGAAGCAAGACTTTAATTGCAACTGGTGGATATGCTATAAATCCACCAAATGTCGAAGGACACGAATTGGGAACAACCTCAGATGGCTTTTTCGAGTTACAAAAGCAACCAAAATCAGTTGCTGTTGTCGGTGCTGGATACATTGGTGTAGAATTGTCTGGTATCTTCAAAGCACTTGGATCCGAAACTCACTTAGTTATTAGAGGTGATACTGTTTTAAGATCTTTTGATGAATCTATTCAAAACTCAATTACTGACTATTACACAGATAAATTAGGTGTTAATGTAATTAAGCAATCTGGAAGTGTTAGTAAGGTTGAGAAAATTGATGGCGACAGGAAGAGAGTTACCTTGGGAAATGGTCAGGTACTCGAAGTTGACGAACTTATATGGACTATGGGTAGAAAGTCCTTAATTAATATCGGATTAGATAAAGTGGGTGTTAAGTTAAACGACAAACAACAAGTTGATGTAGATGAATATCAAAACACTGCAAACCCAAATATCTTTTCTTTAGGTGATGTTATTGGTAAGGTCGAATTAACTCCTGTTGCTATTGCCGCAGGTCGTAGATTATCAAACAGATTATTCTCTGGTGATAAGGCCTTTGAAAATGACCACTTGGATTACTCTAATGTTCCATCTGTCATTTTTAGTCACCCAGAAGCAGGCTCAATTGGTTTATCATGTAAAGAAGCTAAAGAGAAATATGGAGAAGACCAAATTAAGATTTACAAGTCTAAGTTCAATGCGATGTATTACGCTATGATGGAAGATGATTCATTGAAATCTCCAACTTCCTATAAGATTGTTTGTGCTGGTAAGGATGAAAAGGTGGTTGGCCTTCATATCGTTGGTGATTCAAGTGCAGAAATATTGCAAGGTTTTGGTGTAGCTATCAAAATGGGTGCTACAAAGAAAGATTTTGACAATTGCGTTGCTATCCATCCAACTTCGGCCGAAGAGTTGGTAACCATGAAATAGATCTTTATTTCGAATTAATATTTACATTATATTTTTAAAATAAATTATATATTATATTATATTACTATTGTAGGGTTTATGATATTTTTCACTATATTACAATGGAACTCTCCTTAATGCTTAACTCTCTTAGGTGGTGGTCCTCTAACCGGAGGTTTTGGTTTATCTCCTGGTTTCATGAAAAACATTGGTGCATTCTTTAAAATATCTGGCACCATAACGAACCTAATCATCGAACCTCTCACAAACACTTGATTCATGTATGATGTGTTCCCTGTTCTACCTTTAGTTATTGTTACATCGTAGAGCGATAGATTCATGTTATCCTCATTTTCAAGTAGCTTTCCACGATACGTGTCACCAGTAGTTAGTTCTAATGATATTATGTGTCCTTGTGCTTCATTTAATAATTTAACGGGAATACCAGCGGACATAGTATACTAATATTTAATTGTTTGTATACTATAATAAAAACTACTTTTTATTTCATGAATTGATACTTCTGTTAATCATAAAAAATCGCACAAACACAAATTTTACTAGATGATTATCCGGAGAAGTATTGATGTAAAAGCAACAAATCTTTTTTATAGTATTAATTATCTGTTGTTCCTGAGATATTTAGAAGTGACATACCGCATCGACTAGTATGTTGATATAATGGTTAATGGATTAGGAAACCCTACGCTGAAACAAAAACAGAGAAATAGAGTACCAGTCTCATGCCTCATTTGCAAAAGACGGAAAGTCAAGTGTGATAAAGTCAAACCGGCGTGCGGTGGATGCATCAAGAACGGTGTCCCTCACTTGTGTGAGTACGTAGAACCTGCTTGGACTAATAATGCTAAAGCTACGAATCCTCAAGTAAACAATAATAAGTCTAATGACCAGATCGGACAACCTGAAAAAACTAAAAAGCAGATTCAGAAAGATAAGTTGATTAATGAGCAACGAAAGGAGATTGAAGAATTGAAAAGACAACTTTCAGTTTCCCAACAGCTACACCCTAAAGCTCAACGTAATGATAATCAGGAATTGAGAGTGAGCATTCTAGAGAAATTAAACGTCAATAATCTTAGCTCGAAATCTACCATAGATATAAGTAATGATAAGTCTTACACAGTAAAGCGTCAGGTACAGAAGTCTAAATCAACTTATATCGATACCTATTCATGGGTTAGTATAATTAAATTGGATCCTCACTTAACCACATTGTGGTATAAAATTACCAACTTGCAAAAGATTTACCATCTATATAAGATGAACTTGTTGAATTCTCAAACAAAGAATGACGTACTGGATAATACCTCAAGTACAACAAACGCGGTATCCAAGAAGTCGTCGTATAAAATCAACGAGATTGATTTTACCCATTCACTTGTACCAGGCCCAAAAGCTCCGAACAGTTATCTGAAATGCCCCGTGGTTGAATGTGATTTTAATTTTATGTTTGAAGCGTCGCCTACTCTGATATCTACCACGACACCAGGGTCTACCACGAAAAGTGATGTAACAGAGAGTCCCGATAAAGGTTGTCCTTATCACAAAGATCTTGAACACATGTCAGCTATTGATAGACATAATGAACTCTCAGGTGATAGTAAGATTTTCTTGAAAAAGATACAAAATATTTGGAATTCCACTCTAATGCTATTGCGAGGTAATGAGACGATGAATTATTTTCAGATGAATTTCTTAATAGATTACTATTTTAACGAGAGTAAATTTACAACTGAATCCAGAAATTTGCTTTCGTTCTATAGAGAAGAAATACAGTCTATAATAAAAAAAAATGGTGATACATTCTCATTAAATTTTGCTCATGACCAATCTCGAAGTGATGAAGACCGCTATTTTAATCTTATATTGAAAGGTTTATATTTATGCATGCTCTCTTTAATTGTTGAAGAGTCCTTAGAAATAATAAGACTGGAAGCAGACATAGGAGATTTTAACAGTGTAAGTCCTGAATTTAGATCTTTATTTCCTTCAGAAGTACTATACTTGGGTCTAGGATACAAAGCCAATAATATATTGCTTATAGTCCAAGAATACTTGTTGCATGTATCAAATGATGTGATTTTTAAAGATAAAATGTCAGACTCTTTGATTTATATTTTATGTTGTACGACTTTTCTTAATCGGGAAGTTGTCAATTATAAAAGACAAAACACAGATTCTAATTCAAAATTCAGGTTCCAAACAATTTTCATACAATTATTAAGTAATATATTTGGCAAAAGAGGCTATTTGGAAGTTTGGAAAAATCCTCAAGAGATAAGTTTAAGATGTAATGAATCTGAACAAAAATTAAGAGAATTTAGGCTAAGCATGTGCTATTTATGGTCAGATTTAGTACGGTTAGTGAATTTGGCAACTTTTAGTTTAAGCCATTTGATAAGTCACCCAGAGAAGATCACTGATTTAGTATTGAAGTTTTATGACAAGGTAGAAGGATGTGATAGGCATAAGAACCATATCATATATATTGGTGACCACGGATCGGTTCAAGATAAGAAGTTAGTAAGCACGCTCAGCATTAACTATCTTATATCAAAGATTTATTGCAATTTAAGGTACGGCATTGTAAGTTTTGGTGAAGTAAGGCTAACTACAAGTATGCTTTATAAGATGATTGAAAATTGCACGTCTTGGAAGGCTGATGATAACTTATATAATAACACAAGGATAAGAAGTTTAGAAACTAGATGTATTTTACATTATTCAAGTTTACATTTATCTTATATTATATTTTTACAAGAAGAGGAAAAGGGACATAAATCTAACTTGAATAAGCTATACTGTGATTTTTTTATTCAATTTTGTGAGTTTATTTTGTTTGTCGAAGTTATTATAAAAAATGAACCCGGTAATTCAGGCTCTCAACATTCACAGCACCTTTTACTCTTAGTTACTGAATTGCTAACAAGGACGATACATTTCATTATTGGATTATTGTTAAGACTTGGCAATATCGATGAACTGAATTCTGCTTCAATGTTGCCTAAAAAGTTGTTATCCATATTTGATAGTAAGCTACTGGGTGGTACAATGGAAACAGATGATGAAGATGAGGTATACAAAGCATTACATAATAGGCTAGTTAATGTTATCAATCAAGAAATCATATCTTTGCTTGACAGCTACATCACGGGCAAGGAAAAGGCCATAAAATTATCAAAGTTATGGAATTTTTATTTAACATTTATCAAAAATTCTCACAAGATGAGTTCCCTTGATTATGCTACAATACATTCCAATATCCCATTATTCAAAAATATGAAGTCACAAAATATGGCCCTGTGTCCTGTAGTACCGGGACAGTCGAATACCGACAGATCACAGAAGTGTCCTGTAAAGCATGAAATCGCTACTACAGGAAATAAATCAGGGGATTCAAAATGCCCTATATCTCATATAACCACTCCAATGAATGAAGATGCTAATCCCATCACTACAGCTCCAGATAAATGCCCAATTGACCATAAATCCTTGATAGATTCACAACACTCTAAAAAACGGAAGTTCCCATTAGATCACCCTTCTCCCCAGATTGGAGGAATCTTACCTAATGGATACAATACAGTTGAAAGTAATATAAGATCTAGCACTCAAAAACTTAAATGCCCTGTACGTGGCTCACCAAAAGAAAATTATCTGCCAGTATCCAACTTGTCGAATCCTAGCAGTCTAGGTTTCGATCCAATTTCTACAAATAACGTTATACCAGATAACATGCCAAACCCTATGAATGCAGTCGATAATGTAATGGTACCAGGGTTGCTTAAATCGGAGGATTCCAACATGGAAATTCCTAGTTTTGGTGTAAACTGGCAAGAATTTAATGACTTCGATTTTGAATTTTTGCAGAACGAACTTATGTTCAAGCAAGTTCAGGATCTTCAAGATAATAATTTCAGTAATCCATCTATTGAAGATCTCTTTAGATAGAAGAATATATTAGAGATAGTTAATCACGTGCGTTTAATGAACTGAGACTTGAATAATGATAATACAGAACGTGAAGAAGCTTTCAAACGTACGATAAAGTAGTTAGACAATAAAATGCTTGTGTTAAAGCCATATCCTCGACATAGTAATTTATGCTCTAGGTCAACTTTACTGAAAAGTTTACTCAAAACTTATTCAAACGGTAACTCTAATATAATATGCAAAAAGCTGTTAACAACCAAAACAAATATTAAGACCAAATCTAGATTCACATCTTTCAAATTTGGTATTGCGTTAGGGTTAGGGGGTTCTATTCTTTATGCAACAAATGACTCGTTCCATAATACCACTAGACACATCGTATTGACGGCTGATAGAGTAGGTGTTGTTGCATTGGCTACCATTCGTTGTTTTAAGCTTTACAAAGATACCTTAGGAACGGAATATGATTCCCAAATCGATAGAAGCAAGGCATTATCAGAAACTCACCTTAAAGCGGCGAAGATCACTTTAAAAGCACTTGAGAAAAACGGCGGAATATATATTAAATTGGGTCAACATATTACAGCTTTGACTTATTTACTTCCTCGTGAATGGACAGATACTATGATACCTTTGCAAGATAGATGTCCAAGGTCTTCATTGGAGGAGATTGAAAATATGTTTCAGTCAGATTTAGGAGTTTCGATGAATGAATTATTCAGTGAATTTAACCCGGAGCCCGTCGGTGTTGCATCTCTAGCTCAGGTACATATAGCTACTTTGCGAGATAGCGGAGAGAGGGTTGCAGTCAAAGTTCAACATCCATCGCTTGCAGAATTTGTTCCATTAGATGTATATATGACTCAGAGAGTTTTCAGATTGATGCGGAAAGTCTTTCCTGAGTACCCTTTAACATGGTTAGGAGATGAATTACAGAGTTCAATTTTTGTAGAATTGGATTTTGTAAACGAAGCAGAGAATAGTGAAAGGACTGCAAAGTACTTTAAAAATTTTCAAAAAGAAACAGCTTTACGAATTCCAAAGATAGTTTCTGCAAATGCAAGAATTTTAATCATGGAATATGTAGAAGGAGCAAGATTAGATGACTTAGAGTATATGAAAAAGAACAAGATAAACACTTCTGACGTTTCCTCATGTTTGTCGCATATTTTCAATAATATGATCTTTACTCCAGACGTGGGCTTACATTGCGATCCTCATGGAGGTAACCTTGCAATCAGATCTTCGAAATCTCGCAATGGTCATAATTTTGAGATTATTTTGTATGATCATGGCTTGTACAGACAAATTCCTTTGAAAATGAAGCGAGATTATTCACATTTCTGGCTTTCTCTATTAGATAATGATATCCCGAAAATGAGAGAATACGCAGAAAAGATTACTGGAATTCAAGGAGAACAAAAGTTTAGAATATTTGCATCAGCAATTACGGGACGCGATCCAGAAAACGCTCTTCATTATGATATTTCTAAGGCAAGATCCGAAGACGAAATCATAAATATGCAATCTCAATTGCAAGATCATAACGGAGTATTAGAAGACTTAATGGATATGCTAAGCAGAATGCCTAGGGTTATTTTATTGATCTTAAAGACTAATGATTTAACTCGACATTTAGACGAAGGTTTGGATAACCCATTGGGCCCTGAACGTACATTTTTAATTTTGGCTAATTATTGCGCCAAGTGTGTTTTCGACGAAACTAAAGAAAACATCAATAAGAGCTACTCAAAATTTTCCTTTGGATGGACTATCCAAAACATAAAATTATGGTGGTTTTACCAAAAAAGACTCAGTTCATTATACATTTATGATTGTATGATGACAATTAATAACTTTAAACACAAATTAGGCTTCTAAAGACTACATTCTATTGTACATAGTTGATATATTATTACTATTATTTATTAAAAATGCCCAAATTTATTACTACTCCAGTAATAAATGATTTATATGCTCATTCTATATCCTTCTTGATCTTATCAAGCAAGTTATTAATTCTTGGACCCATCAAAGGCTGTCCGGATTTAGTTTTCTTGGATAAAGTGTCCTTCCGTCTTTCCCGTTCTTTCGATTTTTTTTCTATAGTTTCACGACGGTCTTGTATTGACTTTAATTTAGCCTGCCTATTCTGTTCTTTTCTCTCCTTAGCAATCTTGGCCCTTTCCGCAAAATTCATAGGCCTTTTAGAAGGTTGGTTTCTAGAATTTGATATACCAGATCTTTCTAAATCTTCTGACTTATTCTGATTTACTGTGCTTTCGCTTTCATTTTGTTCTGGTTCGTGATTTATGCCTTCCTTCTCTAATAATTTAAAATAATTCTTTCTCAATCTCGCCCTATGCACCAAAGACTTTTTAATTTCTTTAGATTTAAATTCACGACGATCAGTATATGGGTTTTTACCCTTGAAATGCCTTTTTTCCCCCATGTTATTCTCTTTGTTTGTTTTTTGTCTTGAATATTGATAATGAACAATTTAGTTAGCTTAATTTTATTTAAAGATGAGCATTAACTTTGATTATATAATCAACTACTATTATCACCATCTTCATCTACAATGTAATTACTATCTTTGATCAAAGTTTCGAATTCTTTCCGCTGTTCTGGAGTTAACATACTTAGCAACTGTTCAGTTGAAGATTCATGAACAATTGTTTGAAATTCTTGGGTCTCTTGTTGTGTCAATGGCCTGTCTTCATCTTCGTAATCACTTTCGGCAGACTTATTTGCATGATTTAACTTGTGTAAATCTTCAATACTGAACTCATTTTGAAGAGAGCGTATGTTGTCTTCTACTCCCTTTGGTGCCATATATTTCCAGGTGCTAGTCGTCGTAGGATTATTTTCGGATGTGGATCGAGTTTTAGATGCATCGCCGTTATACTGATGTAAGAGCGCTACCAACTTCTTTCTTTCATTCAATTCTTTATGAGTCGGTTCATGTCTCTCACCTCTCTGGAGATGCTCTTCGATTGCAGCTTGGTAAAATTTCTCAGAACAGGATGAGTGCTTCTCCGAATTATAGCATTCTGAAGAACAATATAATGTTGAACAATTTGGACAAGTGTATTGTGATTTTGAGTTGTGACAAATTCCACAAATGAATTCAGAAGAGTTAGCGTGTGAATCGTATCCTAATGGTCTTATCATCGTTGATTTTATGATGTAGATAGTTATATGAATATTACAAGAAGTCAATTTTTCGCGACTTTATCAAGATACGTATTCATTCTACATAAGTATATTTACGATAAACACATTCACAATAGGCACTATGAGTAAGACAAGGGATCAAGAGCAGCCATATGTATCTATACCGCAAATAAATAACAACAATAATCCTGATGATGCTCAGCTGCAAGAAGAGGAATTTGAGCTTCAATCTTTAACATCGCTAGACTATGAAAATTCAACGACAGATCGAGTAGAACATGAAGGTCAAAATGATGCTGAATCGCAAGAAGGAAAGTCCAGCATGAATATGGCATTCATGAACATGGCGAATTCTATCCTTGGTGCTGGAATTATCGGTCAACCGTTTGCATTAAAGAATTGTGGGTTAGTTGGTGGAATAATAGTATTAATATCTTTGTCATTCTTGATTGATTGGACCTTAAGATTGATGGTTATGAATGCTGAAATATCGCAAACAAGGTCATATCAAGATACCGTGAATTATTGCTTTGGAAGGTACGGAAAAATTGTTCTTTTGTTCACAATTAGTTCGTTTGCATATGGCGGGTGTATGGCCTTCTGTGTTATCATAGGGGATACTATACCTCACGTTTTAAAAGCGTTTATACCAGATTCTATTACTGGGTCTTCTTCAGTTGTTGGATGGATGTTTCATAGAAATACTATAATCGTGATCTTTACTACCTGCATTTCATATCCTCTATCATTGAATAGGGATATTTCTAAATTGGCTAAAGCTTCAGGCTTTGCATTGGTAGGCATGCTTGTTATTGTATTGATTACTGTTGTGAGGGGCCCATTTGCTGATAGCTCATTGAAAGCTCCGTTAACAAAACTAGAATGGACTGTAAATATCAATATTTTCCAGGGCATTTCAGTTATTTCCTTTGCGTTGGTTTGTCATCATAATACAATCTTTATATATAACTCATTACGAAATGCTACTTTAGCCAGGTTTGCTAAATTGACACACATTGCATGTGCTGTTTCTATGATTTGTTGTTTTGTTATGGGTGTGAATGGGTTTCTTAATTTTGGCGATAATACGAAAGGAAATATCTTAAATAATTTCAGGAGTGATGACAATTGGATTAACTTGGCGAGGTTCTGCTTTGGTTTAAATATGTTGACCACTTTTCCATTGGAAATATTTGTCGTGAGAGACGTCTTAAAGGAAATTGTATTTGCCAACATTAAGACTGAAGGCGGTAGCACTTCACATCTTGAGTTATCTTCACGTCAGCATTTCATTATAACTACGCTATTGGTTTTTACCTCGATGGCTGTATCGTTGTTTACATGCAATTTGGGGATTATTTTAGAATTGATCGGTGCTACATCAGCTTCTTTAATGGCATATATCATTCCTCCATTATGTCATTTGAAGTTGTCGTGGAATAGAACGGACTATAAGAACGCAGGATATGCTGATAGAAGAGAATTTATGATTTGGAAGTTGGTGCCGTGTATTGCTTGTACTACATTTGGATTTCTAGTCATGTTTATAAGCTCATACATGAGTATTGTAACGAACATGAAAGATTCAGATGGAGGTCATTGCATTGGTGAATAAAATAATGGATAATTTATTAACTTGTATATATATGTCTAGAGTAGTTAAAATAAAGATATTATTCTTCGTCATCACTAATTACTACTCGTTTCTTTCGTGGATTACCTACTCTAATAGCACTATCCACCATTTCGCTTTCGTTATCACTATCTTGAAGTATGCTATTTCTTTTCTTCAGATTAGTTTCATTATGAAAATCTGGAGTAAATGAACTCACACTGGTTTTGTCATTCTCTATAAATGATACGCCTTCTTCATCACTACCATCTAGTTCTGGTTCTGAAGCAGAAGATGAATCAATGTCAGAATTTGATTCTATGGTTGCTCCCAATGCGGGAGTATCTTGGATATCTTGTATTTGTGGTGTTGGTTCGACAAATGAAGTATCTTCAATGGCTTTTGATACGGATATTGCGGTATTAGAACCATTGCTGGATTCAAGTTTGGCCCACGCTAACTTAAACTCAGCTAATTGTTTTGGATTAACTATTCCACCCGATTCCTCAAGCAAGCGTCTTAGCCTCTCTTCTCTATTAAAAAATTCATTTTCCTTTTCACAATCTGACTCGTCGTCAGAACCATGAACGAATTCTGCAGATTTTGTCTTTTCTTCTTTTTCTTCTTCATTATCCGATACAACCTTGAATGATCTAGGAGGGCGACGTGAACTGTGCTTCTTATGAGATTTAGCCTTTTCACTTGATCTTTTACGCAAGTCCTTTTTCGTTCTCTTATTTTTGATTCTTGCAACACCTCTAGGTAAATCGGTAGCTGCATTAGACTTTCCTTCTAATGCCGCTTCCAATTTATCTAATTCATCGAGCTCATTTGAATTACGCCTATCACTATCTGGATTAGCGCCAGTTTCAAAAGCAATGGAATGGTCATTTTCATCATAATGATCACCATCGTAGTCATCATCACGTTCATAATCATAACCTTCTTTAGTTCTTAAGAAGAACATAGCATCTTTGCCATCATCAAAAGTCAAAGGCTGTTTGCTCGACCACATTCTCATTGCATCTAAGCATTCAACTAGTTTCAGAGTTTTTACACTATTACGAAGTTCACAAGGCTCTTCCATTATGAACGGAACTTCAAACCCAATTAATGTCAATAATAATCTAATATAAGGATTATTAATTAATAAGCGACGATGTTCCTCTAATGGATATAGTTGAACAATCTCATTGGAATTTGATTCGGCTTGTTCTGAAGATAAGTCCATAAGACGATTAGTTGTAATTTTTGAAAGCTCTTGGATTACCCACGTAACTAAGGATTCCTTTTCTTGAAGATATAAGGCAGTAACAAGAATTTTGAATTTTTCGTCAAGAGTAAAATTGTCCCGAATGAACTCTATATCCTTAGCTATCTTGACGGATGATCGTTTGTTGTTCTTTTCAGGCTTTAAATAAAGATCACCAGTGGCTAGGTATATTTTATATTCCATATCCTCAAATCTGGGAAACAATATTTCAATTGGATTTGGAAAGCGTTCAAAGGCACTCTTGAATTTTTTCATGAAATAATAAATAAATTCATCAACATGATCTCTCGTACTAGAACCTCTTGGTAAATGGTTTCGTAATCTTTGTAAGATATGCATAAAATCTATTCGATATAATCCTGTGAAATCCTTTCTAATAACAAATAGTCTGTGAAAATATGATAAACACCTTTTGATTTCTTCATGAGTCAATTCTTCGTATCGTGATAAATATTCAACATAAGTGGACACAATAGAAGTTTGAAAAAACCTAACTTCTGTGGCCTTGAAATCAAGCCTTCTTTCTCTTGAAACCTCTTTAACCCTTTCATTCTCAAGTTCATCATCGGAGCCCTCAATTATATCTCTGAGGGATTCTTCAGTTGCTTTGTCAAGATTATTTATACTTTTCTTATTTTGTTTAGTTCGCTTACGCTTTGTCTGAATATAAAGTTTGATATTTTCATTTGCAAAGCTTTCAAACGACTTCAAAATTATATGGACGACTGAAATGCAAACACTTAAATATTCAGGTGAATGCTTGGAAGCTGTCTGAGGAATTTGAATAACAATATTCAAGAAGTCATTAAACGAAAATAATTTTCTAATTATACCCTCCGCTAGTTCCTTGTCTACTTCTTCTTGTTCATCAGTTTCTGTTTGGCTTTGAAGCTCTCTGTTAGAAAATTTTGAGAATATAGAGTATGAAATTAACAACAATTCCCTGAAACAAAGCATGGCGACATGAAGCGAGTTCCAATTTTTAGCTTCAAACGATTCTCTAAAATAAGAGATTATTAGAATGAAATTAACTTCACTCAATCCAGCACTCACCGATCCATAATCAAGTCCATCCTCATCCTCATGAATGTTGATAGATTCCTGCGAATTGAGAAGCTTGTTCCTTTCTCTTTTATAATTCAAAAACCAAGCCACTGTTAAGAAATAGCACGCTTTTTCATAATCATCAACGTAATTCAAGTCATGAGTTCCAGATAATAACCACCCTATACATTCAATTAAAGTGTTAAAGCACCCTCCAGTGAGGAATTGCTCAATGAATTCTTTCAATATCAAAACTGACGAGCCATTCAAGAATTCTGCCGTAGCTTTAACATAATCATCAGAATCATACTTGAAGTGAGAACGATTATTCCATTTTTTTGACTTATCCAATTTTGCGAGTGACAGATCGGTATCTAGTAATGCTTCTTGACCTGATATCACATAAGATGTATTATTTCCTTGGATAGATAGAAGGGAACCAAACCTACCATGTCTTGTGGAAATATTTTGAGTTTGAAACTTTTTCCTCTTTGATTCCTCGCTCAATAAGTCCTGCAATTGTAATCCTGATGCAGTTGTGACAGACTGAATTGGCGTTTGTTCTTGTTGTGATTGTTCTTGTTGCTGTTGTTGGTAACGTTGTTGCTGTTTTGAGCTTTGCTGCGGATTTAAAATATCTTGCGTTTTGATACCTTTAAAGATCAAATAAATACATTCAAGACACGGCTGTCCAAATGTTTCTCTATCAAAATCAGTACCCAAAGAGCCTGAAAGAGTAAGTAAGAACATTAAGACTTTATTTTTTTTAAAGCATGATAAAACAGCATTCATAGAAATATCGTCATAATTAACATTAGAAGGGAGATTATCCAAATTGGTGACATGCTTTCTTGATTTTGTAGATATAGAAGTGTTTGCAGGTTCAATATTCAAAACATTTCTTATAAAAAATAGGACCAACCTCAATATAGCGTTATCTCTTGGATCTCTATCTAATCTATGCTTGGCAATAGTTGGTAACACAAGCCTAATAACTGCCTTGAGAGTTTGGCCCTTATTATATGCTAAGATATGTTTTTTGTAAACAATTTGACTTTTCCGAACACTAGCAAAATTAAGCTTCTGGTTTTCAGACAGTTCAGAAATCAAATATGTAGGCCACGTAAGCAACACCAATAGTTCCAAACATGAGAGCATAATCTTTTCCATGGTTCTAGCATTCTTCATTGGCTTCTTTGAATTTTGCTGGCTGTCCCATTGGCATAATATTACAAGCAAATCATTAACCACAAGTCCAGAATCAGCACATGCTAATGCCACATCGAAATTATTCTTTTTTTCGTCTACAGATTTTATCCATCTTTTGATATCTTTCAAGCATGCTAACGCGTCTTGTCCTAGCTTATATGGTGGTGGGGATATTGGCGACGTATGATCCGGCCCCCCTAAAGCTGATACCAATACAGATATATGCGCTCTTAAGAGCTTCTGCGTTTGAGATTCGTTTGGTTTCAAAGTGCTCGTCATTTGTAGTAATCTATCATTCTGTACCTCTGCGTCCTCATCTTGAGGTGCTTCATGACTTTGCTCCTCATCAGACACAATGAAGTCTCCCAATTCTCCCACACCCTCATCAGAAGATAACATTTCCTCTTCCGACCCAGACCTACTCATCTTGGGCACTATTTTTATTTCAAGTTGCACTTCCTTCTCATTTAGATCCATCTAGTATCAGCTTATTCTGTTGATAAAATTAACGCGTGCATCTTCCTGTCGCATTTCCTGTCAATTGCTGACTAAGAACATGTTACAAATAATTGCAAAAATCTATGTTACCCTTTATATATACCGAAACAGATGCATTGCACCCACAGGCCGTGTGTGTTGAATATAGTTACGTAGTGAACGAATGACTTCTAGGGCTTATGGTTAATTTTATTAGTCTTGGTGTTCATTAGTGAAATTCGCATCCGCTGCTATTTTAAAGAATCAACTCCAATGCCGCCCTTATCCATCATTCCACTTCATTCCACTTTTGGTAGCTTATGCAATCTATGTAGCTGAGTTCCAGGAATCTGCCGGTTAATAGCTTAATGTTGAAATCAATGAGCGCACGCACTCGTCTCGCTCGCGTGTCATATTTGCTGAACCATACCCCACTAAATCGAAGACTCATACAATGCAATTATTTAATTTTTTTGCTTGTACTATATGCCATATATACTTTAATTGTTAATTCTACACAATCCATCTCTGCAAGGTATACGTATACGACAAAAACCACCACATTTATAAACAAAGAAACCAACACAAGGACATTTTATAGTACATTTCATAGTACCCTAAATACATAAAACGTTAGCGCCTAACTTAAACTTCAACTTCTTCTACATCTCATATGAACTGTGTTTAGATCATTCGGCCTTTATGCTTCGACCTCTCTTACTATTGACTTGAAGTAAACTCCTGTATATTATTTAAATTTGCAAATATATCTCTCAAGCTGAATGCCGCTCATCAAACAAAACATCTCTCTTATAACATCACATCAAGAGCCCATAAAAACTGAATTGGGGCTAGTTCATATTCATTTGGGCTGTCTTTGCAGGGCATATTGAAAAAACAGGAGGCAGCTCTACGCTTAGAATTACCTAATAGATTAGGTAAGCGGTAGATGAATTCTTATTATTATCTAATATAGGCCAGCCATAGGGTAGTAAAGCGTTTAATAGTTCTCAGGACGTATATGCTTTGGTCAGATATAGTTATCGTAAGAGAAACAGGAAGGTATTGAACTCGTTGATAGGATTGGATATTGAACTGTAATATGGAATTTCCTTATAAGAAGCGACAGAGGATACCGGCATCATGCTCAGTTTGTAGAAAGCGGAAATCAAAGTGTGATAGAGTGAAACCAATTTGTGGATCATGTAAAAAGAAATCGATTGCTCACCTTTGCTTCTATGAGTCAGATAAGGCTGAAGTGAGCCCTACTGATAGTAACATTATGAATTATGGGGGGATTACCGGACCTATAAAAGCAAATTCCCCGGGTGAGCCAACACAAGTTGGGTACCCATTTCCTGGTAACAACATACAAAATCCACTACAATATGGATCCAATACCAAACCAAATAGTGAAGGATTTATCCCAGCAATGCAGTCGTATGGTGCTTCTGGTAATGCGCCTAATGCACCGGATCGAATGTATGCTGTGGGACCTGCTCCTTCTTTGAACCATCAGCAACTAACTAATCCGCATCAAAAACTCCAAAATCAGTCTAATACACATGGTCAGCTCCAGGTGCGGCAGTCTGTTCATCAACAGCATCATTCCCTACAGGGATCGCAAGCATTCACTCAGAACCACGCTAGTCCTATTCATCAAGGAATATTACCACAACAGCAACAGCAACAGCAACAGCAACAGCAACAGCAACAGCAACAACAACAACAACAGCAACAGCAACAACAACAACAACCAATAGCACCTCAGCTACAACAACAACAGCAGGCTCAGTCGCAACAACCACAACAACCATCTCTGCGACAGTTTCCTAGGCCAAATCTGATGGATCGCCCAATGCCAAATTTTAATGTACCTAATCAGCTCTTTCAAAATAATGGAGGACCACCCTCGTTACCCTTCCATAGTGGCAATTTTAGTACACCTAACAGTGCTACTAGTTGTAGACCCAGTCTGGATGAAAGTCTAGTTTCAATTTCTATTGGCCCTAATTCAACATTACAAATTAACCCAAATGATAGAATTGATGTATTTTCTAATGCTAGTTTTTCTTTTCTGGTTGAAGGATCTCTCTTACAGCAACAAGGTCCATTATCTTATATTGGGTTGACCAAGAGTGATCCGTTTTTGAAATTTATAAGAAACTATGCCATTACACTATTTAAGTCCGGCAGCATGTCGCAATTTATAGAGTCCAAGTCAATGAAGCGTCAAAAGAGAAAAGTCCGTAATCCAAAGTCATCTACTACTAAGAAGAATGATGGAGTTAAAGCAAAAGTTGATACCCCTACTTCGATTAATTCGGACTCACTACAAGATAATCCAAGACCTACAAAGAACGATGGTCTTCAATCTAATAAACCGGAAAGTGCCAACAAAAGCTATGCTAATGAAACTAAAGACAATACTACAGAAACCGAGGACAATGCTACAGAAAAAAATAAAGATGTACAAGATTCGGAAGAAAATGAAGAGGAAGAAGGTGATGAAGAAGGTGCCGACGAGTCGGACGTGGTGGTTGAAGACGGGCTTATAGTCACTAAAATTAAAGTGAGAGATACAAGCTCAAATAACTCAGACGATGAATCGAAGCGACCCAGGAAACTTCGCATATTACCTGGATTGAAATCGTTATATCAAGGTAGTAAGGCAAAACAAGAGTATTTTGAGCTAACTGGTGAAGCTATACTTGGGATATTACCAAAAAAAAAGAATATGTTTATGCTTTTCTGCAGATTTTTTAAGTATGTCTACCCATTTATTCCGATTGTTGATGAACATTCTTTAATTTTTGATATAAATCATGTCTTGCCTGAAAAGTTCCCCACATTGAGAGCCGATGAACGCTATGAAAAATTTGAAATAAAGGGCCAGAACGATTTTGTTATTTTTGGAGTTGCATTATTAGTTATCAGATTGGGATATATGAGTTTGATTCATAACGATGAAACAAATAATGGGTTAAATGAGGATGAAAAAAGTATGATTGAAGATATGCAGAGAATAAGCCCTAAAGAATATATTGATGTTGTCAATCTTTGTATTCCAGAAGAACAAACTTCTCAAAAGAGTTCGTTTAAGATAATACAATGTTTGACTCTTTTGTATTTCTATAGACTGGTGACTCCAGACGATTGTCTCGGACTTGGTGGGACAGACTCTCAAATTCTTTTTGGAACTATCATGAAACATGCCTTTGCGATTGGTCTTAATAGAGACCCCACTAAATATGTTGCCCATGAAAATATTAACAACAATGCACTGTTAACTAAATCTTGGAGGGCTCTATGGCATTACCTAGTGTCTCTTGATGCAATGAATGCTATCCATTCAGGAACTGTTTTGAATGTGCACAATTTAGATATAAGTGATGTTCAATATCCTAATTTCGATAGTAAAACTGGGAAAGTAAAAGACACTTTATTCAATATTAAACTCATCTGCGAGTCATATAGAAGCCTCAGCAACTTGATATCAAATGTACAAGTCAAACCTAAGGTTATCGATATTTTGGGAGAAACAAATAAATTAGAAAAGCTATTCTTCAATTTTTTTGGGAAGGATTTTTTTAAAGATTATATCTGTCAAACAGCTAAACCTTCGGTCAACTTACAATCACCGATAGACAATAGCATTTCTAGCTTAGAACACGAAGAAGCTTTCTTAAAGGTTATAAAGTATATTACGTTTATTCAATTAAGAACTAATTTATCTTGCATGTACTATAAGATTGCTATGTTTTATGAAAATGAACACACAAAGTCAAGCACTTCGCCAATCGGTGCAGGGTTGGAATTATTCAAGATTTACATTAAGAGTGTCGTTCAATTGAACTATATCATGTCTTACGTTGTTGATAATTCTGTGACTGTTTTTGGACGTAATTTTGATTATATTGTGACAGCCAATAATGAGAATTGTATGATTAGAACTCATGCGTTTTTGACGTCGTATTTCGTAAGATTAATGCATCATAAAAAGGTTTTGACAACTAGACTCAAGACCGAGGGATACAACATAGATATTAGTTTGAAATTAGAGGTCACTGATACATTGTTCAAAATGGTTCTTGTTGAGGCTGAGTTATACGTTGGCAATTTCAGAAAGCTAAGCAAAAACTACATTAATTCTTACAGACTTTATGTCATGACATACTTTGTTTTAAAACAATGTATGGAAAATCCGGACGTTTTTTTCGAAAGATCTATGAAACATGCGCAATTTTATCATGATGGTACGAATATGATAGAATTCTGCTCGACCGCTGAGCTACAACATTTATGTAAGTTATGTGAGGAGTTTAAACTTGCAAAAGACGAGCAGGAGAAAATTCTTAAACGCAGAGATTCTTCATTTAGTCCAGATTCTCTTAGAACTTATCCAACTCCTATGAATTATATGAGTCAGACGAAGAGCCTTGATTCAGATTATAGTGATTTGACGCACAGTACCCAAAACCCTTCCTCAACAGTTCAATCATCTCCGGTGGACACTGGTACTTCAGCAATAGGCATGATGAATGCAATTCCTGGGTTTGATAATCCGAATATGCAAAATGAAGATCTCATGAAATTATTCGAAATTTATGCAGATGTAGATCAAATCTAGTGATGAATCTAGCTGAGGTTTACTAATGAATTATGAAAATTTAAAATTGTGTAATTTTGTAACTTAACGATATTTAGATACATGTACATTTATGTAAACTATTTATTTATGTGCGTATCGCTTTTCGGAGATAATAAAAATAAAAATATAAAAGTTAATTACAATTCATTTATTGTAACTGCTAGTGGATAATAAACCTGATATTGTAATAAGTTAAGATACTCCGCCTTGATACTCCGTACTGGTTTGATATAATTTTATCTGGAGCATAGGGTTGAAAATTAGGTGTAACTATATCGTATGTAATGCCGCCGGAACATTCGAAGAAGAGAAATAGAATTACGTTGTCTTGCAATTATTGCAAGAAAAGGAAAGTGAAGTGTGATAGAGGACAACCATGCTCATCATGCGTCAAATACAATGTCCCCGGATTGTGTGAATATAATGCATTTTTTAATAATGAAAACCAGCATATTGGTGAATTGCCTCCGTTCACTGTTCAAAGTTCTAATGGAGTTAAGAAGGGTAAGTTTGATATGAATGCAGAAGCAATTAAACGACAGGGGTCTCAAAATCCGGAGCCGACTGTTCATACAGAATTGGAGATGCTAAAGGATAAAATCCGACAGATCGAAGCATCAATAACTGTGTCTAGTTTATCACAACAAAATTCTAAGATAAGCCCTCCTCCTGATCCATATTTATTCAATAATAGTATTAGTAATATTCCCTTATCACGAACTTCAACAAGTTTGCGGGACCAAACTAATCCAATACAATTACCTCCCTTAACCTGGCCTACTTCAACATCAACCACGCCTAGATCTGTTTCTACAGAAAGTAACATTAGATCGGAACAAGTCTACGATTATTCGAACGCCAATTTAACATATGTGGGGATTAATCCTTTTGGATCATCAGAAGAGACAATTAATTTCTATGAAGGATATACACCATTAATAATGAAATCATCGAGAAGAATGAATTTTGGTCCTTTTGCGTGGATATCTCTCATGAGTAAGGATGTTGTGTTGCGTCTATTATGGAAGTATGCTAAAGAGAAGAAATTAATTGATCATTCAGGACAAAAAGTTCTTGACTGGAACTCAGAAAAAATAAACCAAGGAAAATGTGGCATACAAAAAGATCAGACATGTAAAATTAGCCAGCCAGATTTAGAATCTCGAAGTAATTTAGAATCTGAACAGGAAAAGGAATTTCGAGAAAAGGCATTAGATAGAGATGGATACAATGATATAAGACTTTATAATAATATTTTAGATGATAAGGAGAATCAAAATGAAAAGGAGCAACGGTATAAAGATGAGAAACAACGAAAAATAAACATGAATAAAAACGCAATTTCTTTGGGTTTAACAGTATTCGAAGGTAAGATAGATCAAGAATTAAAGTTAATTGACAAAATTAAAGTTGTTTTACCTAAACAAAGGGTAATTTGGATCCTTATTAATAAATTTTTTCTTACAGTTTATCCCTTTGTTCCATTTATTGATGAAACTGATTTTAAATCAGAAATGTCTCGAATATTAGGACCAGAGGGCTCCAATGATTCCAAAATCAGCGAATTAAATATTGAAAAGAGATTGGATTTAGCAAACATCGGAATATTGCTAATTATTATTCGTTTTACATACTTGTCTTTTTTTTCAAATAGGAATGGTGTTAATGAAAATAATCTCAAGACGAATGATCCATCATCTAAAGCACAAGAGCTAAAGTATCTTTTGTCAAACCCTATAAACATTGATGTTATACATATGGCACAATTATGTCTAGATCAGTTTGAGCTATTGCGTAAAACGAACTTGGCAGTGTTGCAATGTGCATTACTAATGAGATTATACCATATGTTTTCACCTGAAGACGGAGATGGTGCTGATGGAGGTGACTCACAGATTTATACGGGAATGTTGATTCAAATGGCTTATTCTATGGGCCTAAATAGAGAACCTGATAATTTCCCAGAAGTATGCAATGATGACAAAGTCAACAACATTGGACGTAAGATTTGGCTCTTTTTAGCATTGGGAGATTTTGTCCAAGCGTATTGTTATGGTAATCCATTGTGCATTGATGACAAATATGTGGATACTAAACTACCATACTATAAACCTGGAAATGAAAACATCCTTAATGTTGAGTTGGAAAAGAATGTTTTAAGTACGTTTGCTTATTTTAGCAAATTTTATGAAAAATTAAAGACTATTTTAGACCTTACATTATCTGTTAAGCAATCAATTAAAATGGAAGAATTGACAATGCTAATGAGTGAATTTGAAAAGTTTATCCATCTACACTACGGATCTTTAAGTCAGTTTTTTATACCTTTTAAAGATGACAATTTTCAATATCCATTTATCAAGATTATGAAGTGCAAGAATTATGTCAACTTAACGAATTTTAATATGATTGTCTTTTATCATTTTTTTTTGTATTATGAAAAACGAAAGCAAACCAATTTATCATTCTTTTATTTGAGGAAAATCTATACAGTCGTGCTTAATGAATTCGTCGAAGGAATTTTTCAGTTGGTTGAAAATAACCATATTAACTTTGGAGAAGGCGCTGATTTAATTTTGAATCCAAGTTTGGAACAAATTATTCACAAATCTTCGCAAATTAATTTGGCCATCTTAATAAGATTAAAATTCCAACTACATAAAATGTCAAGAGATGTGAATCATGAATTGAAAATGAGTAGTGATTACTATTACCAGGAGAAACATTTGAAGCTTAGCAAATTAGCGAAATTTATTCAAAAATTGATAGATACATTCATGATTGCTATGACCAATTTAAGTAAAAGGTACTACTATGCATGGAAAGTAACCAAGGCCTATCGCTTTTTGTTAGAGTTCTCTGACTTAGATGAATTTCTAGCAAAAGAATACAATCAGGATATTATTGAGTTTAGTGTCGACCAAGTAGATGAATTATCAAGAATGTGTGAAGAGTCATTGAAAAGACTTCATAAAACTAGAATAGCGAAGAAAGAAAACAACATTAATGAAGAGAAGTATGAACTGCAAAATAATCAAACCGGAAGCGACATACCAGTTAAGGATATGAATAATGACGAGAGAGAATCGGTTGACAATGTGCAAGTCAATGAACTTAATCCATTGACCCCCGGTATGTCTGTTGCATCGCTGAATTCATTGAATTTCGAAGACATGGAGTTTATTAACAATAACGAAATTGATAATCTCTGGATGCAGATGGCCTCAATGAAGAATGAAGCTAATTCCAACCCTGAGAACAATAATAATTTAGGTAACCAAGGTCTGGAATTGCAGCCATTGCAAACACCCGGAAGTTATAACTCAAGAACTCCATTCAGTAGCAACGAATTTAACGAGAACCAATTTGAGCTCTTAAGGGATATACATTTAGATCAGATATTTGATGGCAATTATTAAATAGCAAATAAAAGTACCTGTAAGACTTCAGTATCTGCAACCCTAATGTTCTTAGTATATCCAGATTCGGTTACCCGGGCAAAAATATTTTGTCTGCGAGTATATAAATGATCGGACAAAAAGTTTTTAGTCGTTCTATTTTATACTTTATTCTTTATTCATTAATAATGTATGTAACCACAATATAATGATCATTGATAAGATAAATTAAATGACGACAAAACGCTGTGCACCAGTCTGAGTACTCAAAAGCATGATAGACCCAGTATACCCAAATTTCTGACATTTATCTAATTAATCAATTTATGACTGATATATTTATGACTTTCATACTAACAAGATAATAGCAATATACAACTACGTATTATATATTGTAAACTTTAATTAATAAACAATCAATATCATAGACTTTTGTTGTAGATTCGTTCAGTACTAGGGTAGACATGTAAAAATATTTATGCCACCTCATTCTATATCAAATTAGGTTTGGTACTTCTGTTGAGGAAGGTAACTTCGACACATCTACGTCATTACAGTAGTTACTGAGTGTTTACTATCCATCTTTTACATAATGTAAAAAATTAATACAGGAGCTCAATTAGTCCTATCTAAGAAAATGGCTGGATAAAATAGTAGTAGAGTTAATTTATTTGAGACGTTTTAAAACACCAAAGAATAGATAATACAGTTGTACATGCTATATCCTTCATACTAACAAAAGAATAAGTGTAAATTGAATAAATATGAAAAAGGTGGTTTTGTTTTTATTGATGCTGTAAGCGTTATAGCTAACTATACTGACACACAACCTATTATATTGAGCGAAACTAATAAGTCACGTTTAGTTAGGGTAGGATGGCAAAGTAATATTACCACCACCCAGATGGCAACACGAAGAATATGAAGGCCATGATGATGATCTTGATGCTAGTCCTCAGAAAAATTGATGCCGAGAATGAAATAGTCCCTAATTACTAAAGTGACGATGTATCAGGCGGCTGCAAGTGGCCTTCTGGGCATCGCATAGTCCAAAGCCATAGTTATAAAGAACTAGAATATATGTTGAGCCTGACGATAAATGCGTGGTAAGTTTTTATGCCGATGAGTTGTAAAGACTATAGTACTCTGAAGTCTGATGGTGGATATCAGTCAGTAGACATAACTCACACTGGGTTCAGCTCAGCTAAATATAATGTAATCATGACATCTTTCCTGATCCAAATACATGCGGATAAACGGTATGAGCAAATATAAAACATGCTCAAGATTATTGCTTATTGCTTGATCTATGTAACAACTACACACTAAAACATAAAAAACTAACAATATAGCATAATTTGTGTAGATCAGCCAACTAATAGAATTTAAGTTAATATGACACGTAAAAATATTTAAGTGACCTCATAAAATTAGGCTTAATCTCTTACCTTTAAACGCAATACCAATTGTGTCCCCTTGCATTCCAGTACAAATTATCTCTCTAGTATACTACTCGTTCTGTATTGCATATTTTCAAACTTTGCTGTAGTCCTGTGATACAAATAGGAAAAACGAAATACGTAAATTAATAAAATAAGTGCATTGCAAAGTACATTACAAACTGACAATTAAACTCTTTTGGTTAATTAATGTGCAACATTTTATCAACGCATCTTAGACAATAAAACATTTACATAGTATAAATTCTAGTCGGGTTCAATTAGTCCTGATTAAGAAAAGTGGCTGGGAAAGAAAAATAATAGTAGAATTATAATTATTTAAAACACGAAATATAGAAAGCAGAGATACACGCTTTGTGGTCCAGAACACCCCATATTTACGTGCCAAAAGGAGTTAGAATGGACTCGGTTGTTAGTAGTAAACACGATAAGCGCGTTAAACTTGAGACACGAATCTAGTTTCATACGCGATTCTTACTGCGGATGGAACCTTCTCAATCGTTTTATAGCACAGAAAAGCTTAATATTATTCTATAAATGGTATATTGTTTTAAAACAGTATTATCGATGCATAATATCCCTTTAACACCGCCAGTATGTCATACGCGATATGTACCTTTAAGTTTACGTTAGGTGTTTATCAAAGTTGAATAAATTTGATGAACTTCGATATAAATATAAAGCATACCCTGTATTTTGCAGAAGAGCATTTGTAAGTCTATTATCACATTAACTATTCAAAGGCTACAAAAATGAGTTCAATTGATTTAAAGGCATTGAATATCTTCCTCAATTCTCCAGTCTCTCAAGACATGATACACAAGTTAGTGGTAACTACATTGCAAGTGTTACCTTGTGAAGACTCTAAATTACAGTCACCATCAAACTCCAGTTCAAAAGATAAAGCATTACCATCATTGATGACATTCATCACTAAATTGGTTAGATACACCAATGTCTATACCGGAACCTTGATGGCTACTTTGGTATATTTGAATAAATTGAAAACTAAATTACCAAAAAATGCTCACGGTTTACCATGCACTAGACACAGAATTTTGCTTTCATGCTTGATTTTGTCTTCAAAATTCCATAATGACTCTTCTCCAAAGAACATACATTGGGCTAAATACACCGATGGACTCTTCAACGTTAAGGACATCAACTTGATGGAAAGACAATTGTTGTTTTTACTCAACTGGGATTTGAAAGTTTCTAACGAAGAGATGATTGCCCATTTGGCAAAATTCTTAAATCCAATTAAGGAAGACTTAATCAAATCAGCCAAGATGAGGAAATTTTTACAAAAACAACAACAACAAAGACAATTGCAACAACAACAACAACAACAACAACAACAACAACAACAAACACCTCGAATGGCTAGATCTTCGTCTAACAGTTCAACTTTGAGTCTTCACTACAGACAACGTTCTACATCTTCTATTTCTACAGCATCTTCGGTCGATTCTTCAATAGAATCTTCTCCTACTTCAAAGTCACATTCCCCATGTCACAATCATATACTATACGAGAACAAGGTTGATCCTATGATTGAATTCACTGCATTAAGCGAAGAACGCAAATTGAATAGAATGCTTCAAGAATTAAATTCAACAACTAATTATTAGACACATAGATTTTTACTTCTCCATCTATCTAACTCTTGTTAGATTCACTTTATTTCTTAATTAAATTTTTTGGGTTCGGTTTTAATAAATGGCTTTGGCATATTATAATATCTAATTATGTCGTAGAACGTAGATTTAGATGTCGCGGATTGCGATCGACATTTCCTGTCTACGAGAGTACTAACGCTTGCCACATAGTTCTAGGGAATTGATAAGCTGACAAGACTAGGGACGTGTATTCTAGACTATTCATTACAACAAATATAAGATAATCTTCATCTAATCACTTTTGACTCAAGCGGATATTAATATTCAGCTCATTTAAGTTAGTGATACGGTAGAAAATGATGATACGGAATCAAAAACGATGCTTTTCATCTACCATCCGGGCATTAAAAAAGAAGAGACATATGGGGCCCGCTAGTTCACAAGTTCAAGAAGCATACGAAACAGTTGCATATATGTCAGTAGATGATTTAGAGATTCAAAGAAATTTAGACCAAGGAAAGCAATTCTCCTTTCCTTCAGAGCATTATTTAGATCGGAAAAAGATCATTAGAAGCTTGCCTAATGAGGTTGACTTATTTGATTTATCGAGTGTCAACTTAGAGAAAATTTATAAAGATCTTCGGAAATTGGATGAGGACAAATCCGTTCAGTTGAAATATTATAAGAAGTATTTAAGAAATTATGATGATTTGATTAACAATTTGATACAAGAGTTCAATGGAATAAATTCTAAATTTAAGTCTTTGAGAAGGGAAGAAATTACAAATCTTTCGTTATCTCCTTCAGCTTTTTATTATAAAGAAAATTTATTGAATCAACCTTACAACGTTGTTGGGTTTGATAGAAGTATAAGTGGATTACCTTTACGTACAGGCAAAAATAAATTAACTGACGTTTGTTATCCTAAAGAGTTTATCGAAGACTTGCAAATGTACAGAAAAAAAATACCTATTCATAAGCGGGACTTGAATTTTTTAGAACAAGAGAAGGATTCTGTTAATATCGATCCAAAATATTTGAACAAAAGACCAATTCGAAATGAAATTGATGACAACTTCAATAAATTCTTGGACATTATTTATGAAAACGAAGTTCCTGAGTTTACAATTCACTACGAAAATGTGAATCAGTATAATTTATTACCTAATATCTCTCAAGAGTTATATGATGACTTCGAAAATGAGATCTTCCAATTACGGAGCTTTTTGCAGAGTCAAATTAAATCCCATATTACTAAAAATGGTTCCAAAATTTTATTATTTGGCAATCAGGAAATTAAGACAAACCAATTTAAATTATGTGAAATCCTAAAACCAAATCACCTAAATGCATCGTCTTTATTGGTTATTAACTACAACCTAAAGCAGTTCAATGCTTTTCCAAACTATTCTGCATTATTGAATTCCAGAAGACAAGTGAAGAACTTATCTAATCATTTGTTCAAGCTATTTTTAATCAATTTAGAAGATCAAATTGATACTTTGATCAGAATGAAGTATCATGGTACAAATGATATGAAGAATTTTATGAAGCACTTGAAATCTACAATAAAATCTACTATTATGAATAAATTGATTCCTTCCTGCATTTCTAACATTAGACAGCGTCAGCCATACTACCATATTGATGCTTTGATTCATGACGTTTCTTCAAATATTCCGTTCAAAAGAATTTATTGGAAAGATTATTCCTTATATAATTCGGTTTCTCCGAGATCTAAGAACTATAATAATCACAAGCATAGCTTCATAGTGAACAAGATGATGTTGGAATCTTATATCAACAGAGGTGTGCGCGCATCAAAATAATGATAATTTTTCAAAATTCACTCAAGTTTGTCTGATTTAATTAGCTATTACATAGGCTTCTCTTAAATTAAAACTAGATAAATTTAACGTCTGGATCGTTTCTTAGTAGAATGGCATACAAAAAATTACAAACCAATAAGAAATTACCTCCCTTACCTAGGTTGAAAATTAGAAGACCAACAGTGTCAAAATCTACCAACGAGTGTTTCGTTCTTATGTCATCTTTATTAAATTGCTGGGCAGCTAATGGAGAGGGTTCGTTACAGTGTTCAACGTTTGAGCACGATTTAAAAAATTGTATGGAAACTTTTAAACCTAAGAAGGAAACAATATCATCTATTAATTACCATTCGGCCAGATTGTACCCTAAATTGAGAGGAAAGGTCAATGATTAAAACTAAAGTATCACTTTGAGATAAAACTGCATCTGTATATAGTAAAACTGGGTATTTGTTGTCAACTTAATAAACATATTATGATAGTTTCTATACTTTATTGTAGTTTTTAGGTATCAGAGAAAAGACAAATTCTTAAAACGTTGGCAAACTGATCGGTTTCTACAAATACTGGAGTAAATAAAGTTGTTTCTTCACGTAATTCAAAGAACTTTTTATTGATTATATTGTTGAGCTAATTGATGGAAGTGAAAGCTTAAATAATATATTTCTTTTAATAAATGAATAAAAAAAAAGAATGCGAATTCTGTGGATCGAACACAGGACCTTCAGATTAACTGGACTGAAGTTGACTTCAGTCTGACGCTCTCCCAACTGAGCTAAATCCGCATATTTTATAAAAAACAATAATACTCACAAACTAGCAGATCCTAATATAGCTAAATAACCGGCTTATCCAAGATCGAAAGAGGATAAGTAGTTGAAAGAGTGACAATCCATGCTAACTGAAGACTAGTTCCCAATAAATAAAATCTGCTTTTTTGATTACCTCAGTACAACATTTTCTCAAAAAAAAAAAAAGATTTTAGATATTTGCCTGCTGCGGTTCACGTCATAACCATTTTATCTAATTTTTTCTTCTAACTTAGTTGTATCGAAGGCTGAAATATATTAAGTCCTATTATCGAGAGGTGAATGTTTAGGCTATTTGGCTTAATATTGCACATTTTTCATTGTCACTAACTTTTCTAACCCTTGTCAAGATATTATATGAAAAGTTCATACAGTCAGGGTTTCCAAGTATTATAGTATCATTATACCACTTAGTGAGTCATTGCAATGGTGGTAGCTTTTACACGACTATTGATTCTAATAGTATTTGTAATAACATTCGCTCAAGGTGCTCTTGTAACTACGTATCAATGTTCTGGGGTAAATAACCATGAGTTTAAGCTTGCACCCTTTGTTATTGATGTAGCATTAGATGAAGATGCAGAAATATTGAAATTTTTTATCAATTCTAAAGTATATGATTCACATACAAATTCCAACGACGGAATTATCATTAGTGATGTCAATACTACAACAAATAAATACACCACATTCCATGTCGATATAAAATTCATGGGTAAAACCTTTGTCAATGAAGATGTAAGGTTTTGCGATATGTTAGCAGTGAAGCATACAGAGGACTACATTTCAAGTACAAGAAGCATCGCGGAGATTGAGAATAATCGTATGGTTCATCCAGGGTCCATGGCAAGTATAGACTTGAATAAAGCCGCTTCTCATTCAGGAAATGAAGAAACGTATTCTTTGGCTATCTCGAATAAAACAATTGAAACTTTTTTTGATAATTCCACGGGTAGTTTAGTACAGTGTCCACTATATGCCAATGATTCGATTATAATGTATTACCAGGTTGATATTAGTGATCATTATCTTAGGTTAGGTAGCTACACTGTTAATTTTTATGTTTTTGCAAATGATGATTCGTCAGAGCTAATTGGTTGCAATAGAATATATGTTACTCCAGAACATTCAAATAGTGTGAAGGCCACACTTTCTTTAGGGGTCCCAATTTTGTTAGTGGTTACAGGTTTGATAAATTTTTTTACCGTAATTTATTCATCATATCAAGAGTCATCAAATCCATTTCTATTTGTGGCGTCTACAATATGTAATGAAAATTTATTGAAACAACTAGATGCAACAGTAGAAGAAATCATAACTTATCTACAATTTGCACTATTTATTGGAGGGCTAGATTTGCAATATCCTGGTTTCTATCAACCTTTGATTGGCCAAATACGTTGGTGTGCTTTAATGGGGTTTGCATTTATTGGAAACGGAATATCTAGACGAACTGAACTGGATAATATTTATGTCACTTTGAATTTAGATGGTTTAAAAAACTTAGCAACGTATAGTAATGATCTCTCCTATTACGAATGCTGGCCAAATTTCATTATTGCATTTGTTGCCTGGACCCTTATAGTTATTGTTGCGCATCAGCTATTCTTGATCTTACGAAAATCATTTAGTTGGTTCTATAATAGGATTAAGAAAACTCGCAGTGCCAAAACCTTTGAAAAATATCCAAATTCAGGTTCAAATCATTTAGACTACGAATTTACTATGAAAAAGAACTTTTACCATATTCTAGGTCAAGTTCTCAAGAATTTTTTTACAATGTTTGGTTTTCCATTTTTAGTCTTAACTTCATTCATGCTTTACAATGCTGGTGCTGTAGGTGGAAAATATAAATACTTTGCTAAAGAATCTAACTTACGGGGTAACATATTTAGCCCTTCAGTTCCATATGATAAAATTTTTTCACCAGATTTATATTTTATGATTGAAAATTCTTCTGATGATGTGGGATCAAACTCTAATGGTTTTTCTGCGAATAATTTAAATTATACCACTCAAAATTTTGCTTCTAACTCCACAGAAGTTGTGAAAAACTCCGGAAACTATATCAATATGCCTATAGGAAGTATGGTTGTCGGTTCAATTTTAATAGTCTTGTGGATAGGTTTGGCTCTTTTCTTCATATTCAACTATCTCATAACTGTCAATAACTGGAGGGTTTCTATTAATAAAAAAGTTTCTCACTTGTACACATCGATGAAATCGATTTTAATATGGGGATTTTGTTATTGCAAATATCATCCAGACAAGGTATACTTTGTTATAATTGACTTAGCTATGCTTTTCTTTAAACTGTTGATTATTGGATGTTTACAATCATATGGGACTGTACAAGTCTCGTTATTGATAGTCATTGAGTTCATTGGTTTGGCTTTACTACTTGTATTGCAGCCTTACTTCGTGAAGATGACATGGACAACTTCCAGATGGATGCTACCAGTTGCAAGATTTTTGGTAACTATCTTATGTATCCCTTATATTAGACAATTGAACCTTAGTGAATCTACTAGGACGTATGTTGCCTTTGTCCAGTTGTCAATTCACGTATTTGTGGCAATTGTTTTCATTATTCACTTATTCTACTGTCTTGTTATTACGATTCTTTCTATCTTCAGAAAAAGTCGTGATAAAGCTCGGTATGAAAAATGTGTAGGAAACAAACCGTATAATAGTGTTGACGAGTTTAATACTCAGTTTGAATATCATCCTGTTGTTAACCCAATGCCTTTGTTATTAAATGAGTCTGAATGTGTCATGTCCGATAAATATGATTATTCCGACCCGGTTCAAGACAATAAGATTGAAGAGACTGAAAATGAAATAGAAGAGGAAGACCCATATTATAGAATACGAAGTGAAAAGCAATTACAAAAGATGCAACTTGAGAAAGCCCATGAAGGATTTCCATTTAAATATTCGTTTGTTAGGGAGCAGAATGGCTATATGCTTCGGGATGAATTAGAAAATACGGATTCTATGATTTATTCGACGACTCAATCTGTTTTGTCTTTTCAACAACAGCAACATTACTCTAACTTGAGAATACGAAAGAACGATTACACTTTCCGTGAGGGGGATTTGATATATAAGAAATATTTTGTTCATGATTCAATAGATCCTGAAATTAAGGCCCTATGGGCATCCAGAAATAACTGGAATTTTGCTCAACCATCCCATCCCAAGAAAATTAATAAGCAACACGCCGATAATAAGACACATAATAGCGCATCGAAGTATCATATCTGGGATCATCTGATCGATAAGATAAAAAATCTGCTTCATGTTAAATCCTTTGGTGGTAAAACTCCAGACAGTAATAGCTTTCTGGTCTCAAGACCTAGGCCACTAACTGTTAAGCCTTATGGGTGTTCTCCAGAAGTAGACCTAAAATCTACAAAATCAAAGTCTTATCAACCTTCTAGTTTTTCATCTGCATCAACTTCAACAATCTACAACAATCCAATTACATATAAAAATCACGAAGATTCCTTTAGACAAGGAATATGATAACATTTATTTTTATTTTTCTTGGACGTTTATTTCTTAACATTTTGTTAGTATACATTTCATTCAGTTCACCTTCAATAATACTTTTAGCCTAGGTTAATAGTTTCTATATTATATTTTAGTCTAATCATAACAATAATACATGATAATTTCTACTTTAACTTGCTTTTTTTTATATTGGGATTAGCGTCCGCTTCCATCATCCTTTTTTTAGTGATATTTCTTATTAACTTCCCATCATCTATAAATTTATATGAGCCTTCCTCTGCGTTGAAGACTTTATCAAAATCCAAACAATTGTTTAAAGAGTCATACTCTGATTGCAATACTATTTTTGCCATCTCTCCTCTAGTTGTGATCGTTCCGGTTTGTGAATTGTGATCTATTTTATAGATGTATTCCTGAATTCTTGACTTCACAATATTCTCATAATTTTCTAAAAAGTATTTGGTTAATTTTTTTGATTCTATTAATTGATAACACTTTTTGGAAATTCTCGAAATTAATGAATACTTATTTTCATGATCTTCCAAGTCTGAGAAATCTGTTTTGTAAATAAGACCAATAATTGACAATATTTGAATAACAAATATCAATTCTAAAATGATTTCATAATCATTGAAACAGTCATAAGAATCAAGCACAACTTTGGCAAAGTTTTCTTCCTCATCGTCCTCTGCAAGCTTATCTAATACCTCAAAGGTGTCATCTATGAGCGAAGGAGGTAATCCAACAGTATTAATAAAGTATTCCTTTATAGTATTTAATGGTATCTCACCAAAATCAAACTTAGAACCGTTTACTTCAACGTATCCATACCTCCTCAAAATTTCGCTGTTTGGATGATCAGAATAAGTATTATAAATTTGTTCGCCCTTCTTAATTGATTTTATACTTTTCATAACTAACACTCCTGAAGTATATATCAAGCTTGCATTGTGTAGTTTAGTATCAGCGTTTAAAATATCTGCTAGAGGAACCATAGACTTATAATATCCGTCATTTAATATTGTACCGTCAGCTCCATTACCCTCTTCTTCTTCCTCTTCTTCTTCTTCATCTTCCAACTGATCAGAGTCGGGCCTCTCCACATCAAAAGAATATGACATAATTAAAGATGCAACCTTATGATATTCATCAATAGTAACATCAAATAATTCTGGAATATTCAAATCTTTAACAACTTTTGGGAACAATTTATTGAACATATTTTCAGCTTCATCCTTACCAATTCTATCAATAATCAAAGAGGGTGAGAGCTCGTTTAATTGTTCTTGTGACCAAAACATGAGCTGGTTAAATTGGTAATTTTGCGTGTCTTTTATTGGTAAGGTGTTGAAGTAATCACACCATCTGCTCTCTTCACCTTTAACTTTCAATTCATATAACAATGAAATTATTAAAGACTCCCATTGATTTAAATTTAATAAACCATCTAAGGCTTTTGGGTTTTCCTTTGTCAAGCTGCAATTTTCAATATTAATTATCGTTTCTCTAGGAATACAGAAAAGTTCTTCATCTTCTTCAATATCTTCAATTGCAACCATTCCTCTTCCTTGGTTGTCTTTCCTTAAATCTTTTACTGCCAATTTTGGCGAAATGGATACATTTTCCTCAGAAAGCCATTTTAGAAACTTATTAGTTATTTCGTCAAAAGAAAGCATGCTTGTAGTTCCCATGAAATAATATTGAGTTGTGAAGATATTTTTTTTTTATTTCGCATCTCTAACTAATCACTACTATTTACATATTTATTCCAACTATGAAGAATCAAGTTAAAGTTTTTATATAGATTTTGCTTGCTTTGTTATTATCAGAACTCAGAGATAACGATTTCATATTTTTAAAACTGTCATCACTAGTAGCAATACCAATTAATTTATTGTCAAAACTAATATCAGTTTTGACTATACTCTGGGTGTTAGCATGATCATCTTCGAATTTCGAAAATTGCTTTATCCTTTTACGTTTTTGCCAGTTCCATAAACAAAGGTATCCATCAGATCCAGCTGTGAAAAGTGTATTGTTTCCTTTGTTGAATACCATAGAATTTATGGGATAAACCAAATCTGTTCGAGATTGTTTATCACTAAATCTATGACATTTGAATGCAAACTTTTTAGATTGAGCTTCCTCTGAGGGATCGAAGTACTCCATAGCAACGCGTCCATCAATGCTGGATATAGCAAATCCATCTCCTGTAGGGAAGTTCTTAAGGTCTTTTATTTGATATTTTAATCCGCTTTCGCGTACCTGGTAAGGTTGATTCCAATTTCTGTGATCATAAATCTCAATTCTTCTTTCAGACATTCCTATTGTTAAATACTCACTTGTTGTATCAGTACAAAATATTTTATTTGACAATTTTCGTGATAAAATGGGTGTTCTTTTCCGTGAGTCGATAAACTGCAATCTGCCATCAAAACCACTTGCTACTAGTATATGCGGTTGGTTTTCAATACTTTTCAAATTATTAATACCCAGAACAGATTCAGTCTTGTCACCAATATTTTCGTTACCTATTTTCAAATTTTCGTAGTCAATTTGCCTAACAGTCCCATCTAATCCTCCAACATACGTAGAGTTGCCTAATCCATAAGCAATACTCAATATTGGAATATTAGATTGAAATTCTGTTACCATTGATGATTGGGTAACGTCTGAACAATCGTAAAGCAACAACCTACTATCCCATGATGATACTAAAAGATGATTTTGTTTAGGTGAAAATTTGATATCGGATATAATATCTAGGTATAAAGGTGTTTGTAATGATATTAAAGACGCCATTAGTCTTGTTATTATATTCGTCTTGAATATTTATATAGATCTATTCAAAATAAAGCATCGCAATACGCGACATCACCGAACGACATTGTTTACATACTTAAAGATTAGACTAATAGCAGCTAGACTTTGGGGTACTCATTAGTAATTTTTAGTCTAATAATTTCCGCTGGATCCTGATCGGGCTCAACCCATTCAAAATTTTCACCATGTGTATACCAAAATTCTAAAAACATCAATTCCTCTTGAATATCATTAAGAACCATTTTACGTTTGCGTATTTCTTGTCTGATGAATCCTTGTAGCTTTAATATTTCAGGGTCTTCATAGAAGGTATTTTCATCATCAATTGGTAAAAGACCATTGGTATTAGGTAGTTCTATGATATAATCATTTCCGTGAAAAATATTCAAGTTTGAGATTTGTCGTACTTTACTATGATGGAAGTTTTTTATATTGACTTCATTATGCTCCTCAAAATGTGTAATAACTTTATTTACTGCAAGGATTTCATTTTGGTAATTTTTTATATGTATGAAATTATTATATGGTCTCCAACTCACCCTACCTAGATGTTTTACTAAGTTTATCTTCATAATATACCAAATTATACCCAAAGGTACTCCTAAGTTCAAAAACATCAAGTAATACAAAGGAATTGACAGAAGCAAAGAGCCTCCTAGCATTGTGGCGGCCAAACTTGTCAGTAAAATAGTTCCTAGTAATCTATAGTTGCGCTTTTTGCAAAATTTCAAATATTCTTTCGAGCAATACGTCAAATCAATTAATTTAAAACAGTTATAGTAGTCCTTCTTTGCCAATAACACGTTGAGAGCTGTTTGTACAACTGACTTATTCACTCTTTCCTTCTTTAAATTACGTTGAAAGTTTTCCCGAACAGTCAGAATTAAATGATGGATATTACTTGGTCTTGGTTCTAACAAAAGATATGCCTTTACAACTTCGTCGCTCATATGGGTTTGAGTGACATACCTTTTAAAAACGTCTAGTATCTTTGCTTCCATATCACTATTAGAAACGGACAAAATGTCAAGGAAACTAGTGCATTGGTTACGTTGATCAGCATTGAATCCGATCTTCGATTGTATTTCAGAATTCTTCCTCTGCAAGCTTCTGTTGGCTTTAATGAAGTTAACAAATAATCCTTCTTGTACTGTTGCTTCACTGTTATTTGGAGGAAATGACTTGTAAAACTGGTTTAACCTCTTTGATAATGTTTCATAATTTAATGGACTTCGAGAAAAATATTGATCATCATATCTCGTTGAATAGAAGACCCGAGTTATTCTGAACACGCTATATTTAACTCCATTTCTAATCATTATTCATCTTTGCAGAACCGAGATGAGTTCAATACTACTCATAAACTTTTTTAATTGGCCAAATATAACACTTATAATATCATAATCAATCTACCCTTTGTGATCACAAATTGCAGATTACCTTGGTGTATAATATATATCAGCTTTTATTTGATTATACTCTACGTAAATTTATATATATAAAGAAAAATTATTCATTTCCAATAACATTTCCTAATCCGTCTTAATTCAAAATATAAAATCATATCGCACTGTGCTTAAATATATAAATCACTAAATTTATGATGTTTATTTTTCTAAATTTGATTTATTATTGAACATACTTATATACATAGGAATGGAGAAACCTAAAAACACTAGGGATCAAGAGCAGGATATTGCATCAAACTTCTCGTTCTCTAAATCAGACAATTTGAATTTATCGCTGCCAGAAATGGAAGCAATGCCAGAAATTTCTAAAGCGGAATCTATATATTCAGATTCTATTCCATCTTGTAAAAGTCAAACTACCAATAATATAGATCAATCGCTGACATGGGAGAATTCCAAGTCCAACTCAGGATCGGGTTCAGGTTCAGGCTTCACCTCCAATGGGACTCCAAACTCTAATAAAGAAATAAGAGGATTCGGACCCCCAGTGCTGCTGGGTAAACGAACATCAATGGCATCCCAGGTATCTGATTATTCAGCTAAGGGAAATCATATTGCACAGCCTGTGTCAGTGAAAGTGGTTAATCAAGATGTCAATCCTACTGTTAGCAGAAAGTATTACCGTTTCGATGAAAGAGATGATGAACAGGACGCTGAAGGCGAAGGTGATCAGGATCAAGCTGAGTCGGTTAGCACCGTTCCAGATGACTCAATTAAATTGGGGAAGTTGAAAACAAAACCAGGTACTTCTTCTAAGAAATTGGAACCTGATATGACGTTCAATACCAATGTTGAAAGCTCAGTTCCTCCTAGATCTTCACGTAGGCCCAAAAGTGAAGTTTTGACAAGTACCAATGAATTGGATAAAGACATCGAGAAGTTCAGCAAAAACAAGGCCAATTATCACAATAAACGTTCTTCTATTGCCATAAGTGATGATCTTGATAAACTCATGGAAAGCGCCAACTCAATCACACTGCAATTTTATGTATACAAGACTGTCGATGACAAAATAGAGTACCACGAGAGAAAGCCACTTTCGGAGAGAGAAAAAAATGAAAACGATGAATACAGGCGCTCAGTAGGCTTAAGCGACACGATGGGCGAATCTCAATCGAATCAATACGTTGACCATAGCTCAAGTTCGTTTCCTTCTAGAGATTTATCTAATCGCACCACAGATAGCTATCGCACTGCAGACATAATGGGGGCAGAACCTGTTAACGGTAATCGTCTCCCAAAAGCATCTTTGCCCCCAAGGCCCACTGCCGACAATGTGCAACGGGCGAGACAGGTATCCAACCAAATCAGCGAACAGCAAAAACACCCCCAAGAACACCAGCTGCCTTCTGATAATGCTGAATCTTCTCGTGTCCCTCAGATAGCCTCTCCAAATGATGACGACGAATATTACGATATTGACGAGCCAATGGTCCTCGAACAACCCGCAAGAGGTAAATCAGTCAAAGATTCTACACGAAGCATGAAAAAAATCAAGCATAAGAAGGCCAAAGCAAAACATCTAAGGTCCCTGTCTACTCCCGGTTTGAAACCATTCTCCTACCACACGTTAATAAACCTTCTTGAGAGCACCAATGGAACAATTATTGGTGAAGAATTTGACCAATTAAACTTACCAATTAAAGAAAAACAATTGATTGAAAAGATTGTTGATTCCTTATCTAGACTTACATCCGACATGGTTCTTGACGAAAATAGGTATGAAATTGGAATAGCCAGGTTAGAAAAGGCTCATAGAGCTCTTGAGGGTTTTATATAGAGCTAATTTTAGATATAAATATTGACATCTTGTATTATCATTTCATGCTAGTATACTATAACTCTAAGTCAAAATGAGTAACACTAAATTTTTGTCTGTACGGCTTTTTTTGCAATAATTTTGAAGGAAGTAAGCGAATATTATGTGCAGTATTGAAAGCGCACTTTCGTGGGTCATCATTGTCATAATAAACGATAACAAGCACGCTGGTTAATAGAGTCACCCCCCATTCATAGTTTGGCAATTATACATCTTGAAAGACTTAGAGCTGTTTCTAATATGGCTCTTTCCAATCCTTTTCATAAATCAGGTAGAAATCAAGCCGTGTCGCCGTCAAATCCATCTGCTCCAAATCAAAGACAAGAAGTACAACCAGCACAAGAAAATCCTTATAAAAATCCGAATGTCGTTACCAATTGCACTTCACCGCTCAAAGTAAACGTTAATATGATAAATAATAGCGACGAAGAAATAGATAGAAGAGGAGCTTCATTGGGCGAGCCATTTAACTTGTCCCCATCCCCAAGCATATCGAGTTCGAAGATTAACTTTGATAAAATTACACAACTACCCACGCCTATCATAAACAATAACAATGAGTCTTTTGCTAATTTTAGTCCACCTAAAGAGCAATATCTTGACATCCAGAAATCGCGTAATGTAAGGAACTTGGATACTGGAAGAGTAGTATCTGAATATAGGCCGCTGCACACGGGTCATCAGAACCTAAACGTACAAACTCCTAGTAAAAGATTTGTTTCTAATCCCCTCAACGATTCTTCGACGTCTATTGTGTCCGTACCTGTGTCCAACATCCCCAGCCCACCTGATGAAACTCAATCCAGGTTTTCCAATCACCAGTTTTACTCGGTTAACCGTAACAAAGTGTATAATTTTGAGGACGAAATAGGAACTGGAAATTTTAGTACGGTAGTATTAGGAAGCAATGTCAATGATGCTGAAGACAAAGTTGCAATTAAAGTAATTTCTATTCCACTCGATAATATAGACGAAGTTCATAATTTCAAATTCTTTATTAGGAGAGAGTTAAACATATTGCATAACCTTAGCCATGCTTGCATAATTCACTTGCTTGACTACAATTTGAACTTGAGCATAGATAAATCTGAAATTGAAAGCGTGCAAGCTATTGAGAGTGAAAACGCGTCTGAAGAAGACCTCTCTTTACAAAGAGACTTAAATAATCTCAAGTCAAATAATGATCAATTAGTATTTTTGAATTATTGCCCTGGTGGTAACTTATTTCAATTCCTGTTTGACAACTACAAACTTAATCATGCAAATTTTTCTTACTGGTTGGTCATTCAAAGAATTGTCAGCGAAGTAATTGTTGCCACTTCCTATTTGCATTTAAACGATACGATTCATCGTGATATAAAACTAGAGAATATCTTACTTAATTATAAGTTTTACGAACTTGAGGGTATACACCATTTCGGAAACTCATTCGCTTACCCTTTAATTAATGTGACCGATTTTGGCCTTTCGAAGAAATTGAAGTCTTCGAACGAATTATTAACCACCAGATGTGGTTCACAAGATTATATATCCCCAGAATTGCTAATGGGTTTAAAATATGATGGTAAGCTCACTGATTCCTGGTCAGTTGGCGTTTTAATATATGCGCTCCTTGAAAACAGATTACCATTTGATATTCCACCTTTAAGTACTTCAAGCCCAACCGGGGTGTCCCCATCTGTCATTAGAAGAAAAAGAGCTAAGAATAATGTAGCTCACAGAATTGCTATGATTGATTGGGATTGGTTTAGGGTCACAGATATGTTGAATGATTCCCAGATAGATAATTCTACTAAGCAAATTTTGCTCGAGCTCAAGCATACAGTCGACCTTCTCTTAGTTCGTAAGGACAAAAGACTAAGAGTTCAGGAGTTAATAAATCATGAGAATTTTGATTGGATTTCTAAGTCTGTTCCGGACGATTTTAAATTTTAAAAAAGAACAAGTAGTTTCCCATACACCGAATACCTGTTTCATGTTGTTTCTTCTTCTTTCCTCATTTTTTACTGTTCACTCATTTATGCAATTTCAACTTGACAGGTTTTTGCTGTTTCATTAATCCATTCATTCAAGCTTACAAGAATATAGATGTATTTATAGTAGTTTAGTTTTCAAGAGTCGGATATATTTGTATTAATAACTTTCATATATAAGAAATAACAAGATATTTGTAACTAATAAAAAAATTCAATTTCTCTATTCTTCCACTGCTTATCCACTCTCCAGTCATAATCATTAATAATTTCAACTTTATTGTTAAATACAAATTTATTACAATCACTAGCAAAAATGTTTGCTTTAGACAACCAATTATACTGTGTAAAGTCATATGCACCAATTAAGCTATACTTTTGAGTGAGGTCAATTTGCTCCATCCTGTAAGGAAATTTCACACCTTTTATATTTAAAAAGTTATTATTACTGAGGCATAACGTAACAATATTGGAAGGGAATTTTATAGTCGAAATTTTCTTAATGTTATTACTGCTTAAGTTTACTTCTCGTAATGTCTTTACTAATTTAAATTTATGAACATTTCGAAATTTCTGTAAAGTTATAATCAACGATTGTAAATTCGGAGGGCATTTAAAGTTTTCACATTGAAAAATGCCACCACCACCTTGTAATACTAAGGAATTTAAATTTCTAGGAAATTGCTTATTGTCAAACTTAAACGGAAGACCTCCTTTCAATGTCAAACAGGTTAAAGTTTCTGGTAGGAGTGGAAAGTCAATTGAAATATACGGTAGATATTTGTCCTGAATGTAAAGCAGATGAAGCAAAGGAGGACATTGAAACTCGTACCCTAATTCACTTGAAAGGTCAATTAATTTCAAATGTTCCAAATTGTGTAGATCATGAAAACTCAAATTATCAAACTCTAATTCCACGTTATCCAACTCCAACGACACCAAAGTCCTTGATAAATTATTCCGGACAAAACTTGAAATATCTAGAACGTTGCACAATGCTAGTTCTTTTATATCGGGTAAACATATATTGTGGCTATGGTCGAATACTGAATTTTTTAGTCTTAATGATTTAGTTTGATTTGAAAGTGTCTTCCCGTCTAATTGCACATCTTTGAATACAACTTTACCAACACTTTGTGGTAAATAATCAATTCTGGTAATTTTCCGAAAACCATTCAAATCAATGCATTTAATACTATTAAATAAAGTTGTAACATACCGTAAATCGATGCTGGCTATTGAATCCCGAAATGTTATTCCTGTAGTCTGGGGACCAATACCTAGAGATAAACCTCGAAGAAAACTTAATATTTCTTTAGTTGAAAGTGTACCCGTATCTCTAAGTATCAAATCGAAAGTGCTAGTACTAAACCGTCTGCTTTGTTTCACATTCTTAAGGAGATCAACTATCTGTCTATGAAACTCAACAAACATTGTATCATTCGATAAATTAAAATCAAGCACTATACGTTTTGGAACAATGTTAGTACCATATGATTCATCAAATAAAATAATGCCTTCAAAGAATTGAATACTGTTTGTCAGGTCTAAATAGACATGATCTGTTTCTGAAATTAATTCATTACCAGGTGTGTCGGAAATAACTATTGTTTTCTCTGATAGTTTCACATAAGTAGCGAGCAGTATCGATTTATCATGAAAATCAATAAACACGCTTAAGAGTGTCTGCAAATCGCTATTCGATAAATAATCCTCTAAGTGAAAGATTATGTCATAAGGCAAGCTTGAAATTAATGACATCGTGTCAAATTGTTCTGCTAAATTTGGGCTTAACCAACATTATCCTTTCCTTCTATATTCAATCCAAGAAAATATCTACTTGTCTCTCAACCTTACAATTGCTTTGTATTGATAATAGATGATCATTGCTGTAGCCGGGCAAATGTATTTAACATGAACCCACATACATTAGCCTAATAGTCGGAATAACTGCAAAAAACCTTAAATGTCGTCTACCAGCATTGACGACATTTTCGTTCCCACCTTCGACTTATTAAACCATTCACGTTACAAACGGAAATTATAATACCACCAGGCTAAACATACTCTTTGTTGAAATATGAATGGGTCATATCCATCTGATAGTAATCCTATACTGAATGGAGAGCCTGTTGATGCAAACTCTAATCATCTTGGTGGAGAAATGCACAATGGAGCTGGTACGAAGTTGGAAAATGGAATACTAAAGAAAGCACCAGACATACCACATATAACGAATAATATTATTCCACTATCCAATGTTTTGAAATTTTATACACAAGAAGCCTATAAACAATTAACAACAGCGATAGAGAACTTATCGAGTACTAAAGATACCGAAAATGATTCTAGTAGAAAGAAGTTTTTCTTACACTTAATTATCTCCCTTAGACAAGATTTCATTAAAATATACACTTTGGTTAAGTGGGCCAGTTCATCTAAGGATGTTTCTAAGCTAATAGATTTATTAAACTGGTTTAGGTCTCAAGATTTTTATTTTGAACAATTAGGATATGGATTAAATGAACTTAATAGGTATTCAGGAGCAAAATTACCTAATTCTGACATAATAACAAGTTTAGAAGTGTTTATTAAGAAGAGACCGCAATTACCCTCATACAATTTGATCGATACCCCACCAATATCGTCAGAGAAGACTTTAGAAGTCTTAAAAGATTTAAATTTAACATTAATGACTAGAATGGCTTTGATAACCAATTTACCTAAACGTTTCATTAATAATTATGAAATTAAGGATGGTAGAGTGTATTTCACAATACCTAATGAATTTCAAGTTTCTGTAACAGTTGGAAATGATTTGATTATTGAACAAGAAGAAGACTATTATAAATCACCGTTTTACTTCATCGACTTTAAGTTTCTATTTGGAATAAATCCAGAAACCTCCTTAATCACACATAAAGATAACAAGATAATAACAAAGCTACCTAAATCATCTTTCCAAAACTTAGAAAAAATTGTAAATACTGTACTATTAAATCTGGGCCTTGGTGGTTTATATGATCTATTACATAAATACTCCATTTCATTTAAATTATACTTGATTGCAAGGCAATTAAAAGATATTTCTGTCAACAGCAAATGGAGAAATAATATTCAATTCAAATATCAAAATGGTAAATCGTTAATCTTGATCAACTATTGGTCTAGTCATTATTTATCCAAAAACTGGAAGTCATTTATTGAATTAGGCATTGATAAGAATTACAACTTGAATTTCAGATGGTTCAAGAATGGTACTTATGAACTAAATCATGGAATATCTGGTATATTTGATAGAGATAATATAAAGAAACAGCTGGATGTTTCTGATGAGCAGTCAAATGATTTCAATCCGGAAGGGGAATCAATGGAAGAAATGAAAGAGGAAAATAATGAAGGAGAATCTGAAGCACAAGATCTAAGCGTAGATTTAATTTTAAACATAATAGTCAATAAACACTCTGAAATGTTAATGGCTAAGATTTATGAAAATATAATTAAGAGATTGCCTGATCAAGATGAAGAGTATTGCTCCTTTATATCTTGCCATCAATTATTGCTCAAATTGACCCCTAGCAAATCAGTTGTGTTCGCTATCAATCCATTAACTGGATTTTTTTATTTTATTGACCCTTCCCCAATTCAGAATCAAGTCACAAAAAAAATTAACACACAATCTTCGAATAATAAGAACAAGTCATTCTTCAGCGAAAGTGATATGGTTGGGAATATTGTGAACCATTTGATCCAATTGAAACTTGAAATGTTCAATAGAGAAATTAATAATAAGTTAATTACAAGTGGATGGATAAATAATGAAATTATCAAGTTGAATGACTATGAGACCATCAAGTTATTTAATTTTTTGAATGGTGATAACGTTAGCAATTCTAATTTCAATAAAATTCAATTTTACAGATGTAAAAATTGGCCCTTAAGTTGGTTTCTAAGCAATTTAGTTAGTGGTGACAGTTTTAAAACCTTTTGGTGGGTTGCTAGAATCAAATCTATTAAAGGTGAATGGAAAATTCAATGGGTACAGCAATTAGTCTTTGATAAACAAATTGAAACATCTGAAGAATTGACTTTAGATTATAAATTCTTTAATAATTTGTCAAGCTTATGTTCTAATATGATTACTGACCACATGGTTTTAGAAGAATTGCAATCTAAAAGAATTCAATATATAAAAAAGCAACCGAGAGAAAAGGCAGCTGAACTTTTAAATAAGTTTCAGATTGATGAAATACAAAATGAGGCTGTCAAGCCTGAAGAGACAAATAGCCCATATGTTTATGAATCTATCATTATGCTCTATAATGATAATAGATTATTACCAGTTTCCAATTCTTCAACAAGTCTATTCTTAAAAATAAAGCTAATCACGCTAAATAATTCAACTCAAATGAAACTAAAACTCTTTGGTAATTTGCGTAACATTCCTAATACTTTAGCAGAAAGCTTTAATCAATTGAACTTACATATCAACAAATCACAAAACTACTTCGAGATCAATGATACTGTCAACTTATCGAATAAAATCAATGATTCGTCTATCAAAGAAACTAGGTTGTTAGACTCAATCTTCTTAAAATTAAATGTTTTAAATGAGTTGATTAAAGTGTTGTATCAATTAGATCAAAATAACATCGAAATTGTAAATAGCTCCATTGACAGTATACAAATTAAGATTGATGAAGAAAGTAATAATTTAACTATAAAGTTACCTGAAACGGATGAAAAATTTAGATTGCTTGGTTCTAATACCGAATCAAATGAAATGAAATTGATCATCAGTTATTTGAACAAGTACTTGCTGATGACAAGCAAGGTTCAAGAAAATGAGATCATTGGTATAATCAAATATTTAAAAGAAATTACGCCAATAATTAAATCAATCAGATCTGTCAGGACCCTTTTAGATGAGAAAAACAAAATGAAATTAACTAACGGGCTCAATAAATTAAATTTTGACATCGAATTTCAAAATTTGAATTTAATTCAGTTCGTTTATTTTTTGAACAATACTAATACCAATTCTAATAAAAAGATTTTAAAAGATAAAATTGTCATTAAATTGAATTTTATGAGAAACAAATTTAGTAAGCAAGATAAATTACTATTGAAACTTTCGATGAAAGACAATTTAAATTCACGAAACTTAAAGTACAAGAAATTATTTGAGTTGATATACAAAGGAATAAACGAAGTTGATAACGCAAATGGGCTGAAAATTACAAAGTTGAATTATGACTTTATTGTTGAAAGCCTGTTAATCAACGAACTAATGGTTAAAATAACTGATGCTTTTATTCATTATCTAAGCGACGATGCATAAGTATTTATTACATAAAAATTACAATAAATACACATTATAATGTATTACCCAAGTCCTTACCCTAAACCTTAACAAAATTAAATATACCGAAATCATAAATATCATAAACTATTTTAATTGATGTTTTCAAACAAACAACTATGATCCTTCTTAGCACACCCCTCACATTTATTCAAAGCATCGTTGAATACACACTTAATTTTTCTTCTTCTACATGCACTGCAGGATGATTTTCTTGAGCCGACAGGAGATACATTTGGTTTCTTCTTACTCACTTTGGATTTAGAAGATGAAACTCCCGAAGATGATGAAGTGGATGTAGGTTTCTTCTTATTATTCAACATTATATCTTCTTTGGTAAAGCCTTTAGTAAAACAGCATGGCAAGTTCTTAGCATTGCAAGATTTACATGATTTGAATTTTATGAGTTTATCATTAGATATTATAACATTAAAACTCCCTTCGATTTCGACTTGCTTGTTTTCGAGTAAGCTTGCAGCAATATGTGAAGGAAAGAAATCCTGGAGATTCGCAGTCGAAGCCATTTTAGATAATATGGTAATTTCCGCGTCACACTTGACTTTTCTAGTACGGCACGAATCACATGATGGCCCCAACCTCTGTCTTCTCTTACGGGACTCGGAAGACTCCGACGCAGTCGAAGTAAGTGGAGTAGATATAAAGCTAGCACTCATAGATGCTGAATCAGATTTTTGGTTAGCCAAGGCAATAGGAGAATTCATACCAGATAAATTCATACTTGATAAGCTTGGAGACGAAACAGGAGACGACGATGCGGATGAAGAGGTCAACGAGGGAGGGGACGAATGATTCAAGTTTGACAAATTACCTTCAGTTAATCTAATAGGTGTATAATCATTAAACTTAATATCACTTAATGGAGGTAAAACAACATGACCTTTCTCATTCTGAATTTTAGTAAATCCCTGAGGCCTCAAGGGTATAGGCAATGGTAGCAAAGGTATGCTATTCACATTATGACCCTTATTCATGATCGAGTAACTTAATAAATCATTTGAAGACATTTTATAAACACTTTAGCTCCTCTATATCTTTTCTTAAGCTTCTTTGGGTACATGAGTACGTAGAAATCCTGGCGTCTTTATATAATTGCAAAAATTTCACGGAACATTTCTGGGGTATCCGGACACAAGGGGTGACACAGAAGTCCGATGGTGGTCCGAATACACACTTATTTGACAGTCTTCCGAGGAAGGCTACAACTACGGTTTTTTCCCGAATAACAGCTGGCTTTCTCTACGACTCTTCGTAGATCCATTCCGGGGGATAACACTGTATATCTCACCTGTTTTTGGCTTTTTTTTGGCTTTTTAACTGTAGTCCTTTCTCACAAGATATTAGAGAGTCATCGTCTTTAAGGAATACCTCGGGATGACTCTCCTGGTAGCACAGGAACTCCAAACGGACAATCACGGAACAGCCTCAATCCATTTTTCCATGTCGATGAGTCCTCCACCAAAATGCAATTTCGGTGGGGACACTACTTTTACTCACGAAAATGCAACCATTTTATGCCCCGGCAGAGCTTTTACCAGCAAAAGTGTGCCAGGCTTGACTTTGGTCCGAGTTAAAAAAAAAAGTCTCACAAGCATAGGCATCGGACAACAATATTTTTCCGGGCGTTCAGAATTAATGCGCGACATGCCTCCGCAACTCTCAGCCGAGGTGAGTGAAAAGGCCGTTACATCCCTTAACCCGAAATCTACGGGCAAACGCCTTATTTCGTACGACTGTGGTGCGATAGCCACTCCGTCGAAGTATTGATCTCCGAGTGAGTCCGAGGTGTATGGGTTTTAAAGGTAAGGATGTTAGTTGCTAATCAGTACTGGAAAGTATACCTGCATATCCATTAACAGTCTAAAAGTGATATTTACAAAACTTCCGAATTAGGAATTTGGGACATCCCGTCTATCTAAGGAATTTAAGTTCAAATATATCAAACACAGGGAAAACATAAAGTTAATTATATGGCATTGGGACAAGACATGGACGTAGATACGTCATTGAGTACACCTATTAAGAAGATCAAGGGTTTGAGTCTTGGGTCTCCATTATACCCTAGCTTAAATGATTTTCAACTGGACAATATGGCCAGCCAAATGGTTAATAGAGGTTATTCACAAACATTAACGAATAATGTTCTAGAAGAACTAAATGCAAGAGCAAATGAGCTATCGCCTAATATTTGTCTGTCTCCATCTAATAATATATCGACAACAAGTGCCAGCCGGAGAAACAAAAGATACTCAGGAATACACAGAGCTAAATTCAATAAAATGGAATCAATATCCAACCATTACTCTGTCAAGGATAGGGATGCTGATTCCAATATTAATAAAAATGATATGGGAAAGAGAAACTTAGCCAATATGGATATTATCAATAAAAAAAGAAGAACATTAATGGGGATGGAAGAGACTTTGAAACTGTCTCCTGTAAAATATACAGTTCCACAGAAAAGCTCTCCTATCAAGGAATCACCACAGAGTAGCCCAATCAAGAAAATATCACCATCCAAGAAATCTATGAACTTGAATAAGTTATTAAATGAGGGTGAAGGTAAGAGGTCAACATCTTTACGAATGGCTGGGGTTTCTCCCACTAGGACTCTGTCCGTGCTGTCTATCCCAAAGCTATCTAAACCAACACCGGCACGAAAAGAAATTCATAATTCGTCGCCACAAATCAAGCATTCAATTCCCAAATTTCATGCAACAAAATTCACAAATCAGGAGAATAAGGAAAATGCACCAATACCCCGATCACCTTCTTCAAAAACACAATGTTTATCATCATTCAATACCCATTCGCAAAACTACCCAGCATCATTATCAAACAAACCGACTCCGACTCTTTCACATAAGGTGTCAATACCTAACCTATCTCATAAACTGTCAATTCCAACATTATCTCATAAACTGTCAATTCCGAAATTATCTCATAAACTGTCAATTCCAAAATTATCTCATAAACTGTCAATCCCATCTCTTTCTAACAAACAGTCATCCTCGACATTCCAACGACCTCCAAAGCCATTATCAAAATCTAAATCTTCAATTCATGATTCAATTAAACTGATACCCACGCAAGAAAATCAGGCATTTGCAAAGTCGAATTCCGCAAACCTCAATGATCAACAACCTAAACGATACACAATTCCAAAACCATTTTCTCTATATAACAAACCTACTATTTCTTCATCGCAGAAATCTTTGAACAAGTTCCAAAGATTTAAAGACAAATTTAATTGAATACAATTGTATATTTCCTAAATGATTACATATTACACTTAATAAATGTTAGTTTGAACTTTAATTTCGCCACCAGTAGACAAAATTTGTGCACCACTCCATTTTTCACCAGACTTCAAATTCTTGAATTCTGCAACATGGCCTGGCTCTATGCACAACATGTTCATGTAGCCCTTCTTTGGCTCGAAATCGGCCATACCTTCGGACTTTTTGATCCATGGATTCCAGACAACAGTATCAGGCAAATTTTCTCTTTGAACATTCATCACTACCTTACCTAATTCAATCATTTGAAAAGTTTTTTGTGTATCAATACCTTGATAGATCCTGTCAAATTCCTCGGTAAAGCTAATCATTGGAGCTTTTTCTTCGTATGTTTCACCAATCAATTGATCGTAACATTTTGCATCAGTAAGATTATTAACAATTATATCAGTAATATCTGGGACATTGAAGTAAGTGTGGAACAACCAATTGAACTTGAAATCTTTATCACCAGTGTTTTCAACTTCAATATTAGTTTTTAAATAATTGTCACCCAAAGTAATTGACAAGATTAGAGTGAAGTCGTATAATCCATCATTCCACAATTTGTACAATTCTTCATCTACTTGTTCTGGTCCTAATCCAAATTGAACAGTTAAGGGATCTTCAGTAGTTTGTCCTAAAAATTCCCAGGTAGAATTTCTTGCAAATCCATGTTGTGGTAACTTGTATGCTGGATTGCTCTCATCTTTACACTTTCCAAAACATGGAAATACTAATGGAACCCCCCCTCTTACTGGTTTGGATCCATCAAGCTTTGCTGCTTTTGATAACCATAATTTTTCATCTCCTTGATTCTTCCACGAAGTAATAGTAGCACCATACTTTAAAATTGAGACCTTAGTGCTTGCATCTTTTGGATGAGTCAAAATGACTTCTGTTTCTGTTTCTTCTACTGGCATTGAATAATTTTAGTTCTTCAGTTATCCATTTTTTTATTTTATAGTGAACAAGTGTTTTCGATATTACTACGCTACCCCATTTGAGTTTGGTGCACGCACATTTTTTTAATCCTATAGAGGAGTTGCAACAAAATTTCTGAGATTATATTACTAAGAAGCTAGTAGCATATTATATTCTACAAATTTACCAGTTCTTTTGTTCATTCAGTAGTTTGAAATTTCAAACTTAGAATCAAATACAATCAATATATGGAACTACCAATATATTGAAAGCTCAAATTAAAGATTTTGACCTGTATGCTAATTTAATATTCCTCACTCTTAAGGCAAATTTGTAAACTGGGTATTACTAAAGTAGCTTTTGTGTTGGTATATGAGAAATTACATAGTACATGTGGCTATTTGTGTTGGATTATTCTCAATATGCTCTTTTTGCGGTATATAAAAACTTAAAATAGTTTGGGTGACCATCGAAACATTTCTGGAAATGATCAAAAATTGCAAAAACTGCCCAAAATTGTTTGTAGCAAACTAACTAAATGAAGAACGAGAGATGCTACTACAACAAGCAAAAACCAGTTAGTCCAAAATGAATGTTTTGTGAATTGTACGATGTATATGAAATTTCTTATTGGCTGAGTTCTCGTAAAAAGTGTAGAAAAGTACAAAGGCCTGGTTCAGCAGTTTTTAATACTTAGCTGCGAAAGATGACACAGATAAATTAATATTGTTTTTTTTAATTTGTTCCGTATCTGACACAGATACCATGTTGTAGACCCTAGGTTAAAATAGAGATCATTTGATTTCACATGCGTCAGTTTTGAGTCTAGTTTATAGAAAATTTCCTCTACAACAAAAGGTTAACTTCTAGATAATACTTATTATCTACTTATTTCAAAAATACTTGATTATGTAGGCTTTCCATCGATACATCTTCTAAATACATTCCAATGCAATCCATTTACCAATCGAACTGATGTACCAATTATACCCAATATACACATTTAACCTGGTTAATGGATGTACTATGCATATGAACTAATCCCCTATTCCAAACCATCGCAAAAAGAAATTTTGAAATCAGGTTACACAAAGCCGGATTCTTTGGTAACCAGAAAATTAATTTTTTTTGCTATTTTATAAACAAGTGATTCTGTAAGTTAGTAGAAAATTACGGAGGACCTTAGATTAATTATAGTAGATTTGAGTGAAGAAGGTAAAATACTTATCACTAATCGACAATTTTAAGCTATTTGGCGGTTATTCTCAATTTTTATATTTATACATCAGGGTAATTACATTGCTAGCTGCTAGCTGCGATACATTAGTAAAAGTTTCCGCTGATAAAAATTAATCCTAGTCAGTTCATTTAAAGAAAAAATTATACTAGCATATAACGATTTGAATATGGTATCGTCATCTATATTGAGATCTAAAGTTATTCAAAAGCCATACCAATTATTCCATTACTATTTTTTACTGGAAAAGCAAAGGGGATCCACATTATCAGATTTATCGTTTGAAACTAATTGTAAGATCTCCATAGATAAGTTCAGACATCACCAGTGGACCATCAATGAAGTATGCCACTATGGATTTTTAGTATCCATAATTTTTTTTGTATTTATTATATTTCCAGCATCATTTTTAATTAAGTTACCTATATTATGTGCATTTTCCATTTGCTTTATCATTCCATTAACTTCACAATTTTTTGTTCATGCATTGCCTATATTTACCTGGTTAGCTTTCTATTTCAGCGCAGGAAAAATTCCACCTTCTTGGAGACCCGCCATTAGTGTTAAGATTTTACCAGCAATGGAGACAGTTTTGTATGGTGATAACTTATCAAATGTGTTGGCTGAGGTGACGAATTCAACATTGGATGTTTTTGCTTGGATTCCTTATGGCATTTTACATTTTTCAGCACCATTTGTCGTTGCAATTTTCATATTCTTGTTCAGTCCTCCAACATCGTTAAGATCCTTTGGATTCGCTTTTGGTTACATGAACTTAGTAGGTGTTATCATACAAATTTTATTCCCCGCTGCACCTCCATGGTACAAGAACTTATACGGCTTACAACCAGCGAATTATTCCATGAGTGGTTCACCTGGTGGGTTAGGTAGAATTGATGAAATCTTAGGAGTGGATATGTATACAACCGCATTCTCTAACTCACCTATCATCTTTGGTGCATTCCCTTCGTTGCATTCTGGCTGTATAGTCATGGACGTCTTATTCTTGTGTTGGTTATTCCCAAAATTAAGAGTCGTTTGGTGGAGTTGGGCTGCTTGGTTATGGTGGAGTACCATGTATTTAACCCATCACTATTTCATAGACTTAATTGGCGGTGCAGTATTGTCTATTGTTGTGTTTAATTACACAAGATATATGCATTTGCCTGTTATTGACCATAGCAAATTCAGTCGTTGGTCATATACTGAAGTTTACAAGATTGATATCAACGAATCCGATCCGCTTTCTATTAGCTTTAACAACGCGTCTAATAATGACATAGAAGCTCAACCACTGAGTTCGTTTTTGAGTCCTGCTGTTAATAACTATCCATATTTCTACAACCAGGCTACTAATAATACTAATAATGAATTTGAAATGTCAACATTTTCTAGATCCAGACAAGCTTCTAGAAGTCTTATTACACCACTTCCTAGCTCTACGGGTGGAAGATCATCTTCATCAGTTAACTTACCAGTTACTAATGAAGAATCGCGTGAAACCGAAGACGCTGATTCCTCACTGCTTGAAAATAGCTCCACTCTTTCCGTATTCGAAGGTGAAAACGATAATAATAACTTCATAAGTTCTGCAGCGTCCTCAACTTCGTTGGATGATGTTGAATCGACTTCAAATGCTCAATCAAACGCTATTGCAAATGCTATTTCAAATGCGAATGACAAGAAACAAAAATATACCGTTAAAAATAGATAAACAAATTTCTAACAGAATTAATTTTATTGACTAATATTCATGATACCTAATAATTAATGTCTAATCTAATTTCATTTAATAATCAATTAATTTTCTAATATACAATAACGAAACAATATAATATTCGTGTAAGCTACCCTGTAATCTTTTCTATAATACACTGCTTTGCCTTGCCTGCCAATTTACATTTCATACCACAAATAGTATTATACAACCATTTATTATTTACACAGATTAACTATTTAACTATTCACATTATTTTGGCGTACTACTGAACGCCCTCTCGAATGATGTTCCGGTATTCAACTTTCTATCCATATCTTGTTTAATGATGTTAGCTCTCAAAACTCTTGGATCTCTTCTCAAAGTTCTTAATAATTCTTGTTGAACATTAGACGATACATCAAATCCCATCAAGAAATGATATCCTTGAAAATGCCTTTCCTGATCCTTGGAAACAATTTTGGGTAAAGTTCTTGGACCTAAACTAGTTATATCTCTAATTATTCCTCTATTATTTAAAATTAATTTCCCTAATGTAGAAACAATCTTGGTAGCTTCCTTGTTGGTTTTCAACGGATCTGATATCCGTGAAATGGCCATTAATTCATAGTACATTGCTTCGTATCGTCTATGTTCGTACCTAGTTTGTACCTATGAGCTTCTTTTCTAATGAATTTTTTCACTGGTCGTTCTTGTACGCTTTATTACATAAGTTTACGACAGGATATATTTTTTTGTCAAAAAAAGTCATAAATCACGTGGCTTGTTGCAATAATAGATTCCAAAGATTGTATAAGGCTTGATTATGGTGAAAAATTAACAAATTTATTATCATTGGTTAAATCAATTTACAATTCAGATATGGCTTCAAATATTACCTGGCACCCAAATTTAACGCATGTTGAGCGTTCAGAGTTAAGACATCAAAAGGGTGTCACTGTCTGGCTTACTGGATTATCGGCCAGTGGAAAATCAACCATTGCATGTGCCTTAGAACAGTCTATTTTAGGTAGAGGATTGAACTGTTACAGATTAGATGGTGACAATGTTAGATTTGGATTAAATAAGGACTTGGGCTTCAGCGAATATGACAGAAACGAAAATATTAGAAGAATCTCTGAAGTAGCCAAATTGTTTAATGACTCCTGTTGTATTACATTGACATCTTTTATTTCTCCATATAAAAAAGATAGAGAGTTAGCTAGAGAATTACACAAAAAAGACAACTTGCCATTTATTGAAGTTTATGTTGATGTTCCTGTTGAGGTTGCTGAAACTAGAGATCCAAAGGGATTGTACAAAAAGGCTAGAGAAGGTATTATTAAGGAATTCACTGGAGTTAGTGCACCATACGAAGCACCAGACAAGCCAGAAATCCACTTGAAGAACTACGAAGGTGTCTCTATTGAAGATGCTGCCCAACAAATTATTGAGTATTTAATTAAGAATAATTATATTTAATTTATAGAAATATATCATTAATAGTGCTACCGGTACTTTAGATTGGATCATTTTTTTAAATTATCCAACCTTGCTTGTAGGTCATCTTCTTCGTTATTGCTTGGTCCTCCAATTGCTTCCGCAACTCTTCCGTTATCAACTTTATCCAGCGATTGGACATTTATTTGACTTGGGGTATCTTGCAAACTTGTGTTCAAGTCAACTCCAATTTCATCCAATACTTTACTCAAAATTTCGTCAGCTTGTTCATCTTCACCTAACTCATCATCTTCTGCCATTGCATCATCTATTGCGTCGTCCATGAATTCCTGCTTTTGGTCCATCATATCATTTTCTTTTGCAAATTCCTGAGCGATTCGTGATAACTGAGGTAAATTCATAGACTTATTCATACCCGATAATAATCTAGTAGCATCTCTCATAGAAGTTGCCATCTGCTGGTTACTACGGACGGATTGAATACGTAACAGAATTGCTTGCAATTGAGCTTTCATTGAATTGAACTTGACAATATAATTCTTAGTTCTAATTAAATCCTTGGCCTGCAATTTAGCACTTGCTATTTGCCCTTGTTTTGCAGACTTCTTGATATCAGCTACTAACTTCTTTTCTTGATTTTGGAGCTTGGTCGTCTCTCTAGTTAGCTCTCGTTGTGTTTTTTCAAGTGCCCTTTGATTCTTTCGAAGTCTCTCTTGTGGAGTAAGCTTTTTGCCGAATGCCCATTCAAATAACTGTGACATCCTTCCTTATACTTTCTCCTTCTATTCCGTCTTATTTGGAGTTATTATTTGTTTTTACTCGACTAATTAATACGATTAGATGTCTTTCTAAATATCATTCCTTATCATTGGAATAATAATCACTCTGTCATATCGTTATAATTTATTACACAAAAATGGTAAAGTACCAATATATTTAAAATGTATATATAGATATATTCTATTAAAGTTTCACATCTCTGGATAAAGCTAGACGGACTGCTTTATGTCCCATTGCAAATCCAGCCTGGTAACCATACCCACTAGCACCATAGTTGTGAATTAATACTCTATTTCTGTTCATAACCTCCTTTTCGATCCTAGGGCCACCATGCCTACTTGGTCTTAAGCCAGAGGCAACTCTTAAAATTTCTAAATCCTTTATATTAGGTCCATTGGGGTTTTCTTCCAAAATTTTTGGGAAAAGCTTAGTAGTTTTTTCTAAAATTTCAACAGTCTCCTTTTTGAAGGTGTCCGCAGTCCAGTTATCTTTCTGAGTATATCCACCAAGAATCAATTGGTCATTAGAATAAGGTCTCTTAATAATATACGTAGGGTCTGAATCTGTCCATCTCATGACATTTTCTTTGATATGTGGAGCCTTGATAACCACGACTTGTCCTCGTGTGGGGTAAACATTCGAATCACTTACTCCTCCTAATTTGTGGGCACCAATTCCGGTACAATTAAATACAGTTTCTGTGTTAGAGGAGTACGCATCGGATACATGAGAAATTCTCTTTCTAGTGAATTTGACTCCATTTTCATTCTCTAAAAATGCTTGAAAATTCTGTAAGAATAATGGGCAATTAAAATTCCAAGATCTAAACTTGATCCCATATGCTACCCCCTTTGGCAAGTCATTAGCAGGAATATCTTCATATTCTTCAAGATATTCTTTCAATGAATCTTTTTTTGCAGGCGAAGGCATCAAATCCCAGTATTCAGTAGATATGTAACGATCTAACCCACATTTGCTACCACCCAATTTTGCTTGTACCTTATGCAAATTAGTATAAGTATACCTATCAAATTCTAAAGTTTCAGCATCATCACCCGTAATACATGAGAAATTACCACCAGCATACGGAGATGTATAGTTAATTGACTCATCCCCAGGTAAATATTCGGCAATTACTGAAATATCAGTCGATTTAATACCTTGCTCGAGGAGATTGAACACGGTATATAATCCAATTATGCCAGAGCTGCTATGTTAGTTATCTTCGGCCATAAGTCTATATTTTGAATGGTACTTACCCAATTACAACGTATTTAGTCATTATGTCCAAGAAGAAAATGCGGGATAAATTTCTGAGAAATTCGGACTTAAATATAAAGCGGATAAAAATCAATTAAACGGTTATTCCCTACTATTTACACTAAATAATGCCGATTGTTCACTTTCGTCTAAAGCGCCGTGTGTTTCTAAAATTCGGTAAAGTTTATGAACCACTGCCTCATTGCTATCATTTTTGATATCTTCCATACCATACTTGTATATAGAGTACAATCCAAATACGGCACACAACGAACAAATGAGGAATGCAATATAACCTTTCAGAGTGAAGCCGGCTGGCAATGGTTCAGGTTGTAAATTCTCTCCACTCAAGTCATGCCAAATATCCTTAGAATCCCCGTATTTACCAGCTGCATTACCTTTGCTTGATATGTTAGCCAAGGCACAAGCATCCCAATGGTTAGAAGATATATTTTGGGATTTTTGTATTTCAAACGGAGCTTCAACAAGGGTAATTGCAAGCCCTTGTTCTAAATGCCAGTCTACATGACAATGGAAAAACCAAACACCTGGATTATTTGCCTTGAATCTTATAACAATAAAACCGTTTGGGTTTACCATGACAGTATCACGAACCATGGGGAAATCTGGAAAGTTAGTATGATCTGGATTCTTTGGATCATATAAAATTGGATTCTCCTCGTCCTCTCCTGCTTCAGATCTTGAAATTACTTGAAAATTATGCCCATGCAAATGGAAGGGGTGTTTGCCTGCATCTCTATTATTAAGGACTATTTCTACGATTTCATTATGCTGTAATATGTGGGTATTAGTATTTGACCCATAGATTTCTGTGTCTCCAGCATACTTACCACTTGATAAGACCGTTAACAAAGTAGGGACTTTTGGTGGAACATAGGTTATATCATTAAAAAGCGCATAATTAACCCCATCCCCTAAGTTATCCATTGTGAAATCAAGGTGTATCTGGTAGTCATAATCCGGAAAGAGGGCTTCTTTTGATAATGGTCTTAAATCAAAATCATCAACCGGCTTAAGCTTTTCAGTAAGCTTTGCGAATTCATTGAGACCATTCTTTAAAGGATGAGGTAATTCCTTGTCATTGTATGCAACCCAATTTGTGGAAATAATTAGTAATTCATCTGGTAAGAAATCTAACATTTCTTCATCAATTATATTAACAAATCTATAATTTTTAGCCTTAGATTTTTTTGTGTGTACCAAGACGGAAATTCTCTGTGCAACTGCTATATACAAAGAATCAGTTTCTACTGGTTCTACCAAGTTACCATCAATTTCAACAATAGTGAAAGAATGGTCTTCAATGTACAAATATTGGGATGTAAACATACCCATATTCACAATCCGAACTAAATATGTCGTATCCGGCTTCACATGCCAAGTAGCATTCTTCGTATCATTGAAAAGCGAGTTCTGTGGTATTGGTTCTGCACCCGTTGGGTTATATCTACTCAAAAAACTACTCATGACATCAGGATATTCCAAATGATACCAATCGCTAACCGTTAATGTGACTTCCTCATCATATATAAACGGCAATCTTTCATCATCTTCAACTATGAATACACCCCTAAGCCCATCGCTGTATTGAGCCCCAGAATGTGAATGATACCAATAGGTTCCTGCCTGTTCACTGACAGTGAAGTTATACAAAAATGTAGATCCGGGTGCGATTGGGCATTGGGTTACCATTTCAGGACCATCCATTGAGTTAGACTCTTGTTGGAACAACCCATGAAAATGTAGCGAAGTATTTCTGTCTTCTAATGAATTGGTCAAATATATTTCAACCCGATCATTCTTCTTAATTCTGATGGTAGGTAGTGGCCATTCATTATTAATTCCTATAACTCTACGTTCATGAACCCCATCTGGATTGGCAATAATATAACTGGCATTAAAATGGAAAGTATGTGTCTTAGCTACTATACCTAATGCAAATATTATGCAATATAAAATACTTATTAGTCTCATTAACAATGCTTCCAATTATAGACGACTAATACCACTTCTTTCAGTTATATTTTAAAGAGGATTTCTTATAGTACTATTCTATATACCAAGAAAAAAAAATCTCTTAAATCATCACGTGTAGTTATATATATATAAGTTATCTACTAACTTCCAAATGTCTTTAACTGAATCTCTGATCCATCCTCAACCCCGATGTAATTCTGATCACCTGAGCTAGTGCTAAGTTTAACCAATTCCTCCGTTAATCTTTTTTGTTCATCTGTCAAAGCATTATCAATTACAAATTTAAAAGCTCCTGTGTTTTGCTGTATAAGTGATAATAATTTTTCATGTAAATAAGCCTTGCCAAGATTGTCCTTATTAATTTTGTTAAATTTAATCAATAAAGGTATCAATAATGAGAACAAAGATATTGTTTTCGCTTCATCAAATGAATACGATTTGGAAAACAAGAAGAGAATTTCTAACACAATTTTTGGATCCAAATCCAGTGTATTATTTGCGAGATGACTGATCAAGCCACTTATCAAATATTTCATGACAAGACTGTCTTTCGAATGTCGAGATGAATACTGGATCAACGATTTCGTACATTGAATACCAATCGTAGTTGATTCTGGTGATTTTAAGACTTCGATCAATGTGCTGCTAAACTCATGCGAATCTTCATCGTTCAATTCGATATCACCGGATGTGATAAGTATCATTGTAGTTAATACTGAGTAATCATTTGCTTTATCGATCTTATAATATTTACGAATAATCTTACTGAAGCAAGAGACCAAGTCAGTATTTTCAAATGTCTTTGATTCAGAAATAATTTGCTTTAAGTGGGGCAAAACAGTTGAAATTAATAGATCATTACCGTTCTCGTAGAATTTAGCGAATATGAACAATAAGCAAGAATAAAGGTCAGCCTTAACAATGTCAGGGAATCGACACATCATATCCACTAGCTTATGCAAACAGTTCTTTATTAAAATTAAATTAGCACTGCTGTCCGCATGTTTCAAGAGTAATTGAGTTGATTCATTACCTGGATCGTAATCAGTACGCAAAAATGGTATTATATCAAACAATGGAAGCATACAAACCCTTATCAATTCAAATAACTTGTCAAAACTTTCTGTTAAATCTTTATGCTTATTTGTAAAACTTAGGAAAGTAGTGCTAATAGTGTCAATCAATTTACACTTTATTTCAGTATCATCTTCTATTAATATCAATCTGTCAAAGAGGTTGATAACTTCACCAAAAATTTCATCGTTGAATATGAGGTCAATCAAATATGGACTTTGGACTAACCTATTCAAAGAAATTAATATTTCAGAAACATTATCATTCTTAATTAGTGATTCAATGCACTGACTGAACAAAATGAAGAGGAAATTTTGAGCATCTCCAGACAAATATTCATCCACAAATTTATCATTCTCTAATTCTGAACTTAAAACGTTGATTAGATTTAACCAATAACTCTCATAGATTTCCAATTCCTTTGAAGCTGTTTCATTGTATTTCAACATAGAATACTCTCGTAAGACCAAAATCCATAAAGAATTCAAAAGCATTGAGTAATTGTCGAGAGTTTCCACTAATTCAGGTTCTGCAATTTCTTCGTCTTCCAGGACATTAATTTTCAACAATGCCCAACAATTTAAAATAGATAACTGTATAGTTTTTTTACCAAACTCAGACATGTTCTCTAAATAACTAAATCTTAAAAACTTGCTAGACGATATCTCTTCCAACAAGTAAATCAATGTCTTTAATATTCTATGCTTTGAATAGAATTTGATTCGAGGCAAATTAATAAACTTTGATGAGACGTTTATTGCATTTACAATGACCCTAGAATTGTTATTTGCTTTAAAACAGGGAATTAAGGCACTAATAATTAAAGCTTGTTGTTGCTCTAAAATTGAAACCCCAGGGTATAGCGGGTCTGCAAAGTCTCCGAACAATCTTAACGCTTTATCCAACAAACTAACTCCTTCTAACTTGATAGAAGTTATTGGGGAGGATGAGCCCAAGAATGATAACTTGATGATATCTTGTATCTTGTTTGTCAACTGTTCTAAAAGTTGACTGTTTTTATTAGAATACTCCAATAAATCATTCAATAAATCAAATATAAATAATTTAAATTCCCACGTAATTGGCTCGTTTTTGTCAGAAGATTCATCATCATTCCCAACAATATTTTCTATTTCTTCGTCCCTAAAATCAACATCCGACTTATTTTTCTTTTTCTGTCTTTGCTGTAAAGGTAATAACTTTTGCAGATAATTAACTTCAATAAACGGGCCAATTAATTTCTTTGATGAGTATTTGAATAGTGAATTTAAAGTCATGAACCAATTCATTTCTAGACTTGATTCCATCCAAAGACGGATTAATTGTTTTAGTTGCTCGCATGGTTTTAAATTCATTGCAATCCATAAAATCTTTACCGTTTCTTTTGATAGGATTTCACTACCATATATCTTTATTAACCCAACATAGCATTCAAAAGCAGATTTTAACAACAGGAAGCTAGAATTAAAAGGAAATATCATATCTTTATTCAATGAAGTAGGATTCGTTGTAACCAATCCAATTTTTAAATTTTTAGATATAATTAAATCAAGTAGATTAGTAAAAAATTCGAGACTTCCTTTAATCAATTTTGGATCAAAAATAATTAATTCTGGGAATATCTTAAGGAGGTTTTCGAAAACTTCAAGATAATCAGATATTGTAACGCATCCAACACCATTGCTTAATGTAACAATTAAGTCCCTTATTTTCAATTTATCATCGTTTGCTATTTGGCGTAAATTAGGCCCCAATGAAGTTACGCATAGTTTAACTATCTTAGTGACTATTCCAATTGAGCCAAACTTACACTTCAAATTAATTAAAAGCTTATTTTCAAGATCATAACCATAATCATCGTTCAAAAATATATTGTATACATTAGTTACAACTTCAGGAATTAAATGAAGATTATCTAGATTATTTTCTAGTAAAATATTTGTTGCTTCTAATGAAAAATGCAAAACAATAGGATTAGGATCTTTAAGTAACTGTACTGCAACATTGTACACATCCGTAAAGCCAATATGTGTGTATTGGTGTATTCTGGACAAAGTTAAAATAGAAGAACCTCTTTGATATGGATTAATATCATTAACAATCTTATTAATAAATTTGTTTATTTGTTCATTTGTGAATTCTCTATCTTTAGTAAGAACACCACATGCCATCCCAACAGAATCGCAATTAATATACATGAGCTCCATATTATTCGTTTCAAATTTCTCTAATATGTCAAGTAAAACATTTAAAATCTCTCGATCTAAGTTTTGTTTCTTCTTTGTGAGGCTGCTCAAAACTCCATGTAACGCAATAGAAATATTCACGCATATTGCCTTATATCGCAACGGATCAATAGATTTTGCAGTAAGAAAATTCCTCATTTGTTCTAATAATGAAAATTGAATTTTTGAACTTAAATAGGGAAAAACTAGTTGGAATAGTTCAATAGAAAGGTCAATGAGCGATGTTATAATATTTGATGAGAATTGCTCATTCACAGAATAATCTTGGACTAAGTAGATATTTGGATCATAAATTACATTATGATCCACTGACTGTAAAATACCGTTCTCAAAGTAATCAAACCATGCATAGTTCCCTTCTTCGAAATGGGACTCAATCATAGATTTTGGGGACCCCAGAGAAGGTCTCCCTTTAGAGAATGCATCTTTGTAAGAAATGCTTGTTGCCGTGCTCTTTTCGTTGCTGTCTTCGAGACTAAGTTTAATCAATAATTCATCAATATTTGAAGTATATCCTTGAAATTTACTAGAAACACCAAAAGAGTAATTGTAATCTTCACCCAAAATAATCATGTCATTATCATAGTCATTGATTTTTGTCTGCGTCGTTTTATTAGCGCTGGATTTTTGCTTCTCTTTAGTATGTTCAGGAGGGAAACATCTAGAAAATATTTTAGAATCACTAAATAGCTTGACTAAAAATATTACCATGTTTGAGTTTATATCATTTTTCAATAACGCAGCAAGTTTGATAAAACTTTGTAGCAAAATTTTCTTGCTGTATAAGATTAGACTTATCATCACACGTTCAAAAGATAGCTTTCTGTTGGCATTGTAATTTGAATAATGAATATTATTAACCATGATTGGATTATAATTATTCTCATTAAAGTTTTGGCTTGTAAAATTTGTAATAGGACCAACTCCTTCAATATTATTTTCTAGATAGGTCAAGTAATTATATGACTTGGTTAATAAAAACTGTAACTGCTTCAACGATTCTGGAGTGAGTTGAACAGAGTTCAAATAATTCAATAAGCATATTAAACTAGAATTCCTCAACTTGAGGTTGTCGACAACTTCACGTTGTTGTCCTTCTTGACTGTCGTTATTTAAAGAAGAACTTATAAACTGAGACGTTAACAAACCCTTCCAGAAGACCAAAAATTGGGAAGAATTTAATTTAACGAATTCAGAATCGTTATAGAAGGTAATCAAGGAAGATAAAATGGTCCAACAGGCAGAATTTTTAACAGCATTGTTATGACTATTATGCTTTAAATTTTGAGTGCAAAAACTTAAAATCCTCACAATAGTCGAATTTTGAAGTAATGTTGAGTCCGTTTGCTTTATCAACGCCAGGAGTGCTAAGGAATAACTCATCAACCTCACATCAACTAATCCACAATTATGCTCATCAGCATTTCCCACAACATTCGATTCGTGCTGACTATCAGAATTTTTATATTCATGACTTACCAAATTGTACAAATCCAATATCAATTGATTGGTTTCGACATCATTATTGGACGCATATTTCAATAATGTTGTCAAAGCATAAATTCTAATTCCAGTGCACTTATTGATGAGTAATTTGAAGATAATGTCTCTCAAAAATGATTTCTCACTATCAGTGGTTCCTTGGTCTTCTTCTTCTTCTTCTTCGACATCTCTAGAGACATTTGCCCTTTCTCCATCAACACCCTGTGTTTCTGAAGAATTTTCTGATAAAGCTTGTTTTGTTTGAACAATCGAATTAAAATCTAATCCGAATGGTAATAATATTTCTATAATGTGCAATAATAAATAGCATTGATACGAGTTTTGGTATGGTATAATTTCTTTTTGTCTTGCATCTTTATTCTTTAACTTCAGACTATTCTTTCCCGTCTTGAAAGTAAATAACTTTGATTCTCTTTTATTGTCTCGGTTATTGGATGCTTTGGTATTTACAGATTCGGAGGATTGTTCAGTATTATCCGACAGCCCATCTAAATTGAACTTAGAATATGTGTACTCCATTAGTATTTCATGACACGTAGATCCGCTTTCGTCAATAATATAATCTGATACCGATTTGAAATGCTGCAAAGATTTATTCCAATATTGATTTTGAATGTGGTTATCTATATCATTTAGTTCTCCAAATTTGGACAAGAGGGTATCCAAAATATTGACCAAATTCCCTGATAAATAGTCGGAATTCTGAAATTGCTCTAATTGAATATAGAATATTAAAGTTTCAATTATACCTGTTTGGTGCAATAACAAATCTGTATTTGTCCTAATGATATTTTCACTATCATGGTTCCAAATAGTATTCTTTTCCTTCCTTATATCAACAATGGCTATGTCGTTCTCAGTGCTAGTCATAGAAGTTAATGAGTCATTCCAACTATTAACATGAGGCAAGGTATATTCATTAGTCAAATATTCTATCGGATTGAATTTTCCGGTGGGAATAAAATTGATAAACAAATGGGCTAGAAGTTCAACAGTTGCAATTCTAACCTCCTTACAGAAATTCGTAAGACCATAGCGAAAAACCTTCTCATTGGTTGACAATAAATTCATTTGGAATTGATGTTGTGACATAATTGCTTCGGGCTTTAATTTTGAGCCTGCTGACGAAGACGAAGTTGATAATGCAAGCAAATTTTCATAGTTTGATGATACTGAGAGTAAAAGAATATTCTTTAAAACCAAAATATAATTTTTTTTTAATAAAACAGTGGAGGAAGTATCGCTATTCGTGGGAGCAGAGTCTAACGGTAATTCAAAAGAAATATTATAATATATGTTCTTATTGATAATTTTTAACAACTTCGCCTGTAACTTCTCATCAATGTCAAACTTTGTAGCATTCTTAGTGATAGAATTTAACAAGTAGATCAAGTTACTACTTATATCTGGATATTTTTTTATGATTTTATAAATTTGGTTGACAGAAAAGCTAACCAAGGAGTTCAACGAATTTGGATATGTCTCAAATAGATCTATAAGGAGTATTATAGAGACTTTGGCAATTGAAGGCAAACTTCCTGCTTCATTCAAATTCAAATGGTTAAGTAATGTGTTAGCAAAATCGTATGTTTTCGTAGGCAATTGTGCAAGAACTTGTATCAAATTCTTCGAAACCAATTTGTAAACATTCAACGAAAGCTTGTCTTCGACATTTTCAATGTCGCTTTCATCACTGACTTCCTTTACTTTTGATTTGCCCTTAGAAGGTTGTGGTAATTTTAATTTTTCAACTAACGCTGATAACTGCTCTAGACATAGATTAAAATCAATTTCAGGTTCTGATTCATATTTACTTAGTCTGCCATTCAAATCAATAAGGTATCTCAAGATATCCTTCTTATCATAATTCTTCAAGAATTTAGAGAATTGATCACTATTCATTGCTGATAAGTGCTTAATTGATATATATATATTTCGATTTAGTCGTAACTATTGATACGTATATATTATGTTTACTTGCGACATTACGGGGAGCCGTGCTTTTGTGTCACGACATTTTTTATGTCAACTGAAAAGCTGCAAAATGGGTGATGTTCAGTTACTGTTACTGAGACTCAATGATTTGAAAGTATCAAAAATATTGGTTCGACGATGACGCCTTTTTATTTGCCTCAATTCCGGAGATTTTGAAATGGTTTTATTATTCATGCCTGGAGAAGCTTTTACTGCCTCTAATGCTCGTCTTGATGTTTCAAATTGAGCTTGATCGTAGATCTTTTGGGGCTCCTTCGTGCCTAGGTTTGCCCTCGCCGATACATCTACTATTGGTGGTGACTTAGGTATAGATATAGTCTCCTGAGAAGGTTCAATATTTTCCTTGTCTGCTACTTTGCCTCGCAAAGTAGCCTTCGAAGTATGCCTTGACAATTTTGTCGTGGGTGAGGATTTCATCTGCGAAGTGTATACTGAGTTCTTCAAATTACGTGCTTTCTTAGACATGCTTTCGGAGTTAGTGGTTAATTGATGAAGTTTTTTCAATGAATCTGACTTTTTCATCCCAGATCCTTTTCCATTTGCCAATGTATGACTGCTCTTGGATGAAGGGGGCCCGGCATTTAAAATATCTTTCATGCTCAAAAACAGACTTTCGACTTCATTATTTTCGTAAAATCTCAATTTGGTTTCCAACGACAAAATTTTTCCTTTCATTTCCTTGATTGAGTTTTCAAAATTCGTAATATGCAATTGCTTCTGGCTGTTGGTCTGTTTCTCCCTATGTAAGTCATTTTCTATTATGGCTATTTTTTCGAGTAGTTCATTATTGAATTGGCCCGCTAATTCCAATTTATTGCATAACATCCGATCATTCTCTTCCATATCATCGTTTACTATTTCTACAGAAACAAGTTTTTGCTTCAATGAACTTATTTGCTTTTCATATTCTTGTGTCTTTGTAATCACTGTTTCATTTAAATCAGAGATCTCCTTATTAAGACTAGCAATGTTCTCCTTGGAGAGTTGCAACTGCTTCTTGGATGTACCCAAAGCTTCACGAAGTGTACTGTTTTCGTTCTCCAATCCCTGAAGTTCTTCTTCCAATGCCTGTTCTAATTCTTTACTCGATTCCTGAAACTCATTTAATTCTGACTCTAATTCTATAACTCTCTGCACCACCTCTTCCTGTGATAATTGCCCCAATTCATCCCTGTTTATCTTGGATGGAGATGATGGCTCCTGTTTGCTATTTGGACCTCCCATCATGAAGTGCCATTCAGGAGTTCTAGTATCTATCAACTGTACAAAAAAAATTGTAAACACAAATCACTCTATGTGCAGGATATGACATAAAGACATACACAATTGATGACTTTACCGCAACCACATAAGTTTATGGGTTGTATGCAAAGTAAGAGAGGAAGAAAGAGGCTAATTTTCTCGACCTCCGTCTATGTGAATGTATAGTCGTGAACCGTTTTAATATCAAATTAAAGCTTTAAGTTTTTCTCTACAAAGTATATTTGAAATTCTATGGAATTAAATACAAACGTTACAATATTCAAAAAAAAGACAAAATATAATAAAAATCACTAAATTAAAACATTTAACTATATTTCTGTGGATAAAATGTTATGACTGATAATCCAGCAAGATAACTTTATCCGGGGTTTAATTCATTTTAGCTATATATATTAGATTGCAAAACCGTTGAGTAATATTTGTACTACATGTGCGTAAATATGAGTATATTATAATCACCAAATTTTCAAAACAACACAACCACCATAGAAGTGTTACCCTACTTTATTTATCAAAACAGCGGGTAACCCTTTTCAATAGTAAAGTAACAGCTGCAAAATAGAGTATGGAAGATCAGCAAGAGATAGGTGGTGCACAAGCATTGCTCCAGTTAGGCTCAAAAACCAGAAGTGATGATGAGCACGAAGGCAAAAATGGAGAGGGAGATCAATCGCTAAATATTTCAAATAATGAAATTAAATTCAACGATAAAGATATTGACGATACGAATGGTGTTAACGGCGACGAAGGCAATGAAGACGGTGTTGAATCAGATGCAGAGCTAGCTGATGTAAAGACGACTAACCAACAAATTAATGATGCAGTGGAGGCGGCAGTGATGAGATATGTTGGAGGGACATTAGATGGTACAGGAGAGAATACCTCCAATAATGGAACGAGAAAGAACAAACGGAAATTGAACCACGATGATATCATGTCAAATATCAATGAGTTTAACCAATGGACTGGATTTTTGGACGATGATATTACTGACAATCAGACAGAAGATTTCAATTCGTTTGCACAACACCAACCTCAAAATCAGGCACAACAACCTACGCCGAACAAGAATCTTAGGAAGAAAAAGAAGAAGAGCAACCAAGTTTCCCAAACACACAATGAAATTGACCCAGAATTAACCGGATTAGATTCCTCGGCGGAACATGATCAATTAGTTCAAGCAGCAATCATTGATGCTAGAGAATTGGCAAAACAGCTTGGAAATGGCTCACTTCATGACAGTGATACTTCAGCTGTTCATAATAGTCTAAATAATTTACCTCCCCATCAGGCTCAGCAAGTTATTGCTGCTGCTACCGCAGCAGTACAGCAAGGCCAGCCAAACCCGGAGTCGATAGCTGCGATCAATCAATTAGCACAGGCTGCATCTTCTTTATCAGGAGAGTTAAACAGAAGCAATAAAACAATTCCAAAACAAAGAAAGCTCTCGAAGATTGAGGATGGCCTTATTAATTATCAAGCTATTAAGCCTACGTCTAACTATCGTAAACCAAAATTCAATCATTTAACGTCCATTGACTCTTTGGTTGAAGAAGCGTCTGCTCAAGCGTGTAATTGGTATAACAACCTTCCACAAACCAATAGCAGTGGACCACGTATTTTTTCTCCTGAGGAAATTTCAGCTGTTGATCATTTCATTACGGGATATTGCCATTTGCACAAATTGACTCGTCAAGATATTTGTAATAGAATTTGGTCAAACGAGAGGAAGAAGGATAATTTTTGGGAATCATTAACTCGTGTGTTACCTTACAGATCTCGTGCATCTGTTTATAAGCATGTTAGAAGACAGTATCATGTCTTTGATGTTAGAGCAAAATGGACCAAAGAAGACGACGAACTATTGAGGAAGTTAGCATCAACCAAAGAGGGCAACTGGAAAGAAATCGGTGATACCATGGGACGTATGCCTGAGGACTGTAGGGATAGATGGAGAAATTATGTGAAATGTGGAGAGAACAGAGTATTGAATAAGTGGTCTGAAGAAGAAGAAAGGAAGTTGAGAGACATAGTGACCGATATGATGTCTCATATTGGAGATGATAACAAACTGAAACCAGCAACTATTAATTGGACAATTGTTAGTGAACGAATGAATGGGGTTCGTTCCCGTATTCAATGCCGTTATAAATGGAACAAGCTTGTGAAAAGAGCGTCTGCGGCAAGAGCATCTTATATGAACCAAAGCACAAGGTTATGGCTTTTCCAAAGATTACAAAGATTAGGCTTTCCAACTTTGGAAAGTGTTGACTGGGACTACATTGTTCATCTATACAACGAGGAACGTAAAAATTCTGCAAATGCAGAGGAAAAGAAAAACGATCCAGATGAGAATTGGGTAGCAGCTGATTTCAAAGTTGGATTTGAAAAAATGAAATCTGAAATAAAAGATCACAGAAAGATGTCTTTAGGAGAAGTTTTAGAAAGACTTATTGAAGATTTCTATATCAGACAAGGCCAGGCCCCTCCACGGACTCAAAACCAGGATCATCATCAGCCACAGCAACACCAGCATCATGTTCAGTTACCGTTACACGATTCTTCTGATGCTGCGCATTACACCACTAGTGCACGTCAAGTTCCAAGTCTGGGTCACGTTCATGATGAAGAAGACGATGCAACCTCTATAGCCAACGCAGCTGTAGCGGCTGTATCAGCCAGTGTTAATGGAGACGATACTCAGCAACAAGAATATAGTTTATGGAGATAAATATTATGTATACAATTGACATTTTTAGTTCGTAATGTAATTTTAAAGAATTGAGGAGTTCATTAAGATCGCGCACTTTATCACCAAAATTAAAAAACATAACAACGTATCAGCTGAAAAAACCGAACGAACGACGTGAACTAACATACAATTGAAATACAGTAGACTTAATAGCATTATGATAAACTACGACGATAATGACGAAAATTTGTTGTCGTTTTATAATATTGCTACTGTTAATCCTACTAGTAGGAATGATTTGAAGTTAACTAATCAAGAACAAATCGATTCAGACGAATTGAACAATTTCACAACTGACGAACAATTTAATTTATTACTTACATTAGTCAATGCTAATACTGGTCACAACAATAACACATTATATCGCTATAATGATGAAGATCCCGAGGACCCTCTTCGTGGGAGAGGTACTAATGTTATTAAACAATTGATGCAGAAACAAGTGATTTCTTCTAAAGATGACCCTAAATTAAACCTGTTTTTAATTTCATCCCCGAATTTCGATTCACAACGATTTTTAACTACTGTTCATCAAGATTCTTCAATTGATGAATTGGTGCAGTCTTTAAATTTCTTGGAAAGAAATATACACAGCCAGACAGCAGAGTTGAAACTGGTTATAGATTCCAATTTTATTAAATTTGTTGATTGCAAAAAGTCAATAGATGATATTCTAGTAGCGTTCAGACAACTGAAAACAAAGGTTCAACAAGATCGTGAAAACTCCAAGATTTTCAATCCTCAAAGGCATAAAAACATGGAGAAGAGTGAGACACTTTCTTCTGAACTTGAAGAATCATTAAAAAACATTAATATGGCATCCACCTTACTCATAAGACCTATAATGGAGAATAAGAGCAAAGAGCAAAAATTGAATACCTTAATTGAATTTATTAAAAGCAACAAGTTTTTCTTCGATCTTCCCCATAATTTGATTGAATCATTGTCAAATCAGAACAATGACCAGTTTATAGAGGATTACAATAGATTTCTTAAAGCAAAGGAAGAATTTAATCAAAAACAAGAAGAATCGTACAAAAGAGATATGGCTCAACTAAACCCGGAATCTGATTTTGAAGCAATTAAAGAAAGAGAGCAAAATCAGCAATTAGCTGATACTGCAATATTAAGGGTTTTTACGGAGGTGGATAATATTATCGTGGAATATAGAAAGAAAATTTACAACGAACTTCTTAGTTTAGATCATGAAGCAGGTAATTCCAAAGGCCATTTCTCGAATACAAATAACGCCAGATTCATATCTTTAGTTGATAAATTATACCAATTGAATAACGAGGATGGAAATAATGCATCCAACCCAATTTATGAATTTTTGAATACTCAGCTTAATGGTTTACGGAAAGATTTAGATTATCAAATTAATAAGTTCGATACTAAATTTAAAATGATGCAAAGAAAATTATTGGATTATATAACTTCATTAGCGGAGCATAGAGAAGGCGGTTCGCATGTTGGACATATTAGTGAAAAGTACAGCAATATTGATGACTATTTTAGAGCTTCTTCTACATCTTCAACTCCGAGTAACGAAGAAATGGACCGGATAGTAATGAAGTTCTTCGATAGTAGTGATAACTTAGACTTGTCATTTATTAATGAAACATGGTTGGTGTTACTCAACTTTGTTACTTACTTGGATGATTTATTTTTGAAGAATATGACGAAGTTTGTCAACAACTATAACCATTATGGTAACCCTAATAATGGTTTCAATATAGATACCCAAGGAAAAATAAGAAACTTATTTGTTAATCTTGTTGTGCATCTTACAAACAAGCTAACTTCTCTATTTGACGACAACGCCGAATCAGTTAATCAGATGGAATCATCTCCAGCAAACTACAGCCGATTTTTGCCATATCACACTAATTCTCTTTCAACTATATTCTACTTGAGTGGGATTTCATCTAAGATTAATCACACTCTAACCAAAATAGGTAGTTGCATGGCAATCGTCGGAAATGCGAATAAAACTACCGATACGAATAAGATAATTAAAACTTTGAGAACCGCATCAAGTACAATAAACCAGAAGATTCTTGAAGCAACTTGTGCGGTTTGGGTTAATGACTGTTCTCAGTTCTATGACTTAGAAAGTTGGGATATCTATCATCCTATACATGATAAAAGTGTCGGACCAACCTTCACAAAGGCCATTAATATTCTCGAATGCTATGAAGGTTATATATTACGAAAGTTATCCGACTTATTATTTGTGAAGGGATTCGAAGATAATTCTAATGACGACATACGCATTGTTGCCCCATACCCTAGCAAAAGGATATTAGTCAGTGTGGAGATTCAATTTATGAGAAGTTTAAACATTTTAATTGATTCCTTAATGAAGAAATACAACGTTGAAAAGTCATCAGTTAAGGTTAACGCTAAAGGAGCACATATAGATTTGGAATTGTATAAAGTTTTGACAATGAATAATTTTGATAGACTTTCTGAAAGAATTTATCCGAAATTGATTAAAAAGTTCGATCAATTATTTGAAAAGAACTTACTGCAACAAAATTTGAAATTGTATGCTGACATAGACAAGGCAGCGTTAACAATATTAGACGATATTTTAGAACGTGAAAAATCATGGATTGATGAACGAGTTTCAAGATATTTTCTTAAAATCCCAAGCAAAGCAGTTGATCCAACCGATAATCATGTATTGAAGATCGAAAGCTTTACATATGAAGTATTGATTCATTTTGTTAAGCTTATTCATGAAGTTAAACCTTTGACAGGAACTGAAGTTTTCGTAAGTATTATGAATGAATTGCAAAATTATTTTTTAAAATTGGTATTGGAGTATTTAAGATCATTGAATAGGAATGATAAATTCTATTCAATACTCGGAAACTTGAAGTTAGGTATAATTTTCTTTGTTGAAGTATTTGAACCAAGTAAATATGCCAAATTGAATGATTATTGTATGAATTTGGTCGAAATTATTTTGGGTATTATTAACGAGAATGAGAAGCCGAACTATTCAGACGAAGAGTTCGACAACATATTAATGAAGTGTTTGAGAGATTCAGAAAGTGAGTTTGATTGCTTTTTATAGGTCTATGTACATATATGATTCCCGGTAAAAATTAATAAAAACTTAGTTACTGCGATCTTACGATAATTCTTTTTTTATTGTTGTAAATAAAACTAAATAACAACGAATGCGGCTAAATTTTTACGATCAATAGATTTGCTACAAATTGACATATCAATTTGAATCGGATTCCTTTAGCTGCAAAAACTAGAAAATTTAAAACTTGAATTATTTTTCTTCAATAGATATCAACAGGTGAGAGATATTTGAATTTGATTCTTCAAAATCAAAATGTCTACCAAGAACATTTTTACGCTTTACTTGAGCAAACAATTCGTCTTGCTCTCTCTGTGTAAGGTTAATCTTCTTTCTTTTAATGTAATACATTGGACTCAATTGTGCCAAAGTCAAGTTCTTGACGAATGGTAAGTGTCCATGCTTTTCTTCGAAGGACATCAACAATAAGATCATTATCACGCAAAACCAGTAGAGACAGTACGATATAACAGAACCATACGTGGCAGAGTTTTGCCAACCTAATAATGCATTAAAAATATCCCAGCCATTATCAGTTTGTGGATTGCAGCAATTGACGTGCCACACAGACTTACTAATGTCATAGGTGCCCGGGCCAGATCCATTTTCGGAAGCATCTCCTCCCGTTTTCTGATTGTAAGAATTTGTTTCAAAGTACCAAACACCTCTTGAAAATAAACCCGAAGCAATTAAATATAATATACATGTTGAAATTATCAAGAAAATTTGAATCGAGGATGTTGTTCCCCAGTAATACAAAGCTACACCAACTGCAATTCCAGCTAGCAATCCACAAATAACCGGAAGTGGGAAAGAAGATGCTGGTCGATTTAATCCAACCCCACCGACAAATACAACAGCTTCTAAACCTTCTCTTATACAAGTAACAAATGGCAAAATAAACATGCAGTACTTTTTAGTCAAATAGCCTATTTTAAACCGATTCGTTTTCTTTTCTGGAACTTTGAGTAATGCCTGTGCTATCTTGATTCTCCATTTCTCTCTCATCTTATTAACCCGCAACATAGCAATACCCATAATTGAAATTAAAACGGAGGCTATAATACAAAACACCCCAGTCCATAAGCTTTCAGATTTCTGCCAAATGTCACTTCCAACGATGTAAAATATTCCAATAAAAATACCACCTACAATGAGGCAAAAAACAACTCCTAATATAGTCCCGAACCATACTTGCCGTGCCAATTTTTTATATACAAATGGGTCATTGGAAGTCCCCGCTAAACCTTGCTTTAGGAATGCAAGTAAAATAGATATAATAACGACACCTTCCAATGTTTCTCTGAATAGAACGAAGAAAATTTGAATATTAAATATATCAGCCATATTTTCTCAAGTATGATCTCGTTGCTTCTATTCATATATTTATAAGTTTTAAAATAAACGAGCCTTCCACAACTGCTAATTATATTCTACCATTAGAGAAGAAATAAGAAAGATTCATTTACGTTTAGATTAAGATATATGTTGCACTTTATAGTTTCAGTATAATGATATTCAGCATATAGAAATAGACTTGCATAAAATTTTCTATAATGTATAATGAAGCATATCAAAATTAGTCGTTATATATGAAAGTAATTCGATTCATTTTGCACCAATGATCTTTGAATTCTAAATCATAGATAAGTTTGGAAACTGAAGGAAAAACAATTTATGTTGTTACAACATTTATAGAATACCAAAAACCAAGGGCTGGGCCAATCTGCAATATTTTTTTCTTGAAGGCTAGGTGGTGCAATCAATTATATATGGCTAAGAGGGATTGTCGATTGAAAACTAGAATCGTACTAAATTTTGGGATGTGGTCTTAAAATGTCTTGTAGCAATGTGGCCCAGATATAAAAGGTTCAATAAAAACTCGATAAGCAATTGTGATATGCTTTCAATGCTAATTTTGCATAAGACATTCAATTTGCAGCATAAACCATTTTTGTAGTGCTCAGTTACTATTCAACATGCGACTAGTGTTATATAAGCATGGGACAAAAAACGACTATGCGACAATAAGATATTCTATAGTGAAGACACTGAACAAACCACATACTTATTAGATTAATGAAACCGATAGAAGTATGTTCATTACGAGGACATCTAAATGATATTACTTGTACGGAACCTTATTATTCTGCCGAAAATGTATCGTTAATTTCAGCTGACTCAAAAGGGTGGATTATTTGGTGGGACATAAATACAAGAAGACCAAACTGTGTATGGAAAGGACATGATAGTAATATCGTTACGATAAGACAAATCTGCAATGGATTATTATTGACACACTCCAAAGATTCTGATATCAAAATATGGGATATTGAAAAATTCAAAGATGGGAGTCGAGAGATGCCAGCTGAGAAATACAATAGCGTTCAATACTTCAATGTAGGAGATGCTGAAGAAAACGACAACATCTTGAAAAATGAGCTCCTTGAGAAATTTCCGTTGCCAGAGCACACTGTGATTCCAGTAAATGCATTAAATTATTGCAATGTAGACTATTCCAATTACCATTTGATAACTCCTGCTACTACAGATTCCAATAATTTTGATCTATATCTGATATTCAAGCCCTCAGATCAGAATGACCAATCATTAGAAGAAAAATTGAACTTAAAAAGAGTAGCTACTAGTGTTGATCCTTGGAAACTTTATAAAAAAACAATCAACCACTTAAATAAAGAACAGGGAGTGGAGTCTGAGATAGGAAATGAAGACGATATTTTGAAGCGAGATAGATTCGGTATTATGATGAAAGTCATGTTCGTGGGGGATGACTTGTTTTATATAGGATATGAATCTGGACACTTGATTGGATTCCACATTGATTTTTCTGGTGTTACTAATAACGAAAAGAAAGAACCTACGCCGCATTCAACGAAACCCAATAAAAACGTATCTGGCCTTTCGGGACTCCTTGGAAGTAAATCAAAAAAGTCATTTGACAGGACGATTATAAATAAAGATCCTGAAATAAAAGTTGTATATATAAATGATTCGTGCTCCCCAAATCCTATACTATCGTTAGAGGTTGATAAAGTGGGCAATAGAATTATTTGCGGTTCAACTGGAAAACAATTAACCTTTCATGAGATACCCCACGAATTTTCACATTTTAGAGAAGCTAAGGATTGTGAAAGCTATAATTTAAGGCACTCAGGGATCCAGTCTATTTCTGTGAACCACAGCTTACTTGTCGTTGGATTTTGGGATGGAATTATCAAGGGATATAATCGCGATATAAATGAAGTATTCAAATATTCTAAACGCCTTCCAAGGATAGATGTTTTAGAGTCCAATAATGGTCAGGTACAACCTCATGAACGAGAAAGTAGCATGAGGTTATGTACAACTAAATTAGTGATGCCAAAAGAAACACTAAAGGTTTCAACAAAAGATTACAAATCCCTTATCAAACGCAAAAGAGACATCACGACAGCTAATTTATTAATTTCGAGTTATTATGACGGCACAATTACCATTTTCAAAATCTAGTATATGTATATATGAATATATAGAGGTTGTGATGAAATTAAATATACAAATTTATAGACAATATCAGTAACCAGGGTTACGTTCCTTATATACTAACTTCGCTGAAGTTTCTGTTAAGCGAACTTTGTCTACTACCAGGTTTTTGACCATTATTGCTATTGCTATTTCCATACATCGATCTTCTTTTCGATTTGTTGTTTGAATTTCTATTGTTTACCCTTTGGGTATTTTGTAATTGATTTTGATAACTAATATTATTAGCATTAATAATATCTTTAACAGTGTCATTGTCATTATGCGATGGAGGTGTTGGAAGCCTCGAATTGATTTCTGAGGAAGTGCTTCTCGAAGTTTTATTATTGCTTAAATTTCTTCTAGGTGCATTACCTTGAGTATGCAGCAGATTATTGAAATCAGAACTATGCTTGGAATCGAATCTAATCGAATTCCTCTTGTTCTTTCTTTTTTTCATTGAAATTGAATTTCCTCTACTCAAGTTCTTAGTGCTGAAGGGCGCGTCACTCAGTAAATCTGGAGAGCTTGTAAGAGTAGTATCATCGTCAAAAGAAGAGTTCGATAATGTATCATTAGACTCGTTAATTACACTTTCAAGATCAATTTCGGTATCTTCAAGAGCATTTAATTTCATTGGTAAATCAGGGTATTTTTCCACCAACTTCTTAATATTCTCAACGTTGTCTTGTAATATAGCTTTAGATTCTTGCCCATGAAGCTTAGCAATTTTGGCCAATTTTGATAAAAAATCCAATACAGTTTTATTTTTATTGACATAAAGATTATCCATTGTTTTTCTCTTATTTGTTAAACTCTCTACTAAGGTATCGATATCTTTGTCATTGTCAGTTAATTTGGCGCTTAAATTGTTGAAATTTTCAAGGGTTTGTTTCTTGTAGAGCTCAAATTCTGAAGTCAAATTATTAAGTTCTTTTTCGTAGTGTCTCTTGTATTCAACCTGCGACGCAATTAAGGCATCATAAGCAATCTTTAATCTTTCGTATTCAGCAATCGACGAAGATGATGATTCTTGCAAATTCTCACATCTAATCTTCATATTCTTGTTGTTTAAACTAAGCGATTCGTTAGCTGAACTTAACTCGTTGTATTGATCTTCTAAATCGATAATTCTTCTTTCTTTTCTTTTCAATAATGCATTGATCATATCGTTTTCATGTTTAGCATTTGCTAATTGGTCGACAAACAGATCATTTTTTTTAGAAACAACAGTGAAGTTCTTCTTGTAACTATCATGTGAGGACTTTACACTCTCTAATTCATTCTTCAAGGCATCAATCTCTGAATGTAACGAGTCGATAACTCTAGATGTAGGTTTATGTTTTATTGGACTTGTATCTTCCATTTCAAATCCTAGAACTTGATAAAGCTAAACAGCGTTCAAAGTATGAATATATTATTGACGACAATCCTTAAAGTATAAAGAAATTACCCTTGAATGTTTTAGAAGAACCGGTGGAAATACTAATCGATTGTACTGTGAAAATTCAAAAATGGTAAACAAAAACAAAGAAATTATTAGCGACATTTATACGTTGCGACATTCTATAGTTCCATTTTTTTTGTTAGTCGACAAGCATAACAAAAAAATATAAGGT